CGCCTAATAGACCGTCACGCCATAGGACACAGGATCGGATGGACCGGACATGCAACTAGAGATGTGACTCGGGCACAAGGGAAATCCAAAGGAGAGGAAAGAAACATCCTAGACAAAGGCCTTGTCCTGTCTCCTTAATTCGACATTATGTTCACTAAGAGACTCTATCTATTCTTGTATTGATCAATAACATGCTGATAATTTTAGTCAAAATGGTGGTTTGCTATAAACTTAAGCAGATGTGAAAGGTAGCAATGGTGAGGCTAATGTAGATACTAGACCCAAGGTATCCCCCCCCTTGCCCATCCGGGGTCGTGGATTGAACCTTATCTTAGATTTGGCTGAGGCCTAGAACCTGGGGTACGGAGCTAGAAGTAGACCCGGATAGCTCGTCTTATCAAGAAGCATTGTGATTGGATTAATACCAATGTTATCAAAGGTATCAAGTCGCAGTATATAGCTTCAAGCAATCACTCGCGCCAGGCAGCGTGATATCAGTCTCTTTGCACAAGTCCTCTTGTAATATTACTGATTCCGAATTAAACACTTCAAACTATTCGCCATGCAGTCAGATGCTAAACAGAAACTCGACCTCGAGTTGCAAAGCCCCAGCGTCATGAATGGGGAGACTACGACAGACATTGAGCGCGAACGCGCCCAAGCACTGGCCGCGTTGCCCGATCCTGACGCTGGCAAAAGCGAGGAAGAAAAGGCAGACATTGTAAGTTTCAAGACTCTACGATCGGTCTTTGCTATCCACTCACTCAAGCACGCATTTAGGACCGTAAGCTTGTTCGGCGGATCGACTTCTGGCTCATCCCATGGTTGTCCGTTCTGTATCTCCTTTCTTTCCTCGATCGAACGAATATCGGAAATGCTCGTCTGGCGGGTATGGAGCTTGACCTAAACATGTCCGGCGGCGATTACAACAGTGCCTTGACAATCTTTTTTGTCAGCTACGCCGTCTTTGAACCAGCCACCAATATGCTTCTCAAACAACTCAAACCTCGATTCTTCTTCATGTCGATTATCATCACCTGGGGAGTCATTGTGACTTTGACTGGCCTTGTAAAAAACCATAGTGGGATTCTCGCAGCGCGTTGGTTTCTTGGTATGGCCGAGGCTGGCCTGCTTCCAGGTACGTCAGGGCTATACACTTTCAATCTCTTCTCGCGTTCATCTTTGACCATCAGCTAATTGTTGTCTACTATCAGGTGTCAGCTATTATCTCTCTTGTTGGTATAAGTCGACAGAAATTGGCTTTCGAATGGCTATATTCTTCTCCTCCGCTGCCCTAGCCGGATCCTTTGGCGGACTTCTAGCAGCAGCCATCGCTAAAATGGACGGGGTTGGTGGTCAACCCGGATGGGCCTGGATCTTCATGATCGAAGGCTTGGTCACTATTGCTGTGGGCTGTCTTTGCTGGTGGATGGTGTTTGATTGGCCCGACACCGCCAAATTCCTCACGCCCGACGACCGAATCCGCGTTCAGCGTCGTATCCTTGCCAATAAGCAAGGTAAGACAGCTGACGACTTCGACAAGAGATATATCTGGGCTGCGCTGCGTGACTGGAAGACCTATGGGTACATGCTGATCAACGCCGGCGCCCTTGTCCCCATCTATGCCTTCTCGCTCTTCCTACCCACGATTCTTCGGGGTATGGGCCACCAAGGGACCAAGGCTCAACTGCTCTCTGTGCCACCTTATGCTGGCGCTGCTCTCTGCACAATAGCAGTTGGTTATATCGCCGATAGAACCCGCCAACGTGGCCTGTTGAACATGGGGACTGTTGTTGTGGGCATGACAGGCTTTGTAATGCTAATCTCCTCACAAGATCCTCAAGTCCAATACGCAGGAACCTTTCTAGGAGCAGCTGGTCTATATCCTGTGCTACCCAACACAATGTCGTGGGCTATCAACAATACCGAGGGCTCACTCAAGCGTGCGATTGTTGTGGCTATGCTTGCAGGCTTTGGAAACCTGAATGGCATTGTTTCATGCAACATCTATCTGCTTAGAGAGTCGCCTCGATTCTGGACTGGGCACGGAGTGGTCCTTGGCTATCAATTCTTTCTTCTCTTCGGTGTCTCGGCATTGATGCACTTCGCTCTCAAAGCGTCAAATGCCCACCGTCGAGCAGGCAAACTGGATACAAAGTGGAACAACATGACAGAGGAAGAAAAATGGATCGCTGGAGATAAGAGACCTGACTTCGTTTACACCGTTTAGGGAACCATCGGCTTCCGGGAGAAAGGGCCATACTATGACTAAAATGGTGGGAAATAGTTTAGTATGAGGGCGCATATACGATATGCTTGAGCATAGTAGCTTGAGTTTCGTTTGCAGCTCTAGTTACATCATCTGATAGTACCATAAAATTTGGAAACATTGCATTGGCTTCAATAACACAAATACCTCTTGATTGCAGTCGATATAGAGATAAGATCTATCAATTATTCCAGTGTTCATTCATTATGTTGAGATACCTAGTCTGGCATCTTTATTGCTCCTTTTTACTTTGTGCTCCAACTCTCTATCGCAATTTAATTGTTAAAATCTGTATTGTGTATGCAACGATCAAACCCAAACACGAATAAGTAGCAGTTAAGGTTATACGAAGTATATATGTTGATTCGCGATGATGCGAAATGCTTCTTCGATTCAGAAAGTTATATACAGTAGAAAAAAGATGTCATTAGAGCAATAGCATATCTCTTTGTCTACCTAAAACTCTTGAATATCAAGCTTATCCTCTTTCTCCGTGAACCTGACTGGAAGCCGACGTGTTCGGTCGACCTTTAGATCGAATACATCGAGACGTTGGTATCCGCCGACAACATCATGGTACTGTTTCCCTTCTATACAGTCCTCTAGGTTGATATCAGCATACAAGATGCCTTCGGCGCTTTGTAAGAAATCGGTAGGGACATGGCTCTGCGACTCGTCTACGATGAATCCAGGTAAAGGTGCCCCCGTCGGATTCAAGAATTGTGTCGCGCCACGCTGAGCTTCTTCGAGCACCTGTCTCAGGTGAGGAAACCCATCAGAAATAGCTTCGATCGCGTCATCGCCGAGGACAGCACTGCAAAGAACCCCAAAACACTTGGCTTCGAAGCAGTGAGCAGCAGCTCGCGTTCTATTTGCTGTGACGTTGTCATAGTCGGGTTTTTGTAGCACCTCGGTGGTTGAGTTCTCTTGTGAAGCAGGGCGCACTCGAGTCGGCCAGATCGGCGGCCAAGTAGATATATGGATTTGCTCGCCTTGAGCCATGAGAGTGTATCGAGCGAGCGGGTTGGTGTTTTCACCACAAATCAAGTTGCCAATCTTCCCGTAGGGAGTTTCGGCGACTCGTAGGCCATGGCCATCGCCGGGAGACCAAGTTAGCTTTTCGAAGAACGTCGGTACAAGCTTCCGATGATGGATAAGAACCTCTCCCTCGGTCCCAATAAGAATATTCGAGTTGTATAAAGTTCCGCTACTGGAGCGAACTTTCTCCGAGAGACCGATGCTGACCATAATATTCAGCTCTTTAGCCGTAGCACGAATGGATTGGATTTCTTCTCCATCCGCGTAGACGGACTCATGGGTCATACGCTTGAACAAGTCATGGTTGGCGGTTGGAGGGCGTAGCGAGCTCCAGATAGGAAAAGCCGAAATGAAGGTCTCGGGGAAGATAACCAGATTGGCTTTGTTTTTGGCAGCCTCTTTTATCAGGCCAATAGCCTTTGCCGTTGTCTGTCGCGCTGATAAAAACACCGCGGCGACATGGCAGGCAGCGACTCGAGTTTGGGCGGACATATTCAAGATTCAATAAGCGTTGGGCTCTTGCAGCTGGTTTGCAACATTTCCTTATCATCTATATATGTATCTCCTTGCGATGTTAGTGGTTGTTGACATTCATGCGCGACCAAGACGGAATATCGGGAAAGACGGATATCTCGGGGAAGACGGGAGATGCGAGTCGCCACCAAAACTGATGAAGGCACACACGCCTACAGGAGCAGAGATTCTGGGATTTGATTTCGGACATTCTTTTGGATGCCGAGAGTTATGAACGTTGAAGAACAGATTTTCGGATCAAGAAATAACTTGCCTGAAGCCATTTGCCCGACGGTTCGCTTACGACTTGATAGTTTCACCTCGGAGGGCAACGAACCATTGCCCATTACCTTAAAAGAGTTTCATGTAAGCTGTGTTCAAAGGCCTCTTTGGTGATTTCCATGTCTTAACTCGTAGTCCGCTCGCCAAATGATAAATCGCAATATACCATCTTTGTAAGTTCTATAGAAGGTTACCTGCTGAAACTTCCAGCGAACTGGTGAGCAGGCTATACAAACCAGATAGTTGCACTGCCATCCATGGTTCACATAGTTATTGCCCAATATGCAAATTTCTTCAAAGCTAATGATATTGTCGACGCTTCTTTTCCAACAGAAGTAGTCAGAATCAGGTTGGGAGAGTCTGCTTGAACTTTCGTTCAAACTCTGTCAGATCAGGTTCTATGCGTGACCATGCTTCTAGCAGAGATACAAAGCCATGTTAAATGTAGTCATGCCTTGATGCTATGGAAAGATAGTGTGATTTTCTAACAGCGATTATTGAATCTCCTCCAGTGTTTGAAAATGTGTTTGAATTTGTTAATATAGGGTAAGGTCAGTCCTTCGGATTCTTCCCGCTGCCAAAAATCTTACGAGCCGGCTCTAATAATAGACGACCCCTTTTTTTTTAAATTATAAAATAGACCCACCATGATGAGCACAATTTTCATAAAAGGCTCTTTTCATCAATGTACAAATTAATATGCATATTTAATACTACATTGGGATCGATGGTCGGGCTACCGGGAGACCGATGGCCGATGGTTTATGGCTGTTGAACTGTCGTCGGGTTTAGGATCTAGTTCTGTGCTTTGACCTCTCTCACATCGCAATTCACATGCAAGTATCGAAAGGCGCTTCGTAACTCAACTAATGAAAATTGTTTATATACTGATCCTACATCATGCATAATGATTCTGAACCTTTAGGCCGCGAAACTCAAATGAAGTGCCCTCTCGTTTATCAAGAACAGTCTTGTGGTGGACATCCTTAACACGCGCGCGCACGTACTCAGTGCCATTGGGGACAGGCCGGCTAAGATCTTTGTGTTCCTCCGGGATCAGGCCAAGGCGATCGAGAAGTGGGGATGGGACGGTCCTCATGGGAGTACTGGCTCCAGGGCGGCTGAAGTAGAGGAGACCTAAGCGGGGAATATCAATCTGATCCTTGGGAGGAGTGACAACACGGTGAACTGTAGACTTGATGAATCCTAAAGGGACTGAGTTAGTGGCCCGCGCCGGTTAAAAGGGGATTCGGGGAGAAAGTCATACCATTGGTCAAGAAAGATAGTGTGTCTGCAGCATTGCAGGTGATTCCACCCTCAACAGGCTTCACATATTTCCAATCACCCTCCGGGGTACGGATTTGCAACCCCGCCACATGTTGCGAGAACAGGAGCGTTAGGCTTCCGAAGTCAGTGTGGCCTCCTTTGGAGTATGCTTGGGCTTTATCCCAATCCTCTTGTGATCGTACATTATACTGATTATGGCATTAGCTTTAGTGTTTTCACAACAGAAACAGGAGGTAAACTTGAGTTTGCCTTAGCTTACAATCATGTAACGAAGGTGATCATCAGACTCGTCCTCATATTCATGAGCATCTGCGAGGTAGTCTTCTGGCAGCTCCAAAATGATGGCGATAAGAACAAACAACTTTCGAAGAACCTTGTCCCAGAGTTCCCTGTGAAACTTGGCGATTTCACTCCAATTCTCTTTAACAACTCGATGCCTGCCTACATCCTCAAAGAGTTTGATAGGCTTGGGAATATTTAGCTGTTCATTGTGCTTTGGTTAGCTAGGCCGGGTTTAGGTAGGTTTAGGGCTTTCAAGAGGCCACACACACCATTTCGATGTTTTCTTTTACTCCAGTATCGCCGATCCATCTCGAGTTCTCCCTGTACCCGAAATACTCGCCTTCTGCAAAGTTACATGGGAAAGTCCTTTTTTCTTCAAGGGACTCTTGGAAAAATGTGTTCCCGATACTGAATTGGCGGAGCACACTTTCGTCGTCAATGCCAGTGTTGACAACGGACCAGAAGCCAACCTCTGTGACTGCCTTGTACAAAGATTTGGCAAGTTCTTGCTTCCCATCAGGGGTATCGAACTTTGAGAGGTCGATCTTTGGCAACTCGGCCCAGTCAAGGTTCTCCTTTGTGACCTCGGGGCGCTTCCAGGTTTTAATCAAGACCTTCTCATTCACCTCATTCTGTGCTTCCACCGAGTCAAGAGCGATAGGGGCCATCGCAAAGGTGAGGGGAAAATGCAACAGTGAAAGATACTACAATAGTTAACAGCCAAGATAGCAAATCCTAGTAAGTGACCATATACTTGGATCGGTGCCTAAAGTTCAACAGCAAGGCGAGCCTTTATCAACGACCAGAAAATCGAGAATACGTTTGTATACTCTGAAAGGGTTATGTCCGGAAAATAGACCCCGCGTTATCGCTTAGCACCCGCCCCAGACAAAGCAACGCTATTGCGTGCTTCCAATCAGAGTTTACGTATATTCGTGATTTGTCAGGTTGAAGACGACATCAACGTGGGGTACTATCTCAAATGACCAATGATGTAGCCTGAATGTATATTGAAGCAATCTTTGATAGAGAGGGGTTGTCCATCATTACTTCATAACGCAATGGCTAGATAACTTCAAGCACGTTTTAAGAGATTACGCCATTCCGAGCATCGGACTGGTTATCATGTCGCTGTAACCCTTCACGGAAATAGCAATTTTGGGAACAATCTCGGACTGGAGCCAATTGATCACGTCGCCATGGTAGACTTAGTCTAGCTGAAGTTCTTTTGTGCCCGCCTTTAAACCTTCTCCCGGTTATTATTAACAGAAGTTATCATCTCCCCTGTGAATTGTGCCATTTTAAAATACCAGGGCCTGTAAACCCAAGAGTCTGGAAATTAAATCTCCCCACCATCAGTGTAACTCAAGCCAGGCCTGACATCTTGATATTCACTTGTAGCTCTGGTGAGATATTTACTTCTCCCAAGTATGTAGCAGTAAATCCCCACTAAAGGATGAGCCGTCGAAATTCTCACATACCATATCACCATAGAGGCCGAAAGGTTTCTCAACCAGTACCACAATAACAAAGGAGTGTCTGCAGCTGTCCCACGTGCATGTGGAGCTATAGCTGGCAAAGCTTTGGACCGGACAGTGCAGGTTAGCTCATGTTGTGATTGATCTCGTATTAAAGTGCTTCTTTGCTCGTTTGGTATTCATGGTCTCGCCTCGCTTGCTTCACTTCAGGCCGCTCCAATACCAGGGAGCAAAGAATCAAACGCGATGGCAGACACCGGTGGTCTTACGAAACGCCAGGAGACTGTGGCAGTCGAGTCGGCCCCTAGTAATACGGACGATGTGTCCGACCACAGTTTCATAGAACCTACTCCGCAAGTGAAGAAGAGCTTCTTCAAAAAGGCTGATCTCTGGCTGGTGGGATTTTATTCATTTGTGAGCAAAAGGAAGTGCCAGCCTTGGAGGATACGAGCTAAAAGGAATCAGGTATATATCTTCCGAGTCCTGGATTCATCCAACTACGCCAATGCAGCCATCATCAACCTCGAGAACGGCACCAACATTCGCCAACAACTCGGATTCGATGCGTCAAAATGGTCATGGACGCAGTCCATGTTCTCCTATTCTTACATGGTGTTTGAACCCACAAACACAATCATGCTCAAAGCTGTTCGTCCATCAAGATGGATGTTTCTCATCATATTTTTCTGGGGTGTGTGCGCTTCATGTACCTCTGCCGTTCAAGGCTTCAAGGGCATGATGTGCCTTCGCTTCGCACTCGGAATGGCTGAGGCAGGTTTTTACCCCAGTGTCCTCTTTCACATGGCATTTTGGTATAAACCGAGTGAGATGCCGCAGCGTATAGCCATATTCTATTCTGTTGGACAGGTCGCCGGTGCTGTTAGCGGCCTACTTGCATATGCCATTGGCTACATGGTGCGACTCCCTCCCAATATCAGTCTAATCTATCAAGATTTTATTAACATACTCGTAGGATGGCCTCGGGGGCCTTCCGGGCTGGCGATGGCTCTTCCTTCTAGAAGGCCTTCCGGCGATCATTCTGTCATTCGTTGCACTTTGGAAGTTACCTAATTACCCAGAGACCGCCAAGCTCCTGAACGAGGAAGAACGCAAATATGCCACGACCCGTTTGGTGAAAACTGCGCCACAAGGAAAGAAGGGAAATTGGGACTACAAGTCTTTGCTTGTCCTTGTCAAAGATCCGACGTTCTATACATTCTCCGTGTTTTGGATCTGCCATGGAATTGGAGGCTTTGGAGTGGGCGTTGCGTTACCCACAGTCATTTATGATCTAGGTTTCACAACGACAGCGAATACGCAGCTCATGAACATGGTAAGAACTCCTCAATTTCCCTCTGTTGGCAGGGTATTAATGCCAAGGTGCAGCCCCCGTACGTCGCCGCGTGTGTGTTTCTCAATATCATCGGCTATCTATTACATAAAAAGATTCTTCGACCGTGGACAACTGCAATAGGAAGTAAGTTGGGTCTTCAATAGACTAATCTCAATCACCATCAACCACAGATACTAACAATTCTAACAGTCGAAGTCACCATCATGGTCTGCTACGTGATTCTATTCACGGTTTCTGTCCCCACTGTACGCTACATTGTTCTCATTGTTGCCATTTCTTGCGCCGGATCTGCGTACCCTGTTATCTGGCCTGAGCGTATTCGAGCCCTTGAAGGCACTGTTGCTGCAGGCATTGGAATCGGGTGGACAAATGCAATGGCCCAGTTTAGCGGCATCGTTGGGCCCCATGTCTACAGCTCTGTGTTTGGGCCAAGCTACCGCGTCTCGTACGGCATTTGCATGTCGTTCCTCGTTGTTGGCGTATGTATGATTCTTACCTCATGGTATCTAGTAAGGCGCAAAGACCAGAAGCGTTCTTTGCAGTTCGATGGTCAGTGATAGGGACTCAAAGATGAATGAAATCCTTCCTCTTTAATGGAGACAGGTGTCATTCCTTTACGTCAAAACTTCCTCTTATACATATTCCCCCATTTTAAACCATCTGCACCTTTAAAGTTCCTGTCCCACTTTCATTTATTGGTTCATTGTATCAATTCCAACTCGTCATCATGAAGTCTACGTAAGAGCTTTTTGAGTAGAAGGGTCTAACAGCAATGGAAGCTGCTAGGGCCCAACAACTCAAAACAATGGAGAATGATGAAGGCTACTGCTGTCGCTTTTACCTGGCTTGGTCTTGGCAGGCAAGACCTAAACCCCTTTCAAGCTAAGAGGGCGTCGACTCAGACAGCACGCCAGGAAACGAGGCTGTTTCCTATGTCTGACGCTACAGGATTCGTGGCAACGACATGGTACATCAAAGAACAAGCGAGTTTATCTATGTAATGAACAAAGGCGATGCAACATTAGACGTAGTCGCCACAAGCAAGCCCAATAGTTGATGAATGAATGCTCTCTGCCTTTATCTGGAGACAAGCAGGAGATAATCTAATAACTCCATTTAATGGGCCAAACGCTCGATAGGCGGTTTGTACAGTTTTTATCCGTGATCCCGACGGTAATTGAACCCAAAGAAGTGTCAATTAGTTTACTTCTTGGGGTTGATACTGACAGCAACCTGCTCTCCGTCCCGTTCACTTCCAGTTTCAATGTTGCTCCCACTTTCCTCGATCGGCGATCTCTCCTTACTGTGTGCCATTAGTAATTGTAACTGAGGCTCTTGTGCAAATCGGGAACTTACGTAGTTTGCTTCTCATACCAGTTCAGTGCAAGTGTAAAGATGATCACCCCAATCGCGCATGCTAGACAGAACGGATACCCCTTAGGAAAGGTAGGTGACTCAACTGTTTTGAAAACTGCTAGCGGAATAAACCCACTGAAAGCCTCCGCAAACGTGTTGATCGTAACTAGTGTAAACGCTCGCTCTTCTGGTGAATCTCGAAGGAGAGCGTTGACCCAGCCATGAAAGACTGCTGACATGGCGTTTGCCCAGAAGGAAGTAGTGAATGCAAACCACTTGGCGCTTTCTGGTACGTTCCATATGGTCAAGATAAGACAACAAACTGTGTTCCAAAGGGAAGAGAAAGAAATAGCCCAAACTGGCCCGATGAGGAGATCAGAGGCGAAGCAAGCTATCAATGCCCAGGCTATGCCCAGGCCTGGAGCGATGGAGCCCAGCTCATTGACCCTAGCATTGCTATACCGGTTCAAGCTCTTGATCCAAAGGAGATATGCTCCCTGTTTCTTATAGGCACCGGCGCTCTTCCAAAGGATGTCGATAAGGACGACCGTCCAAAACCGTGGGGTCTTAACAGTATGTTTAATGTGATGGAATTTGAGCTTGGCTCCAACTTTGTGGCCGTCGCGCTCGAGTCGTTTTCTAGCGATTTCGAGCTCCTCTTCGTTGAGGAGTATTCTGTTCGGTTTTGCGAGGGTTCCCGGGATAAGAAAGTAGCCCAAGATGCCAACGGGGATAGTCATGGCAAAGCATATGATGTATAGCCATCGCCAACCAGCCATACCGTGAACTCCCTCGAGCCGCGCTGAAGCAGCGGAAGCAATGAGGCTAGATGTCATGGAACCCAAGCCATAGCCAGAATAGAAGAGCCCGCCTCGTCGATTAATTTCGTGGCCTCGGTACCATGAACCTTCAAACTCAAGGTCAGTCAAATACAAAGACAAAAGAATATGCTGAGTCTACTCACCAAGAACATAGTGCACTGCTGGAAAGAAGCCAGCCTCAAAGAAGCCTACGAAAAAGCGATAGGTGGCAACTTCCCCGAATGACTGCGCACGATACTGCAAGAGAGTGAACACACCCCAAGCAATATCCATGCCCGGGATGATCCAGTACATAGGAAGATACGTAAAGAGAAAAACAAAGGGGATCTGGCCCACCACGACCCCCACGCTAAACAAGGTGTTGAAAGTCACAAGCTCATTACCATAAAAGCCAAGCTCTTCTTTCATACCACCCACGTAGGCATTGCCTGTAGTTTGGTGATCGATAATTAGCCATCAGATGATATAACATGAGTTGTCTAATTCCCGAGAAGGTGGCACAAGATACAAAGATGCCCTAAAGGCCGGGTTCCATAGCACCATTGAAGATTGATGGTCATGGGAAGGAGGAAAAAAGACTCACTTAGATTTGCCTGATCAATGTGTTTGATCCAGTAAGCGACAAGCAAATATGGGATCAAGAATGTGTCTAGCTTGAGAATAAATTTGCGCTCTTCAGGTGTATCATCATCCGAGTACCATTGGATTTTGTACCAGGTCTTCCTCGGAACCGTAGACATGGTAGGCAAGCGAATCGGAAACAGTAAGTTGTTCTCAGCTACGGTGTCTGTTGACTGATCATCTACGCTTTAGCACATAGTAGGATTCACATGTTTTATGTGTTTCCAATTCCCAGGCCCACCGTGACTTTTCTCCAAAGTGAAAACTTCTCCATCGCAGTGGTTAGAACGTGGGCCTGGTTCGTCTAAATTAGGCTGGGCCGCAAGGATGATGTCGCAATAATATGAACAGATTTCGACTCATATCTAGGACCCATCTATGGGACCCTGTTGCTCGAAAGAGCTCAAAACAGCCACAGGTGCGATGGACCGATACTTGCTATTCTTTGAGCCATCAATCCCCAGTTTGGCACGTTGAATAGAAGAGCTTGGCGCATGGCGTGACAACACTAGGTCTCCGCAGATGCCTCGTTTTGAACCCATCGTTATAGCTTAAGCTCCACAGTGAGCCTTGTTTAGAGGGCAGTGTGAGGAGCAGTCATCTCCGACGTGAGTGTGTTCGACATAGTTATCTATCTTTGTGTCATATACCTGGTTCCATTCTCTCCACACTTTGCGACTCTATCTCCACCACCCATGAGTGCTCTCGAACTTGTCATTGGCTATTTTCGAGCTTCACCAACAAGAAAACGGGCTTCTCTATAGCCATGTTAAATCCGGAGTGTAAAACGTTAGCCTACGACCCCTCAGCCTGGCTTAGTCTACCCTTTGCTTCTTCTCGTCAACGTGAGATCCGAATTTCGGACGCGATATGGTTCTTAATAAACGACCCCTGCCATGAAGCATACCCAGCCTTTCCCTAATGTTTGTACTACATCCAGATGTCTAAACATTTAGCTGTACAACGTCTTGTCTTCATCAACAGCCAACCATGTCCGTCACTTCTGTCAGAGGAGGAGGTCCGATCCTTAAGGGTCCATGGGACTTCGATGACAGCCCAATCAGCCGTGTTGCCGAGCAGCCGCTGTTACTAGGACTTTTCCTTAACTTACAGGACATCAAGACGTCCACCCACCCAACAACTAATAGCTGGACCTTTGATTACAACCTCGCTTTGGTTCAGAAGGCTGAAGAGCTTGGGTTCGAGCTTGCCTTTAGCCGCTCTCAGTGGCTCCCCAAGGGCGGATATGACGGCGAGGCATCAATCGATGCTTTTGTAGCCCTTGGAGCCATGGCCGCTGCCACAAAGAACATCATGCTCATTTCAACCCTGCATGTCTTGTACGGCCCGCTGCACCCTTTACACATCGCAAAATGGGGCGCCACATTAGACCATATCTCCAAAGGCCGCTGGGGGATCAACATTGTCACGGGGCATCGCACCGTTGAGGCTGAGATGTTTGGTCGACAACAGATCGAGCACGATAAACGATATGCGATGGCGGGCGAGTTGTTTGATGTTGTTAATAGTCTCTGGGGTGAGACTGAGAACCTAACATATGAAGCAAAGGTAGCTGAAAATGCCTGGCGGATAGAAAATGCTTGGATTACACCGAAGCCTCTATACGGCCGGCCTATTTTAGTAAACGCTACTGGTTCAGCCGCTGGAATTGACTTTGCGGCCAAGTATTCTGATCTCATATTCATCACATCACCAGGCGGAGCGCATATCGACAGCGCTCTCGAGACGTTGCCCGCACATATTGCCACCATTAAGGAGGCAGCCAAAGCAGTTGGACGGAAAGTCAAAACACTTATTAACCCTATCATCATCTCCCGCGACACGCCTGAAGAGGCAGAGGCTTATGCGGACAGCATCGCCGAAGGCAGTGGTGGATCACATGGCAGCTCCAAATTCAACAACAGCGCGAATGCGTATAAGAGCGATGCTCACGGTTGGCGAGGTCGAAAAGATCACAACCACAAACAGGGTCGCAACCTGGGTGGCAATATAGAAATCATCGGCTCTCCAGAGCAGGTAGTAGCCCAGATTGAGGCCCTGCATAAGACAGGTGTAGATGGCATTCAGATGAACTTTTACGACTTTGCGCCCGACCTCGACTACTTTGGTCGAAAGATTTTACCGCTGCTTCAAACAGCTGGTCTTCGTATTTAAATAGCGAAATATACTTGTACCTTCTCCATTCCTCTAAGTTAGTTCTTGTGGGCTATGTTGCAGCTAGGTAGATGGCCTTATGGAACACACCGCTAAAGTGGGAAGTTATGTATACTGTAGTAGGCCTTAAAGTCTGCTTCCTCTTGAGCTTCCTCTTGAACGTTCATGTTAACAACCTCTAACTCTTGGCTTAGGTTTGTGAAATTGATATCACGTCCTCTAATTAGCTGGAGAAAACCTGGCTCGCCATAAAATAGCATTGCTTCTCTGTCCAACACACTTGGTAAGAATGAGTTCGCGCTGGATGTTCGGGGGATCTCTTAACAAACATATCAACGAAGTCAGAACGGAACCATTAGACTAGTATGGAAACAGGAAAGTTTTACCTTGAGATATTATCGTAGGATGTTCGGTATGCGCTGAGGTACTTGGACCCTTGCTGCTGGATAGTTGTCGACATGAATCTTCATCATTTCCCTCCATGGAGACCAAGGGGTCGTTGCTGGGCGTGGCATATGGAGGCCCTGACTCTGGAACTGGGTAGATACAGCTCACCGGTGGCCGACCGAGCCTGGTGCAAGTTCCGCAAGGTCTCTTGCGGTTACACTTCCGTCTAGTTCAAATGTTACTCAACTGAATCATGACGTACTTGATTCAACGAGGCAGGAGGGGGTAATCTCACTTTCTCCGTCTGCACAACTCACATGCAAGCTGCGGCTTATGCCGGCGCCGATTAGGCGGAGGGTGCGCTTGCTTGGGGATGTCCGGAGGGTTTCGCTGCATTTTAGGCGGCTTTTTAAAGGTGAGCAACACTGATGGGGGCGACTGTCTCGTATCTATATTGATCTTGTCAGGTTATACGGTCGACAAAGCGGACGTGGTCAGCCCGGCGTCCACGGAAGAGATGGATTGGATGGAAGGTCTCCCCTTTGTATTTTTCAACGCAAATCCACCTTATCTTAGTAAGAATAGCCTAAGGGGATACTCATAGATACTTATACTTCTAGGTTCGGAGCGTAATCGAACCGATCGTCCGCCTGCCCCGCTGGTGGGTCCCGCTGATAGTTCGAATTCCATCCGAGAGCGAGCAACAGCTATCCCAGATCGGGATGGGATAGGATTTTGTAAGGGATCATGAGAGTGATGGACCTGAGGCCGGCTGTAATATAAGTTCACTCGAGGCGCCTGTTCTTTGCTTTCGTCGCTAGATATTCTCCTAAGTTCTTATCTATTCACCACTTCAATATTAAGTTGCACACACCATGCCAACGAACTGTGCTGCTTTCCAACCGAAAAGGAAGGCCAATGTCTTACAAGTCAGAGATGCTCCTTACCCAGTGGCTGGAGAGAACCAATTAGTTGTTCGCACAGCAGCCATTGCTATCAACCCTATTGATCATCTGATCCAGTCTCGAGGCGACATCATGTTCACCCATATCAAGTATCCCTTTGTTTTAGGGATGGATGTGAGCGGAGAAGTTGTCTCCGTAGGCAAAGGCGTCACCCGAATTCGCCCTGGCGATCGCGTCTTCGGTCTCTGTCGCAGCACATCAGCTGCTGTGAACGACTCTGCCCAAGGCGCATTCCAAAGTTATACTGTCCTACAGGAAGATCTGGCCTCGATTATCACACGTCCAGAGATATCATACCCAGAAGCCTCTGTCTTCCCCTTGGCAATATTGACGGCTTCTTCCGCGCTGTTTGAAAAGGCGCAGCTGGGTCTCCAATTTCCAGAGCAGCCTGCACGGCCATCTTCTGGCAAGGCAGTCATCATATGGGGCGGATCTTCCAGTGTTGGGTGCTGCGCTATCCAGCTTGCTGTCGCCGCCGGGTACGAGGTATATACGACCGCTTCAACACACAACCATGCCTTGATGCGAAAACTGGGCGCTACACAGGCATGGAACTACCAGGACGCCGCCGTCGTCCAATCAATGGCCAATGAACTCACCGGGAAAAGCTTGGTCGGGGCAGTAGCCATTGGCAAAGGAGCTGCGGAAAAGTGTATGGAGGTCCTGGTCAAGTGCAACGCAGAACGTAAGCACGTGGCTATGGCTACATTCCCGGTGCCAGATCAAGAGCCAGGATTCTTGCCAGTATTTCAAATCATGGCTTCCTTTGTAGGCTGGACCGTGGCTTATAAGTTGCGCGGGCTAATTAACGGAGTATCGTCAGCTTTCGTCGACATCGAGCCAACAATTGGGAATGGCGTCGCAAAATATATATTCACGGCGTACTTGCCTAAGGCCCTGGAGTCTGGCAGCATTATTCCAGCTCCAGAAGTTCAGATTATCGGGGAGAGTTTGGACAAGATCCAGGAGGCTATGGATACTCTTAAAAAGGGAGTTTCTGCCAAAAAGCTGGTTGTTACTCTTTGACTTGGAAAGTAGAACACAATCTTAACCAATCATGGAAGTTGGAAATTTGATCAAGTTACTCTCGCATATAGATATGTGTGGACTTTTTTCAGCTAATCTTTCATCGCCATGGATTAATTATAGGTCCATATGGCTTGTTCTTGAATTTTTGCTACATTATGTTTCTAAATAGCAGTGTTCTGTCCTAGTTTCAGGATTCCGGAGGGGCCAATGCTCAGCGACACACCTGGCCGAGTTGCCCAAATAACATCAGGATGTGCGATGTAAAGCCAAGGAGGGTTGTCATGGAGTCTTCTTAAACATTCTCCGTATGCTTCTTTCCGGGCTTCTCCAAGCACCGTTTTTCTGGCATTTGTGAAGAGGCGTTGGAACTCATCATCGTCGTAACCGAGCCACCATGTGCCATGCGAAGCGCTGGATACTTTGTCATCCAGCACACGGAAGGTGGTGTTGGGAGTTGAGTCAAAGCAGGCCAAGTCGCCGATATTTTTCTTGAGACCAATTGAACGGGCATATTCAGGCCGGTCGGTCTCGACCTCAACTTCAACATTGAACCCTACTGCTTCTAAAGATGCCTTGACGAAATCCGTAATTTTCTCAGCGTGTTCTGGCATCCATTCGGGTGTTCTCAAGCGAAGAGGCTTGCTCAAGTCCAAATCTTTGATGATCTCACGAGCCCTGTTTGGGTCGTAGGGAATTGGCTTCAAGCCCGACTCCTTGAATCCGAGGTGATGGGGGCTGACAACAGTGGCCGCAGGGGCCGCGAGCCCAAGATATACTCTCTCCACCAATGCATCATTGTCTATCGCGAGGTTGGCTGCATAGCGAATTTCGGGAGAAGAGAAAATACCGCTTGGGCAATTAAGATAGTAGATGACAGAAAGGGTACTCAAAACCCTTCCCCACTGGAGATTACCTTTGAAATCTACCAGTGGCAAATCGTCAACTCGTTCAAGATTTAGAGCAGCATCGACCTCTCCCTTTTGCAGGAGCTTCAGCCTGTCTTCTCCATTCCTCGCAGCGGTGGCAATGATGGTTTGTGGCCACTCCTTGTTTGCTGAATCCAAACGCTCTAGAACGGCCCTTCCCACATTGTCCCTCCGTTCAAACTCGACAACGCGGTATGGACCAGTTCCTAGCACCGGTTTCCCGTCTGCCGCAATTCTAGAGGGCCAGAAGTCATTCAGAACATTTAGGAGATCCGCAAACGGCTCGGGATGCTCGACTTTGACGACTCTATCCCCTTCAGCCGTGAAGACTGTCTTGGCAAAGTATCTGCTGTAGCTCCACGCCATGCCAAAGTAATCGTGCGAGTCGAGAAAACCTTTGATGTAGTCGACCACCAGCTCGGCATCACATTGCTTCCCATCGTGGAAAACGGCGTCATCGCGAATATGGAAATGCCAGACTCGATTATCACCGGTTACCTCCCATCGATCAAAGAGTCCGGGGAGGACGTCGCCATTAGGCTGCCATTGGATCAATGGCTCAAAAACAAGACTTTTCAGTGCTAACACACTGTTATCGTCGGTAACTTGTGTTGGTAGCCGAAAATCAACGTTCTCAAGAACGATCCGGAGGATATGTGACGACATCTTTGGTCGGGACGAAGAGACCACTTATGTTGGCTTGGTGCAAGACAGTACACAATACCACATATGCTTCCATATATGATTCCTCCATCCGAAATAAACTGTCATGTAGTTTGTGCGGTGCTTCTCCACATCGTCGGAGCTCAGCCGACATGCATTATTCGCAATAATGGATCACCATTGCGAATGGCAAACTAAATCAACCCACATCGGGAAAAATCGAATACGGTTTTGCTATAGGTACCTCATCTACATATGGCGGTTGCACCAAATTTGGATGTATTATTCCCATTATTTCCAGGGTTTCTTGTCACGACATCAACAAGCATCAAGCACGCGATCCAGTCTAATCACCAAATTAAACAGTCTTGACCACTTTGGGGGAACTCCCCAGCCTCTAATACCAACGACAGCGAAGCTCTTGTCAGTCTCTTTTGCGACGCTTTATTGTTCTGCGTAGTTCGATGACAGTAATTATTCCATATGAATCGATTCATATGATGAGAGTTTGCTCAACTTATGAACCACATCCTCCCAATGCTCAAGACATACCCGAAAGACGAAGACTTAAAGGGGTGCCAGCTCAATCGGTGTTGCCAGTGTCTTCTACAGACAACCTGCTAGATGCGGGGAACATATTTCATGGTCTTGAGAGACTAAGCACAGAATTGGCTTTTCGGCCAGGGAGAGCCGAAATTACGGAGCCTCAAGATGCAAGCAGACCACGCGAGATCTTGGACCATGCATGGCGCCCTGTAGCCTTAGACCGCATCAGGTATAGATCTCGGGTAAAATCGAATACGGCGTTCATGTCAAAGTATATAACCGTTCGACCAAACTGCTGGGTCTTCCCACAATAGGCAAACCAAGTGAGCGCCAGACGAAGGTACCATTGTTGTCATTACGTTTACTTATTCGACGATGGCCGAAGCAACTTCAAGCAAGAGTCACCCTGCTCCTGAACAGAGTAGATCCTCTGCTTCAGAGCATGGCCACGAGACAAAGTCCTCGGCGGTTGTCGTATCAACTACTGTCCCAGAGGTTGAACCTGATGCCAAGTCCAGCTCAAAATGGCGTCGATTTGCAAGCTTCTTCTGGGACTCGATTGACGGCGACCCAGAGTATCGCAGCTACGTTAGACGACTAGATATGATCTTCTTGTGAGTTGGGGTCATTCTCACTTTAGCGTGTTGGATTTCGAGACCACTTTACTAACTACTGGTCAATAGTCCAACTGTTCTCCTCGGATACTTTATTAAATACTTGGATCAGACAAACTACAGTAAGCTAGCAAATTTCCACCCGAGAGCGGGAAGTGTTCTGACATATCTGCATACAGGCAACGCATTCGTCAGCGGAATGCAGGAAGATCTTCAGTTATATGGAAACGAGCGCAACTGGCTTAATACATGGTTTAGTCTAGGCATCATGGTTGGGGCCGTGCCAGCACAGATGACATCTCTGAGCGTTGTCCGACCCTCGATCCTAATTCCGGTTTGCGAGGTGATTTGGTCAGCCTTGGCAATTGGTATGGGTTTCACTCATAGCATCAAAGTGGTAAGTATCCTACTCAAGTGAACACTGTCAGCTTCGTGGGTGCTAACTCAGATTGATACAAAGATGTATGCTTTGCGATTTTTGACAGGATTGGCTGAAGCTTGTGCATTCCCGGGCTACATCGCTATGCTGGGAAGCTGGTATGGTCCCAAGGAGCTCACCAAGCGACTGGCCATCCTCCTCGAGGTTGAGTCAATAGCCAGCATGTTCAGTGGCTATCTCCAGGCTGGCTTATACACTAGTATGAACGGGCGTTCAGGCCTAGCAGGCTGGCGATGGCTGTTCATTATGGATGGAATCATCTCTCTGCCAATTGCGTTTTGGGGATTCTTCGGCTTGCCTGACCACCCTCACAACACCAAAGCATTCTACTGGTCGAAAAAGGTATTTTTATCTCGTTTACTTTTCCTGTAAATTTTATGTTAGTTACTAATGCATTTGGGCTTCCAGCATATTCAGTACGGTCTAGAAAGAATCGAGAAATTCGGGCAGACTCGTCAAATAAAACTGAACTGGTCAGAGGTCAAGCGCATCTACTTGGGATGGGAGATTTGGATGTTTGTCGTCCCCTATACGTAAGTTTTCAAATGCTTCGACCTTAATGAAATGGCGTGCGATATTGATATTTGAGCTAGAATGGTGGCCGCATGCCATACTTCCACAAGTTATTTCAATTTGTGGTTAAAGCATGAGGGATACAGTGTCGTCGAGACCAACTACCTGCCGACTGGTGGCAACGCGCTCGCAATTGTTGTAACAGTGGCTTGGGGCATGATTGCGGATCGCACGAAGCAATACTTCTGGTTGATTCTGGCTCTCCAGGTCTTAATGATCCTTGCTAATATTCTGCTATCTGTTTGGGATATCCCCAAGTCAGCCCTGATGTTTTCATACTACATTTCTTACGCCGGATCGGCTGCCACACCTGTTCTGATTGTGAGTTAATCAATCTTTCAGTGGATGAACAATGACGGCTGACCACAATTCCAGAGCTGGGCTTATGGTCTCAACGCTGGGGACAATAATAGAAGGCAGCTGCTAGTTGCCACCGCCAATGTCGTATCATACGCTTGGGTTCTGTGGGTGCCTCGTAAGTAGTATGAAGACCCCTAGAGCAAAGAAAAATTAATTAACCAACATAGTTGTCCTTTTCCCAACCTATGATGCACCAAAATACAAGTATGGGTATCAAATTCTCATCTTGTTTGGTGGCATCGCCATTATAAGCATAGTTTTGATGAGGTATCTCTATGAGAGGAAAGAGTCAGTTTGAAATCCTTTTATATGTTAGAACTTATTACTGACATGACCTTTAGACGAAATGAAGGCAAAATCGCTTCTTCACCTTCAACTGAGGTAGCTCCTCCGCAACCAAGCTTAAAGGAATCAGATCCATGAGAAGTTGTCATCATATGTTAGCTTAGACCTGTGGGGATAATACGTCACTCTTCATTAAGCGGAAGATGGTAAAGGCTATGGTTTTCTCTAGTGTGCTTTATTAGGGATCATGTAGGAGGACAAAATTTCGTAACTTCAGCCCGTAATCTTGCCAGCAAACCAACCCGAGGAAATAATCAGCTGAAACAAACATGTAAATAACAAGCGAACTAAGAGCGAGTATATTGGACCTAGATTAAAGATCTGTAGCAAGTATTCAGCCTCCAAGATCAAGATAAATCAACTCGTTGTTCATCTGGCAGTGATCAGATTTACGAGTCTGTCTGGTGAGGGAGCCTTGATCCTAAGAAGCTAATTTTGGAAATGCCGCTTGACGCACTGTCAACACATAATCCACTCGATAAAATCCCGCCCCCACTAGTATTGGAAAACACAGTCCGGCTGGAGGTCGGTCATGTGCCTGGTGTGCCACCCACATTGCCTGGGCTTGACTCCTCCCTCTAACTTGCCATTACAAACCCTCGACCCTCGAAGTCCTTTTGCGCCTCGATTTCCGAATCAGACTTGCTAATATCTCAACGTTGAACCTTACAACAAGCATGGATCAGTGGCAAGTGCGCGAAGCCGCGGCGGCTGAACTCGGCAAGGGGAAGCTACTCACCAAGCCGAACGGAGCACCCCTCGACGTCGAAAATGGCTACATCCCTCTATTGATAAATCTTACATTCGAAGACAAGGCAGCAAAAGGCTTACGGAAGCGAAGACCTGGTGACAAACGAGAGGCTGCGGTCTACTTCACGGCCCTGGAGGCTGTCCAGGACAATCGAACCCTGCTGCTCACCGGGCCAAGCGGGGCCGGAAAGACAACACTGGCCAAGCATATCTGCTTCAGTTTTGCAACGGGTTCCGCGTACAAATCGAAGCCGGTGATCCGGAACGAAGACGGAGAAGTGCACGAGGAGATATGGGATGGAAGCACAATCGTCCCATATCTTGTCACTATTGAGAGTCTAAAAGATTTGCATCGATTTACGGAGGAACTCCCTCATTCTCTCCAAGCATGGTCAGAGAGAGGTCCAGCAAGAGAAAATCAGGAGATCATATATGTATTGGATTCAATTGAAGCCTCGGGTGTGGGCGGCCTCGGTCTTCTGTCTTCAGTCGTCGACATGATAAGAGCTTCGTACGGGGCTCGTCTGCTTGTGTTGGGGCGACAAGAGGAACTTCACAACTGGATTCTACCGAGTGGCCTTGTCAGACAGCAACTGTTGCCTTTATTGCAGTCACAGAGGCTTCAGTCCATTTCTGGCTTCCAAGATGGCTTATCACCTTCACTCTCGTCCTTGGGTTCGGGAAGTGCAGCTGCATTGCCAGCCATATTTGCCATGTCATTGTCCTGTAATAGTGAAGGAGAGACAAATGAAGGGGTTTTGGATACGTGGATCGAAGCGTATATCAAATCCGCAGGTGGTCTTGAAGAGCTTCTCATGAACGCACATGATGCGTTCTATGGAAGATACAATGGAGCACTCTCCAGCGTGGTTCAACAGCCTTTCATGTCCTCTCGGGTGTTTCGAGATCTACTAGTTGCCAAACATTTGGCTTCAAAGCCGGATGCCGCACTACAAGTTCTTGGCCACGATTCTGTAACAGCACAGCCTATCGTCAAAAGCCTCCTTCATCGAATATCCAACCATCCCACGCGGAAATCGCTTATTGACAGCATGTTACATGCGGAGTCAGGGTTAACGTCCCTGCGCGTGGCCTTGCTCGCGGCAGACTTCGTAGATGTGCAAGAAAATACACAAGTTGTATCTGCCAGATCTAAATTACTTGAGATCCTCATGAAGGGCAGTTTATCTGTTCCAGAGCGTGTCATGGCTGGGCGCATTTTATCTCGGCTTGGTGATCCACGAGATCTCGAAGCGCTGGCAGTTATCCCAAAAGGCCGGAGCACTCACGGCTCAGCCAGCCACCCAAATTCAGCACCTCCGTATGAGCTCGAGTTAGATGAATTTAGAATTGGAATTTTCCCCGTCGTCAATGCCAATTATCTGAAATTCATCCAAGAGACGGGCCGGGCATGGGTAAGCCCTGATGGCAATGATGCTGAAACACAGAACGCACCAGCAACAGATGTCACATGGTACGATGCTCAAGCTTACTGTGTGTGGTTAACATCTCAGTGGCGAAAGTCTGGGAAAATTGGGCCAAGAGATGTGGTCCAGCTTCCAACAGAACCCCAATGGGAGCGGGCATGTAGAGGGAACCAAGTTGAGACATGCCCAGCAGAGATCATTTACCCTTGGGGGCCCATATGGGCAGCGGATGCATCCAATTGCGAAGATCTAGCTCTCAATAACAAGTGTGCAGTGGGTTTGTTTCCAAATAATCGCTCGCCATTTGGATGTTACGACATGACGGGTCAAGTCTGGGAATGGTGCACTACACTTTGGGGCCCTAACATGGCGACGCCCTCGTTTCAATATCCTTGGACTGTTGAAGACGGAAGGGAGGATATGAGACGTGAAGAGTCAATGCGTAGGGTATTGAGAGGAGGTTGCTTCTCCAGCGGGGAGTTGAAGGCGAACTGCACGTATAGGGGAAGTCTTGAACCAGCCGGGTTCTGGCGTGGTAATGGGTTTCGTATCATAGTCTCATCTGGTCCTACTCAATGACTTGGTTATATCCATCAATCGTAATATCCATAAGCCCAAATCTGAACAGTATTATTGTTCTTGTATCTGTTTATATGCAGTCCAAATGAAGCCATTCTGCTATAAAAAGAAACCCCACGTCCTTCTACTACCAGCCGAAAGAAGCCACATTCAATCATGCCCCGACAAAAGAAACTAGATCCCAAAAGATCAAAAATCAATCTTTGATATTTAGCATTTGACTCAACTTACATTATTTTCATGTACTTCAAAATATGCAATAACATTTGAAAACCCCCTCTCCTGTGGAGAGTTGAGGTGGATTCCCTCGTCTAGCCCTGTGCAAGGAATTGCTGACGACATGTCTAGCTCCAATCACGCCATCAGTCAGTTCTCAAGATCACCTTTTTCATGGTCATTTGGAGTATAAGTAGTTTTATAAAAGTCCGATCCTCAGACGGGGCGAGTAGAATTGTACAGACCTCATTCTAAGGCAATCTTACTTCTCGAATACATTCTCCACAATTTTGACCTGTTAGCATCTACCATCATGCCCATTCTTAAAAGCTTCAGCTTGCCTGACTCTGAGTCAGCTCTCCCGGTGGTCCAGGATAAGCCTCTCTTTGTTGTGTTTCTATCCCCTGACGACCCCGAGACCAAACAACCATGGTGCTCTGACGTCCGCGCAGCCTTGCCACTACTGAATCAGACATTCTCTGGACCTAGTAGCCCAGAGGCAGCCTACATCGAAGTTGGTCCCAGACCCGAGTAGGTTCAATTCTAGCTTCTCTTGATTTACCATTGGAGTCGGCTTCTAGGCAACCCGATACACTAACGCCAGTTGCGAAAACAGATATAAGAAGCCAGACAATTATTTTCGGACCAAGTGGAACATTCACAATATCCCAACGGTAGTTCGATATGAGTTACGAGACGGAAAGGTCCAGGAGATTGGAAGGCTTATCGAGAACGAGGTTATTGAAAATAATAACCTTCAGTCGCTTGTCTCTCGGTAAACATCAGTGGACTTCTGAAGTCATATGAGAACCGTCAAGCGTGTTCGTTGATTAATTCAAGTGTAAAAAAAGACGAAGTGACTTCGCTGGCTAGAGTTCCTAATATGCAATATAACCCATCAGGGGAAAAATTGAGTGGAGATAAGAGGATGAGATATTTTTCTCTTTTCCTCCACAAAAATATAAAGTTCTTCTTTTGAGGAAATACTATTTTTCCCTGTTCAAGGTTCACTATGGTTGAAATATCCCGAAAATTTTAAACTTAACGCTATGTTTTTACTTTCAGATAAGTCAGATCTAAAATATTCTAATACATTAAAGGGTCCTTTATCAATATTTAAAACTGTAACTTCGGTAAGACTATTGTATCTAAAGATATCTAGACAGACTACAATGTGTGTAAGACTGTACTCGGTTCGAAGTCTTCAAGGTCAGACCAAAAGGAATCAAACATATCGTTATGAACATATGAGATCCATAAATATTGAGAGATCTGGGACTTTATCTCATCTCGTTGCTGAGTTTGGTTACCGAGCAAGCTGGAGAACACATTCAGAAGTGCCGTCTTCACTTCTTTTCCTTCCCTAAACTCACTTCCTGTTGGTAGAAGCGCCACTGCGAGGAAAATCGACCACAGGAAAAAGTCGATAGGAAGAAGGGTCTGCAATGGAGAAAATGGGCACGTGTCGATTCTCTTCCGGGTCTCATCAGCCTCCGACTGGTCTGATTGAAAAACTTTAACGTGTTTTGCCATTTCAACGGCAGCGATGAATGCTTCAAGAAAGGAGCTGGAAACTGTCTTCCCAATGGATGTCGTTTGCGGGCGTTCCTTTAGTATAGTGAGGGCGTAGATGATGAGAGTTACCCTCAGAAGCTCATGAATTGCTTTCTGGAAAGGGCACCAGTCCATTTCATGCTGACTCTCGGCGGCCAATACAAGCTTATATTGTATACTAGTCAGTAGGCGTCTCATTTGTGCTATTTCGTGAAGTGACGAGTCATCTCCACCTGTGCTAGCACTGCCCGAATCGGTGTGAGGAGAAGTCGATTTTTTCGTTATCCAAAAGTGCGATATCTCGTCTAGGCCTCGGATACAAGTGGTCAAAGACAGATCAAAGTCAAATGTTTCGCATATTAGCGCAAGCTTTTCGCTCTGTAGCCCCTTTTGTGCGGTTGCGAAAGGACAGTCACCACCGGTTGATGGAAGGGGATACAGAGTCCGTCTGTCGTCTCGGTTGTGGCGATTCTCCATACTGCGCGCAGCTATATTAGAGATACACTCAATCCCCAAGCAGGAAAAGGTATTCATGCGAGAAACTAACCCGTATTTTTTATCAATGACTCCAACTGGTCCGCTGAAAAACGGGAGCTCTCCGGCATCCATGGAGCCATACAGGTCCGCCCTGCGACATGATCGGTTAGCCAAGCCCTCGCCTTTTCATAACAAGACCGCAACAAACACACCGGTAAATCTTTTGCATAACCAATGGTTCCGACGCAAATGAGTCTAAACCACCAGAAAGTTCCACCAAAGCCTTCAAACCCTTCATATGTGTCCTCCAGTGGCGGTGACGCCCAGGGCCCTGCTGCAACGGCGTTAATGGTTTCAATTAACGGTAATATATCAAGTTCAGACTCAATGTTTACCTCGAGCAACGAAATTCCGGAAATCACAGCGATAGTTCCTCTAGATATTGGGGTCTCGCCTTTGGTGAGGCGTTTGTTTACAATGCATATGACTTGTTGAAGATGATGCAACCCAAACGCCCCTACTTCGCCGGCTGCATATCCCTTCACATACGAGTCAGTACATGCGAGGAAAGAGTGCATGAGCGCAGCATCGTGAAAAGCTATAGGGAGCCAGTAGTTTTGAATCGGATTCCAACCGCCAACTTCCTCCAAAGAGTACATATACGTCCATAATTTGGTGGAGACTGCGAATGTCAATATCTCTGAGCTCCATTTTATCGCAAGGAAAAAGATAGAGGGTGGACAGGCTACGCACGGAGAGACAGAAGATCGAGCATGTAGGAGTCCAGAGGAATGCATGATGTGCCAAACGGATCCACTCCCGAAATCTGCTGCAAGTTTCCCTGTAAGGGCCCCTTCGGTGGCAGTTGGAAAGCTATCCCAGTGATCAGCTTATTTCTTAATTTCATTGTGATAAGTTCTGGGAAACTCACTGTCTGGGTCTTCTCGTCTCTTCCTAGCATGACTACGAATCTTGGACCGAGATGCAGCGTCTATCTGCCTTTTCTCCTTGGAGGTCTCGATAAACTGGAATAATGGCTCCACAACCTTCTTCCCAGCTAATGACGGCAGTAAGTCTACATTCTGTCAAATCACGAGCTTCAAGTGGGAGCTTACCAATTCTTGGGCGTCCTCGTTTCCACGGCCCGGGAACCTTGACGGGACCATTCTCATAGCTGAACGAATGCGCTTGCCAAGTAGCGGTATTGTTGGTACCTTGGGCAAGGGAGAAGACAATCTCTGTCGGAGCGGGCGCCATGGCAACTCCGCGTCTCAACAAACAAGCGTTTGACCGTGAAAGGACAGCAACTGCTAGAAATTCAATCGAATTTGGAAGTCATGCGAGGGCAGATGGTTAGAATTTGACTCCCTCGACGGCGACAAACCAGCAAAAGCATGATTTGCATAAGAACAGGGGACATTAACCGATCGATGGGTCCCAACGGCAAGATTACAAAGCACTCAAAGAGGAAACCAATACGAAATAAAGCGGCCAGAAGGGGGAAAGACTGGTTTTGTAGTGCCCACATTAACTTGCCAAGCCAATGGACTCCTTGTTGTTGACAAGTGTCGCGTCTGATCATCGTGGAACTCCGACAGATGTTCTACGTTAAGCCCCAAATCGGCAGTCATTGCCGGCAAATTCGGTCAAAAGAGGACAAAATGAATCACGAAAGACATGTCTCTACACAAATAACTATAGCAGTGCCTTGAGGGCAACATGTGTATAAATATGGGCTGAGAGCCGGCCTCTGATGGCGTGTACCCTGTCGGTTCATCTTCAATACTTCAAACTGCGCTCCCATTTTTCCACAATACAAATCAACGCTATGCCTTCTTACAACGACGAGACAACCACCGAGGAGGTTGCAGCGGACCTCCAGGCGCAAATTATCGGCAAGACTATCTTCCTAACCGGCGCAAGTCCGAAGAGTCTCGGCGCGGTCTTTGCGATTGGCATCGCGCAGTACCAACCAGCATGTTTCATCCTAGCCGGCCGCGATCTTGCCAAGTGTGAGGAAACAGCACAGGCAATCAAAGCGAAGAACCCATCCATCAGAACCCACAACGTACATCTGGACCTCGAGTCGCTGGGTCAGGTCCGACAGGCGGCTGAGAAAATCCGCTCCCTCGATGAGAAGATTGATATAATCGTTAACAGTGCCGCCATCATGGCGGCTCCATACTCTAAGACCGTCGATGGCATCGAGAGTACATTTGCAATCAACTATCTTGGGAACTTCGTCCTCACAAACCTCCTTTTACCGGATATGCTCGCTAGGGGCCTGCCCATCCGAGTTGTCAATATCTCCAGCGAAGGCTGTCGCTTCAGCCCGGTACGATTTGGGGACCTGGACTTTGGTGTAAGTAAAGGCCAGCTCAAGCATCCTCGAGACTCAGCTGCTCATTTCAGTCCGATATAGGAAGGCAAGAACTACAACCGATGGCTCTCGTACGGGCAATCCAAGTCGGCGCTGATGCTGTATACCAAAGCGTTGGCAGATAAACTCGGCCACCGGAACTTGACCGCCGTCAGCCTTCATCCAGGTGTGATCATGGACACCCATCTGGCCAGATACATGGCTGATGGGGATGCTCAGGAATTGGGTACGTTGCTGTCCAACCCCCAGATGGGGGCCAACATGGTGGGAGACTAATCGCACTCGATCCTACAGATCAACTCGACCACCAGCAGGGTCATTCCAAGTACTGGATTTGGCCCAAGTTCCAGACACCATCCCAAGGTGCATCGACTTATGTGTTTGGTGCGTTCTCGCCCGACCTGAAGGATCAAAATGGCGCGTATCTCGCCAACAGTGCAGTGGTAGACATTAAGGAGGTGTACTGCTGGACCAGGGATGTCGTGGACGCAGATCGTCTGTGGGCATTGAGTGAAAAGCTCACAGGTCAACAATTCGTGTTTGATTAGGTATCCAGAGAACAATCATTGGGTGCTTCGATGAAGTCGCACCTGTTGATAGTTATTGCAGCGGGATATATCTGACGTCACTATCTCATCGTGGGAATTTTGTACCAAGGGGCCATGTACATCTATAAGTGCTTACTTGCCTACCTATGTATTGTAAGTACCTAAGTACATATCTTTTTTGTGTGGCCATTTCGTGCGTTTGGGATGGAAGCCTAGTAGTCAGCCTGTCAGACTGCACGTGAGAGTTCTACCCAAGGCTTAACAAGTAATTCTTTGGGCAGAGATAGGGCAGACAGAAACCAAAAAAAAACATGTAAAAAGGCGTGATTGTCCTGTCTCTCCCCCATATTGAACCTTCTCTGTCGGCAGCCGTGTCTTATACGTGCGAGCCAATTAATGTCTTTATCAAAGTATGTATCTATGTCTTTACTATGATTGCAGTTCTCCTGCGAGGCCAACATATCAATGCTAACACCCATTTCGCCATACCAAGTTATATCAAGCATAACGGCCAGACTATCCGACAAGGCTTCAATCCCGAAATTTTCGATACGCATCCTTGTGCCCGAATCTATTCTGGACTCTCTTGGATCAAAGCTAGCAAAGCAGGCTGACAACCCGGGGGATATTGATGATTTTCTCGATTCACTTCCAGAACTAAGTCCTAGGCTGGAAAGGCTGCGCCTGCTAGGGATTGACAAGGCGCAACGAGAGCGGAATATCATTCTGGGAATACTGATTAGGTCTGTCGAGAAGTCATTAGCAGCCAAACCGGACGATAGTACCAGGAAATGGATGTTAGAGCTGGCTGGATTCAACTACAGTAAGAATCACAACGCAGAGTTCATTGCCACTTTACTTCTAGATCACGCCATCGAACGGCCCTGGATCATAGAAACTCCATTCATGGACAATGTTTCCCACATACTGAGAACCCAAGACACCACAAAGCCGAAATCTCTTTCTTCAGGCCTCTGCATCTCTCACACTGACTGTTGTGAGCTTTTCACCCTCGTCCAGCGACATGGCTTGGAAAGATCCAACCATTCAGGGCCAATACCGAAGCCTCTCGGGTGGGCGACAGTAACGCTTCCCCACATACCAGGAAAATCGTGGAATGAGAGTCTTGTGTTCGAAATAGACTCTCATCTCGGAATTGCTGGTGTTATCCCTCTTTCAGTGCGCCAAATGCTTCCTGCAGTCCCTGGCGCGGGACAGAGCTTGAGTTCCATGAACATAACGGGCTTCAAGCAAACTTTTCTCCGGGAATTTCAAGCCCATGTCAATTTCGAACCTCTGCCGGATTCCTACAGGAGCTACAGGGCGCGAGTATCATTCCAATCTGAGGATGGGTCGATTGGCCCAATGGTAAAACGCATCTCTCAAATGATTGACCAGTTAGAGAGCGCAATAAAGCTGTGCCAAGCGAATGGTAAATGCCTTCTCGGCATTCCCTTCCTTATACGAGCAGAATCGTCGTCAGAGAATGATGTATTATCATTGGAAACACTTTCCATTACAGACACTACGCTGTTTTTTCAATCCTTCAAAAAATTTGCAAAAGCGTTGCGGTGGCAAGAAACGCAACAGATAGCAAACAATATAACAACTGCAAGTCGCCTGGTCCTGGGCGCCGAGGCCGCCTTGTCGCTGTTCGGTCTTTTGATCCCAGGCGCTGTAGTTGTCGCAAGCGTCGCGGGTATCGCCAGTGCTGCAAGTACGGTTACAGCTCTCATGCGAGATAGGATCTCGGAACATGACGATGCTGTCAAATATATATCTCGGTCCCTGAAGGCCATTTTTCGTGTAATTGGGCTGGACTTTGTTGACATGGAGGAATCCGTGCCTGTGATCCTGCACTACTGTTCCCTAGCTGTCCAGTACCTCAGCCTTGCTGTACAGTTTTCTGTGCGTGGATTTGCGTCACCGATGGAATTCAGTTTTCTAGAAAACGATGTAGGTGAGTTTATCCTCGAAGGTGCAAACTCTGGCCCGAAAATCTTCGTCACCCCGCAACCGTTGACCTGTCTCGGCGACATGCTTGGACAAGATGTGTGGGCTTTCGGAACATATGTGCCTATTCAATTGTCCAAGATGGATCTAGTGGCCTGCGTTGGTGACGTACTATCTGTCTGGGGACCTGGACAATTGGAGCTCGGTCCCGAAGGGTTACTAGATGGTGAGGATCCAAGCTCTTACTGCATCAGCAAAGTATTTATCGGCGGAGGAACACTCCGACCACACTCAGCATCTGGATCTCTCCCATCATGGCACTGGGAATTCGATGATATTCATGGCACTCCTCTCTCGTCAAATGTGATGTATGAGGGCCCTGTTGGCCTCCGTACCAAGATCAGGATTGGTGTCTCTAATGCCGTACCTCCCCCACAAGTCTCCCTCCATCCTACCACCTCGTTACCTACAATCACATATCCCTTGTCGTTTACTCCGATTGGCGCTAGCCACGAGAATGGCTTGTGTCCCCACTCCAACTGGCAATTCGACAGACAAAGGAGAGGGATTATGATGACACACCTTAAGGATATCGGCACCCACGAAGGGTACAACCACCTCGCCGGTCATGAAATGACCTTCCAAGCCGGCCAATACTTCGCGCTCCACAGAAGTTTAAGGTGGGAAAGAAGGCAAGGTTCAGGCGTGAAAACCTCACTCCTAGAGGAAACACAGACTCTGTCTGACCTCATTAGGATGCTTGATAAGAATTGTGGCTTGTTCGTCAGTAGTTGTACAAGGGTGATGGCTCGTGCAAGACTGCGAGATGTAGTTGCTTTCGCTGGCCCACTGCTCTATCCAGAGTTATTTCCCATCCTTGGAGGTCTCAGTTTACGAGATTCAAGAATGGAGCTCGCCCGCGCTCTACAGAGCAGAGATAACTTGTTGGACTGGGCCGAGAGCCGACACGATGACCAAGGCGAGATCCTGACAAACTCGATCACATTCAAGCACCTTATCTTGAGAGTTCTCGGAAGACTAAAATCCACGGGGGTCATGCCAACCAACGCTTTCGAGGTTGCTTGGTTGTCTCCCGGCCTACCACCTAAGGCGACACGAGCGTCCTGCGCAAGCAATCCATGGCTCTACCTATTCAGGGATGGGGAATTTATGGCAACTTTCGCCTGCGTCACGCCTGTGTGTCTTGTAACGCAGTTCCACACATGCACTAGTCAGCCCGACGAACCTCCCCGGTGCAGCTTATCCGTAGGGCTATCAAAATTCGCCTTATCAACCCGTGTCCTACCTTACCAAGATCTACCAAGCGAAACTACAGGGCTATCACAAGGTACGCCGCACTACACAACGTTGAGATGCGGCGAGAAATACCTTCTCAACTTAGCAACCGCAGAGATCACTGCGAAGGTGGAAGAGTTGATTACCGACCGGGCGTACAGAATCAAAGTGGAGGAGGAAAGAGTTATCTCAAGACTTGTGAAGCGACTTGTCGCTAGGCGAGAGGTGCGATTCATACGAGAATCCAATGAAGATCTGGCTTTTCCTTGTTTAATCAGTGGCTGACGCTGAGGCTCAAGGGCCTCTCTCTGCGGGACATAAAGCATGATGCCGCAGAAGCGGAATCCCATGCTCTTGGAGCGTATCCGCGATCCTGATAGCACTACTGTTGGTTGAGCCGCGAGCCAGCTCGGCGTGATGCACACAGCTACGTCAACCGGCGTCGATCAGGCCTACATCTACAATCTCCTCTCGGGACAGTGTGCTGAAACGGCGGGTGCCATTGGGTTTCTTCGCGAGATCGTTTCCACCATGGAAATCGATGAGCCGGCAATGCGTTTATCTGCGGGCAAGCACTGGTCCACTACCAGTGCTCTACCAGACGCTCTCGTTGTGTCGTGCAATCTAAGTTTTCACGAAGCCCACGAGAAGGTCGCTCAGCTCGTCGCCGCCCATGAGAAGGCTGGTGTACGCGACGGCAAGCTTTGTGATGACCTAGTCAATAAGATGCCGTTCGGCATACCAACATCCCAGATCAGGCGGAGCCTCGACCCTGGCGAGTTCGTGGCCACTATGATCAGTCCCAAGGGCACATCTCCTGCCGCACGAGAGGAACTCGCCCTCGCCGCTGAGAAGAACATACAAGATATGAAGGGGGAGCTTGCGCGACGGATTCGTCATGTTGACCGGGGAATCGAACAGTTACTCCAAGAAGCAAAAGCAATCACAATGTGTGTTTGACAGGTGTGCGCGTGCAATATTGAATTGTCAGCCAACTTCTCGTGACAAGACATGTTTACGTTGGTGTAATGTTAAGGATTACAAGCCTGAGGTCCAAGGTTTTACTACCTACTAGCAGGAAGGCCTTTTCTTTCCTGTCTGTGTTTTTTTTTTATTTCTTGATTGACAAACCTTTTTGCTCACTACTCCCGCATCTCGTAAGAGATTAATAGTTCACATGAGCTCCTTTACTATGTAGGTAAGCAACGCCCTAGAAAAGGAAACTTTAGAATGAGAACGGAGGACTGAAGTGGATAGAGCACCGACGTCACTCTTGGTTATGTTGTTGGTCATGTTTCTCATGCGGACATTTTGTAGTCTATCGCTTTCACCTATGGCAGAATTGGGTCGGTTTCGACATTTTTTTCAGTGTTTTTGATGACTTAGGGTAATGCAATCGGGTTGCACTTCTGACAGCGAGATATATTACATGAAAGCTCGGTCCTCTCCTTCCCGGTTGTGTGATTGATGCTGTCGTTATCATGCTAATGGCATCAACACAAGCCACTTACCATGTGATACATGCAATAACAAGGCAATGATAAGTTAAGATTCCCGGCAACATAAGTAAAGGAATGCAACATGCTAGACCTTCTTCCAAGCTCTGTCAATCAACTCCTTGGCCGTCAGGGGCTTGATATCCGGAAACTTGTCGTTGAGAGTCGTTCCAACTTCATAGTTGAACACTCCTGTCGCGTACCAAATATTGAACGAAATCAAGATTTTCTGCAAAACCTCCTTGGGGATCTGACTGTAGGTTGCCGTCTGGCCTGGAAGCTCCGTCAAATGCCCCTGTTTCAAGTTTTCCAGGCTGTCATATGTGACCGAGAATTTTTTGCCTGTCATCAAAGTCAGTCAAGTTCGGAAGTTGGGAAGATAGTACGGCCTGACCTTTGGCCTCTTCGGCATATGAAAGCAGTTGGTTGAAAGTAACCTTATCGCTTGCAATGTAATGAATGGGTTCCCACTTCTCTAGGTCAAGGCTGGCGGCTACATATTTGCCCACATCAGAGGTATGGGTCATTATGACAGGCGTGTTTCCGTCGCCGGGGATGGCCGCAGTGTCATTGGCGATGTCGATGGCCATAGTGAAGGGGGCCAGCGGTGATTTGACGCCGGGCATTCCCCAGAAGTCCATGAACTGTCCATTGAGAATGCGAGTGGTCTCGAGATCTTTCGCAGCTTTGAGCGCCTCTAGCGCTTTCTGTTTGAAGATATCAGAGGGAAGCTGCTCAGCGTGCCTAGATGACTTAAATTAGATATCTTAGGCACAAAATGCGGAAAACGAATGATTTAACATAACTTACGCTTCAGCATGAGGATGTCCATAGTGGCTTGAGATCATTCTTTTAGTTGTCTTGGAGAGATCTGCGGCCTGTATAAGCTGAATTTCCTTGGGATCAACGCCTCCTTTAGGCATCATCTTGATAGCAGATATGACGGTGTCGACATTGTTCTGCTCAAGGGTCTCGGTAACCGCCTTGATATTATCATAGTCGACACTGATGATTGGAACTCCAAGTTCCTTTTCCAAATCTGGATTGGGCTGTAAATGGTAAGCCACTGTAGGCAGAAAAAGAGGAAAGTGTTGCCAACCTTTCGAGAGAAGACCAAGGTCTTGTGCTTCTTAGAAGCGATGAGAGCCTCGACAATAGTGCGGCCTATGTTTCCGGTTCCACCGGCGACTGCTACGACACCCATCTTTAGTGAAGGATAAGAGTAAGAGTAAACGTTGTTGTAGACTGTGAGGATCTGGATGTGATAAGTGGAAGGAATTTGCGGTCAACTGCGACCAGACGGGGGATATATATACCAAAAAGATGTGCGGACTTTTTGCGGACTTTCAAAACGCAGTAACTTCAATGAATCAAGCCATTAGTTACCTCTTAAACTCCTAGATAAGTGTGCCGTAGCTTCTCGTGACAGTTTAGATCATGATCGAGTGACCAATTCCGAGTCCCCACATCCATGCAGCCGTCGTAAATCCTGTCGTGTTAGGGTGAAACTAAGTAAGAGGTCATCTCCCCCACATCAAGCTGATGCTCTGTAAGCCATGATTTCTAATTTCAATACAAGCTTTAACGGAATCTCGGCAATTCATTGCCACAAATACCATGTCAGATCTGGGCTTAGGGAACCTTATTGAAGTTTTACTGGAGTCTGGGGCCTGGCGTCGGAAAAACAATATCGCACAGTTCGTTGATCTCGTGACATTTGGATATGCCTTGCATCTGAAACATGCCATACATTAACAGAGCAATGTACTCGATCCGGAGATAAATAAGAGTCATGTAGTGGGAGTCTGTTGATATAGAGGCCAGAAGGCATCATGTCAAATGCGTGAATGGCGTTGACTTACATCAGAGAAGGAGGTTACGTTCCCACGAAGCTCTTCGAGACTTGCGACCAGAATAGCCAGCAGCATCGCCACTCTAACAATTACCGGCCTCACCAAGATAACGTAGAGCTTTGCAATAGTAAGCGACGGCATTCTGATGATGATCACTCTGAAAGGGGTTTTGGCCAATGCATTACGTTGACAGGGCTCGACTTATTGCTCCGAGACTTGGAGCGGCAGGTCGAAGCATAATTTGGTCTACATATAGCCCCCCAAGTTTCCTTTGGTGAGAACTGCCATGCTTGAAAATGAAGATGTTCGAGCTCATTTTCGAAGTGACGCTCGATGCCTAATTCCACAATAGAGGGAGAGGGTTGGACCACTGGATTTAAGAGTAACGTATTCAGACGGCATTTCCGGCACTGGTTTTTGCGTGGCTTTCCATACTATTCCGACATGGCTCTGCTGGTGAGCAGGAATTGGGATCCGGTGAACAGGAAGGATGTCCGAGGCGGATTGCAGGTGACAGTAATCAGCTTGGTCGATGAGTAATTGGATGTGGATACTGGCTGAGTCGCTTTTACGACGTCTGCATGGAGCCAATCATGATGAGTAGCTGTCTCCACACAGTGACATTTCTAGAGGATCAATCTGGAACCAATCAGATGAAGACCATGTCTACCGAGTGGGGATCAATCCGAGCCTCCCAGACGCGTCAAGTCTGTGTGTTGTCAACAAAAGGTTCGCCCGCGCAAGGTGAATATTGATACTCGTCCATTAATAAGGCTCTTTTGAAATTCTCTCCGAAGAAGTAGTATCCTGATAGCTACTGTTGTAATCATTATGTCTGTCCTCTTTCTATTGCTGAAAAGGTCATTTCGTAAGGTGTTTTTTGCTATGTGAGATTTGATATTTGTTTCCCACATGTACCTTTACGCCACCCACCTTGTGTCTTCAATCCCACGCATCATTATTCAAAAGGCTCTTTGATCAAATGAAAGATAAATCTACGAGTAAAATATAACCAGAATCGACAATAAATAGACCCGAAAAACAACGATCGGCGCATTTAAATAGTTTGGTTGAACGCAATATTTCTGGTATAGGGTAGGGGCGGCAATGAACTTGAACCTTCAAAAGGAGGTCTGTGCGGCCTTCAGGAGACGCGGAAATGGTGTTGTTTATCTTGTTTCTTCAATGCAGCAAGCGATTGAGTCGTCACGGGGGCAGCAACCCTCTATTTGATTGAAGTACACGGAAAATAAGAGTAACTATCATGGCCTCTCAAACCTGCCGTGAGCAGGTCATGTGCGCACCTGAGAGTCTCGTCAAAGCAGTCCTACTGGCTTTATGTGAAGACAAGAATGTGGAGAAAATCGCCCTCGCGCGCCTCGACGCGCTGACGAAATCGAGCGGTGCTTTGCAAGGTCCAGCTCGTAAGCGAAAGGCCACCAACGACCTCGCCGTCTGTGCTCAGTGCGACAAACCATTTTACAAAGATGATAACCAACCCAAAGACTGCTTGTACCATCCTGGTTCGTACCGCATTCATCTTCTCTTGCTCTCCTCTCTTAACCCCTGGAAAGTCTGCACACTATGGATATGGCTGACGCGAGCAGGCGAATCCGAAGTGGATCGAGGGCACCATGTCTGGGATGACCATGATGAGGATTGTCACGGCGAAATCGACTCTGACTATATGCGAAAAGAGCATCCCGAAGGCTACATATGGTCATGCTGCGATAAGAATGGCAAAGAGTCCGCCGGTTGTACTCGAGGCTACCATGAAAGTGATCCAGCCAAGGCATGGAAAGAGGCAAGTGAGATCGATACTGACGAGGAGGACAGTGAGGAGGACAGTGAGGACTATGACGATTAGAACTGAGAGGCGATAGCAATACTCAGTCAATGAAAGCGGTTTACACTCCGAGACTGAGAAGTGTAGTTTATTTGCCGTCCAACCCGAGGGGACTAGGAGCTGCCAGTCCCAAGAGAATTGATCACGAATTTCAGGCTCTGAATTTCATTGAAGAAGCTTTTGGGCTAGGAGCTGTGCCATCTGCACTAAATGAAATCACTGGAGGAGATATTGTATTGTAAAGATCTATGGCAAAGACCTTCTGCAACTGAATGGTAAGGTTAAAACTTGGAATATTTCGACTCCCCAGTGTACGCTCCTGCCTCAATATCAGCAATAAGCCCGCGTTGTGTTGGAACCCAACTCAGTTCCTTCCTTGTTTTCTCACTAGAGACTATATTGTCTGCGGCTAACGCATGACCGACGAAACCAAGAAGATCAATCACCTCTTCTTTGGTCTTGCTGACCGCCGGCACTCCAAACTTCTTGCCAATCGCCTCTGCAATTTCCCTAGTCTGGATTGCTTCTTCCGCAACAGAGTGATACACAGCACCTGCCTTCCCGGACTCAAATGCGAGTCTGTAAAGTCTAGCGGTATCAAGGCGATGGACAGCAGGCCAATGATTCGACCCTTCAGCAATGTAGGGTGCATATCCAATTTCCCTTGCTTTGGAAGCTATTATGTTGATAAACCCACGATCCCCTTCTCCATGGTTGGTCGGAGCTAGTCGCAGAACTTGAGCGCGAACACCCTTCTCGGCGAAGCTCAATACCAGCTTGTCAGATTGAGCTCGGTGAGAGAATTGAGGGTTTGACATATCGGGCATGTCGGCTTCCGTGGCTTTTGCAGCGTGCGATACAATGAGAGTCCCGGAAGCATTGATGAAAGGCTTTCCGGAATGTTCGAGAGCCTCTCCTACAGCAGTTACGACCTTGCGGTCATCTTCCCAAACACGAAGGAAGTCCGTTGCCAACTCATCATGCTTGAAGCCAAGATGGATGACTCCATCAGATGATGCGATGCATTGTCTGAGAATGTCCAGGTCGTCCAGAGTGCCGCGTTGGACTTCAGCACCTAGATTTCGGAGTTTCTCGGCGCTTTCTTCAGTCCGGGCGAGCCCAAGGACCTGATGACCGTGGCCGAGAAATTCCTTTACCACAGCTTGGCCAATGAAGCCGGATGCTCCAGTGATAAAGGCCTTCATAATGAGATGAACTGTAGTTGATAGACCGTACGAGGAATTTGGTGTGCTGTTGGTATGATTATGTTGGATTTGGTTGATGCTGGACCGGACATGGAGTTATTTGGTCCCCTATTTATACTTTGTTTGGGCCACTGAATGAATATGTCCAACATAGCGTTTTCTGCCATCATGGTATTGAAGTTATATGATCTTGGTCACGATCTTCACAATAGGCGAGCACGGGTTAGCTTGACCCTCATCTGGAGTTTATTTCGATAATTTGGGGGGCCATTGCGGAGGCCCAACCATAACCAGATATAGAACTACCAATCAGGTAACAATTAACAAGCGAAAGTTGGTTAGCTTAACAATAAGCGAGGGTAGGTTTGGCCGTGTTGGCTTCCGGAGATATCAGAGATCTCCACCCCTAACACCGCTCCGGGCAGTCCCTTGGCAACTGTCTTTTCTTCGTCTCAAATCCAATACTTGCGACAGGCAGAAAATTCTTGATCCGATTCTGAAAGCGAGGTCGGGTTAGCGGCTATTCACCCTTGTCTGTATACTTCTTGAAAATGAGATCTACCAACACTGATGCGCGGACACTGACGCGGAAAACACGGCTTATCCGGAGATCACGAAAAGGCTGTGGAAACTGCAAACTGCGAAAAATCAAGGTATTTCTCCAGGCGCGTTATTAATTGAGAGATAGAAGCTAAGTCATGAAGTGCGATCAAGCCAAACCTCACTGCCAGCCCTGCTTGTCCTATGGCGTGGTATGCAATTATGGCAAGGATGCCATGGACTTAATGTTACCGAAGGAGTCACAACATCTCTGGTTGGCAGAGGAAATCTCTCCGAGTGTGCCTTTGAAAAATCCGAGATCAACCGAAGCTGCTCTGAAGATTCATAATGTCCCATTTGAATTGGATGCCAGCTCGCTGAGACTTTTGAACCAACTTTACCACCAAATGAAACTGACGTCTATTTTCCCGGTGGCAGATATATTCCATTTAGCACAAGGGGTATGTTCTATAAACTATTCCCTTTGTAAAAACTTGGCTGACTCTACCAGTACCCATTTTTGATGCACGCTGCACTGGCATTAAGCGGTGCTCATGACCGGTCTCTCTCCATGGCAATACGGAGTGGCCAAGGCCGAACTACGAGAGAGATGACCCATATATTTCAGTGTACAACTCTGCTCAATCGCACGTTGTGCCATGGAATTTCTCCCGCAGACCGCGATCCAATATGGGCTACTGCCTCGTTTTTGAGCATTCTATCTTTCTTGGCCCTTGACGAATGCGACCCTTCCAAGGCATGGCCCTTTAAACCCTCCGAGTCGGATGATATGAGTTGGCTCCGTCTGGGCGACACAAAATGGAAACTCTTCCAGCTCACCCAACCTACTCGACCGGACAGCATCTTCTACCCCATGTCGGACACCTACCAGAAGATGCGTGCATACAAATCTACTAGTAGCATTCACAGCATATTTCCAGAGCTCCAATTCTTATGCAGGCTGGATGAATACTCTCAACCTGAAACAAGCCCCTACTTTGAAGCTGCCGAAATCATCACCAGACTGGGCAAGTGGCCAGATTGTGAGATTCCATTTACCGAAGCGATGGCGTTCATTATTTACACCAGCCCTTCTTTTAAAAGCCTTCTTTTAATGAAAGACCCCGTCGCATTAGTACTACTTGCATTGTGGTATAGGAAGGCGAGTAGGACCATCTGGTGGGTTGCCCTCCGGGCTGCCATTGAACTTGAGGCAATATGCATGTACCTACGACAATATCACGCTGATGACTTGGCTATCATGGGCTGTCTCCGTTATTGCCAAGGAAGGGCACCAGGGCTGGATTTGCTTTGTTAAGAAGTTTGCCGTTATTGACGCTAGCGGACATTCCATGTTATTTTACAATTAACGCATGCAACCCTCTAGTCATCTCGCGAAGTGAAACTAGCTACATGCACCAAGTTAGTTACGACATCATGAAATGCAGGGTTTAGGGACGCATCTGTGTAGAGAGACTGGGCTTATGGAGGTCACGTGAGGCTGGCTCACCGGTATTCCTTTTGACATCCACCTCTCAAATGATAATCGATTGGCTTAGCAATCAATGATCATTTGAACTCATGGCCACCACGCCGCTTCTCCGGCGCGCCCATCACCCCAATCGAAAGCGGCACAACATGCCGTCACTCACCCGATCAGAGAACGTCTGTAGCGGATGCAGGTCCAGGAAGAAGAAATGCGATGTAAGAAATACACCCTCAGGACTTGGCGCGATCTTTAGCTTAAAAGCCAGCCGCTAGGGCCAACGCCCTCAATGTTCGTCGTGTCTTCGCCGAGGCCACCCATGCCTCTATCGCACTGTCACAGGGGTGACATCATGGGATTCTTTTTCAGGGCCGGCGGAGACTTCTGGAACTCTTAATGTCGCAGCTGCCAATCTCGAAGATATGATGAGCTTGGAGCCGGATTCCTTCAACCTTTGGCCAATGCCTTTCCCAACCCTAGAACCCATCCAAGACCTTGATCTATCACTTGTGGCGAGTAAGTCTAAGCCATCAACTCACAATTGAACCTACCTAGTGGTCAATCGTGTCGACTAATCTCCTTGTTCACATGTTGCAGAGGAGGACCCTGCCTCACTTCCCCCTTGGAGTGTATTGTTGGAGTTGGTCTCCAATTTCTTTCAAAAGCTGTACGCTCATCTTCCAATCATACACAAAGGGCGGTTCATGCATGCGCTCGAAAGAGACGGAATAGACGGCTCTTCTCAAGCTCTCCTATATGCAATATGCTCCATCTCCGCAAAAACACACACGGACCCCGATGTTAGAGAACGTCGATCCCACTGGTATGAAGCAGCAAAAAAGCTCGTGAGTGAGTCTATAGCTGGCAAAAGCAAGGTCATCGAGAGTCTTCAAGCCGCAGCTCTTATTGTACAGCAATCATCGGAAATGATGGAGTTTTGCACCCCATGGCAGTTGCTCGGCCTTGCCTGGAGAAAGGCTGTTCTGACAGGTTGTGCGCGTCTTGATGGAAAAGCCCGTGTTCTGCCAAAAGATTTAGGTGTACTTGAGACGGACTCATGGATTGAGAAGGAAGAATGTCGAAGGACTCTCTGGACTCTTTTCATCTTTGATCGATGTCTTTGCACGACGGATTTGCCTCGGGCTATCGACAATCGGCATATCCTTGTCAATTTGCCCATGTCAGAGGATGAGTTCCAGGCGGATCATGAGCCACTGGACTCGAACTCGATTGGTTTCACTATCAATGTGGATGATCTGTGCTCCAGATTGCAGCGGCAGACACTCCAGCGCAGGAGGACCGTCTATCAATATCTTATTGTGGCACATCATCTTCTTGGGCGTGTCGGAGAGGAACTTTATCAACCTGACTTCGATTATAGCAAGGGTAGAGACACATTGCAGTCGTTTACGTCAAAGTTGGTCAAATTGAGGCTCTCAATTCCTCGGCATGCGATTGAACTGTCTGCAGCCGACCCTAGAGACTTCCCCATGGTTGTCTGGCTCAATGCCGTCATGGCAAACATTGCTCTCTTACTCCATCACCGGCCACTTCTCGAACACGAAGCCGATGAGCGACCAGGCGACCATTTTGAGAATTGGCCTCATTGTGTCGCTGCAGCGCGCAGCCTTGTTAACTGTCTCCGCGATATGTGTAGGACATCAGTGGACTTTGCTAGTAACACATTCCTTTTACCATTGGTATTTGTCTGTGCTAGGGTCCTACTGATTGAAAAGTGCATACCGTTCGGCCCGTATTGCGATCCAACATACATCTCTACTGTGAAGGATGACCTCGAGATACTGGCATTTGCCCTCCGCCATTTCAAAGAAGCTCTGGGGAAGCTGGGACGAAAATACTACAATGGGTTTATCTACTTTTCAAGATTCAATGAGGAGCAGTGTCGGGCTGCGAAGAGGGGTGTATTGTTAGATATGCTGAGGCCGTGTGATCACTGGCCCGATTACTCTGACGAAGAGGAAGCCTGTATTTCATGATAGAACTTCGTTCAATCTCCAGCCGCGCGACAGTCTTCCCAAGGCGTGTCCGGCATCTTTGATAGCTATTCTAACAGCTTACTCGCTCCCGCCGACAAGCATCCCGCCATCAGTAACAATCGTCGTCCCTGTCACAAAAGAATCTTTCAAGCAGTAGAGATACGCCTCTGCCACATCCTCAGGTGCTCCAACCTTACCCAGAAGATTAGCCTTGGCGGATTTCTCAAGCAGCGCACCGCGCACTTGTTCGGGTATATGCTCGAGGAACTCTGTCTCTACAATGCCGAGTTCGATCAAATTGACACGGATAGGCTTGAGGTCCATGGCAAAGCCACGGACAGCCCCTTCGATAGCACCGCCTAGACTTGAAATGATCGACCAGTTTGGATCGGGGCGCTTTGACTTGGACCCGCTCGAGAAAGTAAGAGAGCTGGACGAGTGGGAAACGACGTATTTTGGGAGGAGTTTGGCCAGAAAGATAGCGGAGTAGTATCTAACGGAGCTTGTCTGGTGGAGTTGGGCCAAGGTTATGTCCTTCAGCACAGGGAGATTGAGCGCATCTCCGGCTGTTAGTACCACGTGGTTGAGCTTGCCGTTTGTAGTGGCAAACTCGAGGAGTTCAGTGATGTTGCTCTCCAGTGTTTCGGGGTTGGAGAGATCACATGTTTTGCTGAATATCTTGTCCGATGGGAGGCCAACTTCTTTGGCGAAGGTTTGAAGCCTGGAAACAGCGTTGTCGAGCCTCGTTTGCTTGGAACTGCTGATATAGACCACTGCGCCATGCTCGACAGCGGCCTGGGCGACGGCAAAGCCTATTCCAGAGGACCCGCCGAGAATTAGAATACGTTTGCCTTGGAGCTTGTTGAGATACTTGAAGCCAGCCATGGTGAAGGACGTTTGTCTTTTCGCCTGTCGGATGATGGAAGGATATGGGGATAGGGTTGATGTTTTGGATTGTTTGAAGGTGCGTGTAAGGCTTAGGGGCATCGAAGTAAGATGTTCTCGACGTCTCTTTTATAATTCTGGATAACCCCTGTACTCAACTAAGAGCGATTCCAGATCAATTCATTCAAACCTTTGGATTTGTAATTGTACCCAGCTCGCCGACAGGCCAATGTTGCCTTCGCCGCTGTTGTCGGCGACAAGTGGCTCTTCTCACCGCGCCGCCGCCCCGTCTCCACTCTTTGCCGCCTCTCTCACGCCAGCCTTCCACAGGGATCTGCAGATGTTGTCGTTCAATATGCACTTCAGCTCCTCTAGTTGTAGGGAAACTTTTATACCGTCTTTACAATAGACTTATAGACTTATTGTGTTCAGATTCATGTTGAGAATCAAGACCAAGAGAGCTAAATAAACGGGTTAGTCTATCAAATGTAAACCCAATCTGTAATCTCCCGAAGAGTTGCACGTTAACCCACATCTCAGTCCTCCGCAGTATGCAAATTCGTCTTATCGAGATTCTCCTGATAAGCATTGACAACCGTGTTCTTGAAGTTCCTAGCCTTCACTTTATTCGTAAACAAAATGTCAAGCTCCTCAAAAGTACGGCCCTTCATCTCCGGCAACCTAAAGAAGACATACACAAAGCAAAGACTTCCGGTAAATGCAAAGATGAAGGCCGCCTTCCCTTTCAGATTTGCCTCCTTGGGGTTGAACAGGTAGGGCATGGCGGCGCCCCAGATAATGTTCAAGCCGTTAAATGTGTTTCTAGCCAGGGCGATGGTCTTGGCCCTGAGCCGAGTCGAGCCCACTTCCGAAACAATGGAGAAGGCCACCGAACCGACGGTGATGCTCGTGAAGAAGGGCCAAGTGATTAGCAAGACGGACTGCGCCCACATTGCACCGTCGGTGCTGCTCAGTGAAGAAAACCCGATACATAGCAGGAGAGTGACATTCGCCGTGATACCCATCATATAAATGGTCCTGCGCCCGAAATAGCTGAGCATCACCCAAGATAATGAAGTACCGGCCATAGCGATGATGCGATTGCCGATGTTGAAGTTGAAGGCCTGCTCCGTCGGCATGCCGATTTGCTCCAAGAAATAAACTTGATATGACGTCTATTCATTGATATGTTAGCCATATGTAGGATCACTAGAGGTTGGTATGCTAGTTTGGTCCATGATATCATGCACTTACAATTGGTAAACCGAAAAAAACCTGAGTTGCCCAGGCCATGCATGCAATTTCCGTTCGTCGCCTATCAGTGCCCCTGAAGCAATCAATGTACGATGTACCAGTCTCGATAGATTTTTCTAGCTGATTGGTATGTACCATCATGGCAATGGTGTCCTTCGTATCGACATTGCTATCTTTTGTGACGAGTCGCTTCAGAGCTGCTTCGGCCTCGTCTAACCTGTCCTGACGGACGAGCCACCAGGGCGATTCGGGGGCAAACAAGACAGAGATGAACAATGGCACAGGCCAGACCCATTGGATGGCAAAGGGGATCTTGTAGGCCCATTCGGAGTCTAACCCAGACACACCTCGCATAACACATGCGGCTATAAGTTGGCCGAAAATCCACGTTATGTTGATGTAAGAGGTAAGATACGCCCGCAAAGGCAAGGGACACACCTCCGAGGCATATGTAGCAGCGGTGATGCTGAACTGGCCCCAGCACAGCCCGCAGAGTATTTCGCCTGCTACAAGCACTCCTAGGGACGGGGCGAAGAAGGGTATGAAAATGAGGGCGGTGAGGAGGACGTAGCAATACAGGAGAATTTTGCGGTGGCCAACCTTCTCAGTTAGCCAGCCGTTCATCAGAACTCCAATGAAGATACCGATTGAACTGGAGTTCGTCACGGCACCTTGCCAGGATGCCGGAACTACGTATTCTCCGTTATAGAGAGTACCAAACTTCTTGTTGAACGCAGGCTGAGAAACGAGGGAAACTCAAGTTTAGCCTACGAGGACCCGTGGAATGTCACGCTAGAGGGAGTGCAAGACCTACAAGTCCGAGTAGAGCCCCCAGGAATCCTGTATCATAGCCATCCATAGTAGTGGCTAGAGAGATGACGACGGACCAGCCCGCGGCTTTGGGGTAAGCTTTCATGCCCTCCCACAGGGTCATTGACTTTTCGGCGTTGGCTGCGGTCTGTGCATCTCGAGCGAGCTGGGCATCGACCCCGATGTTGGTTCTCCCGCGAGACTGAGATTCGTCGCCTGGGTCATTGGCCTCGGACAGAATTGGTTCAGGACCCTTTGTCATTGTGTTAATTGGTCAAAGCACGAGAGGGTTGGGTGTAATCGATTCAAGATGTGAGGAACTGTGTCTGAAATGTGGTACTCTCATTCCAATTTATTACTCGGTGGCCTCCATCGTGAGTACTTGTATGATAATGATTACGTGTCGAATCAATTCACGCTATGACCACGAGCGTGAGGATAACCTGATTAGGAACTTTGGATCCCCGTGGGGAGGATGTCCGGGGCGATTAGGTGATTGCTCATGTAGCGGGAGGGGTTCAAAGTCCTTCCCATTACGACGTAGCATCAGAACACGAAGGTTAATGGTCGGATCTCGCTACGGGTTTTGGCGGGGGAGATTCCCCAGCGGGTCTCGATTCGCTCTCTACGCGCCCCCTGGGATTTGAGACTGTCGGATCTCGCTAAGCACACATCGTGTCGTAACATGCAGTGTCAAAGAAGGTCACACATTGCGATGCTGATCATACCTAAACATACAAAGATGGATTGATGCAAAAACTCGCGAATACCAATCTCCCTCCTGTCCTAGTTCTGCCTCAAGTCAAACAATCTGCCTCCTGGTATCCCGAATTACAAACGAAATATCCTAACAAGACGTGAACATAAGACATCATCATCATGGACAAGAATATCCTCCTCATCATTGCAGATGATTTGGGACGCAACCTCGGGGTCTGCGGCGAGTCCAAGGTCAAGACGCCAAACCTTGATGACTTGGCGGCCCAGGGGACCTACTTCGACATGGCCTTTGCCAGCACAGCGTCCTGCAGCGGAAGTCGTTCTGTCATCCAGTCCGGCCTCCATACTCACCAGACGGGTCAGTTGGGTCTCCTACGCGGCTTCCAGGGCCTTCATTACTTCACCACCTTTGACCATGTCGACACGTCGCCCAAGGTATTCAATGGCTTGGGCTACTTGACGGGCATCATCAACAAGGTCCACGTCGGGCCTGCTGAGTGCTACCCCTGGCGTGTCCGGGAAGAGAGCGACACGCGCGATGTCGCGTGGGCTGCAGAGCGGTCTGCTGCCTTCTTCGAGAGGGCGAAGGAGGAGAAGAAGCCGTTCTTCTTGACTGTCGGCTATATCGACCCCCATCGCGACTTGACGCGGGGTGGATTCGGTAACACGCAGGACTATAAAGGAGTCCAACACCTCAGCTATGATCCTAAAGACGTTACGATTCCGTTGTTCCTTAGCGATGTACCTGAGGTGAGGCAGGAATTATCAGAGTACTACAGCGCTGTCTGGAGGTTGGACCAGGGCGTGGGCATGCTGCTGAACGAGCTGTCCAAGGCCGGGCTGGATGATAACACCTTGGTCATGTTCACAAGCGACAATGGCCCGCCGTTTGTGAACTCTAAGAGCACGTTGTATGATGCGGGTGTCCGTCTCCCGATGATCATCAGAGTCCCAGGCGGAAGAACCGGGGTGGTCAACCCAAATCTTGTCTCTTTCATCGACATCCTGCCCACTTTCCTGGACTGGGCAGGGTATGAGAGCGTGAAAGGCAGCCGCAAGGGGCGATCAGTTCTGCCCATCATGAATGAGACAAAAGAGCTAGATGATTGGGGTCATGTGTTCGGCTCGCATACATTTCACGAGCTCACGGCGTATTATCCCACTCGCTACATGCGTACAAAGCGGTTCAAGTACCACCGCAATGTGGCTTGGCAGCTCGACTTCCCCTTTCCCGGAGATCTGTACGGCGCCCTATCGTGGGAAGGGATGCGAAATGCCGAGCCGGCAATGATTGGCAAGCGGCCTGTTGCCAAATACATCAAGAGAGGACCCGAGGAGCTTTTCGACCTCGAGGCTGATCCGGAAGAGGTGCGGAATCTGGCCAATGAACCCGAGTACAAAGAGCAACTTCTAGAGTGCAGGAAGGCGCTTGAGCAGTGGCAGCTGGATACAGAAGATCCATGGTATTTCCGGGATGGAATCTCGACAAGGGTCATCTTTAATCACATAGATGCTGGAATGAAAATGCCGGATAGATGGGACTTTGACGTGGAGAATCCAGGAAGTAAGGATGGCTCCAAGATGGCTCACTCTTTCCAGGAGGTTAGAGGCAGAGGCGCGATGGGCTATTAGGACCAGCCACCACCGAATTTGAATTCGGTGTTTCTTCCAACATATGTAGTGATACTGTGATGTTCAATTTATCAGGCCTATCTTGGGCCCTTGATCCAATATCTAACTTGTAGGGTCAGATTGATCACTGTCCGCTCTCTGGTCTATCCATAACCAGAGCCTCCCGGGGTCGCCAGGTGATTGTGTGCCACAGCTTAATGGGACAGACGCCAAGTCGGGAGCATGCATCTCCGGCAGGTTTTTCCTTATTTGCGCAATCGTAGATAGTTGGTTTGTGCGATGGTCTAGGGAGATGGACTCGGTAGGGAAGTTAAAGACGCCAACAAGATTGCCCGACTCAGATAGCGTGATAGTCGGATCCTGGTAGATTTTCACCTTGGCCTCATCGACCAAGCGCTCTGCAGCCAGGCACGCAGAGCGTACGGAAGGGTGATACTCGTGAAGTTCCCGTAAAAACTGTAGGTCGATATCAACTAGCGGTAAGATACTCTCCATTCTCAGAAGTCTTTCCTCTGGGGGTATGAAGTTTGTGAGATAGAGGAATTTGATAATAATGGCATTGTATGTTGAGAAGCCCACGGCTGGGTCTTCCATGGACTCGGGTTTCTGCTCTAGAGCTACCTTAAATATGGCGGACATGGCGCACGCATGATCAAACCATCCGCGCCGGCTATCTGACAGGAACTCAATAGAGGCCTTCCTGGATAGTCCTGTATGTGATCTTGCGGGGAAGAGCATACTGGGGATGGTGCATCGATATAGAAGGCAGTTTATCTGATGATACTGCACGTGCAGGGAGATGAGAGCCGAAAGCATTGATTGCTCCTTGCGTATTACAATGACGTCGTGATTGAACTGCAGCTCGGGCGGCAGCGAGTCCTTCCAGTGCTCCAAGTCGGCCAGGGGACCCATCAGCCTCCATGGATCTTCTTCATCTGCATGATCGTGAACATACCTCAGAATACGGTCGCGTATGAGAAATAGACGGACAAGGAATGCGTGTGTGTCTTGGTTCTCAATTGATATTGGAGCATCGCTGTTCGCCGTCGACTCGAAACATATAGGCACCTTTGCGGTGATGCGAGCCACCTTGTACAGAAAGTACCTATCATCACATGGAAGTTGTATCTGGATGGTGGTAGTGTCAATGGTCTGGAGATGGTTCAGACCACAGGCCACCATGGTGTCCATGATGTAACAAGCCCACATTAGCCGCCTCCTGGATTCTCGTTCTACTGGAGATAGAAGACCGTTGGTGGACATGACATCGTGGTCATACTCGAGGTTGAGGCTGAGGGCCTGCGTGTATCGAGATGCCAAGCCAGACAGGATGAAACAAAGCCGGTGCTCGTTGGTGCGTGCGGCATGCTCGTATAGGAGCACTATGCACATTAGTCTATGTATGCTGATGTCCTGGACTTCTGCGAGAACGAAACCCTGTGCGATGCGAGCCCACCTGCAACCGATCTCCCATAGCTCACGGTGTTTGATTGACTTGGTGGCAAGGGCGCACACGGAGAGCAAGAGTGGTTCCCGGCCATCCTCACAGTCTTGTACGTGTTGAAGGAAGATGTGTCGGTGAAGGAAGCCTAGACAGCGCAAGGGTGCAATCTCATCAAAGAAGGTTTTGCATAGATCTCGAGCGATGATCTTGTCAGGGAAGTCCACTGTCGTTTCTGAGGGTGATAGAAAGGAGAGGCGCGAGAGGCTTGAGGAAGCCTGTTTATTCTCGGCTATCGAATTCCCGGTATCACTGGGCGAGCTATCCTCGTCGTAGACGCAAGGTTGATTTTTCTTCAGGCATCTCTCACAAAGAGGCCGCTCCCCGTTACATCGCTTCTTAATCAACTTGCAAGAGACGCATGAGCGTTGAACACGTTGGCGCCTTGTCCCGGCCTGGGTGAGTCGTTGGTCATTGTTCTTTGCTGTGAAGGCCAGCCGTGAGCGAGTGGACTCGGACAGGCTTTCATTCCTCGATCGAAGGCATTGCAGGTCTGAGCGCGAGCACTGGGTACAGATAGTAGCAGCCTCGTCGCATTTGATCCTGCGGGCGCGACAGGTCAAGCAGCCCGTCCGAGTTCGTCGGCGTCTTGTGGGAGGCATTGTTTGATCAGCATGGGCCAGAGGTGCTAGATCTGCGGCCGCCTGGTAGCTTCTCCAACATCTCCCTCCTCCCCCGCTTCAGCCTGTCCGGTCATGTGTGCCTGCATCATCACGACATCTCCAGCGACTCTGACTTGTTCATGCCTCCAGAAGCGGGGCTCCAGCGCTGGGGAGGGGCATCTACTCTCTGACTTGAGGGGTTTTTCAATATCATGATAAAACTCATCAAAGCGATTTACTATTCCTGATACCACTTTTTATCTTTCCCCGGGCTTGTGATCAAGACTAATCCAGGTCGCTCTACGTGTAGCTTTGGCGGTTAAGCTCACCCGCTTGTTGTACCCCTGACTCGGCCGATTAAATTCATCTCCGTCTCTGGTAGTTCATCTCTTCGCGTGTTGACATCGAGCTCATATCGTACATAATATCATTAAATATCTTCCTCTATGCTAGGTACGCAAGTAGCTTTCTTGTCAACATTCCCCTTGTTTGTTTTCTCATGGCGAATGATCATGAATTCTACGAGTATGAGAGGAGCAGGCTATTATTAGCTAAAATCTTACAGAATCCTGGCGGTCCCGTAACCCTACAAGGCTAGGTAACCTCTCCACAACCCTCAGAATGGTGCTGTAAAGGGTGTCCTAGTCGCTGCTGATCCCTCCTGCTAATAATGAGCCATCTTGATGTGACGTCAGGGTTTTCCCCTACGCGAGGGACAGGAGTGAATGGCTCTTGCTTCCAGCAACTACTTAGCATTAATATTCCCAATTCAACTTGGTCACCACTCAAACATTTGGCACTTTACGGATTAAGATGTCTTCCAAAATGTCCGAAAAATCCTCAGGGGCCCTCAACAACACTGAGGATGCGGCTCCCCTTGGTCCTCCTACCTACGAAGAGGTTGACAGCACAGTTCCCGCGTACCATGACGAAGTGATTCCATCGTCCTCTTCTTCGCACAAACCTCTTCTCTTCCCGGTAGAATTCACTCTCAGCTACCGGCTAGGACGCTCCCTTTCGTTCCTCTACGAAACAAAAGATCAGCCCCTCTACGCCATTAGAACACCGCGTGTCGCTACTGGCTGGACTGAGATCGTGCTACTCAATGGCACCGACAAGCTCAGTGCCCCCTTGGCCTCAGCCAGTGTTGAGAAGGGCAGCAAGACGACGCGCACTAATCTCAGGCTCATGCCCCGGCCAAACGGATCCTACCAAGAACCTATCGATATTAGCATGTCTGGAAACTACAGCACGAGGCATCAATTTACCCTACCCACAGGCCCCGGAGGCGAGCAAGAGTCCTTTGAATGGCGCTCTAGCAAAGGCAGGCTGATCAAGGACCTCGTTGGTGGTTTCCAATTCGGCGCCAAGCTTGTGCGCCTAGGTGGCCCAACCATTGCCCCAGTGGGCAACGGTGGCTCTGATGATGGGGATGATAGGGAGATGGACGGGATCACTAGTGATGGAAAGTCTGTTGTCGCCATCTATGCTGGCGACCGCTGGCATTACAGCCAGTGTAAGTTTCGCTTCATCAATGAAGGCGCCAGGGGTCAGTTGGGTGAAGTTTTCGAGCTCGCCGCTGTAATGAGCTTCGTGCGCCTTTTTGAAGTCCAAATAGCCGCCGGAATCTCGGCGAGTTACATGTCTGCTTCATCAGCTTCATCCGCGGCAGCTGCGGCTTCCGCCTAATTATAGATGGGGCATGAGAAAAGGAGGCCGTGGTGAATTCCACACAAATAGTCACGGGAAGTTAACGTGATCGACTCTGTTAGTGATAATATTGCGACTGTAGCCTATCCCTGGAGGATGAGTTGGACTGGTTAGGAGGGGAAGCGCATTGATAGTTCACTTTGCGGTCCTAAGATCTGTAATTCGGTTCTCTACCACCGTTATTCTATTCAAAATGCACGTGTAGACGCTCTAAATACAATGGCAAGAATCTTCTAAACATGGGCAAAGGATGATTGGCGCTAAACCACGAGAATCACCTTGAGGTTTGCCGATGACGGGTAATTTACTCCTCGCTGTCCTCCATGTCTCTCAGATACAGCGCATAGAGGTATTCGAGATCTCGCTCATCCAGGTTCTCCAGCTCGCGAGCAACGAGGTTCTCATCGTCCAGACCCCGGCTGACTAGCTCGTCTTCCAGATCACGGCGGCCCCGACGACCGCCAAAAACTGAGCCGATCAACTTTCCGAGGAAGGGGTCACGAGCTTCAAGATCTAGGTCCCGTTCCTCAAGCTCGTCAATGTCTCGCTCCGAGAGTTCTTCCAAATCACGGCGTCCTCGTCGGCCACCAAAGACGGAGCCAATGAGTTTACCAAGGAAGGGGTCGCGGATTTCTAGCTCATCAAGCTCACGTTCCTCGAGCTCATCAAAGTCACGCTCGGAAAGTTCTTCCAGATCACGGCGGCCTCGTCGGCCACCAAAAACTGAGCCGATCAACTTGCCGAGAAAGGGGTCGCGGGTTTCAAGGTCATCAAGGTCGCGTTCCTCGAGTTCATCAATGTCACGTTCCTCGAGGTCATCAAGGTCACGACGACCTCGGCGGCCACCAAAAACGGAGCCAATTAGCTTGCCAAGAAACGGGTCGCGGGTTTCAAGATCGGCCAGGTCACGCTCGGTGAGTTCTTCTAGGTCGCGGCGACCCTTTCGTCCGCCGAAGATAGAGCCAACTATTCTGCCAAGGAACGGATCGCGGGCTTCGAGGTCAGCCAGGTCACGCTCGGTGAGTTCTTCTAGGTCGCGGCGACCCTTTCGACCGCCGAAGATAGAGCCAACTATTCTACCCAAGAAAGGGTCTCTGACATCGAGATCAGAGTCAGCTCCTGACCTTGTGGCGAGGTCTGAACTGGCTATCGGGGCAGCCTGAATCTGAGTAGAAAGGCCGAGCACGACGGCCGAGGTGATGGAAAGATTCTTGATGGCGACCATTTTGAATTAAGATATAGAAGAGTGGGAAGAGAAAAGTCTAATATTGACCGGCAATAAAAAAGAATACAGGGATAAAAAGGGTGAAGAGAATCGAACAGAGACCAGCTCTAGAAATTGTTTGGTTTTTTTGGATGATTTTTTGGTTGATATTTTCAAATACGCATAGCTAGGAAGGGAGAAGAGCTTTTATAAATTTCTTGTGAGGCCTATCGATACAATTGTAGCCTGTATAATTGTGGTAGATGGGAAGCACTTTGGTTTCCAGCAGTTGCTCATGTCGGGCTTAGAGCAATTTACCAAAGGACAATACGTTCTTGGCGAAGGGACTTTGGCATCATCCGCCGCCAATGTGGTGCCATATATACTGCAATGGCCCTCGCAGCCAATTTATTCCACACATATCCTTAGTTCCCGATTCGTTATGATTCCGCGGATGTTGATATAGAATCCTACATCCTCCAATATTAATATATACAAATTTGTAGCGGTGATTTAGGCGGAAACGCTGAGTTGCTTAAAATAGCCCATCCGTGTCATGAGTTCGACGTAAACAAATCGCTCGTCACTAGATGCCTAAAAATAGAAACACTGAATGGCATGAAATTCTAGACAAATAACCTTTTAACCTTAATGGCACGGCATGGAGACCGAGATGATGTTGTACCAGGAGGTATGCCAGAAACCATCTTTCTAGTTGAGGGCTTGGCTCACCAAAGCATTCGTTGCATATCCTCTTTCTAGTGCGATCTTTAAATCAATAATTCATTCATCTTGTAATAGAGGCAATGTGAACTTTTACTCTCCGGATATGTGGCGCTGGGGATGATTGTATGTCGCCATCAAACATGTGCTGTCGCTCTTCCGTTTAGGAAAGGGCCGAACGCAAGCTAAAGTGCCAATAGAGAATCAGCATCACTCGCCCTTCATAGCAAGGATATAAGACGCTAGATTGACTTCATATGTAGTACTAAGAATTCTTGCAGGCCACTGTTCAGATAGAGCGAGTAGGCTTTCTCTACCCCTCTCAAGTTCAATTTGACAAAACTGAAGTTCCAAGTACCATCCGCCATTCAATGGCATTTTGATATATATCCTGCTAAAGGGGTTAGCAGGAAGTGAAGAATCAATTCGCCGGGGTTGGCCAGAGGGACTTCAACGTATCGAATGCCTTTGGCTTGAATATGGCCATCTCGTAACTAAATATATCTCATTATTATTTAATCCCAACCATGGGTCCTGACAGAGGCCTGCACAGTATGGGGAGCTTCTTTGACGCTCTATTGTACGTTATCTGAACCTGGAGGATCGGACCTAACTCAAAGCGCACTCCGCCGAGCGGGTTGGTATGAAGTTCACGGGCCAATTTGCCGAATCTGGAAAGACACCGAGGAGTCTCAGGCGCCAGGTCTGCTTGAGATAGCCTTCTGATTGCACACATTGTCCCAATCACTCTTCACTGACTCTAGAGCTACCTTGCACGTCACGGAACGGCCCCCAAGCCCCTGCCACCATCGCTTAGACTACCTAAGCACCGAAAAGGCCTGACGTACGACGAGTATCTCTTCGCTCATGGACGTTATAATCACGAGGGCAAGGGCCAAAGACTGTAATCTGCTAGCTATCGACTATTACAAATATTCAGACGTTCGCCCTCCAGCCTCGAGTTGGACGGGAATTCTCTGCTTGCCACGTTGGAGAAACTCCCGCTCCTCTCAAATTTGATTCTCACCCAGGACCTTTATGATCGGAGCTGGTGATAGATCATGGCGGATTTTAACACAAGCGAACGGAACTTGATAGAAAACTTTCCGAATAAGCAACCTCGGCTGCAATGTAGTGGTTTTTCTCATTAGTGGCAATCTTTGTGTAGCATCCTGTACATAAAGGGTCGGTTATGGTACCTACTGAACAATAGCTGAATTGAATGAGATTGGAATCAAATTTAGTTTCTCACCACAAATTCACTGCGTGACCTCATTTTTTTTTTGAAGTACATTCTTGTAAACAGACCAAAAACCTGTAATTTATTAACAATGATGCTTGTCTATATTTCTTTTCTACTATCCAATAATGAGATTCACAAGCTAAGGTACTTAAAGGTTCATACAACATATCTGACCACTGTATGTAATGTAATTGGTAGTCTACACTCGACCACGTCCACAAACATGATGAAGCTCTCGGGTAAGGGACGTGGGCGATATCGGTCTGGTTCGCTTTAGTATTTTAGGTGGCATGCTCATGACTAATCATGCTGAGACAGTAGAGTGACTGCCTGACTGGGCATTCGTCATGCCAAACTTATCTCCCAATAAACTCGCTTTGAAAATACGAGCAGAGCGGGGTACATTGTTTATCAAGCCTTGACCGGCAGCAAACTGAAGTCATCTAGAACTTCTCCCAGCCAGGCTATCCGTTATGACGAGCATCCACTCTGTCCTGACTTTTCGCGAGAGCTGGCCTCTATCGAGAGACCTTGACTTGACGGGTGTCTATGACGAGCTGCGCCGCCTTCGGCTCTTCGTGGCTGTCATTCGCGCCTGTAGCTCACGGAGAGCCGAGCAACAGCGGATGGGCCCGGGCTTGAGTGCCAACGAATCCGAGCATCCGCCAGTATTTCTCAGCGTTGAGGCCGAGGATGCGCTCGTGCTTAACTACCTTGACCAGGCTCTCCTAAAGTACACGCGCAGCCCGGAGGAGGATCCGGATGCCGACTGGAAGAAATGGCTCCTGTCTTTTGGCACGATGGGAGGAGGAATCATGCCACTGGCAGAGCATGGTGCTACGGGTGCAGGCTTCACCCGTCGATATTTGGCTGTTCGACGATGGGCTGAGAATCATGAAAAGTTTCTTCGAAACAGAGCAAACGAACTATCACGCCAAGATGTCAGGGCACTAAACCTACTTGATCTCCCCATGGAACTTCTAGCGAACGTCTTTGATTTTTTCAAACACCCTGCACTGTCAATTCAGGGAGGCGTGGATTGGAAGATGGAGGAGATTGGCGCATCAAATGCGAGGTCGAAGCGTTTTAGAACCCTCAAAAATGCGCGACTTGTCTGTCGTCTCTTCAATGACCTAGCGTCACCGCTCCTATGTCCAATTTTGCGTTTAAACGTGGAAAGTGCCTCTCTTGATCGATTGCGAGCGATCTCTGCATCACCGTCGCTAAGGAGTGGGATTCGAGGCATTAAGTTGAATCTCAACTATTGCTTTGAGAATATCGCCATGGATGAAATTATATTCCTCAAGGTCATTAGACATGAGGTCAACGATTTCTTTTCCTATTGTGAAAATGAATATGAGGATGTCGACGACCGAGCCGAGCCCACTCGAAGGGGCAATAGGCTCATATCAAGTGCTATCTCCTTTAGCCAAAACGAAGGCCTGACGGAGGTAAATACAGGGCTTGAGAGGAAGGATTATCAATACGTCGACGCTCTCCGCCGCGGCTACCTGAACTATAGAGATCTACACCTAGAGCAGAATCGTCTCCTCCAGCACGGAGATTTTGCACGCACTCTGGCAACGAGCCTTTCTCATTTAAAATCATCTATAGACTTGAAACTATGCGGTAATCACTTGAGGTACGCATATGAGGATGTGCATGGCATACCACCTACAGCGGGAACCAGACGAACCCCCCAAATCTTCACTTCTGCGGAGGCGCTGGCAAAATCTATCTCCAGGCCGCACCAGTGGGTTGGCTTCAGAGGAGTGCATTCACCAGCTCGTATGGAGACGGCACGCCTTCTCTGCGAGCTGCCGCTGGCCCTACAAAGAGAAGGCGTGTCAGTCGACAGTTTCATGCCGTCTATCCTGAAGAGACTGCGATCGTTTGAACAACTATGCCCAGGAAGATATACTCCCAATGAGGGACTAGAAGAAGCCCAGGAACAGCTTCTTGCTTTCTCTAAGCATCTACGCTCCTTCGATATCTCAGCGGGTGAAGAATACACCGAATTGTCTCGACGTGTACAAGAACCGGAAATGCTTATACTCGAAAGTTATCTCAGGGCGATGCTTGCTAGTCCTCGCCTTGTAAATTTGAAGCTTTCTCTAGGATTTCTTATGCGATATATTCCTCCAAACCCCCAAAGCAACGGGAGGCGTGGTAGAAAGTATTATGCATTAAAGTCCAATATCTTTACTTCCCCTTGGCCAAATTTACAACGAGTGTTTCTTCGTTTTCTATCTCTTCCACAAACGGAACTCGAGCTTTTTTGCCAGAATCTAAGCTATGAACTAGTTGAATTTTACATGAGCGACGTGAAGTTGTCAAGTGGGAAATGGAAGGCCATTGCCGACTTGTTGCATGGAAGGCTGTCACAAAGGGCAAGGTTGAGGAAATGCAAAGTCAAGGTATTAGGACTTCACGGAGGGGAGGCTGCCAAGATTGCACAGAGTCAAAATGCAAACCAGAATACGGGAACTCTCTTTCAACAGTCGGTACAGGTCGGCTCATCGGAGTTGAGCCGTATGGTTGAACGATTTATAACTGGAAAGTGCGACATCAACCCATTGTCATTTAGTTAGATGAAACATTTTAATTTTCCCGCGTCTCAGCTTATCGAATGAGTATACTTTGTTCTAGATGGAGTGGAGGGAATTCGACCCAATTACGAAAATTGGGAGCTTTTGAGGACTTAATATATTTGAACTAAATATCAATTGGTAACATTTTGCCGCTTGGGTACCCGGTAACATTGTTAGACATTCATCAACATTTTCTACAACATCGAATAATAATAAAGAAAGGATTGACCATGTTTACATCATCTCAGTTAGAGGTTGCCAAGCGAGGCCTCTAATTACAGTATATTCTCAATGCAAGGACAGTGTCATCTGATCTGATTCGCTGGGCTATGAATCGTGAAGCGAGATCCATGTCGGAGGAGCTGTTGTAATACGAACCAGAACAGGGACCAAAGGAACAAGGGGTGGAATCAAAATAGGAAAATTTAATGCAATGGTCTTGCGTAGAGTCGATCGAGCCCTTGCCTCGAGAATTTGTGCATGGTCCACAGAGAAGTTGCGCTGTTTATTGCGAGTGTCGGAACCTGAGGTAGACTGAAGAATATATCTTCCTGCACCCACTTCCAAATTTCGAATAAGAAAGTTATGTTAGATCAAAGACTAAAAATGTAAAAATTACTCTCAAATTAATCAAATCACCTTTTTAAACCTTTGCACAGGTTGATTGTTATACCCTTTGTTGTTGCAGACCCGCCTTCTACTTCTAGAGGCAACTTGTCGCGATCCTTGCAGCCGCGCGTTTCTCCTCCCCAACAAACAGGTCAGAGCTCGGAAGGTCGAGTAACAGCTCGACGAACGCTTGAATTCAATATTATTTTTACGAAGGCTTGGGGATTGTCTCGTTACCTCGCCATGTTTCTTGTAGTCCTTTGCTCCTAAAGTTGGCGAAGAAATCTCATTCAATGACTCGCACACTTCGTCATACTCTTTTGCAGGTATATCACAAGACATATACATCCACAAGAGCATTATCCACAGATCCATCCGTGCCGGGAGATTGTCAGCGGCGGTTTCGGTCTCCCGATGGCCGACGACATCCTGGCCACACGGCCCACGCTCTGGACCGGTGTCCGTCATATCACCTTACAACCCTCCGGACATTCCCGAAATTTATGTTTTAAAATGCCCCTCGTTCCAGAAAAGCTTGATTCTTAGTCTCTCACGCACTCATTACCTATGCCAATATGAAGACTTCAGGAGCTCCTGACCGGGTGGTGCCCATGAAGGTCATCGTATGTGGTGTCCAACGCACCGGCACCTTGAGTTCGTCTCCCCCACAAGCGCATTTTCCCATCGTTCCTATTCAAATGCACCTCAGTGCTGACCCCCTGTACAGGTATGCGATATGCGCTCTATCAACTGGGAATTCACGATTGCTATCACATGCACGATGTTTTTGAAAACCCCTCGACAGACGGACCTCTCTGGACTCGTGCCCTGAAGGCCAAGTACGCAGGCGGGGAACCTCTTCTCAAGGAAGACTGGGATCTTCTCCTCGGAAGTTATCAAGCAGTTTGCGACGTGCCGCCGGCTTTCTTTGGCCCGGAGCTTGCTGAGATATACCCTGACGCCAAAGTTGTTATTCTGAACCGCGATCCTGAAAAGTGGTACGTCAGTGTTTTGAATAGTATCCATTCGAAGAGGACTATTCTTGATCAGCTGGCGGTTTTGTTTTGCCTGGCATTTAACCCGGATACTCGAGCTTGGATGGGCTTTGGCCTGACCATGTTCAAGTATGGTTGGCCATTTGACCATCGTACGGAGAAGAAAAAGGCCATAACATGGTACAAAGACATATACAAGGAGTTTCGTGAGAGAATCCCCGCTGAGCGCCGCATTGAATTCTCCGTTAGTGAGGGGTGGAAGCCCCTATGTGACTTTCTAGAGCTCCCGATTCCGAAGACTAGGGACCCCGAAACTGGGAAATTGGTGGAGGCTCCGTTCCCTCATCTGAATGATCGCTTTGCATTTCATGCCGATAATGCACAGACACAAGCGGCTTGGATGAAAACAGCTATTAACAATGCCTGGGCTTTTGTTGGAAAGGCCGCCGTTTTGGGTGGAGTGTCACTCGGTGGCTATCTGTTGTGGAAGAGTAGATTGGGCGGTCGCTTCTAGATATATTCATCTCCTCTAAAATACACCAACCTAGACATTCTAGGACTACACGAATAGGGCCAGGTTAAACTCCACGGAATATGCCTATCTATCATGATGTTTCCTAGATTCATGTCGTTGTAGACAGGTCCTAGAGCATGTAGATGCTCAAAGGCGGAAGCAATTGCTGCCAGAAAGGGGCTCGTGGTCGAGACCCTTGAAGAAGACTAGGGAAAACACAAACTCCTCAAGTGATATATTATACTTGGATAAGAAAATGCTGGTAATGTGGTCGCGCTTCACCTAACAGTGAAAACGGACAATGATTACGTTTCTTTGCGTTCTCGCAGCGATATCTAGACAAGGCAGGGGCCAAACAGAAACAGGAAATTACAGGCGTATAAAAATCGACATTGCAACGCTCACAACAAAAGGTTTGGTCACTTCATTTGCTTCATGATGCTCAAATGTGATCTAAGTTTCTATTTTCTTCTTCCGGAGTTGGAGTTCACGATTGATGTGAAGTCTGAATAGGTGCGTCTTTAGCAATGATGCCTTCGATGAATCGGTAAATTGCTTGACAGGCAAGCCTGGCCACTGTGTCACCGCCCTCGAGGCGAGGATTAAACGAACAGACGACAAGGGAGGTCGGATTGACCTTGAGGGGGATCATTTGCATCACGCCCATTAGATCTTCAGGTAGGTAACCACCGGGAGAAGGGAACTCGTTCACACGACCCAACGACTCATCCAAGACATCCAAATCCAGGTGGATATGGGCATGCGTTACATCGCTTCGCCGATCCAGAATTTGAGCAAGGCTCGCGGTGAAATCTACCTTGGTATCAGCCTTGCCCCAAACTACATCCACCCCAGCATCCTTAACAGCCTTGGCTTGTGTTTCAGATACATCTCGTAGCCCACAATATATGACCTGCTTGATTTCGACTGGCTTGTGGCCGGGAACCGTCTTCATCAGTGTATGCCAGCTCGTCCCGGTCATCATGGAGGCAGCCATGGCGTCGAGGTAGCCATTTTCATGAGTCGAAGGAGTGTCAAGGTCATCGTGGGCGTCGAGCCACAAGACTCCGGGCTTTGGGGTCGAGGCGGTCTGTTCCAGCCTTGCTTTATTAAGACCAGCCATGGTCGCGGCACTCGCATAGCAGTTGCCGGAAAGGACAAGGGGGAACGAATTGTTTTTGACGACCTTGTAGACAGCGTCGGAGATACGGCGAATGATCTCAAAGGTTCTTCCAATCTCGCCTTCAAATTCATCAACAGGTCCAATGTTGATAAATGAAATTGGTGCCAGTTTCTCTAAATCACGGTCGATGCCATGAGAAAGGAGGCGAAGAGGGCCGCCACCGACGCGGTAATCGTAGACGCCGACATGATAGGGAGCGACAATGATTGTGATAGAATTGAAAGCCATGTTAAGGTGTTGAGAGTGTATTGAACATAGAAGAAGAAACCAGTTCCCAGAAAAAAACACCCGAGCTCCATTCTACTCCATCGGCCGGTGCATGTTCAGAAGCGGAGAACGTGACAAAGCTTCGGCAAATGCCAGGAGAATAATCGCAAGGGATCTTATCCCAAACTACCCCACTCCCGCTTGACTTTAATGGAGACGTTTTGCGTTGAATTTGGAATCGTTTGGGACACAGCTTGGTACACTTCATACAGTCTTTTGTAAAAGGTCCTTGTTAAAAGAACTACGATTCATGTCAAATAGTCTCTTTTATTATACGAAAGCCCACTATTATCACAACAAACTATCAAATCCTGTCACTTGTTGGCAGACACGATAAAGTCCACAGCTTCTATCAAATACGGCACAAACCGCGCCGGGTTCTCAGTGGCGGGGAAATGGCCCAGCCCTTGCATTTCCGTAAACTTTGCACCGGGGATCTTGGCAGCCGTCTTTCGGCTCAGTTCCGGCGTGTTTCCCCAGTCGTACTCACCTGTTAGCATGTAGATAGGACACTGTTTGGTATCGATTGTTTCAACCCTTCCGCGGCCATCCCATCCACCGAAATAAAAGTCGAGATCCCCACGAAACATGCCAAAAGCCTGGCCCGAATAAAGATGCCAGATCAGGTCGCGGTGGACACGAGGGCTGGTGGGTGCCATCATCTAGAGGGACTCACTTAGTATACACTCAATCAGACTGAACTCTGGGGAGCGGCTACTTACACCATATATCCACTCCGGGTTGAACAAAGACTGGTTCACAAAGAGCGATCGATCCCCCCATTGGCGCTTCATATCAGTGAATTCGGACCTGAGTCGTGGTAAGCAGAGCTATTGACATCAATAAGACGGTATTACTCACCCCTGACAAGGAATCACACCACCAACACCCACTTCAGCCGCTCGCGTCGCGATGGCTAAGCAAACATGGCCGCCCATGCTTGCACCGCAAACGATAGGCTTCTTAAGTCCCAGCAACCTTATGATTTCCTTTATACACCCAATATACGAGTCTTCGCTATTGCTATGTTGTCCGGGTATTTGTGTATTAGAAGGGAAGCTTCGTCCGTGGCCAGGGAGATCAAAAGCCGTCATACGACATCGGGACAACATGCGATCATCAGTCATAACGCCATGATATTGCCGCGAGTCAGAGCCAGCAGTGTGCAGAAACAGGATATCCGGATTGTGCGCATCGCCAGTCTGCTCGTAAAAGACCTTGGCCCGGCCCCAGCCCGGCGAGGAAACGTAAACATAGCGACCAATGATGGGGTCATCCTCGGGCGGCGATACAACGCTGTCCTCGACACTGGGGCCGTGCAGGCTGGTATGGCTCAACTCCAGCACACGGCGCCAGATGGAGGTGTAGGCAACGAACAAATCATAGTCGCCGAGGACCTCGACCCCGTCTTGGTGTATATTCTGGCCAAGCATGCCCCAGTAGCTTTGATACGGTGCCTTGGGGATAGGCTGGTAAAACTGCTCCCATTGTTCGGGGAGTGCCGAGAGAATGAATGCTGCCTTGTCTGCGTGGCCATGCGTGATGTTTGCAACACCTGACTCGACTGAGCAGAGAATAGCCGTATCAGATCCAGCAGACTTCCAACCGAAGATGACGGGCTTCACGGTAGGTTCGACATTCGAGAAGGCCTTGAATTGAGGATCCGAGCCCAGACTCTCATTTAACTGCGACAAGGTTCCCTCAAGCCGAGCCGACAAATCTTGCCAAGAATGTGCAGCCATTGTGTCTAGGAACTGCGAAATATCAAGAAGAATTGACAACAAACTGATCAAATGGGCAAAAGAGTAGTAAGCTTGGTGGTTACTAAGTATCAACAGATGAAGCTACAGACGTCATCCGAGAAACGCGGGGAGAACCTTTATATCATGATTCAAGAGCAACACTCTGGGGTAATTTCCTGGGGTCGAACTTTTTGGATTCTTGGCCATCGACGCGGACCAACACCTAATCCTCCAAGTCAATCTACCCCAACTTTTGGAAGTAACTACTCCGATTCAACATTGCTTTCTACTCCAATCGCTCTCTATGGCTGTGCGCAAAGGGTGCGATTGCGAAGAATTTCTTCGCTCATTATGGAAAAGAATATCCGAGAATGGTGCCTGATTTGAATCAGAAAGTCTTTTGACATCAAAAGTTGGCCATGACCAAGATCATAATGCTTTTTGTCCCCCCCCCCCATCCCTGCTCGAGGAAGTTAGCATACGTTCCTACCTAGTCCAACGTCCTGTATAATCAGGCGGCACAATGAAACACGCTCTACATCTCCAGGTACGTAAAGTGACGAGCACCTTCTCTCAAAGAGTAAAATATTCACTTTAAAAAACCAGTAGCCCAGCTTGAATAAACGTGCCCACTTAAGCTCATCAACTCTACGACCACCTTGTTTTGGCTTTGAGAACGTGAGTAAGTATATACTATCTTGGATCTAAATTTAGTACCGAAGCTTCCAGTGAGGTGTCTCGAAATCAGATCACCTCAATGTAATGTTCACGATGGCTTGATCTCAATTAGAAGAATCTCGGTGTATACTTGAAGCATACATCAGTTAGTCAAACTATGCCAACTCTATATCAACTCTGTATCAACTCCATACACCAACGTAGCGTCATAGAATCACTGCAAAGTTTCTAATTTACTCTACACTTGTATTAAGTGTAGTCGAAACCAAGGCTGTGCGTGTGACGCTCGCTTCGGCGGTCATGATCTCGAACAGGTCCTCGCGAAGGATGAGAGCTTTCACCGTGGTGCAGAATCGTTTTTATGCTATCAATGTGCCTTACCTTGGTCCAATAAAGCTAATATATCACCACTAGAGGCATGAGACCTAGCTTACTAGGGTGGAATCGTTCCTTATTATCATTCGGACCCAAGCCGCTCGACCTCTGACAACCTCTGAGTTACCTGATCTTCTAGGTATACATGGTCAGCTCTAACCCAAGCTTCAATTTATCCTTAGCATTATTTCTAGCACTTCAGTGAGCTTTAGAAGATGATTGATTGTTTTCTTCTACAAGGTGGTATCCGCATCCGGCCGTTCCGTGGCAGTGAAGATCTAGATTAGGTTTCAACCAACTACCAACCAATTACTTAATCTACCTAGTCAAAGCTATTACATCACCATCACGTAGGATCAATTTCACTAGGGGAGTGAACTCTAAAAATGAATATATATTTCCCGACGCTCGCACACTGACGAATTCTAGTTGTTCCTCTTGAAATTCACTGTATATCCAAATTTATCAAAATCCAATATTGATCTTCAAAACACCAATTTGAACCATGGGCGGAGTGTGTAGTGCGAGTCCTTGGGAATATAGGATATCTCTGCTAATGACAGTCGGTGATAGGACGAGAAACATCTCAGCGAGGAGGATCAGAAGATCCTCGACGAGGCGAAAGCCAACAGAGATAACCCGGACCATCCCGCCCACAAGGATCATCCCGATGTACGTCTCAATTCAAAATCACTTTGCAGTCCATTTCTCCTGCTCACTATTTGTAGCATAAGCACTATGTCGGGGACCTGGTCAAGCGATTCGGCCATTCTGTCATCTTTGGCGCCGGTGCGACTGTTGGAAGCAATATTGTGAATGGAATCTTTCATTAGACGGTTGAATTGCACCTCATAAACGACGCAATAAGATTGCCAATTATACCAAATATTGCTGAAATAATGGACTTTCTCTATTGAGAACTCACCCTGAGTTAGGCTTAACATTACTAGCCCTGGCTCAAATGCGGTATGAGCCTAATTTAATGCCTTTAAGCCGTACGTTTGATTGAAACCTAAGATCGATTTCGGTGCCCAAGCAAATATTCAAGACCGTTACACTATACTGCGGTCAATTGAGTGAAAAGTGTTAGAAAAAGTGATGATGTTGATGACGCGTGATGTTGACGCGTCAGGGGGCCTGGTTAGAATTCGGGTCAAGTAATCTACGGCAATTGTCCGTTTGCAGTACGACCGAGCAGTATGACGTAGGTAGAGATTGATTACTAATAAGTCTAACACACAGTTTAGATGGAATGAAGTGATGACACATTGGCCCCTTTTCTCACGAAACCACATTTTCACTAGTAGCCGACCGCGCCAACTTCTATGTGTAGGTACTTTACCAATCTACTGTGGTTATGTTTAGTATCATATAATAAGCCGTAAACCACGATGGTGGAAGATATCAATACCATCAGTTTCTTTCTGCCCTTGTAGGATTTCTAATGAGCCTAATTTGTAACGAATGTGCTCAGGACAATTGTTCGCTGATTGACAATCTGATTATCATTACAAAATGCGTGTGCTTTCTCTACGGCTTCCTCGCCACCACACCGATCTCGTCTGACTCTTAATAAATACGAAACACGTAAACAAATATCTACTTCTTTACATTCAACTGTATAGTATTGGACAAAGATAAATGCATCATATTCCAGTTTAGAATGATATTCAAACAAGATTAATGATAGAGTTTAGGGTAGGTATATCTTAGCTTGGCAATCATCTGTCTTACTAAGCAGGAAAACAACGAATTTCAAGGATTGGTGTCTCATCTTGAGATTGATTTGACTCACTCGGGAAATCCCGTCATTCCAAATAAAAACATGGGAAAACAGATCAATCGCGGGACCCCTCATTCTTGGGACTCTCAGGATGCAACCCTGCCTCAATTCGCGCGATTGCCTCTTTAGCGGGGACAACATCGCCAAGGAAAAGCATGTTCAGAAGAAAGCATGTTCAGAAGGTTGGCATTGTGAACCGCGTTGTCGCGCGTCGCGTTTCCATCCTGCTCGAACAAGACATTATAGCCCATCTGCATCGCGTCCCGTATAGTCGACTCGCAGCGGATGTTGATGGTGGTGCCCGTGATAATGAGCGTGTCGATGCACTTGGCCTTGAGAAGCGCGTCAAGGTCGCAGGTTCCCAGGATGAAGGCGCTCCACCGCCTCTTTGGCACAATAATGTCTTCCGGCTGGACGTCGAGGCCGGGACAGAAGGCGTGCTGGTCTTTGCCAACGCTGAACGCCGTTCGTATCCGCTTAGCGGCATCCGGAGTCATGCTGTCGTAATGGGACCCCCACCGATGCGGCTCGTCGGCATCAAGCTTGTATTGGACGTAGGCAATAGTCGCCCCCACAGACCGTAGCGCTTGTGACACGCGATTGACGTTGTCGACAATCCCGCGTGCGTTCGGTACCTCTAGCAGGGGGCCCTCGCCCATGAAGCCGACTTGGAGATCGAGGTCGAGCTTGATCTTGTCATAGGTCCCTCGCATCCAGGCGACACGGTCGGTAGCTTCGGTAGGAAGTGAGAGTGATGCATGGTTGGGGAGAACTGCCAATGCTTGTTCGGGCAATGAGGCCGTGGAGAGATTCAAATGGGTTATTCCATCTTTGAGCGAATCGAGGACTTAACTAAACAGAATCTCTCCATGTGGCCGGATCTCTGGGATGCAATGGCCGCGGCTTGATTGTTTGATGCAGATTCCATGGCTGAGTCCATACCACAATGCCGTTCCTCCTTCATTACTAGCTACATCTTGTTGGTGTATGAATTATATCTGGCTGTTCTGCCTGTCATCTCTGGGAGCAACTCACTATGGGCTCTACTCCTTTTGGGAACATCCAGACACCGTTCAGCTTACTTCCACAATGTTGGCTGGATCAATAGCGCTCTACACGTTATGGATAACTTGATATCTTCTAAATATAGCGAGTAATATAAAAACCTAGGATAGTGTTAAGATTAGATACAGATATAGCAACGGTTTATAGACCTAGTAGTTTATAAGTATAATATTAACCTTATATCCAAGTTAGCCAGACTTAATATAGGTAACTCGCCGTGATGATACACGTGCAGCCAGTCGTTACTGAAAGTAGTTGTATAACTATAATAGTAGTCTGGCCAAGCCACCACCCGTAGATCTACAAATACATCAAACGACTGGAGAGGAAGGATCAGTTGACATAACTGTGTTTATACTACAATTAGAAGATATTTTAGTAGGAACATGCCTCGCATCTACTTGCTTGTTGAAAGCTTGGAGTCTGCTAGCAAAAACCTGAAACCCCTCGACCACAACCCACCCTGTGGCTCAAAAACTACCTCATAATCACACCGACCGTTTATCGTGGCTGACTCAATAAGCACTAATCATCCCATGTCCGCACTCCGCCGTCCATAGTCAACCTGGAATGTTAACAGCCCCTCATGTATGACGATGAGTACAGTACAGTATGATGAACTTGCTCAAAGAAGGCTACCCAGAGCGATACACGGAAGACCAATATTGATCAGAGCGGTCTATTCTGTGTCAATTCAAAACTAGATGCCGAAATATAAGATGGAACTTACCTGCTGGGGAGCTGTAGTATCACAGCAGGCGATATTTTGGTCGCACTGACTTCCGAGAATATCATCGACCCCAATAACTACATAAAGACTTGGTTAATATTTATAGTAGTTACAGATATGTCTTTACTCACGGGCAGTAACAGAGAGCTTGGAGCACTGGTCAAATAGGTCAATCTCGCCATCAAGGATGCCAAGGTCACTCAGAAGACCACTAAGAAGACCGGGGTTCTTGCTGGTGGTGGTGTCGGTAGTATTCTTGTCAACCTGCTTGTTGCAGCACTGAAGCTCGAGCTTTCTTCCGCAAAGGGTATTGGCGTCGCGAACAGTGATCGCTTGAGCATCGGTGCGGCGAATAACATCGGGATGGACCTGGGGGACCAGAGCAGCAACCGACGTGGCAAGAAAGAGAGTGGGGATGAAGTTGAACATCTTGCTTATTTTTTTTTTAGGAATCCTTTAAATTTGAGGATATAAGTGTTATGTGGTAGGTAGGTGTTTGAGAGGATTGAGTGGTAGAAGGTGAGGTAATGCTTAAATGCTATGAGTGAAGATGGTGAGATCTACCTTCAATCCTATAGGTGGATAGTAGGTTTAAGTAGTTGTCGAAGTTGGATAATTTAGGTACTCAATAAGCATGCTATTGCTCTACATATGCCCTCGATAAGAGATTCTAGTTATTGTACGATTAATGGAATGTGCGCTGATGACTGTATGGTTAATGGAATGTATAGTGAGAGCGTATGAGCGGCCCTTTAGATAGCGGAGCCCTTATGCCGCCGGCAACTTAAGTCATCACCAGTTATTCGAAATCCAATAATTCTTACCTTTTACTTGTATTTTTGATTCACGAGGGAGGCCGAGAGACGGATTTGTATTAGATAAAGAGGAGAGGAGCAATTGCTCCGGCTTTAGATACTAGATAATTCCGGCAGCGCACACTCACAGCGCTGCCGCAGCGGCAAATTGGATGAATTTTCCATCCTTGCAAACAGTTAACAGGATGTATAATAACGGAATGTATGGTTAATGGAAAATGTAGTTAATATGATGTATGACGATGAGACTGAAAGCGACGAGGGTTCGGACCGAGGCCTGTCGCCAATGACCTTTCACACTTTGAGATATGGCTTGCTGAACTGTGCCGTGAACAGGCCGAGCACGCGTTTCTGAGCGGAGGACTGTACGGCAAAATCAGGTACGGCTACATCGTCCGATCAGACACCGAGATTAACAAGTTCACTCGTGAGCTGGCACTCGCCTTTCGACTAGGTCCGGACGCGTCGTTCCAGGATTGTGAACACGATTCCCCGCCGCCGCGGGTCCTGGCAACTCGAGCATAAATGCACAACCTCAGTATCCTAGCCCAGCTGTGTAAATTGCACTTGCCTTATTTCTCCGAGCGGCTGACGATCCCGCCGCCGGTTGCTCTAGAAAAGCGTGTTTGCGTGCCGCGCAGTAGGTCGTACGGATCGAACTTGCCCTGGAGAAGAGGTCCTGTCCCCCCTTTCTCTCCAACATGACCCGTCACTGCGGAGTTCTGTACATCATATGCCTAGCCTGTATAGTCTTGCTGCTCGACCAGTGTCTTGGCTGTGTACCAGGAAGGCACGAAGCTCCATCGAAAGAGACCTTGGAGGCTTACTGGGTGCTCAAGAACGCGAGCGAGTACTCGCCCACTGCCGAAAAATTCTTCTATTCCCTGGTGCATCTCTTGAGTAAGCACCGGGTCTCACTCCCTGCGAATCAAGCCAGTACAGACAAGGAGATGGATGGTTTGAACACTGGGGAGAATGGCAGAGCCTCTTCGGACACTCTAAGAGTGCCTGGTAGCGTGAATACCGGAGAGGTGTCCCCTGTTAATGAAGTGGCACAAGAACAGCTGTCAGATGGGCTGTGGCAGGATGCGGGAAATTGAATTGACATTGTGGCCTTGACTGGGAGGCTCTTTTTGCCGGGATTGATTCCTCTTTTATTTAATATGTTGTTAAATTACCATACATGGAAGATGCCCTAAGGTATCGCTGACTCTACTCAGTTGCCCCATCATACCCTAAATGTACGGGGCTTTGATATTTCCTGTGAATAAATCATTCATGTAGTTCTTGAAAGACGAAGCCACAATATCCGGGTAAAGTTCTTTCGCGTCCAAATATCCTAGATATTTTGCGTGTTCGGGTGTATTATCCCCTCGGATGCCGAGTAGATATTTGTACTGCGCCATCCCCAACTTCAACATGGCGGCAGATTCAAGATCTCCGTGGGCCATCTCGGCCTCGCCCTCTGAAATTATCTGCAGTAGCTCTTCTTTGGTGATCTAAATTGCGGTAGTGGTCAGTCGATGGTGGGTGCAATTGTAAGTGTAAAGTGACCCTTACAGGATTCCTAGTGATGGACTCGCCGGTAAGCGCTCCCCAGGACTCGTACACATCATTTTGAGTCCACATCTCGCTGTAGCAGAAAACCTGCTTGTTCAGAGTCTTAGGGTCGGCGATGATTCTTGCGACGTACTTTCCTATATCGCGATTATCGACAAACGACCAAGGGTTGGTACCGTCGCCTATGATTTGCGTAGTTGAGTATTCTTCCTTGACTCGTACTTTCCCTGACGGCAAACGTGGCAAGGACAGTTGATACCACCAGCCAACGTCGATGATGGTGTATGGCAGGTACAACCTCTTAACATGGTCGAGTATATTCTCCTTCTATAGTCATGTATTCTTTTAGCTGGGGACTGTAGAACCATGACCATATCATGGGCTGCTTTGTGCTGTGCTGGGGATACTGCTTACCATCTCTCTAGCTAGCATAACGCCCCGGGGTGGGCAAACTGGGCCGAAGAAGCTAGGCACATAGCGACTCACACCAGCCTCATGGGCTGCCGTAACGAGGGTCATCTCTTCTTTCATTTGCCGCAAGGTCAAACAGGATATAACCACGTCGATGCCGGCGAGGTTTTGGGCAACAACGCCCGCTGGCCCATCTAGCTCGACTGACTTGACAATCACGCCTTGCTGGGAATATTCGACGAATACTTGCTTACCCAAAGACGGGGGCCGCGCAAGAGCTGTCACTTCCTTTACCACTTTTAGCAAATTCTTGACATGCTACAAAGTCAGGGCAAGAAGTCTAACTTACAAAAGTCTCAGGGGTAGCAAGCAAGGCGTTCATGACAGAGGAGCCGGTTACCCCGGAGGCACCTGCAACAGCAACTCTGATTTTGGGAGACATATCGTGTTCTTATTTTTTGGACAAAGATAGTTGAGATTTTGTGATTCCCTTGGCCTATCTCTGGGCCTTATATAGCCCATATTGGGCGTGGACGACGATTCCAAGGTCTTACCAATCATTGAAATGGATTCTCCGCATTTTGTTGATGTTCGGGGTTATTTTGGCCCAAAGATGGCCTCTAGACTGTACGAGAACTCCAAAAAAGGAATGCAATCCGTAGGGCGATGACAGCCAACAAGGCCCATGCTTGGCTCCAGACAGATAGAGCGGCGAAAACTCCGCGGATCATAGGACCAATGATTATGATGGGCCGACGCTAACCTGATTTTCCACTATATCGGGGAAATACCTCATCCACTCTTTTCCCTCGGTGTTTTTCATTTCAAGAACAAGCCCCGAAACTTCCGAATTTGCCATCAAACACATTTCACTTCTAAGCACTCAGTTCTCGGACAAATTCATCACCGGTGCTTGAGGCAATAATGTCGAAGCAAGCATGCGATTCATGCAGACAACGGAAAGTCAAGGTACGCCCACGCTAGATGCCAAACGGCATTGAAGGACATAACCTAACTGAGGATGTAGTGCGATCAGCTGTCGCCAACGTGCTCTCCTTGTCAGCTATCTGGTCTACTTTGTAGCTATTACAAGCCACGCCGGAAAAGGGGACCGAAACCGAGACAGCGGCCCCTGGAATCTGTCCGATCTCGTCAGACCGTGCAGCCTGGTAATGGAACACCATGTCCCCCAGCAACTCCAGAGAGCCCTGTCCCAGCCGAGGCTGCAAGCCAGGAAATTGAGTCTGGCTCCACCAGTGCCCTTAACAATCCAATTGCTCTCTGCCATCAAGCTCTGGTTTCAGCATTAGCAGTCGAAGGCCGTACGCCCCAAGAAACCATCGAGGGCTGTATAAGCATCTACATGCAATCTGTGTTCCCTCTCCTACCGATTATTTGCGAACCCACTCTTCGCTCGCACGCGTCGTTGGTTCTGCCTTCTGTCATGACTGGGATAACACACACCCAATCTGGCTGGACACAAGAGTCGATTGCTGCAATCCGGTCGTATGCTCTGACCCTATCTCTATGCGCACTCGTTGCTCATATTTACCCCTGTAAAAGATACCCTCAAGACGACACTATTCCTTCTCTGTTCTTAGAATTATCACAAGCAACGTTTCGGGCTTTCATAGACTACGATATGACGTACCCAACAGCTGCCTCGCTTGCGATACGCATCTTCCAAGCCTCCTGCTATCAAATGACAGGAAATTCATGCCTGTCATGGCATAAAGTGGATGAGGCTGTTCGATTAGCGATCCAAATGCGACTTCTCGACGAGGAATCGTACGAAGGTTTGGATTCCGTTGAGGCAGCGCTGCGACGCAACGCACTCCGATACTTGTACTCGCTCGACCGGTCAAATTCCTTGCAAAGCGGTAAAAAGCAAAACCTGAGCGAATTGCGTTTGCAAAGCCCTGTCATCACTGATTTCAATTTTGATGAGCATGTATCGTTGCTTGACCGAAATCGACTAGAAAATGAAGGCTGCTTTGAGAGATATCTCATGATGGGATTTCAGAAAAACTATGAGCTTTGGAGACATGGGTTTGGCGTTCTGTTTGACCTGGATCTTTTCTTGTCCGCAAATTCTCGGGCATCCGACGACCGAGTTCTAGACATGGCACAGATGAGCAGTCTGACGGGGTCATTTTTGCGCTTTTCCAGTATCCTCGATGATGTACCGGAATTCGTCATGTCACCAACGATGATCTGCAACCCTGACAAACTGCGTGAGGAGTATCAAAGACTCGCAGTTTGGATTCAAAAGTCCAACATCATGCTCTCATATCATTTTCTGCAACTGTTCATTCTCAATCGTTTTGCAGCTGCTGATCTTCTTAGTCTGTTAGGATTGAGCAGTGACCGATTGTCGATTGGCTGGAAACAAACAGATATTGCGCATGAGGTACTCAACCTAATGAAAACAGTCCCTCTCGACGCGCTTCGTGCCAACGGTGAGCCTGGGGTAAGCTTTCAAGAAGTTAGACAAGGGCGAGAAGTGGTTGTTTGCTAATCTCGGAGTGTCACAGGCTGAGAAGCTTCGGTACATCTGCGCTACTCTCCTTGAGGTGATGCAAGGGCAAGAATCGGTTCACGTCCTTACAAGGGCAAAGAAACACTTCTTTGGATTGTTGGATTACCTGTCGAGGCTAAACTCGCGAGTATCTGACAAATTGGCACGACTGTACGAAACAACAGAAGCCTCTAGCTAGAGAGGGGATGCTCTGTGGATTTTTGGTACACTGAGAGGTCGATCATGATCTATGCTTCCAAGCTACAACAGGGAGGTCATCTTATGTTAGTTGTGGGCGAACATCGTTCATCACGCCGTTACAGCGAGACTTGCTCAGCGAGTTCAAGAAGAGGGTAAGAAATATCAACTTGTCTTTGTTCCTGATGGTGGTCATTGATGTGGCTTCGAGGGGTATGGTTATCAATAGAATAAGAATTCCTTTAAAGAATTTTCCCTGTAATAGTATCAGAAACACTACATTACACATTCAAGAATCGGTTATTATGTTAATCCCACTGCTACTATGCTATTCTATTCTTCCTCCTCACTATCATAATCACAATCGCTCCCGATTCGATTCCGGAGTCGCAACGGAGACTCATCATTGAGGATGAAATCAACAAGCCGTTTTAAGCCCTGCTGGTCTCCTTCGATAGTTCCCAGTAGCTCCCTGTCAACCCAACCCCTAGTCGTACCTCCCTCCAAATCAATCGCAACCGCGTTCTTGTCCATGTCGATTAACACATTATCGGCCTTGACATCACCCCACACAACCCCTAAATTGTGAAGCTTTCTCACAGTATCGCGGATCTGAAGCGTCCACTTATTCTTTTGGGAGCGTGGGACATCATCTTCAATGGCCCAAGTTAGGGTTCCTGGGTCTTTGGTCTCAATCCAATCATAAAGGAGCCCTCTGGCCAGCCCATCGCGATAAGTAACAATGCCCGACAGCCTTGAAGTACGAAGATCGGATATTGAAAGCCCTGACTGGGCAATCTTGCAATACTTGGTCACCTCTTCAAGTGCATCCCATGGTGAGTAACAGGATTTATAAAAGCATGTCTTCCCATTCACAAACACCCGTTGGGGGATGATATCATGAATAGATGCGCCATCATTGAAGGGGACCTCTACATCTTCAAGACTATAGAGAGGGAATGTTGATTGGTAGGTACGCATATCCCACTCCTTGTCAGCGCAAGGACCGTCATCGTCATCCTGTCGCCCCCAAGGTTTGACGGTTGTTATGGTTGGTCGCTCCTTGACGACTTTGTATTCGCACTCAAAGTAGCCGCTTGCTTTGAGGTCTGCAAGAGTCAGCTTGCCGGTATGGATTTTCTTCGGCGCAAGACGTTGAAATTCCGGCAAGAAATGATCCGCAATCTCCCTGGCGTAGGCCCACACATCGGGATCGTCGTCATCATCACTCTTAACTAGGCTGAAGACTTTCTTGAAGAGTGCGAGTGCTTTGGGGGAACGCTCGAAATTGTCAGGTGAGAGAGGGATATCGAAGCGCACGCTCTTGACACGTATATTGATGTCAAAACTGTCGCCGCCAATCTCAAACCCACGGATCTCATATGGGCGCGGAGGCGGTGACGGTGAACGCGACCGCGAGGGTGAGGGCGAAGGCATTCTGAGCACTGTAAGACGCCTTTAATGGAACACGCGAAGTTGGTTTTACGTGGCCTGTCTTCTGGACTAATCGCGCAATTCGTCACGGCAATATCTATTGCTTCAGTCTCTGTTTTAACACATCTTTAAGCAATAGTCTTAGAAGACCCTGGGCTTATAAAGATGACCGCTAACAATGTCGGTATGTAGTGGAGTGAGGAAACTAGGCAGCCGAGCATTATTTTGTAAGTAAGGAATTAAGATCACATACCATCAGGGAAAATTCTGGATTACTAAGGTATACCTTGGGTATCGTGGAGACGTCCCCGCCGAGCTTTCAATGGTAGTCACTCTGTAGGCCTAGTCAGAGCTTTGGTTATCGGGAGTTTGATCCGGTCATGCTAATTAATGTCCTACTGCAATGAATTGTATCCTCCACGCCTACCTATCCACAAACCAGAAGTAAAAAAGCCGAGTAGCTCTAGTTTTGGAACTAAGTATAATCTGGATACTAATCCGAACGTCACTACTTTTGTTTCCATAGATACCAACACTGCTCCCAATACTATTGAAGTTGCTGATGCTACAAGCCAGGGGGATTGGGATGATAGTGCGGAGCTTAGCAGGTTCATAGTTACAAGCATTGATGTCCGTGAGGCACTAGTTGAAGCAACAGTACTTGGACCTATGATGACGATGGTCACAACGTAAAGAGCAAATAGCCCTCGCAGTAAGGATAATAGAACCATGAATATCTTGCAGTCAGCCAATATCAGCAATGCCCACGCCGATCTTTATCAGAATGTAATGTGTTTAAGACTGTCGATAAGATCGAGGCGGCCCAGCACACTGAGCCCAGTCAGAGGCTTATAGAGTGAGGCCAGTACGGCAATTTTTAGATGTAAAGTCACTTTACTGAGTCATATTTGGATATCCGTAATTGAGTCTGTATAATCCCATGCATGGGGCGAGTAGCACTCAGAAACCTCGAGAACATCAAGAGCCTCGTCAACTGCGTGGCCAGCTACACAAGTAACCCCCTGTTCCACATTATCTTAGACCTCACTTACTCCATTGGAAAAGGCTATTGTCATAATTGTTGTTGTCTTCTGAGATTTAATTGTTGTCGCAGGAGTCTGGAAAAGAAATAACCGATTGCGGGAGATTGTTGTTCCCATGGCAAAGAGGTTTGCCGGTCTCCACCCCAGCCTTATCCAATAAGAAGCGTGGTAATCTCTTCTCCCTACCCTCCCTTTATGTTGCCTCTAAGCGGAGTTACTAATAAGATTATGCTATAAGGCATCTAGTCAATATATAGTAAAGGTCCCTTGAGATAATTGCAGCCCTGGTGTGATGCAAGGGCTTGGAAAGAGCGCTGTCTTGTCAGATTTCCAAGTTGCCATTCGAGCTCTATAAGATCCCAAGTCCCCAATGCGACAATATTCCTTAACGAGGGCCACTCGGACGCTGAATAGACTTCAGAGTGAGGGATGAAAGTTCCAGTTTCACTTGCTTACGATACATATCGGCGTGCCCGGCATCGAAGCGTCAGGCCGAGTGGCAAAGGAAGCTCTCGGGCGAGACTCAGTCGCAAGAACGCGTTGCGGACCTCATCAAGGCCGACACACTACATGCTCGGGTCTTAACCACAAATCTAACCAAACTTTTGCGTTAGATAGAGAGTTTGAGGCATGTCACTAGGGAGGAGACTACCACTTAAATGCTATCCAGGAGATGGAAAAGCAGGGGGATGAAACTGGCGATGGACCCAAGGGAATTACGGTAGCTGGGCATGATGGCATTCGTGCTAATATTGGCATCTAAGCGTTTGCCTAACTGGTCTGTGTTCAAATCTGAGCTATGAACAAAGCTGGCTCTCCGTCTCAGGTAACTCATGAAGCTACTGCCGTACTACTTTTGCGCTGTAACACTACTACTCAGGTAGGCTTGTTGAAGAACGTCATTGGCGTATCCGGAAACCAGCAAGGGGGCAACCCAGACAAGATGGATATTGGTCCCGTCTCCCTGGCCCCTTTAGCACCCCACTTAAGAAATTATAATGGGAAACCAGTGACGTTTGAAAATTAGAGTGAGTCCGAACGGTGGAACTATTGCGCTCGTGCATCGTCTGGTGGCTATTGGTGCGTGTCTGATGAACACTGTGCTCCACAACCGTGCCAAGAGCGATGGGCAAGTCGAATGGCTATTTGCATATCTTATTGTGCTTCGTTACAAAGCAGACTGTGCACGTATCCCTGCATGCCATTCAATAGGGAATCGCTCTGAATAGTAGCCGAATCAAGGCCGCTATAATTTGGTTCTTCCCTTTAGTTGCCCTCTTCATGGGAAGTAAACAATTTGAAGAGCATATTCACACTGGAGTGAAGTGGATAAAGACTTAACCGCAGCCCTGGTCACACAAGTCGACTATTCTAAACCCCACGTGCTTCGGCTGGGGGGAGGGGGTTATCATTCCAGCCCCGCAAGCGTTGGATGATTCAAGACACCATACATAGAGAATCTTGATTGGAAGTTGGCCGATTACTAAACTTCCGCCAGGAACGTCTTCCTCAATTCCTCACTTTGATTCTATGTTTATCTTCCACACAGCATGGCACGAGTCATTCTCCTCGTTAACGGGCCTAACGTAAGTCCTTTAGGTATATTCCCGGGAGTCCGACCTATAACAGCACGTTACTCAACGATGTTCAGGAAATGGCTCAAAAGCTGGGTTAGGGAGATTGAAACTAATCTGGAAGGAAATTAGACGGCAGGGGATGAAAGATGGTTTTAATTGCACGTGATTTGCAGACAGATATGCTAGGTGAAGTCGGTATATCTGGCATGATTTCGCTGATCAACTGGGCCCATGGTATTACATTGCTATCATCTTCAAAGGAAAGGACTGTGTTCTTCTTTCATGACTAGTGAAAATATATAGAAGCCTACGTTGACTGTACGGCGACAGTTTTGACCTTTTGAATGGCCTCCTCCAACGTCTTATCATAAGCATTCAGCCCAATGATTGTGTTACATAACTGAGAAAATAAGAGGTCGGACTGGTAAGTTATGATGGGAATTATCTTACATAGGATGCATGAAAGATAAGACGAGTTCTGCCATTCTAATGGCCGGTCAATACTCTACGCCAGTCGTCGTGAAAGTTCAGACGAGCAACTTTAATTGAGATTTCCGTCTAAGTTTGGCGTCCAACTCGCCCATGGACGGAAACTGCAGCTGGTGGTCTCTTCAGAGAGCTATAATCTCCAAATTTTCTAGCCAAGATCAAAGATCTATGATCTTTTTATATTAGGCAGACATAAGTGAATTACCTTTGATCTTTAGGTATGTAAGCTTGATCGGTAGGTTGATTTAATTATGTCCTCCTTCCATCTTCCCACTCAGATACCAAGCCACATAATGATGATTTATCTTTGCCCATCCGTCTTAAGCCTTCTCAAGGTGGGTGTGGTCCTCCTTCTCCTCGGTGCTCTCGACGGCAGCGCGATTAAAAGCCTCCTCATTCTCCCGCAGCTGCTTCATGACAACGGCGTGTGCATGCCTTGGCTGTAAACCCTTGGCGAAGAGCATGTCCATTTGTTCTAGAGGCACGCTCTTAGTCTCGGGAACCAAGAAGTATACATAGATTATTGAGAGGAGCTGCAGTGACGCAAAGAGGAAGAAGACGCCATAGTTCATCTTGGTAAACATCTGGGGCGTAAAACGTGCGACAATGAAGTTCCAGAACCAGTTGTTAGCAGCAGCAAAGGCTTGACCCAAGCTTCGCATATTCTGGTCAAAGATCTCACTGCTGATACACCATGGTGTACCACTCCATGAAGGGGTATAAAAGATTGTAAAGAGGTAGAAGAAGGCAAGTGCCATCCTCCCGCCATCAGTATTGGCAGCGCCGGGATGATTCGTTGGTTGAGCGACGGCGATGTAACCACCAACCACCCAGAGAGATATCGAGCCACCCAAAGCGCCCCAAATGAGAAGGTTACGTCGGCCGAGATAGTCAATCATAAAGAGAATCCAAATAACGGTGACGACAGTTTTAATCACACCAAACATGCCGGTGGAAAACAAGGAAGCATTTGTACCCACAAGACCGATGGCCTGGAACACACGAGGAGAGTAATACTAGAAAAAAAAATATTAGCAATGCTGCTATTGTCCGGAGAGGGGAGTTACAGCAGTAAGGACCCACGTTGATAGCGTTAATACCAGAGCCGTTTTGCCAAAAGAAGAGACTACCGGCAAGGAACAGACGCCATTGCATAGACTTATTGCGCTTCGCCTCCTTGAAAGGGGCATAAAAGCCAAGGCCGATCGTTTGGGCCTGCATCTCAATGCCTTGGTCGATCTGAGAAATCTCCTCCTGGAGGTATGGGTGGTCGGCAGGGAGATTTCGTAGCCTAGATAGGACTTTGATGCCCTGTTCTCGCTTTCCATTTGTCATCAGTCATCGAGGACTCTCATCAGTGAGAAGGGCTCCGAGGACAAGGATGCCGGCCGGGACAAGTTGGATCGCGAACGGGATGAACCACTGCTTGTGCGAGGGGGCGATGGTTCGTGAAACGGCATACTATTCAAACAAGAATTAGCGCAACCCGCCTCGTGAAGGCTATACGGCAGAGAGTGTTGAACTGACGTTAATCCAGAAGCCGACCAGACCACCAGACTGCCATCCAACTTCCCACATGCCAACTAACCGACCACGAATAGCTGGGGGCGAGAGCTCTGAAATGTAGATGGGGATAAGGTTAGAGATAGCCCCGACACCCAGGCCGGCAACAACTCTCCCAGCGTACATGAGGCCGAACCCACGATCGCCGTTGGATGCGAGCATAATACCGGCTCCAATAACAAAGAGAACACCGAAGATGATCAAGCCTAGGCGACGGCCAAGGTAGTGGCCACCTAGATAGGCAAAGATGGCACCGAAGAAGGCACCTGCTTGGTAGCAGGACACAATATTGGCAGTGAGAAGATTAACCTCATCTTCGGACATGGTCTCAAAGTGAAACTCATCTTTGAAGGATTGCAGGGCAAGTGTGCCACCAATGAATGCGCTGTCATAGCCGATAGTAGCAGCACCAGCAGAGGCAATGGCAGCAAACAGATAGGTTCGCAAGTTGTAAACCTCCTTGGGGGTAGGCCGATCCTCCTCGACTTTGGGGAAAAGACGCATCTTGAAGCTTGATGACACACAAACGTATCAAAGAAGAGGAAGGATAAGGTAAGATGGAATCGATGCCTTTGTTGAAGTTGAAAGCTCTGCGTACTTCACCGAGAGGGAAGGGTATGGGGGCGACTAAATATTTATTCTGACGAGTCAGTGGAAATTCCTGAGATGGGGTCCAGACTCTTTCTCCAAGAAAACCTGGGGAATTACCCCTTACGAGTCATTGACCGGGGTTCGTCCTCTTCTCCGCAAACGCCTGGGGAATTACCCGATACGTGTAGCAAGAGTGGAGCTAGGCGGCTTAAGATCTTTGCCGGTTTGCGGGGATCCGAAAACCCCAACCCTCAGCATAACATATGCCTAGTGTCCATACAGTCGGAGTAGATGGGAGAATGCTTAGCCTGCAAGCCGATAACGGTTCTACAACTTTGGGAATGCGCCAGTCGGGAAAAGGCTTCTGAACATTTCTCGTCTCAACAGGCCCTTGATAAAGACAAAGGCCAAGGGTTTTGCTTTGCGTTGGCTAGATCCTAGCATATTTCGAGCATAACCCATCGCTCATCAGCTCAGAATTCCATTTTGGCCAGGTCTCCTAGTTTTGCCCAAAACAAGGATCCCATCAACAAAACATGACGCCCATCACAATCGCCATCATAGGCGCTGGGCTCATCGGCCCTCGCCATGCCAGGACAGCTTCTGCTCTAGAGACAACCAAGCTCGTTGCCATCGTCGACCCTGCTCCACCAGGCGGCCTTCTGGCGTCCGAGTTAGGGGTCCCGCACTACAAATCCATTGCAGACTTGGTTGCTTCTCCGGACAAGCCGGAGGCTGCTATTGTCTGCACGCCCAATCACACCCATGTCGCAGTGGCCAAGGAACTTTCGGCCGCAGGCATCCACGTTCTCCTTGAGAAGCCCGTGAGTACTGACATCAATTCCGGCCAGGAATTGATTGAACATCTCAAAGCGAACCCGGTCAAGGTCCTTGTTGGACACCATCGCAGATTCAACCCGTATATTGTGTCTGCCAAAAAAGTCCTTTCATCTGGTTCGCTGGGGAACATGATCGCAATCAGCGGAATATGGGCGACACTCAAGCCCCTCGATTATTTCGATGCGCCTACGGAGTGGAGGCGGCACAAGACTGGTGGCGTTGTGCTAATCAACTTGATCCATGAGGTGGATTTGCTTCACCATCTGATTGGGCCCATCAGTAAAGTCCATGCCGAGAAGACGATTTCGCAGAGAGGATTTGAGGCCGAAGAGGGGGCTGCATTGACGTTGAGATTCAAGTCCGGAGTTGTAGGCACCTTCGTAATCTCAGACAATGTGTGCTCACCCTACAATTTCGAGTCTGGAACGGGTGAAAACCCACTCATCCCCAAGACTGGCCAGGATACCTACCGTATTTTCGGTTCCAAGGCCACTCTCAGTGTCCCAGATTTGACTCTGTGGTCATACAAGGGTGAGAAGCTGTCGTGGCATTCGGAGATGGAATCTCAAAAGGCACCAGTCGCTCCGGGCATTCCGTTCGAACTGCAGCTGGATCATTTCAGCAAGGTTATCCACGGGCAGGAGGAGCCTAGCTGCACTGTCCGGACAGGATTAGCTGCCTTGATTGTTTGCGACGCCGTGAAGAAGGCTTTGGAGACGAATACTACTATAGAGATTGATGATTACGAACTATAGGCTTATCTGATGTTAGTAGTAAGTAAGAGAGCTATACACCTGTTGAGAGAAAAGGGGGGAATTCCCAAACACCAAGAATTTAACAACTTGACACCATACACAGTATCACAACACATTAAACTTTAACCATTTTGCCCGACTACGAGGCTTGCTGATCTGATGTTAGCAACTTATGGGAAACCAGCCAACTTATAGACCCCTATATATAAAAAAAAGGCGTTTTACTTTTGCTCTATTGTTTCAAGCGCACCCAAACGTACAATTTCACTATCTTAATAACTAAGTCTTATTTTTGCTATTCTAGACTGCTATTCTAGATAAAGTAGAACCCAGACAAAGGAACTCTTCCAAACATGCAAGAAATGATTTCCATGAGCATGACTATTATGCCACGCTAGTAGGTCATCACTGGAATCCTTGTTGTCCCTCAGACGCTCCACTTTACAGTCATGCCTAGTTCTGCTACTACCTACACCAAAGCTATATTAATTGTTCAAGTACAGTATATGGTTTTCTCCATCTAGCCTGTATGCAAGTTAGGGTATGACGCAGGTGTTATTTATGTACTATGATCTTAGATAATAAGTTCAGAAATATTCCAAAACGTTACCTTGGAAAATGTGAGGGTAGGCGAGGTTCGGGGAAACTGGCATCGCTTCAAGGAGAGGTCTATATTATGGCTATCGATATTCACCAATTTCATTTGTACAAGCCGTCAAATTATGGCGTATCTGCTCTATGATTTAGGGCGGCTGATTGCAACCGTAGTGAAGTTGTTGAGGTAGTCACACATATAAACATTAGGTAGGTAGTAAGAATATATTTGATAGCTCTGATCTTTCTGACAGCCGATTTAATGTATCTGGGCTTGATATACTTGCTTATGTTTAACATACTCACTCGTTGACTATGCTGGGAGTCGCATTGAAAGTTTGGTTGCCGCTCTTGCGCAGTGGAAATTGCATTCAATCCAAGATGGAAAGAGTCCACTGGGCCATGGGCACTGCATGACGGCCTGGTGAAATCAAAACCTTCTGAAAGATGGTCATAGAGGCACATTCTATGATAAGAGTTCATTTTTATCCAAGAAGTGAGAACATGCACGGGCGATGGATTGCTGCCATTACAGAATGTAGAATGACTCAGAAAACGAAGTTCTACATTCCGGTTTTCCATGAAGCGGCCAAGGCAGCGTTTAGCATGGCGCACCGTCCAAATACCCAACCAGGAGCGCATTACCCAGACAAAACTGACACGGGGCGTTGGAATTGCTGATATTAATTGAAGGTTCTGCTCCTGACTGGCCCAGAAAAGCCACCTTCAGGTGGTGTGTCGGCGTAGTTGCCTTGTGTGGGATGATGGACAGAACGATGGCAGGAGCACCTGTCGTCGAGAGCGCCTTCCCTCCGTGCCAGATGCCCACAAAGCGAGCATTTCGAAACGGGCAGAATCATTTTGATTCTGGTTCTTTGGCCGCTCGTGAACGAGAATACAGCAACACCAGCAGCAACAGCAACATCACAAGCAACAGCAACAGCAGCAGCGACAGCAACAACAACGACAACGACGACGACGAAGACGACGACGACGACGAGAACGACGAGAACGACGACGACGATGACGACGATGACGATGAAGGGGGTGCTCCTCGCCGGCCTGGTGGCGGTGACGGCGGTGGTTTTCGGCGCGGCGGTTAGGTCCGCAACCATGGCTCCCGGGCCAATGTGTTCGGAGCAGGGGCTCCATTACCAGTACGAGCTTGCTGGTGTCCTTGGCGGGTGGACGGTCTTGGTGACCGGCTTTGTTCTTTTGTGGTGGGGTTTTTACGTCCACATCATGGGGATGGGACCCCAACCCGTGCCTGGCCCGGCTGGGCCCGAGGGCAAGAAGGGCAAGACTGGCCGCAGGGGCCCCGCTGGTCTTCGCGGTCCCCCTGGTCTTCGTGGTCCCCGTGGCTTTCGCGGCCGGGTCGTCTTCCCTCCCCTCGTTCCGGCGCCGTTGCGTCTTCCCGCCTCCCCGCTCATCCCCCCTCGATCTCTCAACCGTCTCTCCAGCGGATCCGTCACCAATCCGCTAAATGCCCAGGAATAAGGGCAGTGATAAAAGTGTTGAGCAGGATAATCACTATAAAATAACGGCCCCATATTGAGAAGAGCAGGAGGAGAGAGAGGAAGAAGAAGAAGAAACAGAAGAACGAGAAGCCCGGTTGGCGCCCCCAAAGGGCCAGGTCGCCACCTCAGCCAGAGCTCATGTCTGGCTGGGGCCTGAATCACGGAGACTGTGGGTCAGACGCTTCAATCATTCGCGTACCCATTCAGGTCTAGTAGGCATCATCATCAAAGCCGAAGCTAAAGCAGCTCCATCACCTCTCTCTCAGTCAAAGAGCAGGTGTAAAGGCGACCAAAATCTATGCCCGCGCCATTTCGACCATCATCAAACGTGCGGCTTCAACACCGTTAAATCTCTTCTATCTTCTCTCTTCCTCAAAGCAATGGAGTTTGTTTCATCATGGTAAGTTTGACGAATTTGCAGAGGCAGTGGTAGAAGTCTTACGCTTTTAGCATGCAGTCACTCATCGATATCTCTACAATCTAGGTATCATACGAAGAACAAAAAGGGCATTATGCGTAATTCTTTTCCTCGGTTCGAATACCACATTATCCTTTCGAGAAACGACAAATGTTCGAGACGTCATCCCCTGGCCTACGGCAAAGAGACACTGTCAAAGTGGATTTAATGCAAAGACATTACGCGTCGGAACCAGCCGCCAGTTGGCCAGCTCGGGAGCCTATTTTGTTTTGTGCTGGCTTCGGGAAGCCCCCCCAACCTATGATCCTGCGAAACTTCGTCGCGACAAAACATTTCAATCTATCAAAGATAGATATTCATCCCCACGCTTCGACCATTGATCACACAAGGCACGGCGGCATTATCAACAAAGCGGACGAGGTTGCTCATGTTGATCGTCCCCATTACTTTCGCCAGGGTGGATCCGGACCCTGACTTGCTTCTGCCATACTATGATGAAAATAAGCTCTTCTGAAGAATTTGACACTCCATTAGCGACAAAGGATCTAAAAAAGTTCAATTCGCCACGTCCTAATGAGACTAGTCACTCCAGATCCTCCGTCACTGTACCACTAAACCTTGTTGTTGGCCACCGGAAAGGCTCAGAAAGCATTCTGCGAAGCAACGGGTCTCCGTCGAGCTATCCGACTTCCTGATTGGCTCAGTCAGAACAACCTCCAGCAAGTTGGGTGTCGTAGCTTTCCGTGTCAAACTTTGTACGTCGCCTTTGGAAAAAAAGTCGTCTACTTAAACTCTGGAGTCGACCTTCTTTCAACTTGGCATAATTTCTCTTCTTAGAGAAACAGTCTTACTATGTCAGTCATATCTTGGGGCTACAGTCGGTTTGCGTGGCTTTTCCCGCCGCGACTGGGGCAGATGATGTCGCAAGACTATGACATCGAAAACGCAGCACTTCGCGATGATTCGTGCAGTGAGATAACTCTGATACCTGATAACGTCAGCCAAGAAAGAATTGTGGCTACAAAGTCCCATCGTGCTTCGAAACTACTTGGTTTTGGTGATGGATCATCAGGAAGGGACAAATCCTCTACGCAGCAGACGCAATCCAATACGCAGCAACCATCACATCCCAAGAAGCCATGTACCTGTCAACACCATCGAGGCTGCTGCCGAGCACATCGATCGACACGCAGGCCTAACAGACCATCGTCAATCTTTTCGTCGCAGCCTGGCCTTCCCAACCACAAGGGAGTACTTCCGACCACATTCCAGACCTACACACTCGAGCCAATACACCCAGTCGTGCCTTACCACCTCTCATTTGAGAATCTTAAGTGCAGTAGACAAAGTCTTCGCCCACGAAGGAAGATGACTCTAGTTACAGATTTGTGTGGTCAGGACGAAGTTACAGCTGCAGGGGGGACTACCTATATTTGGAGCAACGACATATACTACGCCAACGGTACTTTCTTGCAAAAACAACAAGTTGCCTACCAAATGATTTATTTCCACAAAAATCGGGGTGAATTATTCAAATGTTGTCCTCACAACAGTCTTCACCTATCCAAGCCCGTCTTCAAAACCACTAATGGCTTCCAAGAGGTCAAAATGGAGATCACGAATCGGCCTAAGCGTTGCCCAAGTCACCCTACGGAGCAGTGGAGTAGTCTTCGTGGTAAGCATGTCCAGATGGTGACCTGCGAAATATGCCATTCTGACGCGGAGTGCGTGTTGGAGTTCTCCGGTGGCTGGTTGTATGCGCGATACACCTGCTATAGAGAGCTTGGCGACGGAGAGAATTTTGAGAGTCGGCAGTGGCTCTCTTTACTGACGGGCCAAAGCTATAGTGCCCGGCCGAGGAACTTTGATGTGTATATCCGTGTTTACTCTGCGGCTAGGCGTTTGGGGCGCGATACGGAGAGTGTAATGCACCAGGGGCCCAATGGGGCATTCGATGTAGAGACCTACTGTTATTCGAAAGAGTAGGTGTGGAGGAGTGAAAAGCGCGAACTGGCAGATTAATGCGTACGTTCTTTGACTTATCACCACAAAATCAATCCGTTCTATATCGCCACTCTGTAGGGTTTCAGAAGATGTAAAGAATTAAGGTAATTATTGGCTTCCCACGGCGGCGGTGTCTCGTTTGATTATGATTATGGCTGCTGCCCTAGGACTTAGCCTTATTTCATGGTTTGGACCTGTTGTATAAGGTGAACAATGGAATGCGAAAAGTGTGCCAGTTTTCCCCTCTCCTATCAGGAATCTTCGGTTTTCAGTCGCTGCCCTCACTGCGCGATTCACTGCGCGATGAGCCCTTTGCTTCCTCCGCTTCAAGATTGTCTTTGCCATTGCCTCCTCCTCATTGACGAGCTACTGCCGCCGCAGACAATGAGCGAACAGGCTCATGATGTGTTCAATAACCTCGGGTAGTAGGGTATATTTTCTTTCTAATTTTGTCAGCCACCTTTCCTTCTTTACATGAGAGAGTGGGGAGGGTGGGTTTGTAGACTTTCGTTCTGCATGGCTGTAGTTTTGGGCCAGCAGAGCTTATTTTTCCATCTCGTATTCATTATATTCAGATATCTTAGCTGGCATCTTCTACTACCCTTTCTTTCTATACGAGTCGAGTTATTCAGACTATCGCACATATAACATCATCCATTGTTATTTCTCTGCCATGATTAAGAGCAAGCTTTTGTAGCATCGTACTCGATTACGGATCATGGTCCTTAGAACAGCAAGATGCAATTGGAAACGGTCCTGGGCTACATGGAAAGCGGCATAGGAGGGAGCCACGGCTCATCTCGGTTAGGCAGCTCACCACATCGTAATGTGTTCAGTATCAGTCAAGATTTCTTGCTCGCCCTTCCCCATGCGCCCATCCTTTCGGGTCAACTCGATCCTATTTATAACCCTATGATGCCCTAGGCCATCCGTATTGAACCCAAGTCACTTCAAGTATGGCCTATTAAGGCTTGAATTCGAAGCTTCAGCCATTTCATGCGAATTTGTGACCTAATGGTGTAGGGTAGGAAGTCAGTGAGAAGACCGCTGGATTTCAAAGTCGCAGATTTTGCACTACCCATTTGGTCTCTTCTTTATGGGCATCACCCGATAACCCTAAGGTCGAGGGCGACGATCAAGTGTCATGATAGGTTACGGAATCTCAAAAGAACGAGGAAAGTCTGTTCTTAATCACCCAATGGACGATAGTTCCTCAGTTCCCTTGCGTCAAATATTTGTCCCGATTGAATCCCACAAACAAATCCAAGCCCTCTGCAAACCCCAATTATCCCCATAACTTGGTCTCAAATGCAGTTTCGGGGTGGAATTATTGATAAGTGGCCCTAGGATATATCGAGACCGTTCATCAGCCCCATTGAGCTAAATGATACCAACGAACTTGCTCTCACGATCTTCCAGACGGATCAACCGCTGTCTAGATACTGGATACTATCTTTACATATTGTTACAGAATTGCAAGTTATCAAAGCATCAAATCGGCTTTAATTTTCTGGTGCCTTTTCATCCAGCTCAGCTAGACTTAGCCGAGAGGTGAGCGTTGGATAGCTTTTTCAGCATATTCAGCGATTATGTTGGGTCGTATCAGTTTAGCGAATTAGCTCAATTAATAGAATTAGTAGAGACAGTAGTCCACCTTTAGGCTGCTGCGAGTATCATCAATAGCGCCCGCAGATAGGAGATAAGTGAGATCAAGTGTTTTGATCCAAACCCAGGTAGTCTAGCCCCATTCCCTTGAAGAGGCCGCAACGCAATAGTGTTATTGTAATATCGTTTTAGCGTTGGGAATTAAATTCTCAATACTACCTCATCGCATTGCCCGACAGACCATCCTGCTTGTCATCTCAGGAAGGTTTTCTTGGGCTTGTCTTGTTCAACCCAGTAGAAAGACTCTTGCGGATATTGCATATATAAATTGTTCGACCGTTGCTCGTAAGTTATCTTTCGAGGTTAATTTATCATAGGAGGGTGAAAGGGATACTGTTTGAACTGTAAACCATCATTATATCTAATAGAATCGGAGAGGATAGGGCAAGTCGTGGTTCCAAGCAAAACTGGAGAATCTCTTTGTTCTGTAGCTCTGTGGAGCCATATCCCGGGCTGGCTAGGCAAGCTAGTCTAATTACTGTTTGCTTGAGGACGCGCGAGCGGGCTGTCCGACAGAAGAAGCCAAATCCCGGCGTCCTAGTCCGACAGTCAGTTTAAGAGCGCGTTGGCGGACTGTCCGACAAAGGAAGCTCACCCTGTTAGAGATGTTTGGAGAGTAGCATGTCTCTGTCAGCTCTTCAGAATTGTGCATGGGAAATAGACAGATTGCTCGTATACGAGTAAATTGGTAAACAATTACTCTCGTCTTTGCTCCCGGCTGTTTCAGCCGTCGCATTTAGTACCTAAGAGCCATGTAGTGAGATCCAGTGTTGCACATGCCAACTTATCAAGGCGGGAGATCCGATGCTGGTCAGGTTGGTAGGGACCAAGCGTTGAGCGTGAGACCTATCGTCCTAATCTGTCCAATATCGCGAAGTAGACTAAACATGACTCAATCAAGGTTCTAGACCCTGTAGACCCTCCATAGTATCTGCACGATGTTTCTTGAACTTCTCTAGATCCGGGGTCCCCAAGATAAGCTTGTTCCCGATATGCTTAACAAGGACATGTTAAATAACAGGCATCATACCCATCTCATGTTCCACCAACAACATTCTCCATCGCCTATACTTTTTCCAGCAACGATAATCAAATCTGAAATCGCCAGCCTTTCTCTTCGCAATCATGGGGCACAAACGGGTCATGCTCGTCGTGTGCATGGTGGCCGCGCTCAACTGTGCTAGTGTGGGTTATGATTCCAGCATGATGAGCTCACTGAACATTCTGGTATGCCCCGGAACCCCTTTTATGTGGAGGTGTCACTTCTTTACTAACTTGAACAACACTTGTAGCTCTCGTTCCAGCAGAAGTTCCAGCTCGACGCGCAGCTCAAGGGTCTCTTGACCGCTGTGCAAAACCTCGGTGCCATCGTCGCCGGCCTCTTCTCCGGTCTCGTCGTCGATAGATGGGGTCGCAAAGGCGGCATTCTGGTAGCGTCCATCCTCGTTCTGATCTCATGTGCAATCCACGCCACTTCTACCACCAGGGCCCAATTCTTCGTGGGCCGAATCCTCGTGGGCGTCGCCAAAGCAGTCGACATTGCCGCAGTGCCCACCTATCTTGTCGAAATGGCGCCCCCTGGTCGCCGTGGTTTCGTCGCTGGTCTCTACTGGACTTGCTGGCTCGTTGGTGCTATACTGTCCGCTGGCGTGGGGTACGGAGCCAGGAGCATTGGGGGAGACTGGAGCTGGCGAACAATCTGCATCTGCATGGCGGGACCGGCCGCGTCTTGTATCGCGTCTCTGGTTCTTATTCCAGAGTCTCCCCGATGGCTCATCTCACGCGGTCGCGAGCAGGAGGGGCTGAAGGTACTCGCAAAGTTTCATGGGAACGGCGACACCGATAATCCCTTGGTTGTTGCGGAGTTTAGGGAGATTAAGGAGACGATCGCATTGGAGCAGGCAGAGCACGCGCATTCGTTTATGGCATGGTGGAAGAAATTTGCCTCTGAAAAGTCCAACCTTCTCCGAGCGTATATCCTACTGTCCCTAGGAGTCTTTGAGCAAACCGTTGGCTCGAGCATCATCACATACTATCTCAGCAATGTGCTCACGCTAGCTGGCATCACCTCTGAATCACAGCAGTTCGCTATCAACATTGGCCAAAATTGTGTGGCCCTGGCCGCCGCCATCGTCGGGACCTGTGCTATTGACAGATTTGGCCGTGTCCCCATGCTTGTTGGGGGCACTTCTTTCTGTGCATTGGTTCTCGCCTGCATGGCAGGGCTTACAGCCACCCGGACAGGAAACGAAATGGGACGGAATGGCATAATAGCAATGGTCTTCTTATTTCAGATTGGGTATTCCTCGACCTGGACCCCTTTGTCTTTCTCGTATTGCGCCGAGGTGCTCAACTTTACCATCCGTGCAAGAGGCATGGGGTATGTACTATTCTTATGTGGAAACTCAAAGAGGTGCTTGCTAACTTGCTTCAACATAGGTTCTACAGCGTCATCACATCTTCTGCTGGATTTTTCAACCAGTATGTCATTCCCATCGGTCTCACAGGTATTGGCTGGAGGTAAGAGCAGCGTGTCCCCTTTACAAACTTTGGCGAGTGTACCGAGAGCAGATTGTTCTGACTGTCAAATAGATTTTATATTGTTGGCGTTTGCTGGAACGTTTTCGTCGCCATTGTCATAGCCTTCACGTACATCGAAACAAAGGGTCTTACTTTAGAGCAAATTGCCCAGCGTTTTGAAGGCGTCCCACGTGGCGAGGTTCTTGATGTCATTGAGGCTTACGATGGCGGTAAGCCCATTACCGAGCTTGAAACTGGTGAGAAGGAGGATCGCAAACAGTGAGAGCCTGGGCAGAGGTTTCAAAGGCATGATCATTGGGCAGGGCTTGTCACTAAACGATGCGCTTTGGAAATAGTAAATAAATAATTCTGGCCTTTCTATAATCAATGTCTGATTCCAGTTACTGGAATCAATAAATTATTAATAGCTTCTTTAAATAATTCTTAACCTTCTGTCAGCTTCTCTAGCTATAATGTTGAATAGTATCAAAATCCTCTTGAGTCTCCAATTTAATTTTTACATTGACATTTCCCCCTATCAACGTTGTTGACTGGGTAACATGAAATATAGATCTCAAACTTGGGGCTTTGTACCTACCCAAAATCAATGGACACATTTGACGTAATTTTTACATAGATTCCATTGGCAATATAGACCATCGAATACCTACGTGAGAATGTTTCGAGGTATTTGTTGAATTTGGTTCATAATAAGAAATATTTTACTTCTTTAACAACATAGGACACATGGCATCACCCATGTCTAACTTCAGGCTATTATGCATCTATAATACCGGCCGCTTCATTAGCTCTAATCTCCGAGTTGATGTCGTCTAGCAGTGCTTGAATCTCTGTTGCGGGGAAGCGTTGGCGCAAACGACGATCAAGCGTCGTGACCAGCCCGAAGAACGAAGAGCCGCAGTGAATCAACATCTTCTCAGCCTCGTCATCAGTGATGGAAAGGCGACCTGAGAGGTAAGCACGGAATTTCTTTCGGGCAACTGGTGTCTCAAGAATGATCTGTGGCTGTGTGTCTACAAGGATCTCGCGGTAGCGAGCGATAGGCGAACGGGTGGACACTTGAGAATGTAGCTTGATGTCGCGCGACGATGCGCCAACCTCGATAACGATGTCGTCGTTATCCAGAATCCACATCTTTCGAAGCGTGTCGTAGTAGCGCAGGTCATCTGCATCAATCGATATCTCTACCTTTACTGTTTCACCCGCTGGAACAACCGTCTTTGTGAAGCCCTTCAACTCATGACGTGGGCGACGGACACGTGGCTTGCCATAGCGGGCATAAACTTGGGTCACTTCGCTTCCTGTGACGGCACTTGTATTGGTAATGTTGAAGCTGACCTTGAGCGTATCACCGTCGAGAATCGTAGATTGACTCACGGCCATGTCACTGTACTCGAAGGTTGAGTAGCTTAGTCCATAGCCAAAGGGGAAAAGGAGGTCTGTGTTGCAAGTATTGTAGGTACGGTAACCGACAAAGAGACCTTCGGAATAGATATGCTCGCCATTCTCCCCGGGATAATTTAGGTAGCCCGGGATGTCCTCAAGAGCACGAGGGAAGCTCGTGGTAAGCTTGCCTGAGGGATTAACCACGCCAAATAAGATGTCGGCCACCGCGCCGCCCATCGCTTGTCCAGAGAAGAAGGTCGCCAACACTGCCGCAACATCGTCGATCCATGGCATCGCCACTGCGTCTGGGCTGGACACCACCACGACTGTGTTCTTATTAGCAGCAGCGACTGCTTTGACCAACTCATCCTGACCGACGCCCAGCGCCAGCGTTTGACGGTCCGACCCTTCGCCGTCCCAGCCAACCTCGGTGTTGACAAAGACTATGGCCACTTCGGCTGCACGTGCTCCCGCAACAGCCTCATTGGAAGCATCTTGAGAGCCTGTTCCCCGGTAGTGACTGATCTGCGCCTGGCCGGCAAGAGCACGGATCTCATCCAGAGGCACATCCACTTGTGTTGGTGCTGTCGTTGCACATCCAGAACCCTGGATGACGGCTTCAACCGCGCTTTCACCGATGACAGCGATGGATTTGACGTGTCCAGGCCGCAAGGGGAGAATCCCTCCATCATTCTTCAAAAGAACATTGGAACTGCCAGCAATTCTCCGAGCAAGCTGATGGTGGGCATCTGCGTCGAGCGCCGGCACAGCGATCTTGGAACCTTGTTCGCACCTACGGACCAGCTCGATGAGCCGTTGGCAAGATAGATCAACCGCCTCCATGGAGAGATTGCCGCATTTCATGGCGGCCAGGAGGTCCTCGTGCCGGCTTTTGCTTTCGGGCATGTCGAGGTCGTTGCCGGCAGCAACCGATGCCGGGCGATCCTTGATGCCGTGCCAGTCTGACATGACGAGGCCTTTATAGCCCCATTCCTCGCGAAGCACAGTGTTGAGCAGCCATGGATTCTCAGCGACCTGGACTCCATTAAGCCTATTGTAGGAGCTCATCACGGTCCAAGGGTCACTCTTCTTAATGGCCCGTTGGTAGCCCAAGAGGTAGATCTCCCGCAACGCACGAGCGTCAATAATGTTGTTCATAGTGGTGCGCTCGACTTCGTTGTTGTTGCAGGCAAAATGCTTAATCGACGCGCCGACGCCGCGACCCTGCAGACCATTGATCAAGCTTGCTGCCAGATCGCCAGTCAGGATGGGATCCTCGGACAAGTACTCATACACCCGGCCGCCCAGCGGTGTCCGCCGAATGTTGACGCCTGGTCCGAGAAGGAGGTCGATACCAAAGGCCCGGCATTCAAGCCCAAGGGCAGCGCCCATCTGGAAGGCGAGGTCCACGTCCCAGGAACATGCGACACTTGAGCCATTGGGGAAGCAAGTTGCCGGCTTCATCGTGCCCCAGGCGACCTCGACCTCGTTTGCCTTGCGATTGACCATTGAAAGGAAGGCTTCAAAGTCCTGCCCGGCCGGCTGGTCCTCGTCAATCTGGGGGATGGAGTAGCGCACGCCATGAGTTCCGTCAGTCATGACAAGGGCACGCACCCCGAGATGATCGAGGCTGTGCGTCCTCCACATCCGATGGCCTGTGAGGAATGCGGCCTTGTCCTCGATTGTCATCTTCTGGACAATGGCCTGAGCCTCTAAAGGGACCTTTTGATCCTCCATGTTGATTTGTCCTTGGAGGTGTGCCTTATCGTAGTAGGTCTGAATGTCTCTGGGATATGATTGCACCTCAAGCTTGGCAATCGCAGTTTTATCGACGGACAAGCAGACAGTGCAATATGTAGGTGCCCAATCGTCGCAGCGAAATCGCCTTTGTCGCTGACCAAATTCTAGTCTTGTTCAAAACCGCTCAAAAGCCAAGTGCGGGACAGTCTAAAGCTACCGTCGTACTGCCACTATTCGCTAATATGGAGCTGCGACGAGCACCGGACAGTGACGCAGTTCCAGTGTCGGAGCCTCCGACAATATCGAGCTGAGGGGAAGATATCGGTCGGCGGCTGAGGCGACGGTTTTACGCTCCACTCCGATGGTAAACCCTTGGTTCACTACAAACTCGTACCCGCAGGTCGGAAAGACCGACACTCCTCAACTAGCCAGGTTTCCAGTGTACCCTAATTGCAGTATTGGAGTGGTCCAATGTAGTGAGCAACAAGGCCTTCTACTACGAGCCAATCAATCCAATGCCCAAAACCGTACCAAATCAACAACGCATAAATTTGGATCAAAGGCTTCTGAGTTTCTAGTTGGTTGATATGTCGAGGGGAGGTGGGGGGAGATGATATCAAAAGTAGAATTGCGAGCTTGAGGCTATCACGAAAATAAAGGCGAATTAAGGAGAAAGGAGCCTGGACGAAATAACAAGACGAAAGTTGGGCCTGTCATTCCTTACGACAGCTTGGTAATGATTCATGCACGTCAGGTATTATATTTACGATCATAGGATATGTATATATCATCTTACTTACAAGTCAACTCTATTTCCTTCTCTGAATAGGAAGTTTTTCAAAGGCTCATTTAAGAAGAGAAAGGCTAGGAGAGTGAATAAGAGTAAGATTAGAGCTAAAGCCATTTGATTTTCGTTTCCCCACAAACATCATCCCTGTGAGCTACAATGTTTGTGAAAAGGGAAGCCTTGATAATGATCTTTCCAGGGAACATGGGCGACTGTGTCGCCACCGGACTAGCAGGAATTGAATGCGTAAGCTTGTAAGGGTCTCGCCTTTAACGATTTAATAATTAACACTCACCTTCCGCAAGAACTGCAAAAGAATCGCTATAAAACTTAGAAAGGCGCCAATATAAGAAGCGAGGCTCGACATACCATGATGGTGTTACCTGATGCTGTGTTCTTGTCGTAATATATCGTCAGCTTAGACTCCGGATCCTTCACCAGTTCCTTGTCTTCTTCGAGTATAAAATTGATTGAATACGCTGTTTAATAAGCTGTCAGTCTGAAATCATTTAGATATAGGCCTTGTGCAGTCCAAGAAGGCTGAACAGGATTGTTTACTTACGACCACCGGCGCGACGACAATTATAACTGGCGCAGGACATAAGTTTAACATTCCAAGCATCGTTTTAGCACATACCAGTGGCAAGCAACAACAGACTGAGGAGCTTCTGAAAGTTTCACTTCGATTGACCCGCAGTTGCAGTGCCCAAGTTGGTCCATGATCCCCACGGTAGACTAATTTGTATTGCCTGATCAAAAGGTTCGAAATGAGGATAGTTTGAGGTGTTCTTATAATAACATTATGATTACATCACTACGTAAGGGGAAAAGAGGCTTTGAACAATCGAGAGCAGAGGCATCTGACTGTGAGTATAGCCCATCTCGGTCCGAGCCGATCAATTTTAGCAAGTAGCGGAATCGATGGGGGCTATGGAATTTGGCAACCACAGTCTTTCGGGGGATGAGCTGACCAAATCCGACCACCAGATGAGCTCCATTGCTTGTGACCCGAGCACATCATCTCGACTGCCTTACCTGACTACCTACTAGAGGTCGATGGTTCAATGGGCGTCAGAAAGCAAGAGAGCATCCCAAGAAGAATGGCATCAACTCCGAGCCTCCAACGGAAAGTTAAACCGGGTCCTTGGAGAAGCCTTAGTCTACAAGTTGCCTAAGTCTCCCAATATCAACTAAGCCGTCCTGTATTCAGTTTTGCTGTTGTTATTGCTAATGGTGGTGCTGATTCCGTTCCTCTTTTCCGCTCCGCGATTCCGGTCCAAGCGCAGACAAGTCTATCACTTGCCGCTGCTAATACCCGCTGCACCTGGACGGTTATATGAATCCCTGCTCGAAGTAGTGTTATCTTGTAGCCCACACGGTTTCGAGGCTAAAAGTATGTGGCTTGTGTGTGTGGAGCCCGCCGTGGAGCCAAGGCACAATTTCCTAAAACGGAGATTCAGCCACCCGCTTCGCCGCCATGGAACTAACGCCCAGAAAGGGATTGCTCATGTGCCGCACTGGTCTTGGCTCCATAAGCGGATGAATGCTATCGTTGCAACGAATAATCGAAAAGATGTTACGTACGATTGTAGCTCTATGCTTGGATCTTTAACTATATTGGAAAGGAAAAAGTTGACAGAGCCCTGGCCCCCGAGTCCCCGATCGTGGGGTAAAAACCGTAGACGCCGACTAAGCCTGAGTTAACGGCGGTATATAACAAAACGCCCAAACCAGCGTTGACGCAAGAATGGCGGGTTACCCTTTACGCTACAAGCCTTTTACGCACTGCCAAACATCCCCCCTGTTACGTTACCATGACTGGCACTTTACCTAATGCTCGAGCCTTGCCGCTCCCCGAGTCCACGCGAAAGCTGCACCAGCTCAACCAACAGTACAGTGTTGGCGGCATCAACTCGGTGGCCGTATATTTTGCTTCTGGAAAGGGCGCCACTCTGATTGTAATAAAAGACTTAAAACCCATGTCATCGCTGGTTGTGCTTTTCTAATAACACGCTTCTGGTAGGATTCGGAAGGCAGAGAGCTACTTGATTTTGTCAATGGTTTTAGCTCTACCAACCTGGGGCAATGCCACCCCCGCATAGTGGCGGCTCAGGTCAACACCGCAAACAAGAGTAAGTCTGTATGTCGCACTAGCCTCTGTCCTAACTAACGTATATCAGTTACTCTCGCCAACATTGGTGGCATGTCCCAAGAGTGGCCCGTGCTTGCAGAGAAGCTGTGCCGCAAATTTGGGTACGACAAGGTTGCGGCTGCGGTGACGGGCTCCGAGGCGGCCGACACAGCTTGTAAACTGGCCCGTGGCTGGGGAATCAATGTCAAGAAGATTGATCCTCAGGATGTGCTCGTCCTTGGAACCTCAGAAAACTACCACGGTACCATCACGGGCGTATGGCCGCTCATGGAGCCCGGAGCAGGTCAAGAAGGTACCCATTCGTCACAAAATCTATGCATGATGTATTTAGGGCTAATCTTGTCACGACAGTGTATGGTACCTTTAGTAAGAACCTGACGAACATCAACCCAAAAACTGGCAAAGTTCTTCGTTATCTTCACGCTGAAGATTATGCCGAGATCTTTGAGCAAATGGGAGAGCGCATTGCTGCTGTCATCATGGAGCCGCTCCATGGATTAGCCAAGTCAGTCGACTCCAACACTTATTAGCCACAGGCTCATTGTGACATTGCACTGCCAGGCTGAATCTAACATGTTTTAACAGGTCCAAAGATGATGAAGTCAACTTCTGTATTAAGGTTCGCCAGCTGTGCAAAAAGCACAATATTCTCTACATCGCCGACGAGATCCGCATGGGCTCCTGTAAGACGGGCAAATTCCTCAGTTCGGACTGGTTGGGGCCCGAGAACAAGCCAGACATGGTTACTATTGGCAAATCAATCAGTGGCGGAGCCTATCCAGCTTCCTTTATCCTTGGTCCTGACGAGGTGATGGGGCAAATGAAGCCTTACCACGGAATCCACACCTTCGCAATGACCAGCATGGCATGTGCGACTGTTCTAGCTGCTCTGGAAGTCTACGAGGAAGAAAAGCTGCATGAAAGAGCTCTTGCTATCCAAGAAAAATGGGTCAAAGAGACGTCTACGTGGGATTTCCCATACCTCAAATACTGCCCATCGTATGGAGCCGACTTTAGTCTTGTTCTAGACCTAGCACATGAAGGCATCACGTCTCGCAGGTTTTGTCTGCTGTCCGCAAGCAAGGGACTGCTTTCCGCCACCGGCCCGAATGGACGAGTGCGTCTGGGAGCATCACTGATCATCAACGACGAGGATCTGCTGCGAGGCTTTCAAATCATCAAGGAGACACTGGCGGATCTACCCAATTACGGGCAGATTGAGGGTTCGGAGGTTCCCCTAGGCGCTTTCTAGACTCTGATAAATTAGTTTCTCCTAATTAGTGTGCTATGATAGACCTTGGCCAACGCGTGGTCAATGGAATTAGCATTTCAAATACACAATATCTTGGTGGACGTTCGTTCATTTTCCTGACCATAGTGCTTCCTTTGTTAGTCATAGAAAAACTCTTGCCATTCGGATCCCTATTATTCCAGTATCTGTAGGATGAATAGCCGGCAAAAAGGGGCAATATGTATCAAGATTGGGCTGCAAATCGCGGGGTTCGGCCAGTCGGAAGATGGCAGAAGATGGTACTTGAAGTGTCATGTCGTTGTCTCCGAGTTCCGCTTGGGGTAACTTGGTCGATCATAATCCCCGCAAGTCTGAAAATGCCAAGACGTGAACTTCAGGGGCGGAAATGGGATACATGGAGTAGCCGATATCTACCTCCACCGTCGTACCGAAATGTGCTGTGCGGTTGAGTAACCAAATGCAGCAGCAATGCCGGACGGCCCCGGAGGTCTTTAGTCACTGGAAATGGCAAATGGATCTCTGGCCCATCATATCAGTGACTTGTCGTAAAATGCCAAAACGGCCCTTCATGCTGCAGTAATTCGACAGTCCTTCGGCCTCTTGGTGTAGCAATTCTGCAAAGCGAAAGCCTTGTCCTGCCATACTCACATAACCATGGCAATCTTCAACGGTACTTGCATCTTTCATCCCAGAATCTGACCATACGACTTATTGACTTTGTGAGATAGATGCGACCGATTCCCAAGACCCGTACGAAACCGTAGATGAGACGACAGCCCTTCTATCACCGCGAAGCAAAGCCCCATCGGCCACATGGCGCCCGTCTCGCGAAGCGTTGAGGCCGATGGCTCGGGAAGCCCTCGTCCTCTTGAAGACATCAATCCCCATCATCGCATCGTACATACTCCAAAACTCGATTCAGACAATCTCAATCATAATTGTTGGAAGGTCAAGGCCCAAAGACCTATCGGTAGCGGCCTTTGCATACATGTTTAGCACCTGCTCTGGCTGGCTCATTGGCATGGGCGGCTCCACGGCCCTGGACACACTTGCCTCGGCAGCCTATACAGGAGGCGGCGACAAGCATCACGCGGGTGTCCTCTTGCAGAGATGCTTCATCGTCTTGACGATGCTCTACCTGCCCGTGTGCGTGATCTGGGTCTTCTCCGGTCGGTTATTCATCCTCCTGGGGCAGGATGCCGACTTCTCCTGGGAGTCGGCCAAGTTCCTCACGTATCTGATTCCGGGAGGCTTTGGTTATATATATTTCGAGTCTCTGAAGAAGTACCTGCAGGTTCAAGGATTGATCCGCCCAGCCACCTACGTGATGCTGGTTGTCTCTCCCTTGAGCGGTCTCCTAAACTACATCTTCATCAACAACTCCAAGCTCGGGCTGCTCGGAGCACCATTGGCGACCGGGCTGTCCTACTGGATATCTTTTGGCCTCCTTGTCCTGTACACAAGTTATATTTCCGGCCACGAGTGCTGGGGAGGTTGGAATAAAGCCTGCCTCAATCACCTGGGCGCTTTTACTCGCATCGCTCTCCTGGGCATCATCCAGCTGGGAACCGAATTCTGGGCATTTGAGATCGTCGCGCTCGTGGCCGGCAGCCTGGGTAAGCTGCCCCTAGCCGGCCAGAGCGTCCTCATGACGGCAGACGGGGTCCTCGTCACCATCCCCTTCGGCATCGGCGTGGCCACCAGCGTACGTGTGGGTGGCTTCCTCGGGGCAAAGGACCTCGAGAGCGCCCGACGCTCGGCGCACACGTCGTTTGTCCTTACTGCGACGATTTCCATCTTCGTCTGCCTGCTCCTCATACTGACCCGGAACCACTTTGCGAAGATATTCACCAGCGAGTCCGAAGTCATACGCTACGTCGCTCTGGTGATGCCCTGGATCGGCCTCTTCCAGATCACCGACGCCCTCAACGGGAGCTCGGGGGGTGCTCTGAGAGGCATGGGCAAGCAGCACATCGGGGCTGCCGCGAATCTCACCAGCTACTACATCATTGCACTCCCTCTGGGCTCGTGGCTGGCGTTTCGCGGCTGGGAGCTGTCCGGGCTGTGGATAGGACAGTGCATCGGCATGGGGATCGTGGCCTCTGCCCAGCTGGTCTTCGTACTTGCGACGGACTGGAAACTGGAGATTGAGCGAGCCTTGGAGCGGATCAGCGAGGATGACAACACCGCACCGCCGGTCTGAGGTGGACACTGGATTCATATTCTGGCGTTCCCCATTTCAAGCTAGCGACTTTATTATTTGCAGCCCGAGATGCTAGAATAGTCAAGATTGGTTTGGCGGACGATGGAAACGGCATGATTCGCTAGGTACTTCAGGCGTATGGCAATAGAAGTTATTCGGGAGTCGTAGCACATGAATTTTATTGTGTTGAATCCTCTTGTGTATGTAATACTATCAAACTTGAACGATCTGTTTTACAACTTGGATGACTTGCGGTTCATGTAGGGGAAAGCTGAATTTTGAATAAACATTGATGGATAGTGGTGGGTTGCGTGCTACCATTCGCATCAGGCGGGTAAAAGCCAAATTGGGGGTTTCTACAGCTAAACTCAGCATACATTCCAAGTCTCCCTTTCTTCTCCGACTCATAAAAAGCCCATTCAACGCGGATGAAGAAGAATTTGGCTAGACGTGTGAGAATTGTTTCAACAATACGTGGCTATAGGGTAACTAGCCACCAACAAATAGATGACGTGAAATTGAGACGGAGCTTGGAGATGACTAGGATTTTTGACTAGGCCCCCGCGGCTTCCGACGAGCCATGCCCCAGTGGAGCAAAGACAGAGTTTCATTAAAGTCCGGAGAAGCGGCGCAGTTGAGCTGATCATTGCCCAAAACAGGGTAAAATGCCGCCCACACCCACTCCGCTTCGGCCACGGAGGGGAATCTTACCGTTCCGGCTTCGGCTACGCCCAGCGGGCGCTCAGGAGGGATGAACAGAAACGAACCAGAGGAGGTGAAAAAACAGGATGGCGGAGTGTACGTATATTGAGTTCTCTCGTACTGGCTGTTCAGTTAAAACAGGCCCGTGTCTCTTCTCTTTCTTCACTTGACGTTACATGCATTGTCCCCCCCGTCACCACTTATCACTGGAACCATGCGCTCTGCTTTATTCACATTCGCCATATGCCTTGGCAGGGCTGCTGCCCATGGCCCTAGCCAGGTGCCTCTCAATGGGATGATTGAGGGCGACTTCCGCGTATCGGGAATGAACTTGGTACTAATCCCCCTATGGCCAACATTTGATGATCCGGGCTGACACTCTACAGGCAGCGCCGAGCTTCGCGGGCATCTCGACATATGGTCTGCTTCCGCATCAAGCTTGCCTAGACGACGAGTCTATTGAATATGATATTGGAATTATTGGTTGGTGGCACCGAATGGTGTTCCCCAAGGCACGAAAGAACAAGCTGCTAATTACTAACACTTGCTGTGACTAGGTATTCCTTTCGACGTCGGCGTTTCTTACCGACCAGGCGCCCGGTTCGGACCAAGTGCCATCCGACAGGCCTCTCGCACTCTGACCCTCGCGTGAGTAGCCGTGCCCAGCTCGATACTAGAGGTGCCATAGCTAACAGCGTTCTTGTTCAATTGCTATGCAGCGGAGGCTACAACGTGTAAGTCACAGTTCGCATTTGAATGTTGGCAAGAACTATGCTAACACCGACTAGCCCACTGGCTGTCAATCCTTTCAAGTTTTGGGGCCGCGCTCTCGACTGCGGCGATATTCCGGTGATCCCGTGAGCACCCTCCTAACAACTCGTAAAGAATAAACTTTCTAATCCAGTTACGAGCCAGATACGATAAGCACGAGGCGATGGACCAAATCGAGCGCGGCTACACGAGCCTCCTACAGCGAAACACCTACACAAAGGAGTTTTCCAGCACCAAGACAGGCTCCCAGTCGATCCCGCGGCTCCTCACGCTCGGTGGCGACCATACAATCCTCCTCCCGATCCTTCGGAGCATCAAAAAGGTGTACGGGCCAATGACGGTCATCCACTTCGACGCACATCTCGATTCGTGGAACCCTTCGGCAAGCGCGCCGACCAAGGAGGCCGTCCTTACTCACGGGAGCTTCTTCTACCTGGCCAGCAAGGAGGGCCTCCTCCACAACGACACCAACATCCACGCCGGCCTCCGCACGACGCTCGGCAGCCTTGCCGACTACGAAGACGACGACAAGTGTGGATTCGTCCGCGTCGAGGCGCACGAGATTGACCGAATTGGAGTCGACGGCATCATCGAGAAGATCAAGAAGCGCGTGGGGCTCGAGAGGCCGGTGTACCTGTCAATGGACATCGACACGCTGGACCCGGCCAACGCACCGGCGACAGGCACGCCCGAGACTGGCGGCTGGACATCGAGGGAGATGCGGACCATCATCCGGGGCCTGGCAGACCTCAACATAATCGGCGCTGACCTGGTCGAGCTGGCCCCCGCGTACGACACCAATGCCGAGGTGACGGCCTTGGCCGCCGCAGCTCTGATTTATGAGGTGATGAGCATCTTTGTGCAGAGAGGCCCCATGAGGCTTGAGTAAGAGATTTGGTTGCTTGTTGCATAGCCCCTTATGCTGGGGGGCTGAGCATGGGCGCTGACTGTAGTGCTCTGTTTCAACATTTGTACCAACATGAACGTGGAGACCTAGGCTGGCGACAAGGAACTAGTAAATGTGGTAGATGGTCCAAACCCCAATACAGTCTTCATTCAGCCCTGGATCAGTGATTACGAATCGATCCCGCTAGCCTTGGGGAAAGGTGCCGACTTCCCCACCACTTACATCAAACAACCAATACGGTGCTGAGGTTCGACTGGGAAAGTTCTGGTTAGCCATCGATGTCGAGATTGGGTACTGTAAAAAATTCAAGACCACTTACCTTTCTCCAACCAGAGGGGCCACTCCAATCCAGGATCCAGATCTCGTATTTGCCATATGTGTTCCAGCGCTGGAATGAGATCCCCCCGATTGTAAGACAGCCCTCTTGGAGTCCTTAGCATAAACTCAATTTGTTCTCGCAGCTCCAAATCAGCTGCTTCGCAACCGGCGGTGAAGAGAGGGAATATTACGGCAAAGTACGTTCGAGAATTGACTTTTATCTTGGCAATCTGATCAACCACGATCCTGACGAGACGACGGATAAAGGGGGCCGTAAATGGCATATTCCGAAGTCGAGCGTAGAGGAGGATGGACGCTGTAGCGCGCATCGCCTCGTTGAGGTATAGGATCTGGTCCGGATCGGTTGTCGTCCTCGTGGCAAGGGTGTCCAAGTCCTGCGCTTGGGCATTGAGAAGGGAGTCCTCGGCCTCCGAAACCGCATCTTGGAAATGGCCCGAGCCCTCTGGTACATGCTGATGAGTGCTAATCAGTTGACGTAGCTGGAGAAGCACCCCGATGCGTAGTAGTGGGTTGACGAGTCGTGGAGAGAAAGCATACAGAGGGTGATCGATCCAATTGTTGAATATGTGTGAGTAGTGGGAGAGGTTCTGGCCAACCTGATCGTCTGCTAGCTCCAAGGACCGTACATGCTGGAGCGTACGGTGATTTTGCCACGTGATGAGAGAACACGTAGACGAGATGACTGTCCAGCGCAGCAAGGTCAGAACAACGTCGACGATTATTTGTGGCACGCTGCTGCGGCTGCTTGGTTCTCCGAGGAGGCTTGAGGTAAGGCGGATGGCCAATTGTAAGTAAGGAGGCCGGCAGTCGGGGCTAAAGTGATGCAAAAGAGTGCCGGCAGCTATCGTTGCCAGAGTCTCGCGAGGGTCTTTCGCCTGGGTAATGGCAGAGGTACTAGTCAAGAAATGCCGGGATGCGTCGCGTGCGACGTCAGGGAAAGCGCAGGAATAGTCGTCAACCCGGCCAAGTGAGTTGTATTGAAAGGAACTAAAGCATAGTGCTGCCTTTCGGAGGGTGTCACTGAAGATTGCGAGATGCGGTAACGTGACGATGAAAGGGTCCTGGAATGAATTGCTGTCATCCAGATTCTCCACGTCGAAGCATAGAAAGCCCTTTTCAGTGACCTGGAGAAAATGCTGCCACAAGAACCGCCGCTGGGGAGATTCAACCATGTCTGCGGGCCAAGGCATTGGACAATACTTTGTCGGAGATGTTACTGCCGGTAAAACAATAGCGCTCTCGGTTGCCTCGTCGGCCCAGGAGAAGCTGGCGTCACCAGAACGAGGCGAATCACGTGGACTGGGGGAGCGGATAGTCATAACTGTATCTGTCTCTTGTGTCTGGGTGTCGATTCCATCTTGCTGTAAAAGGGAGCTGCCCCCGGCCACGGGCGACTGGTTGGTATAGAAGGATGTGGCACCGCAAGTCGATAGAGCCGAATCCATCAGGGCTGAGGCGAGCGAGAATTCGGGGAGCGGAGGTGTCGCCATGTAGGCACTGCAAACTGTATCTAACTCAAGGGACCCGAGTCCTATGCCTTCCGCATGTTCGAGGCCGGCGATGGCTTCAGGCGGCGGCAGATGCTCTGCTACGTCATCGGAGCCTTGGAGTTCCTGTTGATCGGCAGCAGCCATGGGTAACTGTGCCTCGGAGTCGAGGTTGCGACACGGCGGTTCGGGCTGTGGCGACAAGGGCGTGGGACCAGTCGCGGTGGCTGTCGAGGGAGGCCCGCTCCAGAACTTGAAGGTCCGGGGCTCGCATTGCAAATCGAGTCTTTGGCAGTAAGAACACCGGGGCTTTTTGTGATCACACTTTGCGCACGCGACACCCAGGCCGGGGCGAGTCAGCAGCTGCGTGAATGGGGGTGCGGAGGGCGACGGGGATTGTATCATCATGTTACTTTACCTTTCGTTTCCTGCGCCAGCACTGTAGACAGGCGCCTTGTCTGCGCCCGGGCTGCCTTGTGAACATCAGCGAGTCAATTGATCGCTGTGAAAGGACACTCTGCGACATGGCAACTCTTGGAGATCGCTGCGAATTGCTTCAATTGCGGGCATGGACGGATGATGGAGGTTGATCCCAGCACATCGATGTGCTAGGTGGAGGTTGAGGTTGGGGAAAGCAGCTGCCCGGACTTGGAGGCATCAGATTGGAGGTGTGGGGCGGTCAGCTGGGGCAAAATCTCGTGGATCATTTGGAACTTAATATAGGGACCTAGTGGGTGGATGAGGCCCCTGATAAGGCCCCTACCGTCCTACATTAGGCCCTGTAGGTTGGGCATCTGCGCTGGAAAGCCCCGGCATAGTGGATTGGGGCGGATACATCGGGCCAAAGATAAGAAAGCTGCTAACCTCATTCGGTGCAACGACGAGTCATAACAACTTGATAACACACCACCGTGAAAGCCTGGATGCATACTACTTGAAAGAATGAGGGACAAGCTCTGGACTGTGGAATTCTTCTATTGTCTGACCTCTAAGTGTTGCTGAGGCCTGAATCCGAATGGCGGCAATGTAAAAAGAAAACATCTATAAACGAACGACAAATATTTACGCACCAAGTCGTTTGACTGATATGGGTAGGAAAGAAAATGAACAGCATGGAAATCACATTAGCTATCATAGGTTGCAATATTCTTAAACATGCCCTTCCAGTACTGGAGAGCTGCTCAACCCCTAATAAACTACTGCCGAGTCGCAGAGATCACCGACACGTCAGACACGGGCGCCTCGAACTTGTGCCTCCCATAGGTCAAATAGTACACAACTCCGAAAACCAACCAGCCAGCCAATACCACGATGGAGTAATTCATGGTCTCGGCTGTTACTGGCATCGTGGAAGGAAAGGTGCTGAAGATGATGACGAGGACGATCCAAACAATGGACACAACGTTCAAGCTTACGCCGAGCCAGTCGGGCAGTCTTAGATATCGGTACGACCGCTTGGTTTCATGCCTCCTCCGTCCGTATACGAGCATGTATATGATCGGCAGGATGTATGAGAGGTACATTCCAATCGCAGCCATGGAGAGGATTGCGTTCAGGGCTGCTGTGCTGCCGAGGTAGATCAAGCCAAGAGCCGCCTGGAAGACAAGGACCGCCACCACCGAATGGACGGGGACTTTGAGCTTGTCGTCGACCTTGCTGAGATGCCTGTCAAACGGGGTTGCTTTATCACGAGCAAAAGCCCATAGAGTGCGAGAAGTTGATGCTAAGCTCGCAGCGCTTGCCGCACTACCGATAAAAGGCGTGACCAGCGCCAGCACAGTCGCACCGGCGTGGGACCTCGTCACTTCGAGGTAGATTTCCATGTATGGAAAGCCCGTGCTTGTGCTTAAAACGTCGCCAAGGTTGGTAGCCGAGAAGAGTAGACTGAGGACAAAGACGAGGCCGGTGAGGCCGTTGGAAATGACGGCTCCCATCATTGCCAAAGGCACGTTTCGACTTGCATGAGGCAGCTCCTCAGACAAGTGACATGCGGCGTCGTAGCTGGCTTCAAGTTAGCATAATGGGACACATAATCTGCATCGATGTTGACTGACCCGAGAAATGGATACACGGCGCTGATCAAGCCAACAAGCCATGCCAGTGCGTCACTGTCCCAGCCGCTCTGGTTCTGGACCTCAACAAAGACTGACGACGCTGAAGTCTTGTCCGACATGGCGAGAAGGACCGCAACAACACCAATGAAAGCCGCGATGTGAACAACCCCTTTGAAGATATGGTTAGTACTAATCTCGTTGCCGGTATATGTAGAAACAAGCAGAATCTTTGCCTTTACTCACCAATGGCTATATTGGTATGGGGGAGTATCCTGATGCCCCATATATTGGTAACAGCGCAGTATACTAGAACGGCCCAATATAGCAGCAAGCCATGCCATCGCTCTGGCACGTAGTTGTCATTGTTCATGATGATCACTCCCTGGAACTGCAACCCCGCAGCGAATGCAGCCGATGCACCGAATACAAGCTGCCCTCCAATCGAGATCCAGCCCGTAGCCCATGCGGGTGCCGCTCGACTGGCAGTTGGACTAAGAGCAGCTACCCAGTGATATTGACCTGTAAAGATGATTGGTCAGCCTGATGGTCCAATATCTCTTCATATAGGCTGCAAGGGGCGGTAAGTTTTACCTCCTGCAGTCGGATAAATGGACGCGATTTCGCCAAGGGAGAGCGTAATGCAGATTGTACTAAGAAAGCACAAGAGGCTACCGGGGCGCCAGTTAGCTTCATTTCCAACTTAATTTAACACTCTCAACCGGGGAGCACAAACAAATTAAAGAAGACACATGGCGGGCCGCCGCTGGCGAGGGCAACGTTGAGCCCAGTTGTGGTGGCTTCCCAAGTTCCCATGAGACAGGAGACGAGGGCAGTGAGACTCAAAAGGGAAAATTCTCTGCGGAGTTCTTGCTCGTGTCCGAGCCGTGCTAGGACAGCTTCATCTGTCTGAGTGTCGTACTTTGTCATGGTTTCTGGCTCACGAGACGTGTCGCGCTCATGATCAGAAACTTTGGCGTCAATCTCGTCGCGTTCCATCCTGCTCATAAATTTTATAGACACTACGTAGGTAAAGAAAGGACCGAATAGAAGTTATCCGAAGAGGGATAAGTCGAGGGTGAGATTTGGAATCAAGAGTCGAGAACATGTCATATATATACACTCGACTAGTCATCGTTTAGCGGCTAGTTTCTGCCTCAACTTCACGCTGAGATACTAAAGGGTATCTCAAGGGGCAAGGGATAGGGGTTCTCCGCACCTCATGGAGACATCCAAGAAGAGCGGTCCGTAATCGCCCAAGTAACCTCTGCTGAGGCCTAGTGGCCATGAGTTCTGAAGGTTTGAACGGCTTCAAAGTCAGAGTGGCAGAGATAAGCGTCCCCACAAACCCGCATTTCCCCCGCAGTGATGCTAGTTGAGCGGCACAATTACTCGTATCGGCATAGTATCGTGGACCTGCTATCAGCACCCCAGACATCGGGCCTGGACTACGGTCCTTGGAATGACAGGGTTGGCACTCGTGTTGGTCGAAACCACCTCCTTGGGGCCAAATCCAAGTACGTAATATCTTTCCTCCCATCCATCCTCCACAGATAGGGATGGGGTGTTGCCCTGGGGGCGATGCGGAGAGCATGAATTTCCCCGCTCTCCTAGCCCGCAATCATCCACATGGTGTTGGCATCCAATGGCAATGCCGTGTTATCCATGGCATTATACTGATAAAGGCGACCGGAACGTGGACCTTTTGATTTGGAAGCATGTATGGCGGGCTATCAACATGACTGGTTCCAGGAGAGTAACATAACCTTGAAGTAATAAACCAATCTCAATCAGAATCTACTTCGCCAGGCTTTTGAGAAAGCCGTAATGAGAATTTGGATACTACTTCCGCCTTGTATGGTTGTTTTTTTTCGCCCTCTTCTTGATTGCAGTAGTTACGTATTATTTATTATGTTAGGATGTTGGGTCTGGCATCCCTACTCTCAAAGCCGTAGTCGCCACCTATGTATGTTCGTTATAGGCTACACAATTCGGGTATGTGGTGCAAGTAGCCGACACAGGGGATGGAAGTCGGCCAGGAAGAACTCATGTTTGGAACTATTAGCGCATGGAGTGATATGACAGGGTGTCTTGTGCGCGAAAAGATCTCAGCACTGATGAAATTAGAGAAGCATCGTTGTAAGATTGCCTACTTATGATTGAGACGTGTGGAAGAGATCGGCCATGTACCAGTCGATGGCACCGCCTTCCCCGTTGACAAACCTATTCTCAATTTGCGAATGAAGAAATTGACCGATATCTTGGCTCTCTATAGCCAATGCAAAGGCAGGCGGACTATCTGATGGCATGTCTTGTAATTGTTGGTGCCACATGTGCTGGTTGTCTAGGGGCGGATTTCCTGCCCTAGGTATATGTGAGTCATTTGAGGAGGATCTTGTTTCACCCCCGTCGTCTCCCAACTGCAGCCGTTGAGCTGTCGGTTGATCCAGATACTGAAAGAAGAGCTGTAAAATCCAGTTCTTGAACTCCCATGTCTTCTGGAGTTCTTGGAGGCTGACCAGACAAAGTTTAGCACGTTGTTCGGCTACGAACCGACGACCACCTTGCAGGTGTTTGAGGTTCAGAGTGTGAATACACAAAGTATTGAAGACATTGGTGATGACGTGGATCTGGCCGTGACATATCTGACCTTCAATCAGCATGTTCTCGATGATGGAGGTATTGCGAGCGGCAGCCAGGATGGCCACCTGTCCATCAACGGGACTGCTTGGTGGCTCAGTGCTACTACATCCAGAACGAAAAAGAAGGATGAGGAGATTGTTGTACGCCAAGTTCAGCATGCTCGCTAAGAAGCCCGAGCCACCTTCAAGCCCATCACCCGACGGCCGCATACACAGAGGCAGGGATTTCCTCCAGCTGAAGAGCGTATTCTTGGTCTCTTCTCGCTCCGCAAACGTCAAGCGTTTCAAGGGCAAGAAGTCTCGATGAATTATTCGACCGAGCATCCTAGATAGCTCAACCATACCAATCATGTATGATATGGACTTATTCACGTGAGAGGATGATGTTGGGGACTCAAAAGCATACTGGAAGTCTTGCTCAATTAGAGCTTCGACGTCACAGTCCTCGTCCCTTACGCGGTTTGGGAGACCCAGAGCGGCGGCGCATTGCCGTTCCCGGATATATATAGACCACCATAGTCTCTTGCGCAGCTTCAAGTTGATGTCTTCCCCATTTGTGTTTTGTGATGAGCGATGGAGGCCTTTTGTTTGCGCGAGACTTACGGCGACCGCGAGCCAGTGTCGTGTGTCCTTTTGCAAGAGGGCTCCAGCCCTCCAGAAGCTCATGAGGAACACAGATTGGATAACGGTGATGGATTTGGGCTCGATCTCGGCATCAAACAGATCCTTGGCTCGATTGTACAACGTGTACTTTGCTCGTTGTCGGCAACCCAGACCGACGCTTGGTAATTCATCTTCGGCACAGTGCATGACTCCAATGAAGAGTATGGCTTGGAACAGAAGTGGGGGGAGGGTTCCCTGACTGTACTGCTGCCAGATATCTGGCTCATCTAGCACAGGAAAGCATACATGAAACCACTCAAAGTAGGCCTTGAATAGGCTGTCGGTGGCCGTTTTGGCAGGGAACGAAAAGGCACCCTCAGCGTGCAACAGCTTGAGCCTGGCTTGTTTCCTCTCAATTTCCCATTCCAGAGTCGAATTTTGTGCTCTCACGGCCTCGGGAATACGGTAGACAAAGCCTTGGTCTGGTGTGGCAAGTGTAGAGGGTGATGTGTGTGTGCCATGGAGGTAAGTGAGTGAGGTAGACTCTCCGAGAAAGACCGTCTCCTCATCTTCCTGCCTCATATGACCTTGTCCATTGCGTTGTTCATTCAATGGTGACCGATTGAAGGTCTCATCAAAAGGATTGTTCTGCTCTGGCGGTCTTAATATAGCACCGGGCTGGGGGGTTTCGTGCTGGGAGAGGCCAGCGAGGGCGCGTGAGGCTGACAAGTGGTTGTCCAACTCATCATCATTGTTGTCATGGGGATCACGAGTAACTAGACTCTCTTGACTGACGAAGCCTGAGGATATTTGAATAGGCGCAGGTAAAGGGCCAAAGCAATCGCCAAATGTGGCCTGCGGAGCCGGAAATGTTTGCAGCCTCCCAGGCGCCGAAGGACTCGTATCTTCACTATGGATGCTTGCCTCGGCTTCTCTTGAATCACCAAAGGCCAGATCCTCCTGCGCCAATTGGCCGTGGGGTCTTTTGGAAGGCTGAGACAAATTTGACCTCCGAGGATGTTTGCCCCTCCGAGACTCACGGAGCTCGCAAGGAATATCCAGTGCCTCACAGTTCGTGCAAGGCCGGCTATTGACAACGTTGCATTTCACGCGACGCGCATTACAGGATAGACAAGCCTGTCGCGCTCGTGTCTTTCGTGCTGGCTTCATGGGATTGGTGTTTGGAGCAAGATGATGACGCCTAAGGGGGATGCTTGTAGCCGGCCACAAAGCTCAAATGTCCAGCCCCAGCATGAGTTTACCAGAAGTCCTCGGCAACAAAGCCCGGGAAATGGGTTCACTGGCCCGCATTTGTATATTGGTTACCCGCATGCTAGACTCCGCTACGGGGTGTATGCAGCTGGTCTATCTTGCGGCTGGCTCTCGGTTATATGCAAGGTTGGGGCACTAGACAAACCGGGTATATCTGGTAGTATCCACGACAACTCCAACAAATACTGCGGGGTTTGGGGTTTAACTAGCCGAAGCCGAAAGCGTCATTGGACAAAAAGCATAGCTTGCTACTCTCCCTGCCAGTGCTACTCAGGAGACGTGGTATTCTTTGCTCTTAATCCCTTTTTGGCACTGAATGACGCACACCGCACGGCAGCAGCTCAATATCATCCTCTGATACCATGTCTTGCACACTCAGCCGTCGATCGATGCGCCTGCCCACGCATTGTAGCGGCCTCTTGAGGACTTTTTCGACTTCAATCAATCGGAGGCAATCTTATGAGTCCACCATCGCCAACCTAAACATTGACAAAAACACCAGAGTCATCTATCAAGGTGAGTTATTCATCTGCGGTCAAAGGACCACTACACTGGCCGTACTCCGTGACCGGCACCTGATTATCTTTCAATCCTTCCTAGAACCCATTGTAGCAAAAATTGAAGCTAACTGTTGTACGCTCTAGGCTTTACTGGCAAAGCTGTAAGCACCGTCTAGTTTTCTTCATGAGCGTCTTTATTTGTCCTTTATTAATGGAAAAACCCCAGGCAACAATAAACGCCAAAGATACCTTGGACTATGGGACGAACATTGTTGGTGGTGTTTCTCCCGGCAAGGGAGGCCGGGAACACCTCGGCCTTCCCGTTTTTAACACTGTTAGGGAGGTGAGAAGTCGCTCTAAATATCTTGAACTTGGAGAGATGTCAGGCTTCAACCCCGTGTGCTTGAAAGTGTCTGACCATCGTTTGCAACCCATAGGCTATGGAGCAGGTGAAGCCTCATGCTACATCAGTTTTTGTTCCTGCACAATTTGCTGCCAAGGCTATAATCGAAGCTATCGAAGCAGAAGTGCCACTTGTTGTTTCCGTGGCCGAGCATGTGCCCATCCAGGATATGGTACGCGTTCATGAAGTGTTGCGGACCCAGTCCAAGACCCGTCTGGTAGGCCCAAATTGTCCAGGCATTATTGCTCCAGAACAGTGCCGGATCGGCATCATGCCTCACAAGCAATATCTCAAAGGATCAATCGGAATTGTTTCGAAGAGCGGGACTCTCAGCTATGAAGCCGTGGGGTCGACTACAAAGTCCGGCCTGGGCCAAAGCCTTGTAGTTGGCATGGGCGGAGACATGATGCCAGGTGAGTTTCTTCCTATGCGTGCAGGGATGGCAATGCTGATACGGCTTGCAAATGTTAGGCACAACTCTGCTAGATGGCTTGAAGCTGTTCTTTGACCACCCAGAAACCGAAGGAATTATCGTTATTGGAGAGATTGGCGGCGAGGCAGAGTTGAGAGCAGCTGATGCCATCCGTGAATATAGGAGGACTACACCAAACCCTAAGCCGATTATAGCTATGGTTGCAGGAAAAACGGCTCCAGAGGGACGAACTATGGGCCATGCAGGCGCCCTCTTGCGATCAGGCGATGTATCCGCATCTACAAAGGCAAAGGCTTTGGCAGATAGCGGTGCAATTGTTGTCCCGCACCCAGGAGTAATGGGCGATGTGATGAAGAAGCTTCTTAAATCCCGTCAGTGAAATTCTGTCCATAGAATAATACTTAGAAAAGTAGAAAAAATCCAAGACTTATGGTATTTTAGAACAGAAATATGCCCCAGAACATTTATAGTTTCCAAGCAGAATAGTGTTTACAAATGTGAGCTGTGGGATTTCCGTGAAATTATCTACCTTTTTATACCATCAAGTATAAGAACAAAGTAAGAGATTACGTTGAACAAAAACTTAAAATATTTTGGTTAGTGATTTGGTATAGGATGTATCGTAGCGCTGTTCAAGGATATGAATAAGTTAATCAGCCATGGTCTCCTCCCTACATTTTTTCCCTTGTTCTTTTTATTGGGGTGGGGGATTCATTAGAAATTAGGTAGAAGTATAAAACGTATGGAGATTCCATGGATATGCACTCTTTGTTCTTTGACTGTCCACATTTAATACGGAGATGTAAACAAAGAACTGACTCTTGTTGGCGTCTTACTGCCGAAGCAGAATTCATAGAATTAAACGCATTGTATTTGAATGGAGCTCTGAGTATAATGAAGTAGACTTGAATCACCTCAAAGACAGAGCTAATCTATATTTTATTGTTGTTTTCACTTTATACTTTAACTCTCATCCGCCAAAGCTCGTGTTATTTCACCGACGGAGGAGTGAACATCTCAATCTTTTGGAGCTTGTCTACTTGGCCAATTTTGCGAGCTCGACTGCCTTCTTTGCAGCTTCTCCAAAGCCGGACTCTACGTGGAAACCGAGGTCTGCCTTTTCCAACTGGGTAACGTGTCAGTATGCAAATACAAAGAGTACCAAAATAACCGACTTACCAGATTGAGCCCCTCAGCAGAGTTTGTCCCTTGGAGCCGAACAACGACCGGCAGATTCAGTGGCCCCAAATCCTGTGCCGCACTGATAATGGACTCTGCAATCATGTCGCATTTGATGATCCCTGAGATAGATTAGTCCCATAAGATGAGATCGACGCAGGGCTAGCTGTCATACCTCCATAAATGTTGACAAGGATCACCTTTACGCTCTTGTCTCTAAGGATGATCTCAATAGCCTTCTTCATGGTCTCTTTTGTGGCTTGACCGCCGGCGTCGAGGAAGTTTGCGCTGGCGCCACCATGATGAGCGATGGCATCGTTGGTTGCCATGGCTAGGCCGGCGCCATTCACCACATTACCAATGCTGCCGTTCAGTTTTATATAGATTAGGCCGTACTTCTGCGCCTCGAGCTCGACTCCAACCTCGGCCTTTGTATCCCGCAGGGCAAAAAGCTCTGGCTGGCGCTTCTCAGAAGCATCGTCAAATGTGAACTTTGCGTCCAAGCTCTTGAAAGACCCATCGGCCATTTGGGCCAAGGGATTGATTTCCAGCATGGTGGCGTCCTTGCTTACGAAAAGCTTATACAAACGCGTGAGAACATCACCGAGCTTGTCGGCTTCCCCTGGACTGGCGCTGACGCTCTCGGCGATGCGAGCCACAATGTCCGGTGTAATGCCCTTTGCAAGGCTAAAGGGAAAGCTCTTCACACTGCCCGGTTCGCTCTTGGCCGTGTTCTCGACATTGGTGCCCCCATTTCTCGATATGAGAATGACGGGGGTATAATTCTCCCTATCGAGGGTAAGGGATAGATACCATTCCTCAGTGTGCTGGATGGCCTCGGCAACATAAACCTTGTCCACGGTGATTCCATTGCCCGAGGTCTGCTTGGTCTTCAGGCGATGTCCCAGCATCTTTGATGCAAGCTTCTCGGCAGCTGATGAAGTATCGACGGCTTGAATCCCTCCATTCAGTCCGTTGTCAAAGGATCCTTTACCACGGCCCCCCTTGAGGATCTGGGACTTGATGACACATTTCCCACCTGTTTGAATTGTGAATTAGTGACTGCTACTGTCATGGGTAGTATCATACATCTGGTCCAAGTTGGACATACCGAGCCGATCCACGATATCCCTCACTTCCTTAGGCGTGCTAGCTACTTGACCACGAGGAACATCAATGCCAAACTACCGCCACTGTTAGCAAGCATGAACACAGATCTTTCATATCCACTAAGGCTTACATCTTTAAGAAGTTGGTGCGATTGGTACTCTTGCAGGTGCAGACACCTTTTTTGCTCCTTGATTGCGGTCTGCAACCTCCTCTATTAGCGACAGTAAATGCTACTCCTCGTGATTATTTGACAGTACCTTGAGCTTCCAACCGCTCTGTGCAACACGCCTAGATGCCATTTCAACGGAGAAAGCGCGCGTGGGCGATGTTCGAGTGTGCCTAAGTCGTCGAACGATCTTTGCGAAAAAATCTAGCGCGAAGTATTGGATCAATCAGTCAGTAACATGATATTGAGGCAAAACCTATGACCAGGCGTATGAGCTATTGTGTGTTTATTAGTGGGCGACACTACCAGCCAGAAGTTGTCCTATATCGTACTGGCTATATGCTCAAAGTTTATAGCCGATTCGCTAAGAAAATTTCGCAGCTTTGCCGGCTATAACCCAAAGAGACTCAAGTGCATTACGGCTCGGCTAGAAACACCACACAACGTACGTACGTACAGACCGGCTGTCCAGTGCTTGACCACAGAAGCCTGGCGATTTGTTGCTGCGGTAGTAATGACATCGGGCTCCGTCGGTGGATATTGTCACAGACTTGTATACTGTGGGAATTCGTGAATGGGTAACAATTGAATAGAAGCCGACTACATCGCGTTCTATCTCCGTCTGGGCATAGCTTAGCGATTTGAATAGACGATGTGATTTGAGTAGGAGGTGGCGATTTTCTTATTGTTTCATAATGCTTTGATGATCCTTATGAATGACATTCTATGAAGTTCTGCACAGTAAGATAGCATGAGCATGTCCAGCAGAACGGAAGAACATGACGCAATATGCGGACATGTACTCTTCAGCCATTTATTTTGATCTAGCTTCTAAGGGCCGTGCGAGTTTAAATGGCTCTACCTCCATCCACCTCCATGTTAATCCCAGTGACAAAACTGCTATCATCAGAGGCAAAGAACAAGCAAGCCCCGGCAACATCCTCAGGCTCGCAAAGTCGCTGAAGCGGCACGTTACTTATGAATTTTGCCCTGTTAGCTGCTGTGTCAGGTTGTCCCGAGAATGCTTCGAAGCTGCGATATTGTCAGCTAAGTCTTCTTCGTATTTGTTAGGCACCTTTGACTTTGACTTACAGTCCTGTTCCTCCGAGAAGCGGGCAGACAGAATTAATTCGGATGTTATGAGAGCCATACTCCGCAGCCAGCCCTTTCGTAGCCTGCATGGGGAATACGCGTGTCAATTCTGCGCTTAATGTGACGATACTCCATGATGACTCACGTTCCAGATGGCTCCTTTCGAGGCATTGTACCAAACAAGACCTGGCCGGGGCCTGGTTGCACCGACTGATGCCACATTGATCATGGTTCCACCTTCGTTCTGCTTTATCAACTCCGGAATGAAGACCTGGGATCCGAAATAGACTCCCTTGACGTTGACTCGGAAACACTTGTCGAAATCCTGCTCGCTCACACTTGATGTATCCTGGTTGTATGTATGGTGAGCATCAAATGTGAGCACGAAGGCAAGGACATACAAACCTTATTGTGGTAAGTAGTGCCGGCATTGTTGACAAGGCAGTCAAGACGGCCGTATCGCGACTTGGCTACCTCGACCAACTTCCTCCAGTCTTCCTGATTGCCGACATCTGCCTTGAAAAAGGAAATGGAATCTGGAAGGCTGCTAGCAACATCCTTCCCTCCGCGCTCGTTGATATCGGCGATCAGGACCTTTGCGCCTTCCAACGCGAATCTTTTGGCAATACCTTCTCCATATCCAGAGCCGCCACCTAGGAACAACACAATTGATTAGCTCCAGGGGGATCGCATGGCTAGTTGTCAAACATACCCGTCACAATTGCAACTTTGCCAGAGAGCCTCGGGAGTGATCTAAAAGCGTTCATGTTTGCTGCAATGGCTAGACACTTGGATCTGAGATGATGGCTTTCTACAATTCCCAAATGCACAATGTTTTCGATTCATTGACCATTTATCTAAGAAGTACTTAAAATCGCGTTATGCTACAGCCGGGGAATCATAGGAGAAGCGGTCCGGAGCCGGGGAAGGCCAAGACCGGCAACCCGGCTATACCACAGAAAGCAAATTTACCGCCGCCACTACGGTTATAAGCCTTGTCAGCAGTTCCAGTTACTGGGCACCGAACACGGAGGATAAGGCAACATTGTGGCGTCACCTGTTGTAGATTTCTAACGAAGTGCCAGAAGCGAAGAACTCGTTGTTGGGCTGTATCATCTCTTTGCTGGTCAGATATCAGTGCGTTCAAGGACATTGTATTCGGAATACCACGCCATCTTCTCCGCCACCATGCTCAAGTCCTCAATGATCCCAAGGCTTCTACCAAAAGTCTTGAAACCTCATCCTATTATTGCCAGAACAATGGCGACTGCGACCAGCAGCCGGGTAGGGTGATTTTTATCTATAAATGGACAACTCACGTGCTAACAAGTGAACAATACAGGTCAGATCGCTCTTGCGAGATCCAAGCTTGTTTAAAGAGCAGGCTTACATTGAGGGACAATGGACCAACGGCGATGGCCGGTCTCAATTTTCCGTGCTCAGTCCATACTCGAAAGAGTATCTCGGATCCTGTCCAGACCTGTGAGATGACTTCAAGAAAGAGACTTCGGATATGCGAAGAAGCACCCGCCTTGTGAGGCTAACATACTCGAATATAGAGACATAAATACCACCAATACGGCCATCGAGGCAGCCCAGAAAGCATTCGATGATTTCCAGCATACATCCGCTCGCCAACGTATGACAATCTTGAAAAACTGGTTCGAGCTGATGCGCGAACATGAAGATGACCTAGCTACCATCCTGAGCCTCGAAAACGGACGGCCCATCGCAGCAGCCCATGCAGAAATCAAGTACGCCGCAAGCTTCCTGGAATGGTTCCAAGGCGAGGCCGTCCGCTCTTACGGAGACTCCATCGCCGCCAGCGCCCCCGGGACCCAGGTCGTGACCATCAAGCAACCCGTCGGCGTGGTAGGCATTATCACCCCTTGGAATTTCCCATCCGCCATGATAACGCGCAAAGTAGGCGCGGCTCTGGCGGCTGGGTGTAGCATGGTCGTGAAGCCTGCGGCAGAGACACCCTTTTCTGCCTTGGCCTTGGCCGAGCTGGGCGAGCGAGCTGGAGTGCCAGCAGGAGTCTTGAACGTGACGACGACACAGAAGAATATTGCTGATGTCGGAAAGCTCATATGTGAGCACCCTTCCGTCAAGAAGTTGTCATTCACGGGCTCTACAGGGGTTGGGAAAATCCTTATGCAGCAGTCAAGCCAGTCGTTGAAGAAACTTTCCATGGAGCTCGGCGGAAATGCTCCCTTTATTGGTACGTCGTAACTCACTAAAGGATACATCACTTTGGCACATGCTGACAGTTTCTAGTTTTTAACGACGCCAATTGTGAGCAAGCCATTCAAGGACTGATGGCAGCCAAATTCCGCGGCTCGGGACAAACTTGTGTGTCGCCCAACCGCGTCTATGTCCAAAAGGGAATCCACGACATCTTCATTCAAAGGTTGCAGCAGGCTATGGATACTCAGCTCGTCAAGGGCGACCCTTTGTTGACTGGTACCACAATTGGTCCCTTGATCAACGTCAAAGCGGTTGAGAAGGTCGAACGCCTCGTCAGCGACGCCCGCTCTCAGGGCGCCACGGTAGTGACGGGCGGGACACGATCTTCCGGTGATCCAGAAAACTACTACCCCCCAACTATTGTCCGAGGCATGACACATTCGATGCAAGCTAGCAAGGAGGAGCTCTTTGGGCCGGTTGTGGCAATCTACCCTTTTGAGAGTCAGCAGGAGCTGCTTCAGATGGCAAACGACGCCGAGGTAGGACTTGGCGCCTACGTTTACACAGATACCCTCAACCAGGCGTGGAGAACCGCTGAGCTACTCCAGACTGGCATGGTCGGGGTCAATACAGGTGTCATATCAGATCCCGTGGCTCCTTTCGGCGGAGTCAAGCATTCCGGATTCGGGCGCGAAGGCGGCAGGATCGGCATTGATGAGTTCCAGATTCTAAAGGCAAGTCGGCATTTGTCCACCTTACAACCAGCGGCTGTTTTACTAATCTTGGCAATCACTAGACAATCACTATTGGTGGGCTCAAGCCGTAAACTCGGCAACGGTGTCCGTCTATACACCCCCTCACCGACCGTATTGTTATTGATGGGTACAGTCCTGGGTGGAGTCTGTCTGGAGCCCAAGTACTCCTCTTATAACCTTCATGTAACCGAGAACCGACTAGGAAGGGGAGGGGGGTGTGCATAGTGTAGAGTTCGTTTGAGGTCTGCTCCCCCTTGTTAGTTTACGTTTATATATACTGGTGTACCAAATCGGCCAATGTATCACGAAATCAATTGAATCTCATCACATCATAACACTCCGTGCCATGACTGCTTTACGGAATTACACTCGGGCTATCCGAGCCACTAAGGGCACCGCACTGCTCGGCTACCGATTACAGCACGTCCGACTCCTAAGCACGGCTGCCTCTAAGACCATTAATGTTGCCGGGCGGGACATCTCAGTACCTACGGGTATCTTTATCAACAACGAGTTTCGGAAGGCCATTGGTGGGACCACCTTTGGCGTAGAAAATCCAGCAACTGGCAAGGAAATTCTACAAATCGAAGAAGGCAAAGAAGCAGACGTGAACGAGGCCGTCAAGGCGGCGCGCGCTACCTTTCGCAACGGCGAATGGGCGTCGTCAGACCCTGTCTACAGGGCAGATCTTCTTCGCAAACTCGCAGAGCTGATGGAGCGTGACAAGGAACAGCTCATCGCACTTGAGATGCTGGATACTGGCAAGACATATCAGCAAGCCTCGACACTCGACTTCCCTGGCTCCGTGGGAACGCTCAAGTACTATGCGGGCTACGCAGACAAAGTGCACGGACTAACCTCCTTCAACATCCCCAAAACATTTGCCTTTACGAAGCGAGAGCCCATTGGAGTTTGTGGGCAGATTATTCCCTGGAAGTACGTATGATGCACGTCAAGAGAAGTCCACGATTCATGCTAACCCGTTCCAGTTTTCCTTTGCTCATGTTCACGTGGAAGATTGCCCCGGCTCTCATAACAGGTAACACGGTCGTTATGAAGTCTGCCGAAGCAACTCCCCTAACAGCCTTGAAGATGTGTGAGTTGATTCAAGAGGCTGGCTTTCCAGCTGGTGTCATGAATCATGTCCAAGGATTTGGCAAAACTGTGGGCAACGCAATCGCCTCCCACATGGACGTTGATAAGGTCGCCTTCACCGGATCCACTGCTACGGGACGAGCAATCTTGAGATCATCCGCCTCATCCAACCTGAAGAAGGTCACTTTGGAACTAGGAGGGAAGAGCCCGGTGAGTTTCACGACCTATGCTTGCTCGTTCCATGCTAAACGCGTATGCAGAACATCATTTTCCCTGACGCTGATCTCGACAAGGCCGTCGAGTGGTCTGCTTGGGGCATCAACATGAACTTTGGTCAGACTTGCCATGCTGGAACTCGCATTTACGTGCATGAAGATGTGTACGACGACTTTGTCAACCGATTTTCCAGCCGCATGTCGAAGCTCAAGGTTGGTGACAATTTCGATCCAACTACAGACCAAGGCCCTCAGAATAGCAAGATGCAATTCGAAAAGATCTTGGGCTACATCGAGAGCGGCAAGCAGGAGGGAGCCACAGTCCATCTCGGTGGCAAAGTATCCAAGACAGGCCAGTCAGGTGGTTACTACATCGAGCCTACAATCTTCACAAACGTCAAACCCGGAATGAAGGTTAGTACTTCCTTTTCGTATCGCATCAGGTAAAATAGCTAACAGAGCTTGAAGATCATGAAAGAGGAAATTTTTGGGCCAGTTGTGGCGATTTCCAAATTTTCATCCGAGGAGGAAGTGCTCGAGCTTGCCAACGACACCGTCTACGGGTTGGCTGCTGCTGTCCACACAAAGGATTACGAGCGAGCTTTGCGTGTCACAGGTGCCCTGCATGCAGGAACGACCTGGGTTAATATGTATAACTTCGTCCATTGGTCCATCCCATTCGGCGGCTACAAGGAAAGCGGTCTAGGACGAGAATGTGGAGAGGCAGTCCTAGAAAACTACACAGAGACCAAGGCCGTGTATTTCAACATGGGGTTGCCTGCTCCAGCCTAACCTAGAAGTATTATCTATGACAGAATCATTAAATGGTCTCCTGGTACTAGGCAAAACAGACAGGTCATGGGCAGACATAGGAACCATTCGTTGTAGAATCCACCAAGAAGGGACACAGCCCTAAATGACATTAAATTACACAGTTGCATCAGTGCTTTGGTGCGGTTACCCGCAGTAGGTGATAACACAAAGCTATATTGATTCAGCTATAAATAGGCTGGGTTTTGGATCTAAGCAAGACGTACAACAAACAGGAGGAGCAGGAACTTTCATGAGTAAAATACCGTAACTGCATAATAGATACAATGGCCATTAGGTGGTTAGACAATAAAATATGATAATCTAGATACGGGTACTTGACGGTTTGCTAAGTCTTCTATGGCACATGAAAGACCATGTGTACTGAATAACAAGGCACTGTTCTCTCTGCGCAAGCTTTTTCTTTTATCAACCTAGTTTCATTTTAGTACTGACATGTAAGTAGCAAATACCAAATTCAGAAACTCCTAAACAAAAACCGTAGTGATTGTGTATTTTGATCTCTACTATGTAGCTTAACTATCTACATAAGAAAAAAATTACATTCGCCATGCACGTGTTTTGAAGAAAGAACGAAAAATGATTCAAGACCCTGTTGTTTGAGTGTTTCTTCAACATTGGCTACGAGGGCGCTGTCTAGGGTAAGCTAATAAACAAGAGAGTTAATCATGTGAATTCAAAAATGGGGTAGATACACCCCGATCATTCTTGACCTTGGCAGTTGGGGTAAAAAGTACATATATACACAGATAACGATAAAGCCGTCGCAGGTCATAATACATTTGCAGTCAAGTTGTACATGATAATATAGATTCACATAGATTATGTGATTATTCCATTCGGAGAGTCATACTTGAAGGTCTTGGGTATCTTCTAGTAAAACTCTTGAATTGTATGTAGGTATGAGTCTTGAACAAGGCGTCAGTTAGGCATACAACTGGTGGACGGTACTTGGCTACTAAATAGTACGAGAGTTGCGATAAGATGACTTACTCCACGAGATGGAGACGATTCAGCTGCTATCTAGGCCGTGACCAAGCGAGTCTCTCCAACTCGTCACACGTTAAGCCAAGATAGAGCCGATCATAAAAACAAATTGGCGGCGACTGACCGCGGTGCCACCAAGTACACCCAGGTCTCAGCCGTACCCTTCGACCTTGGTTGAACTTAGACCTTTTCCTTCTGCTCGTCTAGTGCCCTGAACAACCCGTCAAGACATGGACTGCATTGACCTACCGTTCGTTTCGGTACATGCGCTAGACGCCGGGCACTTAACTTTGCCAGAATCATTCTTTGTCACCCCATTGGACGACCCAACAGCTCGCAAAACTGTCCCCTCTCTGTCCTTCCTTATTCAGCACACCGATAGAATCACTGCAAGGACACAGAAGATAGTATTTGATCTGGGTATTAGGAGGAGCTTGGAGGATTATGCTAAACCTATCTACAGGCATGCTTTGACACGTATGCCATGCTCAGGGAAGCCCGACGTAGTCGAGTCTCTGCGGCTGGGTGGCTTTGTACCAGACGACATTGACATGGTCATCTTGAGCCACTTGCATTGGGACCATATAGGATCGCCGTCGGATTTCCCAAACACTTCATTCATCGTTGGAGCCGGGGCGGCAGGCCTTATTGACGGTAGCCGTCCTGTTGCAGTGGGTAGTCACAACCATTTTGAGCATGAAATCATAGCTCTAGACCGACTAATAGAGCTGCCTGCGACCTCGATGACGGCACTGCATACAAGCAAGAAGGTCCCTCTTTCACCATCCACGCAACAATTGTTAGACACAACACGCCTGGCCAGCCGGGGTTGGGAGGCAGTTGGACTTTTCGAACACGCTATAGATGTATTTGAAGACCGGAGCCTGTTTATTGTGTCATCGCCTGGACATCTGGATGGGCACATAAATCTCCTGTGCCGCTTATCAGGCGGCAAGTACGTGTATCTAGCTGGAGATGCTTGCCATGATGCGAGGTTGCTGTCTGGAGAGAAGGAGATTGCCACTTGGCACGACGACAAGTATCCTGGAACGGTTTGCTGTATTCATCAAGACAGGGAAGTTGCAAAAAGGACACTTGGCCTAATCAGAGACACCCAGGCAGGCAAGTCTCGCTTGGGTAAAGTTGAGGTGGTGTTCGCACACGATGCTCATTGGGAGGCTGAGGCGAAGAGATTGGGGAAATTCCTGCCGGGATCCCTTTGCTAATTGCAAGGCGGGGCTCCAGTATGCGTAGATTGGAGCGAGCATGTACTTGGGACTATTTTCTTGACGTACTTATTTGGTTGAAACCTTGACATGACTTGGGGTTGAAACTATCTGGGGTTTAAACCAAGGTAGTTGGGGTTTTACCTACCCCGTGGGCTTTGATATTATGAGACTCCACAACGGTCTGAAGGTCTAGACTCGGTCTGGCCAACGGCAATGTCAAGGAGGAGCGTTGAGCCGAGAAAGGAGAGGAGCCGATAGCCGATTTTCATTAGTTGTTTTTACATATTGATCACCCAGGCAATCAATATATACTATGCTCCCGGCAAGCAAAATTGTTAACTCTGGGCCTGCATCATCTACCATCCAAAAAGATCGGCAACAATTGAACATTGCAGTTGACAAAAAAGCGACATTGACCATGGCCAAGCAAGCCTCTCCACTCAACTTCCTCATTGTGACCTTTGTCGCCTTGGGGAGTTTTACATATGGCTTCAATTCCGCGTATGTCCCCTGACAGATCTGTAACACTGAACAAATCTTGGGCTCACTAGATTAGGATCATGGGAGTGGTAATTGGACTACCAGAGTTCTTCAACTACTTTGGCATCAGCCTCGAAGACGACATTGGGAACTCTATTACTGGAGGTGAGTTGTGAAATTCGTGTATGAACAATATACGGCATCCTAACCTGATCACTCAGCTACCAATGGCCTCTACTCCGGAGGCGGTGTCGTCGGTTGCTTGTTTGTCCCGTGGCTCCTGGAGAAACTGGGACGGAAAAGGACTCTGCAAATCGGATCCATTGTCGCCATCATATCGGCTGCGCTGCAGTCAGGGAGTGTGCACATTGTGAGAGACCCATGTCTGGATGTACCTACTGGAGCTAACTTTGCGTTAGGCCATGTTTCTCCTTGCCCGTTTTCTGAACGGTGTCTCGGTGGGCATGCTCAATACGTCCATTCCAGTGTTCCAGTCCGAAGTGTCCCCTGCTGAGAGCCGAGGTCGAATGGTGGGAACTCATGGAGTCCTGATCGTATCAGGTTACAGCATGGCTGGGTTTGTTGGCTTTGGAACATACTATGCCGAGCCTACGGTGGGCTGGCGCTTGTGTCTTGCCATTCAAATTGTTGCACCTCTCCTTTTGTGCTTGGGGTCTCCTTGGTTAGTTTTGCACCCAACACTCTTGCAGCGAGCAACACTGACCAAGAAACTTGATAGGCTACCCGAGTCACCCCGCTGGCTCATCAGACAGGACAGAGTAAAGGAAGGGCTCGAAGTGCTGCAACTCTTACACGGCGATGCGAACGATCCGACCAATAACGCGCCTGAGATTGAGTACAATCAAATCGTGGAACAATATCGTCTTGAGATGGCAGGTGATGGCCCTCGATCTCTCGTGGGTATGATGAAGAAGAAGAGCTACCGTAAACGCTTGCTCTTCGGGTTCGCGGTACAAGTGATTGCCCAAAGCACTGGAGTGCTTGTCGTGAATAACTACCAAGTCCTTTTGTACAAAGGGCTTGGTATCTCCGGATCTCTCCCTCTGGCGCTGAATGGTTGTTACAATGGCTTGGCGGCGTTTATGAACTGGATTAACTCGCTCATTATGGACCGAGTTGGCCGAATCCGCATCATGGTAATTGGACTAGTGAGTACTCAGGATCGGTTTCATAACGAGATCACGGACTAACGTGGTGCATCTAGTGTGGTTGTGCAATAGCCCTAAGCTGCTTCACCGCCATGGTTGCAGAATTTGGCGGAACATCGAATCGCGTTGGCAATGGATTTGGAGTCTTCTTCCTCTTCCTCTTTGTGTTCTTCTACGGTGCGACAATGGACGCTACATCCTACGTCTACTGCTCAGAGATCTTCCCGACGCCAGTTCGGGCTATTGGCACCGGGTTCAGTGTCTCGGGTCTCTTCTCTGCTACTTTAGTCTATACCCAGGTTGCGCCGATTGCCTTTGCGCAGATCGGTTGGCGATACTACTTGGTCTTCATTACCTTGCCGTTGGTTGGCGCAATATGCCTCTGGAAGTTCTTTCCAGAAACAAAGAGACTTACCCTGGAAGAGATAGGGGGGGCCTTTGGAGATGATGTACTCGCCGTTGGATCCGGACGAGACGACATTGATGATACCCTTGCTTGGAAAGGCTCGGATGACTTGCACCCCGGTCAGCGCATCGACTCTGAGGGGAATGGCAAAGAAGGTCGCGTGGGAACTGTGCAGCATCGTGAAGTTTGAGATGCAGAATGTTAAGCGCATCGCCATCATATAACTTGTATTCTGAAGATATCTGCAACCAAAGACGTTGTTAAGATTTGGTACTTGGTTGATTTGATCTTTTCTTTTCCTGTGCAAGACGACGAGAATCATTGAGCCAGCTCAAAAGTGTTAAGTTACCTCCCTATTGGCGTTTTACAGTATTGTTAAGTTGTAGGTGTGTAGTGGGGCTCGTAAAGCATCCCTAGAGTTGTTGTTTTTACCCCAAACATTGCGGAGTGTGATTCCTCCCCGTGGGGTTTCCGAATTTAACAGAAGAATCGGTATAAGAAAGCGTCTGGAACCCAAGATATCCATTGCCTTGTCCGTGTCTTCATTCTTATCAAGGTCGATCTGAATCTTCAAGCCATGCCAGCCGCCCAAAGTATGATGAAAGCCGTGGTGTTCGAGAGTGTAGGGAAAGTAGTGGTCGAAGACAGGCCCAGACCTCGGATCGAGGATCCTCGAGATGTCATTGTGAAGGTCACCGCCGCAGGGCTGTGTGGTAGCGACCTCCATTGGTTCCGTGGTCATCAAAAAATTCCTGGCGACTTCATCCCCGGCCATGAAATAGTAGGCGATGTCTTTGAAGTTGGAAGTGCGGTTGAAAGATTCAAAATTGGAGAACCGGTTGTTGTACGTACCCGTGCTGCCTCACAGTTAGATGGTTGACTAACACGCAACGAAGGCATCCTTCTCAACACAATGCGGTAAATGTTTCTATTGTCGGAAAGGCCAGACGAGTCGTTGCCCTGAATACTATCTATTCGGTTAGTACAATGCTATCATCACGTTGTTTGGCATAATCTAAGTATGTAAAATTCACAGGTAACCGCTCATCTCCACGCGACATCGATGGTGGGCAGGCCGAGTACGTCAGGATCCCCTACGCGGATACATCTCTGTCCCATCCGCCAAAAGGATTGCCCGCCAAGCTATTGGTGCTGATGGGTGACATTTTCCCTACCGGCTATTTCTGCGCATCCCGCTTCCTCAAGCCAATGCCAGCTGCGGAAGCAAAGGAGACGGTCGTGGCTGTTGTTGGCTGTGGCCCGGTGGGAATCTGCGCCATTGCTAGTGCTTTGACTTGGTGCGATACGGTCTACGCACTCGATCTCGTGCCTGAGCGTCTCGCTGAGGCGGCAAAGATCGGCGCCATACCCCTTGGTCTCAATGATGACCCGGTGGCCATCATCAAAGCTGCTACCGATGGTCGAGGTGCTGATCTTGTCCTCGAAGTTGTTGGAGGTCCAGAGCCGATGAAGTTGTGCATGAACCTCATCAGGCCATTTGGGATCATCAGTAGTGTTGGCGTGCAGCCGCACGACTTGACCTTTGACGGACCAATGTTGCATGCCAAAAATGTTACGATTGAATGGGGTAGATGCCCTGTCTATGGCATTTTTAGTGAGTCGTTGGAGTGTCTGGTCAAGGTCCAAGATAAAGTCGCCTTTCTTTGCGATAAAGAAATGAAGCTAGAGGATGCTGTTGAGGCATATCAGTTGTTCGACAGCCGCAAAGTTCACAAGATTATTCTTATCCCTTGATAGATCTTGAAGCATATTAAATAGTACTAGCCACTAAGAATTCATTTGACATATTACAAACTTTCTAGCTACCCAAGGTAGAAAGTAAACCGGTATGAAGTTCAATCCATCTCTTGAGTTACCTAGTTAATAGAAAATATGCCGAGAGCAGGCGTTGGCCGCCTTTGAAGATGCCGTAGAAAGACACAAGGTCTTGGGTGTAGTATTAATGCCATTATATTAGATCGGCATGTTCTTCTAACTTGTACAAACTAAAGTTTGATAGCATATTTCTCTCCCCCGCGCGAGTGCTAAGATAACCCACAGGTAGAGTAACCCTTGGTCAGGTTGGAGTGAGGAGACCTTGGAGTAGATACCCCTGATTGTTCCCCCACGCGTAGAATACAAGGCTAGCATGTGATTTGCAAGTATGACGAGAGTAGTACAAGGAGGTACAACTAGAGTTACAAGCGCTTTTGTACCCAAGTCTATACTTGTGTTTTGAAAGCGCAACTTCATTATGGGGCTCAACAAAAGCAATATGGAGGCTCTACCGTTACCAGATCTCAATCTTCCCAAAGGCGATCAAGTCGTCAATGTTCATGCCATTGACACAACAACGACTCTGGTCTGTGATGCTTTTGCTTTTATTGAGCCGACACAGCCCGGCCATGAGAAAATTAACATGAAGACCATGTGCTTTCTGCTTGAGCACAAAACTTCGGAGGCTTCCGAATACGTTCTATTTGACTGTGGCTCTCGCAAAGACTTTTGGAATGGCTCTCCTACAGCTAGTAGGATGATTGGCGGCCACGTGCCGTCGCTGATAGTCGAAAAGGGTGTTGATGAGATCCTAGTAGAAGGTGGACTTGACCTCTCCCAGCTTAGTACGTTTCGATATGTGTGCTTGTCGTTTCCTTGATATATTCTACAATGTGTCTCGACGTTGACAATAAACCGCACAGAAGCATTAATATGGAGCCACTGGCATTGGGACCACATAGGCGATGCCTCCAAGTTTCCAGCCACAGTTGACATTGTCGTTGGACCTGGCTTCAAAGAGAATTACACTCCTGGTTACCCGGAAGATCCCCGTGGAGTTGTCTTAGCAAAAGATATGGAGTTAGCATTCACTCGCTAAGAAAATCATGGGAAATCAAGGACTGATGTTTTGCTTGGCCAGGGGACACGAAATATTCGAGCCTTCCTTCGAACAAGATGTTGCAGGATTCGGAGCATATGATTTCTTTGGCGACGGCTCATTCTACCTTTTGGATGTTCCTGGCGTATGTTGAACTACGCACTATTAAATCTGGTGATGCATGTCACTGATTATCCATAGCATGCGATTGGTCATATCTGCGGGCTTGCTCGGACGACAACAGACACTTTCGTGTTGCTAGGAGGAGACTGCTGTCACTTCACGGGCGTATTTCGCCCCTCTCCATATGCACCATTGCCAATACACATTCCTACAGGAGTGCTGGATGACTTTTACCCAGCTCCATGCCCTTGCTCCCTATTCGAGGCGAGCCACGCAGTGGTTAGTAGGGAGCATGACAGGACCGGGCTCGATCAGCTTGAGCGAGCAACTGCTACTAGGATGACACCCTTTTATAATATATCGCGAGCCAAGGGTAGTGCTTATACGTTTGCCGAACTAGCACAGCAGAGTGTCGATAGGTTGCAACCCCTCGATGCACACCCGCACGTTTTAATCTGCCTGGCGCACGATGGAAAGCTGATGGAGTTGCTCCCATTGTTTAATCAAGATCCAGCCAACAGTATCAATGGCTGGCAGTCATGGGGGATCAAAGATAAATCAAGATGGGATTTCCTCAACGAGCTACCAAAAGGCCAGGCAGAGGGCCGGAAGCCCACGTTTGGTGGCATCTATCGTAATCACACGAGGCTGCAATGGGATGGGGATGCTGGTTTCATTGATATTGGCAAGTGAAGATGGGGCGATTAATAGAATTCTGGGTCTAACAAACTTTAAACCTTTAAAGTCATATTCTTGAATATAATCATTACTGAGTAGTGTATCCTCTTGTTCTTGGGTCAAATCTGTTACTAGAAAAAAGTCGTCAGGCTTCTACCTCCGCCATGAGTTGCACTTCTACTACGTTTGCATCAATTAATGCTTCTGAAAACTATATAAAAGGCTTCAAGCCACGTAGGAAGATTCAATGCCTGGGCATCTCAGCATAATGAATATTACTTTTTTATTCGTGTAATTCATTCTCTATATAATCTCACCCAAATATGACTAGATACTGGCGATTCAGCATACCTGGCTTCTAGGATGCAGACGTGCCATTCTTTTCATAGACTTCTTGCTGCCAGTTTTCCTTCCCTCCCAAGTACCTATACACCACTCTGGAGTCCAAGTTGTGGCACACGGGATCATTGCTCGCTGCCGTGTAAGTGTCCAAGCCTGCATCGCCAAGGACCAGTTTTGCGCCCACGGCCTTGGCCAAGTCAACGGCCAGAGCAAAGTCCTTGCGCATCAACTGCACCTTGAAACCGCCAGCATAACCCTTGCTCGACGGGGCATCAGCAACAACGCCGGGAACGGGGTTGAACCTGTCGCAGATGGCGTTCTGGGCCGTCCCTGCGCTGAAGGCCCTGGAAAGCGTCGCCGGATCCAGTCCTGCTCGCATGCCCATGTTGAGAGCCTCAGAGGTAGCAATTGCGATGAGACCGGAGAGGTAGTTGTTGGACAGCTTTGTAGCCAAGCCCAGAGACGGTCCGCCGCAGGGGATGATTTGCTTGCCCAGGATGCCGAGCACGCCCAGGATTGATTCAAAGGAGCTGTCAGACTCGGCGCAGCCAAGGAAAATAGCCAAAGTTCCCTTCTCCGCGCCAATGACGCCTCCCGATACAGGCGCATCAAAGAACTTTGCTGTTGGGAAACGTGTTCTGAGCTGATGCGCCACGAGTCGGTTTGTGGTCATGTCAATAGTCGAGCAATCCACCAATGTATGCTTGGAGAGGTCGGTCGATATTAAGCCAGTGTCGGCGTCCAGATATACCGACTCGACGTGGCGGCCCTCCGGTACCATGGTAATGGTGAATTCCTATGCGTTGTCAGCTTGAGATGCCATAAAGACGGGTGGCGTGCCTACAGCTCGTTCAGCGACTTGCCGCGGCGATGATGCTTTGTACACCCGACCTGGATAACTCGAGACCAGCTCATCTATCGCGGCCGTCGCTACGTCGTAGACTGCTAGTTCGCCAGTTGCCGGGAGGGCATCCAGCAGACGGCGTGCCATTGGTTGGCCCATGGCCCCAAGGCCTATGAAACCGAGTCGGATGTCTAGCAAAGGCGCCATTCTATCTACCGGTCGGTTACAGGCAATACAAGGTATTGGAAGTGATCAGTGTACAGGTGAGAACTACTAATTGGCCATATACAGGGAGTTATATGACAACCAACCACCTTAAGTGCTCCAACCCACAGATCGCACTGCGTTGGTCAAATAGTCCGAGTCAGGTCTGCGCTTATTTTTCTACAGTAACCGAAGAAGTGTCTGTTTTTCAACACTGTGTCCTCATCTTGGCAAACGAAGACGAAGAGCACAATGGCTACCCCACAGCTCTGGAGAGATTTCGCTACTGGGGCGAGGACATTGGGGGCTCCCCTCGGAGTTTTTACTCCAACACTTATTAGGGAGCATTTCCGATTAACTGCATGTAGGTACTCCAACCAGCACAACCCCTTGCTGCGAAGTACCGCCCTCGGTGATCCATAGTGAGGCCGGAGTCGCGGAACTATTAAGGCAACTCACTTCCAATTCCGCTGGAATGTGCCCCAACGCCTCTCTGGAGGACAAAGCTAGTTCCATGGGGCCGAAACTCCTTCTAGTCCGGACACGCCCCCAATGCCATCATTGGCTCGCAAGTCCCCTTGCTGGATTCAAATCTTGCTGCACCAACTCGGCACAGCGGTCGAGACCGGCACCAATGGGCCCCATGATGTCGAATACGTGGGCGCCTTGGAAGGTGTGTGCCCAGAGACGCAGTACAGCCGAGGAGAGGGACAGTAGCCTGCCAACCTCGTCCGCCTCACTCTGGACAGCCGAGGCCAGCTCCGTCTCGCTGACTATGGCGCTGATGATGCCCAGCAAACGCCGCTCGTCCTCGCGCAGGGTCTCCCCGTCGCGCAGTGCCCAGGCCATTGTCTGGAGCCATTTGCTGACGAACAGGCCGCATTCCAGGTTGCACAGGCTGTGTATTATGCTCCACGAGAGTGTCTGCGTCCTGGCGACGAACTCAATGCCAATTCGGACGGGGATGCTCAGGGAATGGGCGCACTGCAAAACGGCCCTGCCCACCGAGGAGGCCACACGCGGGGATCGCTCAATGGCCATGGCATTCCAAAAGGCGGAGGCGATGGTGTTGGGGTCACGGGTGTCTAGCTGGAGATGGGCGCCCATGTTGGTGTGAAGTCGGCTATATGCAAGACGAAAGAGGGCGGTGGCATTGAAACTCAGCGGTCCACCTGGCGCTGACGGGTCAAATGATGAGTCTTTGGTGGCTTCCCAGCCGTGCTGCCAGCTCCGAAGTGCCCGGTCGAGGTGGCTCAGTGCCCCCGATGCTATAGAAGACGTAGTGCCCCCGATAAAGTAAACCTGCCTCGTGAAGAAGATGTCCTGGACGATGCAATGGATCAGGACATAATTGCCAAATGATGAGAGTTCGTGACGGCTGGGCCTATCCGTCTGCGCAGCATGTAGACCGACGTACGCATCGCGGAGTAGACAACAGGAGTGAGCGTCTCGCCGGCGTGCTTCCCGCCAGGCCGCGTCGTCGGATGCGCGCCAGTGTGACTCGGGGGATGGCAAGAAGAGCATTCCCATGTCTTTTGCAAGCACCTTTGGTGACGCGTTGTATGCGATCGAGTGAAGGTTGAGGAAGCAGAAACCAACAATCATAGTGCGCCTTCGCCCTTCCGCTGCAACCCACTCAGGCCATGTTGGATCCGTGTCATTGCCATCAGGTTGCATGGCGTGTTCTCGCAAAAGCAGGGCCAAATGGCTCGCCATCGAAAAGGCATCTTTGAGAAGCGACCGGTCGTTCCATGTGCCAAGGGCAATCATGAGGATCATGGCATGCATTGTCTGCAGGTCTCGATCAGGGCTGGTCGTGGCTCGGCTTGGGTCGAGAGCCCTTGGCAGAGGCCTGGCCGCGCCATGTAGATCGTTGACGGGAGACGGTTCAGAGCCTTGGCCTTGTCTTTGTCCTTGTCCATGGTGCGGCTGCGGTGGAGGGTTGCTGTGTTGAGAGAGCATCCCCGGTGTGGTCCAGACGGGTCCTTCTCCCGAGCTGGTGGCGAGCGACACGCGTTGCTCGATTTGATACCTAAGTAATAGCTGCGCTGCCAAATATAAATTGTGTGATTGCCTATGCTGAAACCGGTACCTCGCCCCGACCGAGAGGATGGCGAGTATCAACTCGGGAGCTTCCGTCACCAAGGAAAAGGTGGCCACGTGGATCACTGGTAAATGCTCGTGAAAGCCAGAGAAGAAGCCTTCAACGTACCGACAGAGCGCGTGCCGCGAGGGAAGCACAAAGTCGTGTGGCAGAATCGTCGCATAACTGACCATGACAGCGTGGATCAAGCCATAATCTTGCTTCGATATGCGCCACGGAACGGCAGGCCGACGTATCAACGTTGCTTGGGCCGGTAGATGCTCGTTTAGCCTCTCATTCCGGACCTCGGCCTCATCATTGTTGTTGCCACTTGCTGCAGCATCATTCTGATTTTGGTAAGCTGGCTCAACTGAAGGGAGACGCGACTCGAATCTTGACATGATGCCCTGTTCCCCGCACTCTTGCCCTGCAAACATATGCTGGTTTTCGTAGGCTTCATTTGGGTTTCCATAAACCACCTGGCCAGGAACGGACAGTCCAGCTTGCATGAGTGCCACGTCATTGAGCGGGAATGACTGCGACATAACCAAAGAGGAGTAATCAAAATCGTTCCAGAGAAGGTCTAGATTATCGCCAATGCTTAGAGGCTGAGCTGCCAGGTCCCTCCTCTGCTCTGCTTCGCTTGTGGGCAGCGTGTCGTGCTCTACCGGGTCTTCAGTCAGATGGTCGAGTGGAAGGCGAAACTGCGGGTTCATTGGAGCTGAGAACTCCAATGGTGTTGGTTGACCTGACATAGCAGGAGATATGACAGGTGCTCCCTCTTGTATAGCCCTCGTAGCTATCGTTTCTGCTTGCACGTAATTTTCCATATTTCCGTAGGAGTTCTTTGTGCAGTCTATGCTTGGGCTTTTTGGTTCGGTGGGATTTAGGCTTGTCGTAGTAGCACCCAAAACGCTTGGCTCGTCGTTGTCCATGCCGTCGGCATCGTCAGAGTGAGATATGCGCTCATGTCGGGAAAGTAGATCTCTGTTATGGATGGAGTCAGTATCAGTCATGAGTACAACCACTTTCTGCCTCCTTGGAGTGGATGATGCAACGCAAGAGGCGTCCGTCTCGATTACACATATTATATGAGTTACGACTAACCGCCTAGAAAAGGACTGCCCGCAATGGCAGTGAAATGGTTTCTCGTGAGTGTCTGAGAAGCAATTGATTACTGGATTAGCACGAGATACTCGATACACGAACAGGGACAAGATTTGGAGGCCACGGCTGAAATGAACCCCAATGGGTATGACCACCAAGAACAAGGGTAGGATAAAGGTTACCCACGGGTGCGTTCATGGCGATGCAAATGCTCCCGCCGCCGGAACTTCCTCGAGCAGAATTTGCAGGGAGGGACGTGCAATTTGGGGCGCATTGTGCCAAAGGGCCGCAATCGATGCTGGCTGTATCTGCGCTCAGTCGTGCAGAGGAGTAAGATTGGGGTCAATTGGAAAAGATGGGGGACGTTCAACACATCCACTTCTAGACATAGTGGCTAAAAGTCTGCGACCGGCTAACGTGTTACCCTAGACCTACTAATTTCTTGTTCAATATTCCTCAATAATATACATATAATAATATCTATAGTATATTAAAATTTAATATAAATATAAACCTTTTAAATTATAAATATTCAGTAGAAATATATATATATATTATTTAAATAAAACTTCTATAATAATAAAATATATATATAACTATCTTATTTTTTTTTTTTTTAAAAAAAAAAAAGTTAATATTTGCTGATAAAAAAACCGAAAAAAATATGTAATCATAAGAGCGTAAACTGCAGGGTGGTGTGGTTTTTTATCCTATGAGTGCAGCATATCAATAGCCAATAAGGTAACGTAGGTCAACTTTACATTAGGCTATACTTACTTACCTTGTGAATAATATGGATTGACAACACAAATAGAATCCAAGTGTAATTGGGCCAATACGCAAGCCATGTTCTTTCTTGATCCCTTATATATGTTAATTGTTTCACGTCTTATCTAGATTCTGAGTTGGAATAACCGGTCAAAGGCTGCAGATCAAGCATCGGCCGATTTCCCTCCCAAGGTCCTCTTATACTCCCCACTCGCCACCATGTCGTCCAGCGTCTTGTTGGCGACCTTTGTAGCTTCAATTCCAGCCGGCACACCGCAGTAGATAGATGCCTGGAGGATGGCCTCACGAATCTCCAATTCTGAGAGGCCATTGTTGATTGACCCGCGAACGTGGACGCCCAGCTCAGGCCAGCTTTTCAAAGCGATGAGCATGCCAAGGTCTAGTAACTCTAGGTTAGCCTACATTTCTTGCAAACCTAAACATTGCCCGTACTCAACAGGCTCCGTTGCTTGCGTTCCAAGCCAGGACGAGACCAAATGTTGCCCCAACACCATCTAGTTTCACATAATATTGGTCAGATGACTCAGTTGTACTCTCATGAAAAAGGGATGCGCCATACTCTGTTACCAGTTGCTGATTAGGGTACGTGAACTCAGTGGATCCATTCTCTAAGGATCGATCGACGTAGACGTTGCCGACAACCTCACGACGAGTTTGGAGCCCCGCCTCAAACAAGTTTTGGTTTCCAGATGACATTGCCGTTGCTTTTTCCTTTTAAGTCGCTGTGCCAATCGTCAAAGCTTGATCTTATTGGATGTTGATCCTTAGAGGGAGTTTGGGAAGTCAAAGTGATATTTATACCTGGTCTCCCCAAGCAACCTCGTTAGTCATCTTGGAAGCCCCATTGATTTGGAGATTTTAATGTGTGTGTAGACTGTGGCCAGACGATCCTTGGCCCCGGCACCCCTCTCGCCATGGCATGGCACAGCACATGGAGATACAATCTTAGAGTGGGTCACATGGCATGACCTTTGTCAACGGTTTCCTAATGATATGGGGTGCAAAGCGGCATGATGATTTTGCTTTGTACATTTGTCAAATTAAACAAACTACTACTCCAATGGCCCATGCTTGAGACAAGGGGAACTAACACCACACGTCCACCACTGACATATTCCACGTGCCCAACGAGATCGAGCATGCTGCGCGGTCTATGATTTGAATCATTCATATATTGAATCTACTTTTTCCTACTGGCTCTCATTGAGTCACAGACAGAGTCGACAGCCTCCACAAGGTACCGAGTAAATCTCTGGGGATTCTCGGTGGCAGGAAAATGTCCTAGCCCTTCCATTGAGCGAAACTTGGCACCGGGAATCTTGCGTGCCGTGGCTTCACTCATAGCCGGAGTCGTACTCCAGTCATAGTCTCCGGTGAGCATATACACAGGGCACCGCTTTGTATCAATCTTCTCCACACGGCCACGGCCATCCCAACCGCCAAAGTAGAAATCGAGATCGCCATGATACATCGAAAACGCCTGAGCGGAGTATGTGTGCCAGACAAGATTGCGGTCTTTCAAAGGTGAAAATGGGGACATCATCTGCAGACGACGTGGTTAGCTTGGGGTCGCAAGAATAGGCAGCAAACCACCGTCAACATGGAGGACACCTACCCCGTAGATGTACTCAGGAGTGAAAATAGATTGGTTCACAAAGAGTGACCTTGACCAGTAGTTGCGTTCCATGTCGGTGAATTCGCATCTATTCGCAAGTAAGCTTCATGCCTGTGTAGCCTTCGCGTCGGACGATTTCCATCCGCCCAATCAAGGTCATGGATGGACTTTGACTTACGCTTGGCAAGGGATCACCGCCCCGGCGCCGGCCTCATCAGCCCTCAATGCCACCGCAAGAGAGATGTGGCCAGCCATGCTAGCACCACAGATGATGGGGCTCACAAGACCTAGCGACTTGACCACGGCAGCAATTACGGCAATATAAGCATCCTCGTTGTTGCTGTGCTGCCCAGGAACTTGTTTCTCTCCGGGAAAACTCCTTCCATGGCCTGGCATGTCAAATACAGTCATGTGGCATCTGTCCAGCATGTCCTGATGATTCATGACACCATGGTACTGCCTACCATCGGAGCCGGCGGTATGCAGGAAAACAATCGGCTGCTTCGACTTATCGCCGCTCTGTTCGTAGAACAGTTTGGTCCTTCCCCAGCAGGGTAGATCTGCCCATAGGTAGCCGCCAGAGATGAGATCCCTCTCTGGGGTTGCCACATGCTTTTCCTCCTGTATAGGCCCGCAAAACGCAGTGCGACTCAGCTCTAGAACGCGCCGCCAGACCGGGGCCAGATTTAGGAAGAGGTCCTTATTGCCACGGACCTCGACACCATCCTGGTGAATATTTTGACCAAACATGCCCCAGTAACTCTGGAAAGGTGGCTTTGGTGTCGCCGAGTAGAACTCGGCCCACTGCTCCGGCAAGGCCGAAAGGACAAACGAAGCATCTTTCACTGCGCCGGTCCGTACGGCTGTTTGGCCATCACCGACTGAGCAGAGGACGCCTTGGTCATGTCCAGCGGCAGCCCATCCAAAGACCACAGGTTCCTTGATCCCGGTGTCAGTGAACGCCGCAAGCTGACTATCCTCGTTCAAATGGGACTGTAATGACGACAAAGTGGAGCTCAGGACGACCTCTAGATTCTTCCAGTCATCCTCAACTTTAGTGACAGGCATCTTTGCGTGTAATCCAGGGGTTCGGTCTGTTTGATGGGAAATTTGCTGTCGCTCAACGCCGTCTGTGCCTAGTACTCATTGACGACCTAGTTCAAGAATATGCAAGATTGCTATGCAATTATAATGGCCTATGAAGGACTTTAAATTGGGCAACTGACTAGCCCTCACTCCTGGACCGGCTGGGTCGATACAAGGGAAGTTGTACATCCGGCAAAATTACCTAGTTGGGCGCCGAGGTTTCTACCCCGTCGCGCCGTTCCCAGTTGATATTGGTTGCAGGGAGTTGCTTATTAGCCTGACTCGTATAAAACATGGACTACGTTCCCTAAACTCTCCAATGCGGGGAAGAGTTCAGCGGGTCCGAGAAGTCGGAGCTGTTTCTACCCCAAAGTTGCGCACCATGCCGGCACCATTTCACTCCGACCGATCCCGCATTCATCACATTGATATTTACCGGGGTCTGTAGTCAGGGTGAATCTCTCTATTGCTTATGCGTTATTACCCAAAAATTCTTTTTTTGAGACTTAAGGCTTCCAGTTGGTTATTTGCAGGGACGCTAGGCTACCATCACCTACAACTACAACTATCATACGGCGATAATGACGTCCAACGACATCACATTCAAGGTTTGTTATTTGTGTAGATTTTATGCATGCTTGTCTACCAAAATTGTCTCACTGACATGTGCCACAAATAGCTTAGCAACCCCAACCTCCTACAAACGGAGGGCTACGTACAAGGGAAGTGGCAACCTAGTGTGCGCAACGGACGGTTCGACATTCAAGGTAAGTGTTTTCTTTGGAAAATACCATGTCCCACAATACATAAGAACTTGAAGGCTAAAGCTGTAAAGATCCTGGAAATGCTAAGGTAGTTGCCTCATGCGCCGATTACGGACTAGACGACATTGAGGCCGTTGTCAAGTCAAGCCACGAGGCGTTCCAAACATACCGACACGAGAACCCGCGCTCCCGCGCTCATAAGCTGCTGGAATGGCATCGACTCATCTCGGAGAACAAGGAGGACTTGGCTACAATCCTCACACACGAGACGGGCAAGCCGCTTGCCGAGGCTCGTGGCGAACTTGACTATGCTCTTGGCTTCACCTGGTGGTTTGCTGGTGAGGCTGAAAGGGTCAGGGGCAATGTCAGTGTGCCTTCGGCCCCCAATCGTCGTGTTATTGTCATCAAACAGCCGATTGGGGTGTGTGTGGCATTGGTTCCCTGGAATTTTCCTGTTGCGTAAGTTTCCATCACATTTGTTTCATTCTCTCTGATTATGACTCTGACACGGCCTTTGCAGCATGATCCTGCGCAAGGCAGGAGCAGCATTAGCAGCTGGTTGCACATTCATCGCCAAACCGTCCCCAGAAACACCTCTGTCCTGTTTAGTCCTGGCGCAGCTGGCTTCCCAGGCCGGATTTGCACCAGGCGTCTTTAATGTTATACCCACGTCCTCTAGCAACACTCCGGTCGTAGCAGAGGCCTTGTGCAAGCATCCCCTAGTCAAAAAGGTATCATTTACCGGCTCGACAACTATTGGCAGCTTGATTGCGCGCCACTGTTCTGAAGGGGTTAAGAAACTCTCCTTGGAACTAGGCGGCAACTGCCCCTTCATAGTCTTTGACGACTGCAATGAAACCCAAGCCCTTGATGCTCTCATGTCTCTCAAATGGCGCCATGCCGGCCAAGCTTGCGTCACCGTCAACAGATTATATGTTCAAGCTGGGATATATGAAGAATTCATCGAAAAGCTCGTGGAACGAACAAAGGCGCTGAATCAAGGTCACGGATTGGATCCTAAAACCACAATCGGACCATTGACCACACCTCGTGGTGTAGAAAAGGCCCAGGCTCACGTGGACGACGCCGTGCAAGCCGGTGGCAAAGTTGTGCTTGGTGGGCAACGTGTTGAGGGGCCAGGATTCTTCTTCCAACCAACAATCATTCGAGATGCTTCACTATCAATGCTTATCAGTCACGAAGAGACCTTCGCTCCAGTGCTTGCTGTCTATCGGTTCTCAACAGAGGATGAAGTGGTACAGCAGGCGAATAATACTAGCATGGGCTTGGCAAGCTATTTCTTCACCAAAGATATTGATCGAACTTGGAGACTTCTGGAAAATCTGGAAGCTGGTATGATAGGGATAAACTCGGGAAACTCATCGGCAGCCGAGTCACCTTTTGGCGGTATGAAGCAGTCTGGATATGGCAAGGAATCCGGAAAAGACGTCGCCATTGAGGAATATTTAGTTTCCAAGACTGGCACACTGACGTTAGAAGGGCAATATTAGACAAGTCGAATAGTACGGATGCACCATGATAGTAGCTATATATACTGAAAGATCACTTGTGACTGGCTTTTTTAATTTGTCCTTGATACAGCTATAACGGACTTGCCCACGATGGGATCAAGGACTCTATGACCACGTCTAAGCCACTAATGATGTGTAATGCGTATCTAGACCGCATTTGAGCGCCAGCCTTATGGTATTTTTGCTTCGACACTGGTATCACTTCTTGTATCATCGAGGTCAAATTTCATCGTCTCCCAGAGTTCCCTCCTGTTGCGAGTGATAAGAAGGTTGTCAAGCCAATGTAGTGAATTACATTTCGTAGTTGCACTCTACATCTCTACATGCTATTAGTATAACCGCGTCTGATTAAGGCTCTGTATTAACCCCTCCAGTCTGTATGATTATATATTATCAACCTCTAGGCTAGATTATCATGCGCATTGGCAGCTCATCTGCCTTGAATTAGGTCCATTCCGGCTCTCAGACGATATGATATATTCCAAATAACTGCTGTCCATAGGTATTGACTTCAATCATCTAGTCTGAGCATGTGTGTGACAATACACTGGGGAACCATCATCATAAGGAACTTAGTATGCTAGGATCAACCACTGAAAACTCCGCGTAGCTGTAAACACGCCACCAGCACCCTGCATGAACCATATTTATACTCGCTCTTCCGAATGATGAACTGTTGCAGCTTCCTTCTCACTCCCCTCGCCCACGGCTGAATCGGTGAAAGTGTTATGCGCAACTTTCCGTATGTTCCATTGTGGATACCTTTTGAAGAACTCGTCCATCTGCTCGAGAGTTCGACCGGCCTATTTTTGTCAGCGTCGAGATCGAAGAGATGTGAGGGCAGGCCAATTACCGTTTCAGGAAAGCAAAATAAGAGAAAGGGAATTGCAGCGAGAGTCACTGCCATCCACACCAGGTAGAATTTCCTGAGATTTCTGGTCAATGCTACGCTTCAGAGATATGAATTTATGAAGAAAACTTACCATCCTAGATAAGCAAAGCCAGACGGGGCAACCATGACAGTCAGGAAGTTGGTGCCCCAATGGAACAGGCATTGAGTGGCCGAAGTCTTGTTTCGCATTCTCAAGGAACCGATCTCGCTCGAATACAGCCAGTTCATAGAATTCCACCTGTTGTGTTACAGTCGAATTAATAATTGGCCATCAAATCGGAAATAAAACGCTCTCTCACCCTATGCCGAAGCAGAATTGGAATAGGAGAACAAAAGCTGCCCCAGCCCAGCCCGTAGCAATAGCCCTCTCCGGAAAGTTGGCGCCCACCGCACCAGTGCAGGCAATCATACCCATGCAGAGACCACACGTCACCGCGCCCATCATCATAGTCTTGCGCCGTCCGAGGCGCTCAATGTAAAAGATGGGTAAGACAGATCCCAGCAAGAAGCAAATGGAGCCGACACAGCTAAGGATGAACGAGTTTCTATCATCGAGGCCGACCTGGCGGAAGATGACTGGGGCATAGTAGATGACAACGTTGATGCCAGTTGCTTGGTGAAGGAAGCCTGTCGTTGCTGCGAGTATCAGGCGGCGGAAGTTCTGCAGCTCGCCGCCACTGAAGCACTACTCATCAAATTCAGCAAAGGGAACAGCACAGACGGCAGTACACGCAGTGTTTTTCTCACCTCTTTCCATGAAGACTCCACCTCCGCCTCGTGGATTGCTGTTTGTACGATGATGTTGGCCTGTTCTTGGATGTGTGGCGACTCAGCTGTCGAGCCTTGACCATGAAGCCTAGCGAGAACGTGGGCGACCTCTCCGTGGCGGCCACGAGCAGCAAGCCAGCGTGGACTCTCGACCGTGAACGGCATCAATGCAAAAACGAAGGGAGGAAAGATCATTTGAACTGTAGTATAGTCAGCACTTGTCTGAGACACCACTCCTGTCTTGATGGAGGCACGCCTTACGTCCTAATGGGATTCTCCACTGTGCTTCTGTTCCGTCGAGTTCAGGTCGGCCGAAGACAAAACCAAAATTGGTGAAGTTCGAGATCGCAATTCCCTAGAGAGACTTTGGTTAGTCTTAATTCGTTCATTGACCCGGCATAGAAAGTTTCTGCTTACGATGATAACCATTGTTGTCTCCAATACAACAAGCTTGCCACGCCACGACGGGTGGGCACATTCCGACGCATATATAGGAACGGTGACGGATATACACCCAACGCCTACTCCGGCCACGATGCGGCCAACTGCATAGCAAACTCGTGTGTCAGTTGTCAAAGCCGGCCCGTTGGTGACCAAAGAGAAAGGCTTCACATACCAATGTACATGGCTTTCCAGTACGCAGACGTCTGGAGAGCCGCGCCAACGAGGAGGACCATGCACGAATAGATGATGGCCCAGCGGCGGCCAAAGCGATCACCCCAGATAAAGGCTGCCAAGGCTCCTGCCAGACATCCAATCTAGACCCCTAATTAGCTTCTCATTGTCGAGTGACAATCTGCAGAGCATATTTTTGCAAGCACCTACATCATACGAGGCTACCATGAAACCTAACATACCAGGCGACGGGTTGTCGAATCGGTTGGTGAAGGACTCGAGGCTGATGAGGCCTCCCATAACACCTTGATCACTGCATATTGTGAGGTTAACGGTCTGTTGACCCTCGTAGAATGTGTACGAAAGCCCCAATGGAACAACTTGGGTGCTTGGCCGCAGAAGATAGGAATACTGAAGTTACTCACTAGCCAAAGAGCAAAAATGCAGCACCAGCCGTAGAAAAAACTAGTATGCGCAGTGGCACGCCGGTTAGATTGTGTAAACCCATCTTGCTTTGGTTATTCGCAGATGAAAACGAGGTGTGAGCAGAAGGTTTCCAAGATCAATAAAGACTCGAAGACAACCCGAGCGTGAAGCCACCCTTAAATTGTGTTTGGAAAAGCCCCCTAGCGGTAATTCTAGATTAGGGGGTGTGAGCAAGGCCTGCCCTGGTGATACTCACATCGTGTTTCCATCCATGGCTAGGACGAGGCGGGGGCCCGCACTCCGAGTCATGGACTTGGAGCTGAGACTGGGGAAGCTTGCTTTCGCGAATCGCAACAGGGGGTTCCTGCTCCAACTTCAGCTGTGGGTGAATGGAGTAGAAACTCGGTCTTACAGTCTGTGTGTGCCGAAATTATACCAACGTTCACGAACTATGGGGTCCCAAAAGTTGGTAAACCCCGGCGAATGGATGCCCAAGGAAGGAAATGTTGTTCACAACGGCTTACCCTCTCATCTCAATCACTTTCTCATCCCCGCTACTCAGATTGGAGGCCTGCTTGAACTCATTACCATGTATTCGACAAAGTTACTTTGCCGAGCCATCCCACTGGGAATGCGCACCGCTGGCTGGGTGACCGACAAGCCGAGTGCTGGTTTCACACTGCGGTCACTTATCTTGGACGAGGTGCAGGACAATGAGATTCTCGTGGAAATGAAATATAGTGGAATCTGTCATACCGTAAGCATGGTTGCCTGTTGAGAGTTGCTATGCCCATGAAGTTGAAATTGCAGGTTACTGATTCCGAACGCCTAGGATATAGCAGTGTCGAAAGGCATGCTTGATCTGACCGAATTTCCTGCTGTACTTGGCCATGAGGGTGCTGGGACCATCATGGCTTTGGGCGAAGGGGTCAAGAATAAGTCTCTCAAAGTCGGAGACTCGGTTGTTTTGTCCTATAATACCTGTCAGACATGTCCAGCTTGTCTGGCTGGGCAGCGTGCATTCTGTCATGACCACCCGCAGGTCAACCACAATGCCGTTCGCCTTAGCGACAGAACGACCCCTGCGCGGCTACTGGATCGAACGCCGGTACGGTCTCAATATTTCGGGCATTCTTCTTTTGCCAAGCACTCCGTCGTTCACGAAGATACTGTCGTCCGTTGTGACTACCCAGATCAACTCGCCACCTACGCCCCGCTAGGATGCGGATTTCAAACAGGCGCCGGCGCCATTTTCAATGTGGCCAAGCCTCAGCAACACCAAACTGCAGTCATCTTTGGCATGGGAACTGTTGGCTTAGCGGCCCTGATGGCTTGCAAGTACATTGGCCTCAAACGTCTGATAGCTGTAGACCTCAATAATGAGAGGCTCAAGCTTGCCGCCGAGCTAGGGGCTACTGATCTTCTTAATGCTGCTGAGATTCCGGATGTGCCTCGAGCCATTCGCGCCCTGATGGAACAAGGCGCAGACCATGCAGTTGAATGCACTGGTATTACGGGAATTGTTGAGGACGCTGTACGCGCAACAGCTCCTCAGGGTCATGTCACCGTGCTAGGAGTTCCCAAACCTGGGTCAACCTTCTCTGTCGATGCTCTTGATTTCCTTCTCGCAAACAAGTCGATACATGGCATCATTCAGGGAGGGGCTCAGCCTCACAGCGTACGTGATCCTCTTGATGAAAACGAGAAATTATGCGAATATTGACTCCGTGGACAGTTCCTCCCTTTTCTCATGGATTTACACCGACAGGGCCAGTTTCCGTTGGAAAAGGTCTGTCGAGTCTTTTCAGCACGGTATATCAATCAAGCCATCAAATCTATGCACAGTGGAGAGGTAAGACTATCGGAAGATATCAAAAGTAAGCATTTTCTAATATGGGATGACTAGACCATAAAACCAGTGCTCTCTTGGGGAGATGTGAGCATTGACGAAGGCATGTAGCCCTACGTCGCCAAATATCCTTCGTCAACGCTGATGGGATGGAACTTCTGTAAACACAGTTCACAAAGAGTTGCCTAGCCCCTGGCCACATTAGATATATTTAGAAGCACATTTATAAGACTGTACATTGATTGTGAATAAGGATATGCTTAAAGCTCAGTCACTGGCAAAATCAATCGACTTGGTCCCGGCCTCCTCCCCAACCAAAACAATCGGCACCTCGTCAGTGTAATTGACAGCATCGTCCAGCACCGCCTTTCCTTCAGCAGTCGTCGTGGCCTTCTTTATGGCATCAATACTTGTCCATCGTGACACTACCTTGTAACGGTAAAGAGGCTTGTTGCCGGCCTCATCGTCCTTGAAAGCTACGACAGACCAATCTTTCATTCCCAACGGACCCCAAATCTTCTCAGCCAATGGCAGGTGACTCTCAATGTAATATTTGATATCGAATTTCTTGCCCTCTGTTCGAGGATATAGGGCAGTTGTTGTGATTGTTCCCATGTTGTGCTGACTGGTCGTAAAGGCGCGGTATCTTGGGTGCAATATTGAAATTGCTTTTTTGGCCTGTGTCCCGGCGCGCATGACGGTTGGAAAATTTCGAGATGATGGAGTGAGAAAGAAATGAATTTCAGCCCGTGATCAATTGGGACGAACGCCTTCCAGAATAGAAAGAATTATGTACGAGCTAGTTCTTATGCTAATCTACAACATGAAGGACATCAAGTTGACTCTTCCGGTATCCACATGATGCGACCAAACCCAAGCAACACTTTATTTAATGACGCATTATTTACTCCAACTTAGTTTCCAGGGATTCCTCGTTTATTCTCCACAGACTGCAGGAGTTTCGGAAAAGGCCATCGGAACATCGGACGGTGCTTCAACTCCAATCTTCTTAGCTTCTGTCTAAGTCCCCATTCATTTGACTATTGTGTGGATGATGATGTTGAAGGTGTCACAGCATTTTTTCGGTGCAGATACTGAGCCTTCAACGAATCCAGTAGTATTTGCATTTTAATACCATTTAAAAAATAGCATGTTGAAGCCTATCAGGCGCTGTGGGCTTTCGGAATTAACCAAGTCAGAACAATAAGTCAGCGATATTCGCTAAGTGCATGATTTGACTCAAAAAAAACAAGTGACTCGAATCAGACAGAGCTTGGTAGAGGAATCAACCAACAATGTTGACCAATACTTGTGTCATCTACATACTTTTAATACGTCACTCAAAGACTATGACATTCTTCCCAGAAGCAGATCCTTCGAGGTACGTCTTCCGCATCTTTTCTGCCTGCTCCGGCTTCCAAGTCTTGATTTCCACTTGAATATTATGTTTTGCCACAAGATTCACGAGATCCTGCGTGTCGGCTTGATCAGCGACCAGGGAGCCCACCAACTTCAGGTCGCGGTAGATGACGTTGGTGTATGACATGTTGATACCCTTTTCTGGCTGCCCAAGAAGAACAAGAGTTCCGTGTTTCCTTGTGATAGCAGCCGCGAAGTCAAACGCAGGCGGGGCATCAGTAGCGAGAATTGCTGCGTCAACACCGGGGTAATGTCCCTTTATCGCCTCGGTAATGGTTTCCATTGCCTCTGATGCGGGCTGCGTTGCAAGAATATTCACGTCGGGCTTGAGCTCATACGAATTCGCTAGGTCAAGGGAGCTTTGCTTCACGTCGATGGCAACAACTTTATATCCCTAGCATCCAAATCCGACGTTAGTCTTTTACACACACACAACGAGGAACAGAAAAGCTTACCATTGCCTTTGCCACCTGTGTCCCGATATGCCCCAATCCGCCAACTCCTACCATGGCGAGAGAGCCGCCCGCAGGTACCTCTGCCTTTTTGATTGCTCCGTACACGCTCATACCGGCGCACATTAGGCACGCGGCTGTCGGGAAGTCGATCGAATCAGGGAGATTCACAATAAAGCGCGCGTCGCTTTTACCGCCAGGTCAGTATTATTACACCAATATCCCGATCTCTCGTTACTCACGCAACCATGTACTCAGCCCAGGCGCCGTCTGTAGTCAGCCCTTTCATCTTGGGATTATCGCAGTAGATTGGTCGTCCAGCCAGGCAGTCGGGGCATACCCCTACAAGCACGACTTAGCCCAGTTTCGAGGAGATTGAATATTTTCTCACGCAGGAAACTTACCACAGCAGCTATCAAAGTTGATACATCCTACCCTGTCTCCATTCTTGAAGCCTTTCACCTCAGAACCGACACTCACGACAATCCCTGCGGGCTCGTGTGATCCAATAAATGGCAATTGGGTGCCGAAAGCATTCTCATGAGCCATACAGTCCGTGTGGCAGTAGCCACCGGCCTTGATCTTGATGAGCACCTGGTATGGTTTGGGCGAGGGCACGGCCACTTCGGATAACGTGTAGGGTTCGTTGAACTCTTTGATTTGGATCGCCTTCATCTTGGTCGGAATTTCAGCTCGATTGGCCATGGCTGCGAGTGTACGTTTAGGGCTTAATGCTAAATTGGCGGCAATTGGTCCTCGAGCTCGAGGACGAGAAATGGCCGTAATAGTAACAGCTTGATGAAGACGGCCTCGTGATACGTTGCTAGTTTTTTGCGCGATGTCTGCCGCACATGTCCTAATTGGTAGCATAGCAACGAGACCAACTGTCAAAGCAAGTCTATGTTTTTCCTCTGGTGGAAAACATAGCCCTTCGTCACGGTTGCATCATACTCGGACTTTGAATGGAGTCGCGGGTGGTAGTTGCGGAATCTCGGGCATTGCGCTCCAACGCGAAGTGGGCATATAATAATAGTACGGTGGATTGTGTCCACCATTGGGGTTTTGTTCAGGAATCAACTCCACAGCTCAATCACTCCCACCGGTCCGCATAATTGGGGTAATTACAGCCAACTCTTGGTCTTTTTCATAGCGCATACGCATCACAAAATCGAGTCGAGCTGCTAGCTGTACTGAACTTTGATCAAGGTATATTCCTTAACGTAAGACAGATTACAACATCAATGAGTAAGTGCCACTACATTTGTGTAAGTGGTCTATGCCTTTGGTCAATATTTCAACCTACAGTGATGACCGATTCGACCGTTTTTCGTTGATCCCGGTCTCACTCTCCCCTTGGACGGTTTTACTTATAATATCCAATTAGATATTCTACATTGTACATGCACAAATAATCAGAGAATTCACCATTGGCCTTCCCCGACAGTGATTATTTGTCATATTGAATTCACTTCATGGCCCCAAGGTTTCTTTCCGGCACATCTCGAAGATATATTCCACTAGCTATTATCTGCTAGCAGTTGATCATGTCCCCGGAGTTGCTTGCTATGGTAGTTTAATTAACAACTCTCTGACTTGATAATAAGAAGCCAATCATAGTCAACACCCCCGCTACTGGGAGGAGTAAATACCAGTTTACCCTTTGCAAATCCCTTCTCACCCTTCTGAATAGCCTGAAGCTTGGATGTTCGAGGATCATACCACTGGGCGGTATAGCCTACACCAGGCTGGCCCCATTTCTGTGAAATACCGTCCAAATCCACCTGAAAAGCGTCTCCCCAGCCGGAATAAACCCAGTAATAGCCCTTTGTAATCATGGCTGCGATGTAACGGTCGCCGACATACTCAAGGATGTTGCTTGGGGGACTCTGAGGAGACGAGAGGAATTCTCTAGCAGGCTCCCGAAGGTTAAACGCATCTTTGGAGAGGTCGTTGAAGATAGCACCTGCATATCCGGTCTGTTTCGCTCCAGGCCAGTGGAGTGCCTCATGCCAGCTCGCGTTAGGCGATAGGCTGAGCTGGGGCTCGTGGTAGTGCTCCGGGCTAGCCACGAGGGAAATATTCTCGTAAGTTTGCTGCACGGGAAGAGATCCGTAGGTGATACCACAGGCTCCACTGAGAAGAGCTGGATAGAAACCGTGGCGAACTTCAGACGCATTAAAAGCAGGCTTGGAAGTGTTGAAGCCCTGGTTTGCACCTTCGTAGTGGTTCTCGACATCCATGACTGGTCCTGGAAACTGGTCACGCATTTGAAGAATATTATCATAGTTCTTACTGGAGTCCCAGGGAGTCAGAACCTTGTAGTTGTAGTCAATGCCCTCTGGATCTGGGTACTCATGACCAGACTGGACGGCATCCATCGAGAGAGTTCCGAGACTCCCATTAATGTACTAAGTTTCCAATTAGATTAAGAATATTGCTTCAAGGGGCATATTGGTTATACTCACGTTGTGTCCGTAGGGAAGAGGCGTGGCGGGCTCGGAGATCCAGGGGCTGGTAGGCTGAAAGGCCACAAAAGCCTTATAACCCTGCTTAGCCTCTTCTTCGATGAAACCTCTCATCATTGCAGCCCAAATACCACGAGTGTCTTCAATGGGGTCCAATTTAATCTCGGGATTCTCTGGGTTCTTTCTCCAGGCATCACGAGCCTGTGGGACATTATTTGCCCAGAAGCCATTCGTGTCACCACCGAGCATCTTCGGGACGCCGGGGTAGCGTTTACCAAGATAACGGCCAAGGGCGTAAGCGTTGTTCTCGTCGAATAACCTCGGTCCAATTGTTCCGTACCAGCCACCGCTAACATACCGGCCCCATACCGGAACTTGGCAGATTGTTATGCCATATTCAGCTGCTCTTGCAGTAGCCCAGTCAACAAAATCGAAGTAGGCATCAATAGGCTGAGCTGGGTCACTGTTGTTGATGGCAAGATGACCAAAGAAATTAGGAGCCGTTGTGACATTGTACTTGGATAATAAAACGGCCTGAATTACAGTGAATCCCTTCGCAGCACGATCTGCTAGATAGAGATCCACGTCGGTATGGTTCATGCGATGGAATAGCTCCCAGTTGGTATCAGCTACCCAAGTGAAAGGCTCGCCACTAACAGTTTTGTAAAGATAGCGCCCTTCGGTAGGAGCAGATATGGCAGCCTCTGTCCACGGATACTCTGTGAGGGAAGCTGCGGCAAGAGATGTCGAGAGGACCGCGATGGCGGCGCCAATAGAAAGGCTCACCATGGTGATTGGGGAAGAATGGAATGAACAATGGCAAGAACCGCGTTCTCCTCTACTCTTCACAAGACACCTAGACCTCTAAATATACTCGTTACGTTTAGCTTACCAGCAGCACTGTCTCGGGATTCATGACCTCATCTTCTAGTACAACTTTCCTAACAAAGGAACGTTATACCAAGGCGGGGGATGAATGCGGAGGTTATGGGGAATGCGGAGAAGCTCGAGTCGAGTTTTGTGGAGGTGGAATCTCGTCATGAGACTCTATTGGAGCCAAAATGTCTATATCCTGGAAGACATCGGTGCCATGCCGGGCATACTTTTCTTAAAGCTACCTCCGAGCATGGTTTGGCGATAGCTGTACCGTAGTTTATCCGCAGGATGTCATCGGTTCCATCGGTCTAACTTGATTGTTTCAACGGTGGTTTGAGTGACCCATCCAAAGAGATTGAGCGATTATAACACATATCCATTACTTAGACTAACCCGCCTCTTAACTGGGTAGCATACGGCCTAGTCCCAGCAGGGGAAAATGAGATCAAGGCCTGAATCGCTCCCCAGGACCTAGCGAGAATTATCATAGTTGACCAGAGTCGAAAAGAACTCGCCTATAGCAAGGATGGAAATATACCAATTTAACGGTGCAATCCCCAATGTCCTAATATTCAAGGCTTCACGTAGCCAGAGGGGCTTGTTCTACTTTTCTATGGTCCTTGAGACCCCCCAGCGTTTTATTCTTGGTTCTAATTTATCATTACAGATTTTATCAATTGAGAGAGGCTGATTTGCCCAGAAAAATCAATTTCAATTTATGTAATAATTGTAAATAACCGCCAATAGAAAAAAGCCAATGTAGCTCGTTCTTGTCTTGGTCCCAGGCATTTGAAATGGGGTTACTGTGACCAACCAGCGTACGGAGCGAGATACCCACTGACCTTCATCGTGCCGAGAAAAGTGTCATTTACCCGGCTGGCTGGCTACAGCGAAGGCAGAAAAGCCAAGCCATTTTCATCCATAATAAGAAGCTATATCTGGAGATGGGGAACATTTGCGGTGAATGGGTTACCTGAATGGCGAGCCACGCGACTGCGAGACATGGCAGTCTGAGTTCAGCAAGGTGATTCACAACTTAGGGATCAGAACATTCTTTTCTAGCAGTGGTTGTTCATCGTTGCAAAAGTGCTTTTGAACGTATGATACTGCCAGAAGTTTCGAGTAACTGGGGAAATCCCAACTTAAATCCAATACAGCTAACAGTACTCCTATGTCTCATATTATCCTATTCCCAATGTTTTGGTGGTATGTGATGGGGGGGTTTGCATTTGAGAGTTGATCGTAGACGACTGTGGCTGAGAATTGTTACAGTTACCTTTAATCATGGCATCATAAATTAAGGAAATCCGGGCTAAAGGAACTATAGCTAAACAACTCCGAGCCTGGTAGTTGGTTCCATGAAGTGTTAGGATCATTTAGCAAGTCAGCTAATGATCCATCCATGTCTGGGGCAGAGGAATCCTTCAGCAGGTGTTCAATTATAGCCCGTCCCTTGCTAGCTCCAGAGCACGTCGATTCCAGGCCTTTAAGAAACCGGATACACTTCTCAACATCTGCATGGGCCTTCTCTCTTGGGTGTTCCGGTATTCTTAGTCTGATCGGGAACCGTCAGTATTTAGCCATGGCAAAGTGGAAGTGACAAGAGAGCCCACAAGATTAAACCCGATAGAGTCAGATAATGGACGCAAAAAGCAAGATGGTGCGATGGAGGAACCAGTTCTCGAACAAGTTCTGCGGCGTTGATACAACTTCGAGCCGCGCTGACACAGTGAGACATGGCCTCGTCGCCATGAGAACCCAGTGTTGCTTGCGCGGCACTACCTGACAATGACCTATTGGGATAATGAGCAATCTTTCAGCCTCAAAGACTAGCATATTTACTGAGCTTACCTATAAAGATTCAAAAGTGATCCAGCATGGACAATAAACATGATGACACACATGGTCAGATTGGGACCCCTCTCGGTAGCATTTGCAGAGAAGCGAATATCATCTGGCAGTCCTGCAAGCCACCGGTCCAGGGCTTTCTGGAGAGAAACAACGGAGCGGAGGAACTTCCTTGCTTTTTTAGCATCTTGGAGCTCTCTTATCCGGGATGGTGAATGAAGTTTTTGTATCTTTCCCCCTATGCGACAGAGCTGGATGAATGCCACGAAGCCAGTCATCGGAGACGATGTTGTCATAGTCGGGCTCTCAACAGAAGGTTCAGCATTCTGAAAATATGCCTCCAACTCTTCATCTTTCTTGTCTATAGGCAGATCGCAATGACAGTCTGCATCATCGGCAGCCATGGGGCGGCCTAGACATATAGATGTGACTCTTTATAAAGTCGTCAATTTAAGGGCACTTGTAAACGCACCAATTCACATATCACCACTTACCTATCGAGGCAGTAAACAGACCACCAGATCCTCCGCGATAATTGTTGCTTTATCAAGTCTGACGGCTCGGTAGAAACTGCAGTCTATCAAGTTAGAAAATGGCGGATAGGTCAAAGAATACGAGAATTCATTACTTACTAGGCTGCTAAGATGCATACCCAAGTCCTGCGCCGCCCGGACGGCCTGTCCCGCAAACGTCCAGCTTTGGGTCAGCGTATTCCACCCTCCAGCGCACATTGCCAGCAAGGCAATGCATTGGACCCTCTCAGCGGAAGCCTCCCCCGTCGATGCATAGTAGAGGATCAATGACTTCTGGTAATAATCCAGTCCTGGGAAAGACGTTGATTTCCCATCCAGGGGAATAAGTGTCGAGGCACAAGCACAGACAGCAAAGAATACTGACAGAAACTTCGCATCCACCGTGTCGTTCGAGCCTGGGGGCGGCGAAGACATTTGTCTGTAGCAGGACATGAAATGTGGTTTATAAAGAACTGGAAAAGTGTAGTGCAGCTGGTCGAAGTATAAATTGACGAGGAGGTCCGCAACGTATTTAGGAGGCCGGGGAACGTCTTCGGCTCGTGGAAGGTAGGGCAATTCCTGCCATCTTTGACCACGAACAAATAAAGGAATCTCAAATTCTGGAGGAGCAATTTCAGGATGGTTGAATGAGCCTTGGCCAAGGTTCGATGATCCGGGCGATGAGTTGTAGATGGAAGTGAGGGAACCAGGAGAGAGTCCTTTGACCGCCTCAACCAATACGTGATTTGTCGCTCCACCCAAGTACCTATTTACGCTCTATCAGTCTGTCTCCCGAGAGACGATGTTGTCAGCTGAGTAACAGCAAGGCTTACCGTAGTTTCCCGTACGAGTCCGTCACCAACGATCCAAATTTGCTAGGTATGCCTTTGGTTTCACCATTATCCTTCGATAAGCCAAAGTCGTCGTCATCTATGCTCTCGTCCGATATCTCCTGCTCGTTATTGGTATCGCTGATGTTGTCTTGTGCATGTTCCGAGATTAGTTCATGGCCAGCATCCGGCGTGGCATTGACTTCTATGGATAACTCATTCATGGCAGGTATGCTACCACTATATACAGTTGGAAGAGATTGGAGGGCGTGTGCCGCCTGCTGTAGCTCGTCGTCTATGCTCAAGTTCATATCCGGAGGAGCGTGCCTCAGATTCTTAATCTCGAGGATTGACTCTGTTAATTCAATGGACAAGGACTCGAGTCTGCCACAGAACTGGTCGAGTTGCCGGCATCTTTCTTCGAGAGAGCTGGCATACCTGTGCATGTCTGTTAGAGAACAATTGGGAAAAGATAAGTCCTTTTTTTTTAGGCTCAGATACTTACTGTCGACTGGAGGACGCGTTGTCACTGCTTTTCGGATACTCGCAGGTCAAGCATCGTGAGCTGCAATTATGACACGGACTTTGTCCGTCACATTTTACCTAGTTTTTGTGTCAACTAATAGGGCAAATGATTGATGGAAAGAAAAAAAAAATCAGATCCCTCGTTACCTTTTTCCTTCGGCATGCCAAACAAGCTTGGCTGATTCTACTGGCACCAAACCCAACAGGCGGCGACGGTTTCTGAGGTGCCGCATCTGCGCTTCCATCGGCCATGGGGCAGAGATTGGTACAAAAGACCAAAGATTGGGGGAGATCGAACTGGTCTTGCTGGGGTAACTGGAAAAGCAAGTGAATTGGCTCATATTCGATCCAGTCATTCAGAACCCAGGAAAGAATGTCAATCTCCAGCCATGTGGCAAACCCCGCGATTCGGTCTAGTTCTGGGGCTGCACGTGATTCCTTCAAAACCACTTCCGGACATCGTTCCTTGCATGGAGGCCAACTGGACAACATCGACTCTTACCCTTTGCCGAATCCTCCTCCAAATATGTAGATCGGATAAGGCACAATGCAGGTCCACACCACCCTACCTAGACATCTAATTGTAATCCATCGGTCTGCATGTTACTAGACTAAGTTGTGGAACAGAGACATCATCACGTATGTAGGCGTGCCCAGGCAAGTTACGAGCAAATAAACAGCGTCTTACTCATTTCAAACGCATCACAGGGAAGCCAGGACGACAAATGGGGTCAACCAGCTAATACATCAGACTTGAAGCATCATCCCACCCCAGGCGCCTCTATACTTCTCCGAAGCCACGCTATTGATCCAGATTAGAGCATTAGATAGCCCGTTATTTCTCTAGGCTTTCATCCACTTGTCACTTGATAGATGGTAGCGGGTATCCCCTCCCGGGGATAACGGACGTGAGAAAGCTGCGGGGAATCACGACTTGGGAGGGTTCGGTCGGGCCGAGATCCGTGCCGGTACGACGTTATCTTGAAGGTTGACTCGAGAACAATCAGCGCAAATGTCAGACAGAAAACGACCATGCTTTATCAAAAGTCTTGAGCGCCACCAAACGTCTGTCTTATTCTCTAATTATCCCGTCTCCAATATCTCGCCCCCTCTATGTTACCGATCAAAACATGGCCCAATCCCCCGTCAAAACCCGACTGCGCGAGTCACTAGAGCGAGCCAAAGCCCGGCAAGGGCCGAGTGTCGGCCAGTGGTTGGAGTTCCCAGGATACACGCTTGCCAAGACGGTGGCGGGCTTGGGTGAAGATGTGAGTCGATGCCCAATACGCCAAACCACCTCCTCTGCTCAGCTCGCTAACGTGCATGCCAGTGGGTCCTCATCGATTGCGAGCATGGCAACATCGACGACAATGCCATGTATCTCCAAGTGGGAGCCATCTCTTCATCGGGAGTATCTCCCATAGTGAGAATAGCCGGGAGTGAACCATGGATGATAAAGAGAGTTCTCGATGCTGGCGCCCATGCCATCATGGTCCCAATGTGTGAAACAAAAGTATGCTATATTCGGGATATCAAACCTTTCTATCTATTCCATCTATAAGCTAACTCACAATGCGCTAGGAACAAGCTGAATCGATCGTGAGGGCATGCAAGTACCCGTCATCAAAATGGCCAGCCGGAGTCCGAGGCGCCGGTGCAATGTTCGCCCCTGCCGCGTTCAACCAGAACGGTCGCGAGTATTTACTCACCGCCAATGAGAATGTAATGATATGTGTGCAGATAGAGAGCCGCACGGCAGTTGAGAATGTCGAAGCTATTGCCAGTGTGGAAGGAATCGGTAAGGAATAGCAGTTCCGCTTCGTGCACATGTTGAATCACTGATTAATACTCGTGGATATTTTACAGACATGCTTTTTATTGGCCCAAACGATCTGGCTTCGTCGATGGGATATATCGCATTTGACCACGCATCGATCCCAGAAGTCCAAGAGGCAACAAAGAGAGTCCTCAAGGCAGGTCTTGATGCAGGAAAATACGTCGGACACTTTGCTCTCAGCCCAGAGATTGGTAAGTCTCATGATCTCAACGATATCGATTTTGCAGCAGAATAAAGTCAGGCTGACTCAAGATGAATCTGCAGCGGCGCAAAAGTACGACCAAGGCTTCCACTTTGTCAATTGCGGAGCAGACATCGTGGCCATTACAGCTTGGATGGGAACCGCGATGACCACACTTAGCCAACTAACTTCGCACTCCACAAAGGCTGGCAATGGTGAAACCAATGGTGTAAAGGGTTCCAAGGGGGGAGGGGAGAATGAGACTTCAGTTGATCAAGTAAACGGGAATGGGCAACAGCTAGAATACAATTAGACAGATAATTCTTAAGAGGTCTAAAACTCGACCTTTCCACATACTTTTTTGGTGTTTTTTGTAAAGAAGGACGTTTGGCAAAGTCGGTCAACGCTCACATACGTCCATTAGCTAGTAGTTACTAATCTAATACTCTGGATTCAAATAGCTCCATATTCCTACTGCCCTTCATTTAGGGGCAATCTAGTTAGCTCTTTACTCTTGACCCAACAAGTATCAACTTGTTTCTCCCCGCCCCAGACTGCTTTGGTATATCTTCTTCGTAGCATTACTTAAGGGTAAAAGTGCTCTTGTTTGAAACTAAACGCGTATAGGCTTGTTTTCGTCTAATTAAATGCTACTGTAGTAGGTTTAGCCTGAATCAAGGTATTCAAAACAGAATATATTAAAGAAAATCACTATTCCAACTGAATTGGATGAATTAGATTAGGCCCAACGTCCACCCGTCCCCTTTCTACCACCTCTCGACCGTTGCTATGCATACGCCTTAGTACAAGTACCTGAAGTTCTTAGCAGGCCTAAGCTCATCACCTGGAGATTTGGTGGAAGCTTCTCCAGCAACAGCCGATGTAGCCATATTCGCCTCATCCGCCTCTAGCTTCTTGTTGAGCCTCTTCAGGTGAGTTCGCAAGAGGAAGGCGCTGCAGCATGCGAGGCCCAGGATACCAATTTCTGCACCAAAAGACTGGACGTAGAGAGGACCGAACTTGGCAGGCCAGATGTATGAGCCCGGGATGCTACCAATGTTACCCATAGCGTTGACCAGGGCAATGGCGGCGGCCTTCTTTGCAGCAGGGCGTGGGATTGTGTTGGAGATCCACGCGAGCATGACGAAGCCTGACGCGAACCCAGCTGCCCCCAGAAATTAGCAATCAAGATCCAGCATCATCTGATGTGGGGAACTCACTGGTCATTAGGAACATGGAAAAGTATCGCGGGGCCGTCGTCTTGGTTGTCATCGAAATAATATAACCAATGATACAAAGCGCAGCTGGCCCAAAGTAGTGGAAGAACCGATCTCCTGTCCTATCTGCATGCCAGGCATTCGGTAGAGAAACCAAACAAGCCCAGATCCAGGGAGGTGCAGTAAGAAGGAGCGTTGTGGTGGTGCCATAGCCCAATGCTTGGGTGATTGTGGGGAAGAAAAAAACAAACTAATCTCAAGCAGTCAGAAACACATCACCGTCTTAATAAAGTAAATTTGAGAACTTACCGAGAGTCCCATGATGGTGGCATGGTAGGTGAGTCCAAGAAGCCAGACCTTGGGGTCAACCAGAGCAAGCTTGAGGCCCTGGAACGCACTCTTATCTTCTGTTTCATCAGATTCACCAATGTCGATGGTTAGCCTTCTCTCGGCGATAAATCTCTCTCTTTCGGTGATCCAAGCTGTCGTGTGCGGGTAGTCTGGCAGAATGAACACCGCGCCAATACCGAGAGCAACAGTCAAAGCACCTTCAATGATAAAGAGCCATCTCCAAGCACGGATACCAGCCTTGTCCTCCATATTGGCCAGAATTCCAGCAGCAATAAGGCCTCCAAAGGCCTGTGCTGCCAAGTTGCCAAGATTCAGAATGGTCACCCGCAGCTGCATCTCTTTCCTTGTATACCAGCGAGACAAGAAGTATATAGACCCAGGGAAGAACGAAGCTTCGACGCAACCAAGGATAAATCGGCAAAGGATGGCGCCCGTGGCATTGTGAACTGCTGCAGTGGCAGCAGAAATGACGCCCCACGTAGCCACGCAACCACACAAGTACCTATTGCCAACGATTAGCAACAGACGTAGCAGCATGTTGATTCAAGTAGTGCCTACCAGCTAGGTTTGGTCAACTTGTTGAGAATCATGTTAGAAGGGATCTGCATGCTGACATATCCAACCAACAAAATGGAGATGCAGGTTTGGTATTCAACATCGGTGAGGTTCAGATCCTTCTCCAAACCTCTGAGGCGTGCGTTGGCAAAGTTGTTTCTATCGATAAAGTTGAGAATGAACAGGACAATCATGACTGGGAAGATTCGAATGTCCATCTTGCGCACGAGGGCCTTCTCTTCGTCTGGGCCCCAGGTCTCGGCCATTGTGGCAGATCGGATGGTGGTGACTTCGACGAGGTCGTTGTTTGGCTTCTTTTCTTTTTCCATTTTATGAGAATCCTGTCGTGTGTCAGACTTGTGCTTATCTTTGTAAGCATAGGCATCCGAGCTACCAGAAAGCTTACCCGGGGAAGAACACGAAAGGACTTGGAGATCAATCGAGTTTCGCAAGTGGCGGCCAAGAAAGAGTCGCTGACAGGTCCTGAAGCGCTCAACACGGTTGATTTAATGATAGATCATATAGGTTCCCAAGAGGCCTATTTATGCAAAAATCGTCCACTCCGGGCTGAATCATGCAGAGACACATGTTTGCCAGAGTAATCAGAAAGGGTTCGTTATCTGGGGAAGCGGAGTCATCTCCCACGCTATTGGTAGGGTGGGGCCGCCGGGGTGCCGCGGGCCGGGCTCCGAACCGAATGTCACGGCAGCCCTTGATACGACCTGCTTTGCTTCCAGCGATGTAGGATTGTCTTCTGTATTCGAGACCTTGGTATATCAAGCCCATCCATGCAGATACTGCCGACTCCTCCTGTTCAGAGCACCAAATCCCGATCTTCTAACAGTACCCGTCCCCCGAGCCGGCCTTGCCCAGGCAGATTTATATAACACCTCCTCGCTCTTGCTATTTCGTTTATTGGCAATACTACCAAGCCAATCAAATCACGATGGAAACCTCCAACCGAGCTTGCGTATGGGTTGCAGCGAAAACCCTCGAAGTGCAAGAAAGACCCATTGAACCAGTTGGTGACAACGACGTCCTTGTCCAAGTCATCTCAACAGGAATCTGCGGCTCCGACTGCCACAATTGGGAAAGCGACAAAGTGTCAAGGCAGTTGGTCCTTGGGCACGAGTCTTCTGGCATCATTAAAGAAGTGGGCAAAGCTGTCACCGACCGAGTCGTTGGTCAGCGGGTGGCTATTGAACCAGGTTTCGCCTGCATGACGTGAGTCAGGGTCAATCATTTGAAGGCTCCATCGGAATGCATATCGTGGCCGGAGACTGACACTTTCTTTCAGCTGCGAATTCTGTGCCAAAGGAAACCCCAATATCTGCGCAAACCTCAAATACTGCGGGCTCGATCCAACCGACGGAACACTGTGTCAATACTTTACCTGCCGATCGTCGATGACCGTACCGATTCCCGAAAATATTTCATGGGAGGAAGCTGGCGCCATTCAGCCCTTGGCAATCGCCGTACAGCTTGCTCGACGAGCATCTCTTAACTCACATCAAACACTTGCCATCTTGTAAGGGCTGATATAGGCGACCAATAGGCGATGGAGTTGCTAATAAGCGCGTAGTGGTTGTGGTCCTCTGGGACTACTGATCCTGGCCGTTGCGAAAGCATACGGTGTGAGAAAAGTTGTCATGTTCGACATTGAACAGTCGCGAGTGGACTTTGCCGTCAAATATGGCGCTGATGCTGGCATTGTCCCTCCGAGGCGGGAAGAGTCAGTGGAGCCCTTGTCTTTTGCCCAAGACTACTCTGCTAGCCTAATCAAGGATTTGGGTCTAGGTTCTGGCTTTGACGTGAGTGTCGAGGCCAGCGGTGCAGAAGTGTGTGCTCAAATGGCTATTTGTCTACTAAAGAACGGCGGAACATGTAAGCCAGGCTTTCAGCGATTCTTGGAAGTAGCAACTAATTCTGTCACAGGCATTCAAGCAGGTTTGGGCAAATCCTTGACTTCAATCCCCTTATTTTTATTGACGGCAAAGGAATTAAATCTCAAGGGTAAGTTGGCCAGCATTGCCTATCTCGAGTTTGTTTTAACTGGTCTTCTCATTAGGTACGGTCAGATATACTCCAGGCTGCTTTGCAGATGCCATTGATCTGCTCAGCCGTAAAAAGGTAGACTTGAAGCCGTTGATTACTTCCACCTACCCTTTGACGAAATGTGGAGAGGCTTTTGAAGCACAGCATAGCCGCAAAGACATCAAGATTGTTATCATGAATCAAGAATAGCTATAAAATAAAACAGTTGCTAGTACTGATTTCTCTCGTTGTCCTCCAATTCGAGTACTACATCGAGTTAGAAGATAAGTTAAACTACCTTTTCGTCAAGTAGAGGAAGCTCTCCCCTTCTCATTAATTGTTTCTTACTATTTAAGTTATTGACGTGGTCGATGAGTTAATGCATCCACTCAAGATAATTGCTTTCCGGATTAGGACTTCGCGATAGCTTCATGTTTAGGGTCTAGCTTGAGCCGCCACTGACTAAGCATAGCGCCACGTGATAAGTACGTACATGGGCGCGTTATACCTATTTAGGCCACTCTTATCATAAATGAAGCATAATCGCTCAGGGGTGATTGGCTGCGCGGTTGCCCCAATGAAGGAGGGCGAATTGGATCTCTGCTCTTTTGATTCCCTCATTAAATTGACCAAGTAGCTTTATGGAACAAGTAAATAATCAAGCCTGGAACTTCCCATCTCATGCCTATTTTTAGCCTATTCACACTTGAGTTTTTCGTTATTAATTGTTCTCTAATTCAATGTTTACTAAATGCTGGCTTTTTTTGTTCAATAATGCGTTATGACTTACTACCGCAACTTAGGCATCTGATGGCTATGTATGATTTTTTGTGAAGTATTCACTATATCTGATGCCTGAATCTCTCTACATGGAACAAAACTCCGGCTTGGGATACTTGTAGTTGTAGATTCAGGCAGGTTAAAAGCAGGGAACGCTGGTTCCTCGCTATCGCGTAAAAGTATAGGGTAAGACTAAAGCATACAGTTTCGCGTAAGATTAATAAGCCAGACAAGTTTCTATGACGTACCTAGTAGCCCAGCTCAAGGAGTGTATCAAGTGATAATATTTCCTTATCAATGAACAATCAGCTTAGTCATAGACCCTCAGTAGATAAGGGAAATTACAATCCAAGTCTCAATACCTACTTCTACTTCAACTGGTGACCTCTAGCAGTGGGGAATCGTCGCAAGTTCGTCTTTCATTGGAGTCAGTAGCTGCTACCTAGGTACTGTTAAATGGCAGATGCTTGGACATGATTTTCAAATTTGACTAGCATAGATTATTCGATCCTTATATAGACTGCCTAATTAGAGAAAACAGTCTTTCCCAAACCCATCCACAAAAAATGCCCGGTAGTTTTTCTCTCTACCCAGTTGGCTGATCCGAAGTATTTCCTCATTTGAGAGTTTAAATTCTGATAATTGTCCAAGATATTCCATTAATCTCTTCCGTTGGCCGCTCGTCGTTATCACGACGATCCCTTGGTCAATGATCCATCTGAGTAGAATGGCAGAGTTTGAGACCGAGTATTTCCTAGCCAGGTCGCCACATAACGTATCAATAGGGCCAGGACTGGCCTTGGTGATGGGAGTCAAGGGAGCAAAGGCTTCAGTAATGATGCCCTGCCTCTTCATATATTCACGAAGCTCGGAGCGCTGGAGGTATGGGTGGCATTCGATCTGATTAACAGATGGCTTCACAGTAGCAACCTTGAGGATACTTTCTAGATGAGGTATCAAGAAGTTGGAAACGCCAATGGAGCGAGCCAGCCCTTTTTCACGGCACCTTTCCATGCCTCTCCACGCCTCTTGGAGGACCTCTTCGCTGCCGCCCGAAGAAAATGGTTCGTGAATCAGGTACCTAAGTCATGCATAAATAATCTCTTTCCACCAGGGTCAATGTTGTGGGTGAAACATACAAGTCGACATATTCCATTCTAAGTTTTTTGAGGCTCGTTACTAGCGCCCCTTCAACATCGATCGGCGAGACAGCCTTCGTGGTGACAAAGAATTCCGCTCGTGGGACTTTGGACTCCTCAATGGCAAGCCCAAGCTCGGGTTCAGTCTCGTAATCTTGTTCCACTGAGTTAGTTGACTTGCGGCAAAGGGAAGACGGAAAGACCGGCGTAATACACTGTGCGCCATCAAGGTGGCGATAACCAAGATCGATTGCCTCTTTTATTGCGTCCACCGTCGCTCTATCGATACCGTCTCCTTCGCTCTTCATCCAAACAGTCCCGGTGCCATAGGCTAACTAGAGCCGGTCAGCACAGCACTTTTGGGCATTTGACTTAACCGATTTTCCTACCACGGGGAGTTTGTAGCCACAAGGTAATTCCAGTGTTTCCATCGCCATTGCAATGGTATTCTTTGCTTTTTTCGACGCGGTATTCGATTGATGGTGATGTCGTCAAGATTGTATGGGAGATTTCCGATCATCGGCAGCGCACATCTTGGGCGTGAGCCTATATCTCGGCTTCGGATGAGCTCCGGCCGGATAGGACCTCAACCGCGGCTCACATCTCCGATCGGCGCTCTTGGGGTTATCCGTACCCAAACGTTCTGCGGGTAGTGCACTGTCCAAGTGGGCTGCAATGGATCTAACATGCTTCTGCACGTGTTCCAGCTGGTCCACTGCCAAGAACGAACTCGTGCTTCGAGACCTTTGCTAACATCTAAGCGGACTCTCCCTACCTGCACCTGCAGCCGTGTTGATAACACACTCCATTGACGTTACGTTGCCGAAGAAAGTGGCTTGTGCTCCACGATCCGAGAAGAAATGCCCCCTCCAACACTGAGAAGACACTCTTGCGCCGCCATGATAAGATCCAGCATTGCGAAGCGACCCCTAACTAACTACAACCCTTTGGTTGAATCACTTCCAGTAGCGGTATCAGAGGAACGTGAAGCGTTAAATTCTACGTCATTGATTTTATTCATGGACTCTGGCCCAATAACTGATCTTCGTCTCTGCTTGGACAGGTAATTAATATGGAGTCTTTTATTGAGCAAAGCGCACTTGAACAGTGGAAATCGGACCTGCCCACGAAACTCAAGCTCAGTCCCACTTCAACATGTGCACGCCGTCATGCTGATGACGAGGACCTCGCTTAGCCATGTGGCGGCTACTGTGGGCTTTAAACCAAACTCGAAAAACTCAATGAAGACTAATTCCCTTCTTGATGCCGCTCGACAATGTATATGGGCTGCTGTATCTACAATACGGTTGCTCACAGGGCTGGAATAGAGAGGCCTTTTATGTCAATATGCTTTCCAGGATCCTCTATACTATACGGCTGCATTATGCGTTCTTCTCCTCGCAGCGAACTTAGAATCACCGGGGCTGGAAATGAAGGAAATAATTATCCAGGGGGTTCTTCTTCTCCAGCAGCTCAGTAAGGGAAGTGAAACAGCCAGCTCGTCTTTGGAGGGCATCGTGAATGGATCTAAACGTTACTCGAAGCCCCGTACCAGAGCTCTCACGGAAGATACACAACCAAATGGGCAAACAACAAGGGCTCAAGGCCGTAAAGCTTGGGAAGCTTGGATGAGCCAACCTACAAGGCCAGGTTAACCTGTTATAGCAAATCATACTCAAGCCCCCAGTCACGCCCAAGTAGGCGAAGCAACTTATAGCACATCGGGGCTTCGCTACGATTACCTGAAGGTGCGTAATTCTACGTTTCTATTGACGAGTGAGTAACAGCTTGACATAGGACGCGAGTACTCATACCAGAGACGACCGAGATTCATCAAGACAGCCGGATACCGACAATATCTCGGCGCTCTATCCAGACTACCAACCCATGGCCTTTGGTCACTTTATGAATGCATGGACTAGGTCGCACCCATTTTGGTTTTTCAGAGCTGGAGGATGGTGTTGGTGACTTGACCTGAGCCTTCCCGTAACTTGTGTTCAAATTTCAAAGTAGTATTGTTACATCAGGTTTGATAAAAATGAATCCATTTTTGTGAGCTTGTTTTACATAAGCTACAAATTGCATTACTAAAATTATTCTTGCTTGAGGTTAATCGGATGGGACTGAACCAAACTGATCGCCTTGTCGAAATGAGTGGCTGACTGGACGACTAGTCCGAGTAGTTGCGACTGCTCAAAAATCCTCTGACTTTGCACTCCATGCCGAGCAACTGCTCGGATGCTGCCCATGAGTATGAGTACCATGTGTTCAGAAAAGTGCTACGGAATGTTTATGTTCGAATAGACAAAGCACCATCTACCATCAGACTACTGCCTGTAATGAAACTCGCCTTGGAACTGCTCAGAAACAGAATGGCATCAGCAATCTCCTCTGGCGTCGCCACTCGCCCCATGGGTAGCTGGGATTGGACAAAGCGATCGAAGCCTGGTGTTTTGTCACAAGCCCTTTGAGTCATGGGCGTGTCCACCCATGCTGGGCAGACACAGTTGACGCGAATGCCGTTCTCTAGATTGTCGAGGGCTAGAGCATGTTCCAGGGAGGAACCTTGGATTAGTGAAATGTGGATAGATCGTGGGACAGCTCGTGGAAGTTGGATGGGCTACTCACCCGCTGCTCGAGTCAAGCCCACCACGGCATGCTTTGAACTCGTGTAGCTGGAAGCTCGTGGGATGGCCCCAAATGACAGGACTGACGCCACGTTGACTATGCTTCCGCGCGACGTTCCTCGGCTCGATTGCTCCTCGTCATTTGGACGAGGCTCTTGAGCTGCCATGGCGGCTGATACGGTGCTCAGGATAAGAAAGGTCCCGTTGACGTTGACTTCCTGGACCTTTCGGAACTGATCGAACTTGACCTGCATTATGTGTTTTGGTACTGGGCTTGTGATCTAACTCATCTCGTCAGTCGCTTGATTCATTCATCTGACCAGCAAAGTATGCGAAAGTTGGGTAGGAAAAATATACCCCTGCTCCATTGACGCAATAGTCAATTCGCCCAAAGGTTTTGACCATCGTGGAAACAGCGTCTCGGACAGAGTCCGGAAGTGCGACATCGACACCAATAGCCTTGACGACAAAGTCAGGGTTCTGAGCCGCGGATTTGCACCGTTCAGCCGTCTCGAAGGCATTATCTAGATCTAAATCTGCAACCAGGAGCCTTTTAACGCCATTTTTGGCAAAACCAATTGCGGTGGCTCTGCAGATTCCGCTGCCTAGATGTCAGTAATTGATGTTAGTCAAATTGGAGGTAAGCTTTGGGGTCAAGGTGGTTCCAGAAGCAACCCTCACCTCCTCCGATCACAAAAGCATTTCCAGAAATAGCCATAATAGCGATAAAATTTTTTTGTCTTGCGTATGTGTATGGGATTGTGAAGAAATAACCGCGTAGTAATTTTGCGGAGGCCTAGGTCTAGCCAGCCTAACTTCGGTTGTTAACAGGAGGCGTCCCCATACATTCCATAAGTAGGAAAAGTACCGAACCGGTTACTCTTCAAACCTCATCCACCCAAAGTCCCTAAAGGAGTGCGGACCATGGTGGCAAGGCAACACGAGGGATCGGTTGCAGCCTGCCATCCGCCTTGAACTCTGGCATGCGGATAGTGGCAGAGTGAGACACGGTTTTCGAACGGCTTTATTCTATATACACCCCCCTGATCTCGGAATCTGACCCCCTTCGGCATCTGCTTGCGCGGCCGCTGTATATGCATTCTAGTGCCATGAATCCTTCCGGACTGAGTCAGCTTTGGGTGGCTTGGCTCAAAGGCGAATCATGACGCGAGGCGACTGGATATTTCACTTGCGGGGTATCTGATCCTCTAGCAGGCAGTTCGATGTTGGTGAAGCAGGTATTGTAGCGATGAAGGATTACCATCCGTGTTGATAGCTTCTCATGCAATCTTGTGCTGTCGTCTTAGGCAGTTACGGAAACGGAGATCAGTTAGGAATTTGAAATAGGTCAAGGACAACACTCTGATGGTGGATAGGATATAACTTTTAATTAAAAAGAATGCTACAGATCTCAGCAAGTGATGAAGAGAAGAAAGACTGCGACCAAGATCGCCAATAATATAACAGCCAGCTTGTCTAAAAGCAGGTATGGTTCTCTACGGCGAGCGACAGTGTCACAAAGATGCTACAACCAGGGGCCATGGCAGCTTGCTAACTAACCAAGGGCGAAACGACCCAGTGCGCCATCCTCACCGGGCTCAAATTGTCCATGGAGGCTACTGTTCATAGCAGTCAGGTGCTGAGCATATTCGAGGCCTTTTCTGCGCTGCTGCTCGACCCATTGCCAGCTCCCACGCTCGGGGTCGGCTCCAATGGTCGTGCCATCACTCTCTCCGCTCCCCGCAACATCTCCGCTGCCGTTAACATCAGTGGCCCAGCCACCAGGACGCTCCGGTAGCAGACCGCTTCCCTGGAGCATGGTAGCCGGAGGAACGGTGAGGCGGCCAATCTTGAAGATGTAGAGACTCACGGCGGTGGCGAAGACTTTCTTCTCCCAGTCTCGAGGCTCGTCTCCTGCTGCACGCGTCGGGCCAAAGTTCTCGGGCGCATCCCACGAGCGTGGCTTGACGGCGCCCTTTTGGACAAAGTGCGTGACAATGTACAGCCATTTGCGGTCCCAGGACACGATACGAGTCCACATCTCGTAGCTCTGGTAGGGCTTGATCTCGCGCCTCCAGGAGCAGAAGACGCCACCGAGGCCGATGTTGAAGGCGCCCCGAGCTGGGCGCGACGGGTCAGACGGGTCCATGACGAAACGGGTCTTTGCATTGTTCCAGGCTAAGTGGCCGGACCGCGCGAGCAGATGCGAGGCCAGGTGGGAGCGGGCAATGTCTACGTCGGCCAGGTAGGTCGAGTTGGACTTGTGGAAGCGGTAGTCGAGCTCGGCGATGGAGGCGTGGGACTCGCTGATGACGGGGTGGAAGAGCTTGTCGGGCGTATGCGTATGGAATGGGCGAACGAGCAGGTGAAGCACCATGCTGTGCCAAATGCGAACCTGCGCGGCAGTGTTTGGTTAGTCTCGTGAAGATGAGATCTAGATGGGGGAGGGATGCTCCAGACTCACAGTCCATGCCAGGGGCAGGGCCTTCCAGTTCAGAACCAGCACGATGATAGCAAAGATTCGGCTGTAGCTGCCTGGGCCAGTGAAGAATTCAATGGCTTTTTCTGTCCACTCGAGTTTGTACGCAAGATAGACGCTGGGGGCAAGCAGCCCTAGGAAAACAAGACGCAGCGACATGACCACGGCTGTGTATTCTCAAGGAAAGGTAATTGATGGAAATGAAATCACCACAAATTCTGGGCGAGAATGTGGGCAAAGAATTATGGAAAGTTTCAAGCTGTGTGACAGCTCGAGCTTTATGGAGGGCACACCAAAGAACCAGAAGCAGTGTTACATCACCCCCATCCCAAGCGCTCTGGCAATCCTGCAGCCACTGGATGAGGATCGAAATTTCCTAGACAACCAACGGGCCCTTCCTCCGCTTTCCTGAATCCGATTGGGTTAAGATCCGGGTGGCACTGGATGGGGCCTATTGTAAGATTACATGCTGCAGTATTGTTCCCGTATTCATGCATGCTACCTGCCGCGGGCTCATTGTCATCTCTGTGACGGCCCTTTTGTAGTGTCGTACCGAGCTGTTGGGGGCGAAATCAGGCTTCTTGCACCCCTGAGAAGTGCATGTTGGTCAGCAACGCTGAAACCGTGCGGCCAACCACGAGCCCAGGCCAGGCAGTGCTTTGGAATGTCTCACTGCCTACGCATTTTGACTTGTCTTATTTGTTGGCAAGTTGATCCTCTGACTTGGCGATCAATAGCATTACGCGGGCGCATTGAATGCAATTCAGCCCAGCACTGTGACGGCGGCTGCTTGACGGGACAAGGAGAGGTTAGGTAACATCAGCTACGGTGCATTATGAATCATGTTGTACCAAGCATGAAATGATGTTAGCCGTTTACCAGTGCATTAGTGATAGAAATTAGGATTTCCAAGGGACGCCCATAGATGTTATCGACGGCATTTGGTGATACCATGCTATATTAGAGCTGTCTAGAACTACGTAACCACTGATATCTCGTCGGCCATCTTGTTTGAATTACATATGCATTTTTTTTTGGCAAGGCTGCATCATTTTCAACAATCACAATAAGAATTACTCTTGCCAAACGTTAATCCGAGAGATGCGCCGTTTTTCTGCTATTAACTCAAACGCTCGATCGACTCATCACATCTCACACCGCAGACGTAGTCTTTTGGTGCTCGACTTGGGACAGAGGATATATGTTCTCTTGAGACTCCCCTTTGTCGCCACTAAAAGTAAGATCAAACCCTCTGCTCGTGAAGTTATTTGTGAGCTTATTGAAGCCGCTCTCGCCCGTCGCCGGCCGATGGCTCGTCGCCGTCTGATCCCTCGACGACCAACGGCTGCCGCGGGACAGGTAGTTTCTGAGCCAAGTGGCACCCGACCAGATGGCAGGCTGGATATTTCCAAGCCGAGAAATGAGCGGCCAGCACACGGGGAGACATGCACATATTATGCCGGTACAGATGTGAATGGTGGTCCAGAGCTGAGTGTTCTCAAATGACGGCTGCCGGCTGCCCGGGATGTAGCCAAATATTGTCTTGAGAAGACCGGAGATGATAACGCTGATTCGGATCGCGATTGATTAGCCAAGTTCTTCTCAAAAAGTAGTATTGGGAAGTTCACGTACAAAACACCGAGCAGGAAGACGAAGAGAACGGCAAACTTCTGCTTCCTGGTAAATTGCAGCGCAAGGATGACTTTGATGGGCAAGACGATAATCAGGATGTCAATAAAAGTCTCGACTAGGCCAACGGCGAACCAGTAATGGTTGAAGTTGAAGCAGTACCGCGGGTCTGAAAGACTATTCAGCCACATGTATTTCATGGGAACGCAATTGGTCAGGTTGGCGATGGTGCATCCGATCCAATAGCCGATTACGACTATAGACAGAGCCCATATCTGGCGTCGCAGGGCCCGTTCAACAAAGAAGAGCCGATGATACAGGAAGATGATGGACAGCTTCGTCGATGAGACTGTGAAGAAGTAGACGACTGTCAGCGACCAAGTGAGCCTCGTATATTCCTGGTCGGCTTCGCTGTAATCTTCGGTTTGAGTCGCCTTTGTGGCGGCCTCTGGGCCCTCTGGATGCTGGATGATAGCTAAGGACATGGATTTCAGTATGTCTGCGACAGCTTTATGGATGACATCTGGGTATGGTAAAACTCACCATACACGGCCAGCACGTCGGTGACGATCATGGCCAAGATGGCCACAATGATCATGCCATCGTCCCATTTCAATCCAGCTTTCTTGCTGATGCGCGCCCAGATGCGGGTTATGACAGAAATTATTGCCAGAATCCCTAGGGCAATGCCGACGATCATAACAGTATCCTCGGCCATGGCTGGACAATTTTGAATTATACCGTGAGGGACAGAGGAGAGCGAATCTCAACAGGGAGCTGTTTGTCTGGGGAAACACGAATCCCCTTCTCCACACGGCTGCAGGCAATTTGGGGAGACATCCGATAGATATGGGATCGCTTGCCAAATGTCCAAGAGTGGGCAGCCAAGCCGTGGGTGATGCTGACGCTGGGTACTAATGCAGCACACACTGGTCTCAATTCTGCACATTATGAGGCCTTCCCGATTACTCTATAATTGGGAAGCGACATGCTGATAGTGCCATCAAAAGATCCAAAAAGGAATGCAGGAATGTCCAAGAGAGACATAAGAAATAGAGGGGGAGGGGTGTGGCTGGACCTTCGCCCGATGCCGATCCTTGGTGGACCAGGCGGCCGACGAGTTACTCGATGTGAGGTGCTGTTCCGTAAATGGACAATAAAGGCGATTGTAAGGCTGTGCTGACTGCTTCAATAATGAAACCCCTGACTGTGATCCATATGCAAGTACGAACAAGGGGCTTCACACTCTGCAACCTAATCACACTTTCTCGTCACAGTCGCACCAATCATCCATTCCCAAATAGGGAGGCCCGGGACGAGCTCTCCTCAAAAATCAAGAAAGCACAGACTATGCGTGTCAATAGCATCGCCTTCGTTATCTTGCACGAAGCAAACATCTGACTCGCAACTAGGTAGGCACGAGATATGGCACCAACTACTGCGTTCCAAGTCCATGGCAGGGTGAGATCAGTGTGCCCAAACCTTGTATCGGCCTTGCTAATGTTTCCAGACGGCTATCGTAACCGGAGGCTCATCCGGCATGGGCCTCTGCATCGCACGCCAGCTTGCTGAGAAAGGCGCCAACATTGTCATCGTAGCGCGCGACCAAGCAAAGCTTGAGAAGTCAGTTCTTCATATCAAGGTAGGCCAATACTAGTGTCCTTGGTTCCAGCCGTATCGGACTTTGACGTACAAATCTAATGCAACAAAGGAAGGGGCTCTAAACCCAGATATCCAGCGATTCCATTATATCAGTGCCGACTTGACATTGTCCAACGAGGCCGTTCGAGTCGTGGACGAGGTGGTGGCCTGGAACTCGGGCAGTCCGCCTGACATTGTGAGCACCTCTCCAGAGATTCCGATTCCACTACCTTTTCTGAGGCTTCGACGACTAATTCTAGCTGGTGCAGATCTGGACCTGTGCTGGTTCTTCACATCCAACACTGTTCATCGACACCCCCGTCTCCACCTTCGCCTCGCAGATGGATACCAACTATTTCACCAGCCTTCACATGGCACATGCAGTACTGAGATGCTGGCTCCTCTCTCCTCCAGGCACAACAGGTACAGACCCGACCGGCTCTGCGACCAACCCTGGCAATTCGCTGGCAACGCGGCACCTAATTTTCACAGCGTCGTTCTTATCTTTTTATACCTTTGCCGGCTATTCTCCCTACAGCCCCTGCAAGGCTGCTCTCCGCTCCCTCACGGACTCTCTGTCGCAGGAGATGAATCTCTACGCCGCAGCGCGCCCTGAGGAAACCAGGGTCCGCGTCCACGCCGTCTTTCCGTCCACCATCTTAACCGAAGGATATGAGGCCGAAAATCGCATCAAGACCGACTTGACCAAGCACCTTGAAGAAGACGACGTGCCTCAGACACCCGAGGTCATTGCGTCCAGGAGTATCCGCTGCTTGGAGGCCGGGCAGGAAATCATTACCACGGACATCCAAACCGCTCTGGTCAGGCGGGGCATGTTGGGAGGTAGCACTAGAGGCGGCTTCCTCAACGGACTAGTAGATTGGTTTCTCGCTGGTTGGGTCGCCATCATCATGGTACTTCTACGTGGCGATATGGACAAGAAGGTCCGGAAATGGGGACGGGAGTTTGGCACTTCTGGCATGAAGCCGAAGGATGGGCCTGTTTGAGACTAATGTGCCTCTGCTGAGCATGAACCTTGCGTGATCTCAATCGCCTTGACTCCAATATTCTATCTTTACCTGTCTACTTAATTAACTCTAGATATTTAATGCATATCTCTATAGCTTCTATTATTCACAAGTCTAGTGGTTGATTTACGAGTTCGGTGCCATCGACTTCATTCAATGTCGTTCATTTTCCTCTCTTTCGTGCATAGCCCTGTAATGGGCTGTCTTAGGTAGGCTGTAGCACGCCATTAAGGATATATATAAATATATGTGTTTTGGAGAAGATAAGGGGGGGCAAACCACATAGCTAGATGCAATTCCGTACATCCAAGCACAGCGCAGCGATCACGATGAGCCATTTTTTAAGCTTTGTGGCCACAGAACAACCAGCCCCCTTGTGAAAAACGGGGAAGGCTAATAGTGGGCTGCATTTAGGCAACGAAAGGCTGGAATGTGAAGCCTGTGGGGGAGGGGGGTGTGGAAATACGTGCATCATGCGGTATCGGTAGGCGACCGTAACGCATAATGCTTCTGAGCTGACCGCAGATCAGACATTGGCCGACGTGAAGCCGATCAGTGAGAAGTGAAGAGTGAGGAGAAGATAAGACAATTTGCCATTAAGGAGACGTATTGCATGCTGCGCAACTTTTCTAGCCCCCAATGGGAGTGCAACACCGTGTTACAATTCAAGCGACTCTGAAGTAACTTTAGTTTATTAGCTAGCTATTAAAAGAGTATTATCTCTCGGCGGCAAGCCTTAGCCACTAGGACACGTAGTAATCGGCAGGGGTTGCATCCGCTGCACTTTTGCAAGCCTTGAAAGGCGGCTTTGGTACATCGTTGGGTGGTTGTTGTCACCCAACCGGAAGCAGTGAGCGTGTAATTACAACGCTAGCAGAAGGGCACGTACTTAAGCAGTATGTCTCAACTATTGCTTTTGTTATGCTGCCAAAATGCTACAATGCATTCCTTCCTACAACGCGGCCACCCTTCCGCTACATAGCACTACATCCGAATATTGGAAGCAGACGAAAGTCCACCACAAAAGTACACGAGGTGAGGTGCCCCGGACGCCCTACAGCTGACGTTTACAAGCTGGGCCCCCTGGCCCCTACAGTAGATAAAGTATAGAGGATGGAGGTTGCGTAAGCCCTTACTGGGGTCCGGAGATTCGCGAGACGGCCCGAGCAATCCCTGCCTCCTGTCTTTTCACTCCCAAGTCCGGGATTTTGCGAAAGAGACCAGGGACTATGGGGGAAATGATCTGATTACCAAAGTGCTGGTGTGATTCACATGGAGGCGAGACCTAATTGCACCAGCGTCGTTCGTTACTCAATTGGTGGCAAGAAATTTGAGCCTTCTATTCGTGCTAGAGAGATTCTTGTTAAGTGATGCAAGTTACTTGGCTACGCGAAGTCAAGGTAGATTGTCTACATCGGAGGGCATTTTGTATGGCGCAAACAAGAACATTTATTAAGGCGACAACATATCATCTAATTCTAATGTGGGTTATAATCATCGTAGTCGGTCTTTTATTGGATGCCGAATTGTAACAGATGATTCTTCTACAAGCCCACTTGACGGAAATTCAAAAAAGGCCCATCGTGGAGTGCCGCAAATGAGTCCCGAACATGAAACACATTAGGATGCTGAGCCTCGAGAGCCTTGTCTCCCACTTTGGAAGTCGCTTGCATGTCCGAAGCCTCAGTAAAGTCAAAAGCCACGAGCATCTTAGCCATGGTAAGGCTTGCCTCGAGGTAAGCCATCGACTTGCCTAGACAACCGCGTGAGCCCAGTGAGAATGGCGCAAAGGCCTCCCTGTTTGCTTCGTCGCTCCCCTCAAGCCACCGCTCAGGCTTGAACGTGAAAGGGTCTGGGAAATAGTCTTTATTGTGCAGGATGGCATAAGTGTTGACGCCAACTTGCGTACCCTTGGGAATGAGATGACCGTCCACGATCAGGGGTTCTGTAGAGTCTCGCGCGAGCTCCTCACGCCAAAGGGTCCCTGGCAATGGTGGAGTCATCCTCAAGGCCTCATCGATGCATGCTCGCAAGTACGTGCAGCTTGCAAGGAGTGGCCCGCCGCGAATATCCACACCTTCCTTGAACGTGGAGCGGACCTCTAGGCACAGCCTTTGGTAGCAGCGCGGATTGCGTGCCAGATAGAAGCAGAGTGCACTGAGAAGGGTTGATGTCGTGTCGCTTCCTATTCATTTGGACCCAGTCAGCCCATGTCGTTTGCAACAAGGAGGGAAAAACACAACTTACCAGCAAGCATATGCCAAAGTGCTTCCGTTTTGGCGTCATCGATCCATTCCTGGTCATCTTGCGGTATGGTCATTTTTGCAGACAGGAACTGCAGCTCATTTTTGACATGTTGGCCCTGCGACAGACGGCTTCGGATAATCTGTTCCAGGGTTTCAACGTAGCGCTTCCTGCTGAACATGGACCAGAGAGACTGGAGATTCCGGATGCCAAGGTCGACAAAGGAGGGTATCTGAAAGGCGACGTTGAAGAAGAAACTCGCTCTTGAGTACATCATGTGGTGGTGAGTCGCCTCTGTTTGGAGATTAAGAGGATATTCAAACAGGAGGTGTCCCATTATGTCGATCGCAAGGTACTTAGTTTGACTAGTCATGTTGATTGGTCCTTTGACGGAATGGGCCCCCAGCTGCTGAATGAAGATGTCTATCTGCTGAATCATGGCGAGCTCAAATGCATCAATGGACTTCTTGTTCAAGAAGCGGCCCGCCAGTTTTCGCTTTTGCTGGTGTAGCCGTGGGTCAATGGCGTTGAATAGGTTGAATACACCTGGCGCTCGTTGTGATGCAAGGTAGCTCTTCGACTTTGTTACCTGATCGTTTCTGTAGATATCTAAAATGACATATCAATGAGCGTGTCGACTCCCGACCTTGGAATCTGTATTACTTACCACGAAGAGCACCAGCAGTGTTGAATACCAACTTATTGGGCCCATGTCGGACCACGGAACCTGCATTTACATGAGTGACTGAAGTTCATCCACATCCTTCCGAGACAAGCTCACCATATCGATCATGGTCTTTCAACGTTTTGACATGCAGGTCGGTGTTGCAAGCATGAAAAGCACCGAATAGAGAGCTGATCTTTGCCACGAAGGGGCCAGGATATTTGTTCAGAGGGTGAGCAAAAAGCCTGTACAGAACTTTGAGGGTAACCTTTATTCCCCAAGGGTCAGATCATACTTTCAACTGTTGGGGAGTGTTTTTAACCCACATAGATGAATCCTATGATGGTACCGCAGGCGGCAAGCAGCACGGGAGATATCTCTCTGGACATTTTGCGGTGTAGTTATCCAAGTCAAGATGGTGTGCAGCGAGCAAAGTGAGGTGTAGACTCGTGAGATATCCTAAGATATAGCAAAATTTGACACTCGTCACGATGGGGCATACCTTACTTGGCACAGCCCCCCGCGACCAGCTGCCTACATGTATATGGCCGGCTGCACCTGAAGGCTTCCGAATCTTTAACGGCTGTGCCGCCGAGATCACGCTCAGGCCATAAATAACCTGGAGCCTCTTTCATGCCGTGATAGTCTCGCAAAGGCTCCATCTATTGAATCCATCAGAGCCGGAAGGATCCAGGCCAACAATGAGTTGTTCGGCCCTTTGGCCTTTCGCCCTATGATTGGTTAGACATCTTCCGCATGTGAAAACTGCCTTGTGTATCGAGGTTACATATGGTGTACATAATCCGATGGCCCGGCTAACGTGAGATGACGGCGACACTTTTGTTAGGAATGAGATGTGTCTAGATATCCCCAAAAAAGCACCAACGCCCGATTGCAACAGTAACATAACACTCCTCCAAATTCATGCTAGCCAAATTAGTCAATCAAGCGCTTATGAGACGCCTATCACCGTCCCACAGACCAAAGTACTAAAATCAAAAGCCTTAAATTCAGCTGTAAAGGATTAAGCGTACGGGATGAAGAGTCAGCATGCACGCATCTCATGCCGAAAGATTAGTCAGACGACTTTGGAGGAGCGTACAGGAGGGGGTGTGCAGAAAGTTTACAGCCTATTTCGGATTGCCGAGAGGTCTTATTGCATGGTAGTAGTGTCTTGCAACCAACCCGAAGGGAGGCGTGCCGTTGGCGTTTTGGATGACCAACAAGACTGGGACCTGTATGCGGTTTCATTTCCCCAAGCCACCAAGCACAGGTGGCAGGATTATGCTGTCGCTGCCGATCGAATGAATTTCTTACCTATGTTAAAAACGAGAGGTAGTAGTTGGTCATCTTACTTGCGTCAAAAAGGATCAAGATGGGTTACAGATTGGCACTCAAAGTTGGGACTCTTGTGTAGAATATGAGAGACTCGTATGATGCCAAAAGGTCCATTCCATTCAATGCCACCAACTGCAGGCCGTTGGTAACAAGCGAATATTGTGCCGGCCTGGCCCAAGCCATTATGCTCCGGATCCCGGCACGCTCAAAGTCAATGAATGATATAAGCCCGGACCGCCAAGTCATTGTAGACTGGATTGGGTTCCAAGCTTCAAGGACTTATTTGAATATATATTTTCGCCTCCACATCCTCATGCTATTGTCAGAGACTATAGCCTCCATAGTCAAATTGAAGTAGGCCAATCCACATACCGACCTCTAAATATTCTCACGCGGAGGCTCTATTATTGCCAGCAACATGGAGTCTGAACCTAAGCCTAGTGTTGGTGAAGGGCTCTCCCACATGGGATTCAACGCTACTGTTGTTGCTGAACCAAGGAAGAGTATGGACGTTGATGTTCGAGAAAGTGCATCTGAACCTCAGGTCATAATGGAGGACGAGATTACCTTCGTCCAAGGCCGACGTTTTTGGTACATTACTGCAGTGTAAGGTGACCGCAATATGTCGAGGGAAGAATCGCGTTACTGACTTCTTCTCTAGCATGTCGATACTTATGTTCCTGATATTCCTTGAGATACCCATCGTCATTACGGCAGCCGTGGCAGTCACCGAAGACCTTGGGGGCCTTGATATTGTCGGCTGGCTTGTGGCGAGCTATTTACTTGGCTACATTGGTGAGTGATCTTGTTTCCTATTTTCCACATGGTCTGCTGACAGGTAACAGGAGTTATCGTCATCTTCGCTAAATTGAGCGATATCCTGGGACGAAAATTCATGTTGCTGGTGTCGACAGCCTTCTTCATCATCTTCTCTGCCGCCTGCAGCGCATCCCAAACCTTTGTTCAAGTGTAGGTCGTGCACCTTCTTCGGCATCTGGATTCATCTGACAGCCCGTGCTCATAGTGTCGTCTTCCGCGCCTTCCAAGGTATTGGCGGCGGCGGATGCTACTCGATTTGCACGATCATTATTATGGAGATTGTGCCGCCGGAGAAATACACCAAATACGTGTCTTACATCAACATCACAAGTGCTCTAGCGCTCCTCTCGGGTCCCATCATCGGAGGTGCGATAGCCGCTCATACAAGTTGGAGATGGATCTTCATAATCAAGTAAGTACCGCTCAGCGGTGGCACGTGCCTCGAGAAATTCGTTCACTTCTCTAACATTTATGCAGTGTTCCACTTGCAAGTATTGCCTTTATCATAGCGGCTATCTCAATCCCGACCGGTTTCCCATACCATGGCAAGTCAAAGGACGACAAGTCGAAGAATCCCAAAGGCTCCGTGCCCAAGACGATGCTAGATCGGGCAGACATTCCAGGAGCTGTGCTTCTGCTATTCGCCACACTAAGCCTTACGGCAGGGTTTGAGGAGGCTGATTCTCTATTTCCTTGGAAATCTGCCTATGTCATCACACTGCTCACTGCGTCAGGAGTGCTGTACATTGCCCTTTTGTTGTGGGAACGATATGTCACGCTGTCTGAGAAGCTTAGAGAGCCTGTTCTTCCCTGGAGATTCTTTACCAATCGGCGGATGATGAGTATATTGGCGTAAGTCTCCAGATTCAACCATACTCTACACCTGTAATATCACTGGCTAACCTGGATGAACTAGAAACCAATTCCTTCTAGGCGGCCCTACCTTTATCGGCATGTTCATTTTGCCCCAGAGGTTCCAGTTAGTTTATGGACTTTCCGGCCTGGATGCGGGAATCCGGCTGATTCCATTCTCTTTTGCCATTCCCGTTGCGACCATTTTTTCTGCCGTCCTTGCAGGAAAGAGAAAGATACCATTGATGTATATCTTCATTTCTGGTGCATGTCTGCAAATCATTGGATTCGCTCTCTTAGGTACACTACCCGTCGAACCCGGTATACCTGCTCGGATGTACGGTTATCAGGTCATTGCGGGCTGGGGCTGCGGGATGATGTTCTCGCTGTTGACCATCGCAATCCCTCTAGTGATCGAAGGTCGCGATCGAGGTATGTTTCTTCGCCCTTTTATTTTCAACTTTTCGAGCATATAGCTAACCTATTCATGAAGCTGTCGGTATGGCTGCTGGCGCACAGTTCCGACTCATGGGCAGCACAATAGTACTGTCCATCTCGACTTCGGTTTTCAATAGTCATGTCCGCCCTCTTCTACATGAGATAGTAGGCCCCGAGGGGGTTGCGGATATGAACAGCTTCAGCAATTCTTTACAAAATCTCTCCCAAGCAGCTGCTGAGCAAATTAGACGTGCTCAGGCAGAAGGATACAACCGTCAGACGCTGGTCTTATGTGGTGCTGCCGCATTGCAAATATTTGCTTCGCTGCTGCTCTGGGATAGGAAGAAACAGCTAGTTGCTTGAAGGCTATTCAAATCAGGAGATTCATAATGCCAGAGGTGTTGAAGTCAAGGCTCATCCTAGGTAAGCAAGCTTTGTTGTCAACGGAGAAAAAGGGTTGGGAAATGACGGGAAAATGCAGATTAGGCGAAGGCAATGGAAATTCAAAACGTAAAGAGAATCAATTCTAGGCTATTAATTAATCGTACGGGTCTCTTGGTACAGTTTTAATCTAGTTTCAATGTATAAGTTTGACCCTTAAAGCTAGAGTTATTGGTGAAATAAAAGCCTTACGAGTTACGAAGTAGTTGGTTCGGGATCATTTCTTTTCGGTTGAAATCACTTTTGTACATGTAAGGATCCGACGCAGACATTTCAGTTATCGATTTTGAGTTTAAGCCACCATTCTCGGGTAGATAATTACGTAATATAGATTTATATATGACAAGTAAAAGTAAAATTTCTTTTATCTTATGATTTCAAGATATGTTCGATTTAGTTGTACTGTAGGGTAGCTCGCTGAAAGAAGTGGTCGCTGCCACTCGGGCCGTGATTTCTTAGCATCATTTCTTAGCATCAATTATTTTTGCTGATATAAGCATGGGAGATTAGCCTTGGCAGGGATTGGCTGAAAGGGTGGCCAGCCGGAGTGCACGGCTTGGATTAGTAACGCTCAGTTCTAAGTATCTTGGCAGCATCATCGGACTCTTCTCGATTCCACAACACATCCATAAAAGCCGGAACAAATGTCCCAGTATGGAAGAACGACAGAGAAGCAAAGCAGGCAGGTCATGCGGGAACTGCAGAGGTATGCAACTGGTGGCTTGGAAACAACCTTGTCTTAAGCAGTATCTTACAGGTAACCACGATAGGTCGCCGAATTCGATGCGATCGCAAGGTCCCTGCCTGCGCCAACTGTACAGCAGCAAAACTGCAATGTCAGGGCTATGGTCTTCGTCTATCCTGGCCCAGAGCTGGTGACCGTAAAAGAGCCTTGTTGGCCCCTGATGTCGGGTCCTGGGACAACTGTAATGCGCCACCGGGGGGCGTTTCTAATTCAAGATATTTCATCAATATGCAAGACAGGCATGTCGCTGCTTACTACAACGCCATGTCCTCAAGTAGTGTTCGTAAGTTGGCACCGCGATGTCCTCTCACGTCAATTTCTATTTAGGATTTTCTAGTTGACACGTTCCACACTTTTGTACAGGTGTTATAACACAAACAGTATTCCCAAACCAGCTACCGAAATCCATCCCTTTGTCACTAATAGACGAGAAAGACACAAGTTTGCTCCACTATTGTATGTTACTTCATGTCTTTAGACTGATATAAATGTCGTACTAAACTGCTAGATTTGCAAAATGCGGCAAGTTTCTTCCTGAATCCCTTGGGATCTCTGGCACAGTTGCTCCTACAAATTGGTCTTGCCGACTCCTCTCCGTCTTCTGCCGCCGTCTTGAACGGTCTCCTGGCAATATCGGCCTTGCATGTCTCGGGCGAGGAAAGGGCCATAAAATTCAAAACTAAGGCAATTGCTATGACTCAGGCATCATTAAATGCTGAAGGTTCCGGTTCGACTGTGATTGCCAAAATAGCTGCCAGTATGCTTCTATACTTATACGAGGTTAGTCGAAATTACTAGCTTAGAGATGCAGTACTGACTTGTTGCTAATTTTAATGCTTATAGACACTCCATATGTCATCACCGAAGGCTTGGTCAACCTATCTTGGTGGCGTTAAGCAAATTCTTTTGTTGTCCACCGAATGTAGTCCCTTTTCGAAAAGTTACCAGACCATATTAGACTGGATCATCTATCACGAGACAATGGCCAAGTTTGGGCAACTATACTGGCCAAAAAACGGTGGGCTCACACCATTTTGCCACAGGAGGGTTTCCAGTTTTTTCCGGGAGCACCATGAATATGAGAAAACTGATGTGAGTAGGCTCGAGCTCTACCTAGGTCCGTTGCTAATCGCACTTTGTTGTAGGAAATGGATGCCACAGGTTGTGATCTACACATCCTGGAGGTTATCTCAGCAGCTTTTGACCTAACCAATGGAAAGGGGGGATTGGTTCCGTCACAGCCAGCAGAATTTCTAGGACTCGAATGGCAGCTCCGTACAAAGCTAATGGAACTACCAGACTCAGGGTTGATTTTGGGAACCTCGTCGTGGATGCATGCTACTACAATATTGCATTGTCTTGCTGCACTGTTATGGATTAACCGTTCTGTCAATGGCTACCTTGGGACTGAGGGATCTCATCAATGGTTAGTAGCACAGGCTGTGAATATTCTTGATCAGTTGACGATATGCGATCTACCCTGGCCATTGTTTATCATTGCTGGCGAAATGCGAATGGAAGAACAACGGCGGATTATGCTTAAAACTATTGCTCAAACTCAGGAACGCTCCAAATCAAACCACATGGATATGGTCGAAGAGTTGGTGGAGGCAATTTGGAACTACAATGATCTTGATCCTTCTGGGCTGTTGCAATACAACGACAAGCTACGCTGTGTTATCCAGGCGTACCCATGGATATTGCCGTTTACATAGGGCCTGGAAACGAGAGGTCTTTATTTTTTTCTCTTGTTTAATATTGCATAGTTGCGAAAACAAAAATCTCTGATCGTTTAACGAAAGGTATAGTTCTACATGTTATGTTGACGTTGAACTTGCAGAAGCCTTGGGTTATATAGCCATAACCACTGGGTTATTAATTGAGACTTCCCTACAGTTGTTAAGCTAACATCCGCGAATACTTGCTCCCTTCAAGCAACGCACCTATCATAGCGTAGCCTGGACTCCGAAAATCCCACATCTCCGCCCTTGTCCTTATTATATAAGCTAGTCCCGCGAATTCTTGCCGTAAGACCGGTTTGAGCCAATTAATACTGGAGAATTCACATCATCATCGACATTACTAATACCAAGGGTGGCCGAATCGCCCCGAATAACTCAAGTTTGAATCACACAATGGAAATTCGCACCGTTTGATCCGAGTCTAATCAAAGCTTGTTGAAGCTCTGAGTGAATAGTAACGCAGAAATTGTTTTCCGTATTGGTAATATGGCTGTATTCGATGGTTATATATTTCCTGCTTAGTCCCTTATTTGCCCAAGGGTTCTACTCGCCGATAACCAAAGTCATAAATCGGCTCACCATTATCCTTCGCCATTAAAAATCTTTTGTTACTCACTCAGATAATTCCTCATCATGGCAAACACCTTGGGTCCCAACATCGCTGCGGTCCTCCCTGAGAAGCAAGGACGCCTCGCCATCTCAGAGCGCCCAATCTCTACGCCTGGTCCAGGAGAACTATTGGTGCGCAATGAAGCCGTCGCTGCAAATCCCTCGGATTGGAAAGTACAGACCCTCGGCGTCATTGTCGACAAGTTCCCTGCCGTGCTCTGCAGTGACCTTGCCGGCATCGTCGTTTCTGTTGGACCAGGTGTAACCCGCTTCAAAGCCGGCGACCGTGTCATGGCATTCGCTTTGGGAATGGTTCTCGGCAACATTGACGGGGCGGCATTGCAGACTTTTACGATCCTCAATGAGGCGGCGACGTCGCATCTACCCAAGAGCCTGACATTCCAGCAGGGTGCCACGCTTCCAGTTGCAATGACCACCGCTGCGATAGCTCTATTTGCCGATCTCGAGCTGCCGATGCGTGAGAAGCGCGACAATGAACAAGGTGCTATCCTTGTTTGGAGCGGCGCTTCGGCGGTTGGCGTTGGGGCCATACAGATTGCACATGCGCTTGGGTGGACAGTTTACACTACAGCAAGTCCAAAGCATCACGCGTGGTTGAAGAAACTTGGTGCTACGGACGCATGGGACTACTGTGACTCGCAGGCTGCACAGCACATAGGGCAAGCTGCCAAAGCTGCAGGACTGAAGATCCGCGGTGCGATCGATACCCGATCCGAAGACTCGTCCTTCGACTTGGTCGCCGCGGCGTTAGTCGCAGCTAACTCTACGTCTGGTGCCAGAGTTGCCACTGTATTGCCATGGCCAGCAGATAAACCAAAGCCGGAGGGAACAGAGACTTTCTCTATAAATTGTTTTAGGTTTGTCAAGGATCGACAGGATATCGGAAGTTGGCTTTTCGGCTCCTGGCTGAATCAAGCACTCGAGGATGGGAGAATTGAGCCTGCACCAAAGGTTCGAGTCATCGAAGGAGGATTGAAGGGGGCACAAAGCATGCTTGATATCCTTAAGGCTGGCGTAAGCGGTGAGAAGCTTGTGATTAACATCTAGACTTGATATCTTTTAAATAAGAGCTTAGGATGAGAAGTTATACGTAGATTATTTCTACAAGATTAAAACAGCGTATTCATTAAGTTGAGTTGTCGGGCCCTGTCGAAATCTGGACATGTTCCCGCCATAAATGTCAGTAGCAAGTAAGGGAGCTGTACAGCTGCTGAAAAAAAAAGAAGGGGAAATTCCCAAACACCAGTAATTTGATAACTTGACACCATACCCAGGCATCACAACACAATAACCATAAATGTCAGAGGCCTTGGATGATTGCAAGCATCAGTGTAAGCATCTGTGACCGAGGGTTCGCATTGAGATCCACCTGAACCCGAAATTAAATTAGGAGTTGATCATGGGGCATGGGCTGCTGCATTGGAGGTATATAGAGTGATTTTTCTCTCTTTATTCTGATTTGGCCCTTTAAAAATGTAAACGAACCTCCATCCGAAAAGAACCCGCCCTCAAACTTGGCCAAAATGCAGCTGCAGACTCTTCCTTGGACGAGTAGTCTATTATCGGCTGTGCTCTTCACCACGACTTTGTCTGATCTAGTCGGCGCTACTGGTACTTCAATTGTAACAACAATCCCTGCAGCAGCAACAGTTGGTCCCGTCATCGCTGAATATGTATCTGGTAATTCTGCTGTGGATGCTCCCAAGCTCTCTGCCTACAATAGCACCGTCTTCGATTGGTGGTATTTTGATGCCATATCTTCCGACCTAACGCAAGGTCTCTTCTTAACGTTTAACCTCGCACTTGCTACAGGTGTATCAGGCGGAAACAATGAATCTATACCCTTTGCCTCCATTTATGGCATTTGGCCTAACCAGACCCTCTACTTATACTCGGTACCTGGTACTAGTGCCGTCGTCGAATCGTCCCCTAACCAAGCCACTCGTGGAACGTGGGAAGGCACAGGATTTAGCTGGGTAGCTTCGCCAGACATGGAAACCTATACCGTTACGATCAACTCAACATACATCAGCGGTACACTCTCCTTCGAATCCAAGGCTCCTGCTCATTATCCCTGTGGTGCGGTCGAACCAGGTAGCGACTTGGTTGTTGCCCCATCTGTTGGCTGGACCAATGCGGTTCCGGATGCGGATGCTTCAGTATCACTGTCTGTTGGTGGCACAGCTGTTGAGTGGTCCGGTATTGGTTATCATGACAAGGTGAGCTTTTGCCTGAATGAAGGTAGTAATTAAAAAACCTAACGCTAACGGTAACTCTAACAGAACTGGGGTACGGAGTTTTTTGGGAGCACATTCAACAGTTGGTATTGGGGCCATGTGCGCATCGGGCCTTACAGTGTCGTTTGGTTCAGTGTACTCGCTCCTGGCGACCGTCAATACCTCAGCGGCTATGTTGCAAAAGACAGGGAGGTTATAAATGCCAGTTGCGGCCCTGGCTCTGTAATCGTGCGCCCAGTTGGTACTCCCTATCCACGCGGGTCGGACCCAAACTGGCCACTCGGCTACCATATCAGCATCGGTATTGGTGAGGGAAAAACTCTGAATGTCACGGTGGAGCAAACTGGAGTGATAATTAGTTCAGAAGGTTCCAGGCGACTGATTGGACGCGCGACAGGGTCGGTCAATGGGGGCTTGCAACTCGAAGGTTATGGACAATGGGAAGAGCTGTGGCAAGCCTATGAATAAGTGGTGGCTAGGCTCTGGGGTTAGTACGAACGGACTGGGCGTTTTAACCGATATCGTGGCCCTTTCAGTACGACCACCCATCAGAGATAGGCATATAGCTTTGTTGTGATTTAAAGTACTTGCGCATTGGTTTTTAGTCAAATGTAGGACCTGCTGCCCCGTAGGTCTGTTCTCACGCTATGATTAACCTTCAATACATAGAGTAGCTGTTTTGAATACGAAGTAATCACAATTGACCAACTCATCGAGCATTCTCAAGGTTGATCTTGGTGAAGAGGCAGTGAAGCTCCGGCGTTAAATTGTCCTTAATATTCACTACGCATTTATGCTCTATTAGGTTAGGCATAGTTCCTGGAGAAAAAGAGATCGAATGATGGACCCAGCAGACAGAGCAACGAACAACTGACTTCTATCGCAGTCAATATACGAGAGAAGTGATCTTTTCAGGCATACGATGCTTTATATATGGCTAATCCACTTCTTGAAAAATGCAGCTCTTCAAAGGAAAGGGGTAGCTGTAGCTTAGAATTCCAATCCTTGTCTTGAAAAGGGGAGGAAAATGCAGGGATATGGTGAAACCAGCCAGGAAACTCGGATTCGCATCTCGCGTTTCGGTTCGGTAGGAGTAACTAGTTCTGCCTTTAATTTCCGGAATTTCCGACGCCTCTAGCGTTGTAATAAGATATTTAATATGGAAATACGCCTAGATTCGTGAGGGCTGTCAACAGTATCCATTGGCCACTATCACCCATGATGATCATTTGTTGTCGCTACGGGCTTGGGTAGGCTAAGAAACTATTGAAGATTGTTGACAGTAATGATGAGTATCTGCTATATTTCTGGGAAACTGTTTTGTCTTGGATAACAACATCATCTGAGTGCTCTTCTTAGAGGACAAGGTGGAAATTCAATGGAAGACTGCTGATAACATGCCCGTTTGGCTGTGACAATTGAAATAAGCAAATGACTGGTCAGCCTTACGCAACACCATCAACTCGTGCCACAAGTTGAGATTAGGTGCAACGCCCTCCTTGTCCATGCGATTGAAATGGTTGATCTGGGTCCCAAAAATCTGCTTATGCTTTGGCGTAAGCGCCCATTTCTCCAGGTGGGTTAGAGACTCCCACGAGCTGATACTCCAGGACTTTCCAATAGGGTTACCATCGTCGTCTTCGATGCGCAGATAACGGTTTGAGAAGCATCCGAAACGGCGCTTATCAGCCACAAGTTCTTCCATGCCGCTGTCAAGTGTTGGCTTGATTTCTGTGTAGTAAGAGGCAACTTCCTTCTCATCGCTGTGCTCCCAGACCTGTCCGGAGCGAATCAGACACATATTCTGATGAGGACGAACTATGACTAGTCGCCCACGAGAATCAGCAAGAGTGTCACTGTCTTCGAGCTCTGGCCAACCGCAAGATTCGAGAGTATCTGTTTGTGCTCGAGGAAGGCGGTCTCTAGAAGAACCCCAGTATTCATGAGTATCGGTTTCATTGCTCATCGCTGCTGCAATGACTGAATAGCCTTCAGGAACGGGCAGAGCAAAAGTAGTCTCAGTATCTGTGATTGGGGTGTCGTAAAATTCTTTGAACACGCCAACGCCAGAATCAAGGGAAAGTCCTCGGTGCCACCAGTCGGCAGGCATGCTGTCTTCCCATCTTTGATAGACAGATGTATCACTCCAATATAGAGTAAAGACAATGTTCTTATAGCCATTTGTGTCGGTGAAGCTGGATCGTATATGGTGTTGAGGCCCAAATGGGCTTTTGATTGCGCCACGGATTAGGTTGATGGCATGTGTCGGGTCACTCGACGGCATGAACTGGATGCCCAGGTCAATAGAAATAATGCTTTTGACAGCTTTTGGAAACCTTGCGGAATGTGAAGCTTGCTGGGGACCCCTGAAGCACGCAGGTTGATGAAGTGGCTGGGTGCGCTCGACCTGCAAGTACCTGGGGATCGCAGGTTCTAGGCAGCGTTGCTTCATTGTTCAAAAGCGATCCGTCAAAATATAAATATTAACTTCTATGATAAAAAGAGGACGGTCAGTTTGGTTTTCATAGTAAAGCGTGATGAGCAGAGTGTTGCTTTCGCCCGAAATTGATGTGGCTATGTTTGCAGTTAACTATCAGGACTCTTGACTGGCATTGACTTCTCGGACTTATGTTCCACCCCAAGCTTCCTAGCCTCAAAGGGGTTGAATATTAGTACTGCCCGAACTTGAAGAATGACCATCAGGAGTAGAATGAGAAGAGATGTGGGTGTCCCTTCGACCCCTCTCCAGACCCCCCGGCCCCATTATCTTGTTACCATTACTGTGAGATGTGACAGGAGCTATACGGCACAACAAACGGCATTTTACGAAAAGGGTTGTCAAAACCGAGGTAGAATAATCGTCTTCGGAGACTGTTGCGCTTCTTCGTTTTAGCGCCGGCCGCCGTGGACGCTGTTGACGCCGTTGACGCGGAGTGGGACAACCTTACAAGGACTACTAGAGTATGAGGCTATTGCTCTAGTCCATACCTATGACTTCTATACCCCACTTCAGTCATAGTAGTCCGTAGGACACGGCATAAAGGAGACCTTAGTTTTTAAGCACAAGAGTGAGGATCGGTTTCATAGAACGCAACTTGAAGTATTGCAGTAACCTTAAAACCCTTCCTCACTCATTAAACCATACTCGCGTCTGTCATACAGAACCCCTTCCTCCCAACCTAGCCATCATGGCTTCCACCAAGTCGCCTCATGCTGTATCTGCCGAAGCAAAGACCACTCGTATATACATTGTTCAGCGAGCCCCTCGCTTGCTCGATATAGAATTGGGCATCCAAACTGCAATTGAAGAGATTGCTGCAGCATCAAAGGCTGGCGCCAACCTGATTACATTTCCTGAGACATGGCTTGGCGGGTATCCCGCTTGGGTATTTGGTATGGCAGGCTGGAATGATGCCCATGCTCGCGAATGGTACAGAAAACTCGTCGAGTCGAGTACGACAGCCTCTGGCCCTCACATTTCGCGGATCAGAGACGCTGCAAAGGAGCACAATATCGAAGTCGCCCTCGGATTCAACGAACGATCGAGAGAAAATAGCGGGACCATTTACAATAGCGTGGCGCTGATAGGAAGCGACGGTACTCTGCTCGGTGTCCATCGGAAACTTACGCCTACTCACACAGAGCGCATCGTCTGGGCGGGTGGTGACGCTCGCGGCTTGCGAGCCCATAACACCCCGTCTGGAAGAATTGGGGCGGCAATTTGCTGGGAGCATTTCCATCCGCTGATCAGGCAAGCTCTTCACGAGGAGGACGAGCAGATTCACATCGCTCTGTGGCCCGACATGCCTTCGGCGCACCAGCTTGCTTCTCGGCAATATGCTTTTGAAGGAAGATGTTTTGTGGTGGCAGCGGCTACGTATTTGGACGCAGATGCTGTTCCAAAGGAGCTCCTCGAGGCATTTGAAAAGGGCGTTGGAACAAAGGACTTGTTTCCCGGCGGATCCGGGGTGATTGGTCCGGACGGTGAATATATTGTAGGTCCTGTGTTGGGTCCAGAACCGGTGGTGGTTGATGTCGATCTTTCACAGACGATTGCTTATAAACATGACCTTGATGTAGCAGGGCACTACAAGAGGCCGGACATCTTTCGACTTTCAATAAATAGAGAGGAGGCTCGCCTATAATGCTTTAACTAGATGGTATCGAACATAAACAATTACTTCAATTCCATCCAAAGACCTTTAAAGGCTCGATAGAATCTCACTGCGAGAATTCGTGTTGAATTACGGATTGTAAATGGAATGGCATTCCAATTCCTGTGGCTGCAAATGTGCCAATACTGACGTAAAATTATTGAATCCAAGATTTTCAAAACAATGCCAGCTGCCACCCCCGAGACGTGGCTACATTCCGCCAATCTATTCTTTTCCGGTCTACACGATGTTCCTCCTCCCTTCTCATTTTCCAGATCTCATCAAGTAATTCGACACAAGAATCAGCATTTTTGAAACTCCTCCACTTGTTCATCCCCACCAGACGGTTTCGAATGAGGGCAGTATAATGAGGATCATCAACTTCGGTACCTGCGGCAAACAAAGGAAAGAGCAATGAGCAGTCAACCTGAGAGCCCTCGGGTATAATCTCTGCATATTTACAGATGGATTCGATGTAGAACATGTTTCCTTCTGGTATTAGCTCTGAGATGAGATGTGGATGATACTTGCGCAGAACGGATTCGAGGTATACAAAGGCAGCACAACGGTATGTCTCACTCAGCAGAGCCAGATGCTCGGTGGAAGTCCCGGTAGGGGGACACTCCCACTTTCTCAGATCATTTGCAATGCTACCAGCTTTTTGTAGTAAGTGGTCGTACATCACCCCAGAGCTCTCAATAGATTCGGCACTCTCAACATTGAGGTCACTGATTTCGGTCAGTATGTAGATAACTTGAGACGCATAAGCACAGTAAGGGTCGGCCAAGGCATCATCAGATGCCCTCCAATATCCATCCGTTAACAGAGGCCGGCAGTTTAATGAGAAACTCATGAGGCTATTGTGATAGGCAAAGGTTCGGCGGAGCCACTTGCTTTCAAAGCTCATACTATCCGATAACGGGTCGCTGCGTTGACCTTCTTGGGGTTGTGACCTCAACAGCGGGTGGCCTTTAGATTGAATTGCCGCCGCTGCACCGGCAAGATGACTGGTCCAACTGCTACTGGTCCCATCTGTGATAGTTTCCATTGCGCACATGATCAAAGCGGCGGCAAGACACATGTCACTAGATAGACTGTCATTTTGTCCGAGGTGGAGGCTGAGAGCCGATAGAACGCGGCCACGGTGCTCCAGCGAGACATCGTTGTACCCTGGGTAGCACGTGGCAAGATAGGCGGATGACAATGCAGCGATGGCGTCAAGGAGAACAGGGTAATCGAAAGCCATTGGTAATAGAACTAGAGTAACGACACTAGTCAACATCCATAGTAAGTGGGTTTTTAGTCTGGAGACTTGATGTAAAAGGACCAACCAGAAAGGAAGCAATTATTCTCAGCGGTAGTCGACAGCATGGTAGCGAGATTCATGGTGTAATATCGTACCATGGCCCGGCGGCTGACACTCAAGTCTTGGCGATAACCCTCGTCCGGGCGAACTAGATCGAGAGGCTCATTGATACGTGCTCTTCCATGCTGCGGGACCCCGACCACAATCGGGGGACTGGTATCACTGCTGGCTCTTGCATCTGCCGCCATCACCCTTCCCGTTGAGGCAGTCGCAGGTACCCTTAGTTTCTGGGGGGGCTCATGTTCGCAAACCAGGTTCAGCCGTAGGCAGTGTCCGCAGACGGGTGATTGTTGGTCACACTTTTTCCTGCGTTGACGACATGTCAGGCACCCCCGGCGTTGCCGCGTGAAGGGCCGCTTGGTTCTTCTTGGTTGAGAAGACGTTGTAGCGGGGCCAAGAGACTCCTGAGATGCATGGGATTCCGGTGGGTTTTCTGCAGGCAACATTATGATTGCTAATGGGTTTCAAGGTCTAGGCCTGAGTGGTGAGCGTCAAGGGCGGCGGATCCAGCCTGGCGAAGAGGCAAATGTCGACCTGAAAGATTGAGAGTGGAGAAAGTCGGATATGTGCGTGTGTTAGACTCGATTGCTTTCAAGGACCTGAGAGTCAATCCCCTCTTGGACACTCTGTAGAAGGGCAGGATGAACATTGAGATTGTCAAAAGCGGGGGTGGGCCCGAGTCATGTTCAAGTTCAACTCAGATAAGTAAGTAATGCAAATGACAATTCGTTCATGCACGGCGTCAACGGCGTCAACGGCGCGGTGGGGCAGAGATGTGGGGTCAGACGACCAGGTCGGAACGCCACCTCGGAACTAGATACCACGTGCTAAGACATAAGAAATACACTGTTAATTTTATCAAATGGTACTGTTGTTTGATATTCTTAGAGCACCTCTTACTGTTCGTCGTCAAGGCTATATGTCGAAGTGTAGGCGTCAAGAGTTAGGCCGTCGAGTTTAGACTCGACATGTACATGTGGAGGAAGGGAACTAACCTGAATTCGGCAGTCCTAAACGGAGTTCTTATCACCTTTCTAAGACTAATGCGGCCACCACTATGGCGAAATTGATTCCCTCCCTCTTACAGTAGTCTTCACCCGGGGTAATGACTGGACCACGGCCATAATGCCATTCCCTTATCATGCGGGCCCAGATAATCAGTCCATGTACTAGTCAGTCCAGGGCTAGGTCCCTTTCTCGCAGACTCTTGCCCTCCGAACACAGGAGACATCGATCACTCCAGGAACGAGGTCTAGTACTCGATAGAACGCTTTATCAATTGAGGATGAAGTATCCAACTGATATTCATATAGAAAGACCCGGGGGAGGCGTTTCATTATAGTCTCAGCATACTGGTTTTCTTTTTTCAGATTGCTGGCTTCAGACAGAATATGACCTTCAAGACATTTATTCTTAACATCCTGTCCAAGGTCTAACATTGGCTTACGCGACACATCCTTCCACAACACAAGTTTCATCTTTATCCCAACTACATACCCAACAGTTCCGAAGCTACTACTTCACCATGGAGTCGACCGAGAATAAAAAAGAGAGCTCAGACCGAGTGTCTGTCGTCGGATGTCAGTCCCAGTTAGAGGGCAAATCCGAAACCCGAGAATTGGATGGCATGCACCTCAAGAAGCGCTTTTCGCTCATGTCCATGATTGCTTTTGGCTTCACTACCATGAACTCATGGGTAGCTTTCGCCTCAGGCCTTGCCGTACCTTTGGTATGCGGTGGAGGCCCAGTCCTCATCTACGGCCTACTGGTGAGTGGTGTCGTCACTTGCACCATCGCTGCTGGGTTCGCTGAGTTAGCTTCTGCGTTTCCCTCGGCAGGTGGGCAGTATCACATCGTGTTCATGGTCTTCCCTCAAAAGACACGCCATGTCGCTGCCTTCTTCACCGGATGGATCTCAGTCGTGTTCATTATGGCAGCTACGGCTTCATGCAGCTTCTTTGTCTGCGAGTTAATGCTGAATCTAATCTCTTTATGGATCGAGAGCTATGTTCTAGAGGCTTGGCATGTATATCTTCTGCATGTCCTTCTCTGTGGTGTTGCCTTTATATCTGCGTCGCGTTTCCCAGATGCCATTGGTCGAATTGGTATTGTGGCGCTCTGGCTCTCTATTGCTGGATTTATCGCCTCGCTGGCGACTCTGCTAGCCATCAGCGAGACTAAGCAGTCCAGTACGGCGGTCTTTACCAACTTTCAGAATGTGTCTGGTTGGGGGGATGGATGGGCTGCCGTCATTGGCATTGCAAGTTGCCTGTGGGCTTACTGTGGCATGGACGCGCCGACACACATATCTGAGGAAGTCCCCAATCCAAGTCGAAACGTTCCTATTGCCATTGGTGTCACATTGGGCTTGGGAATTGTCACAGTCGTCGTATGGAACATCTCCCTCTTATTTGTGGTCCCAGACATCCTGGCACTTATTGAATCCGGGATCCCGATTTTGGGAGTGTATGAAGTCGCGCTCAACTCGAGGGTAGCAACGACGATCTGGGCCGTTTACTACATTGTCTTGTTCTACAATATTGTTCTCAACCTCTTTATATTCTCAGGCCGAATGATCTGGTCACTCTCTCGCGACGGCGGTATCCCTTATTCCAGTTACTTCTCCCACCTCAGGTGGGCCAGTCCCGTCCGCGCCACTGCTATTATGTTTGTCCTGCAGATTCTCGTCGGCCTCCTCTACATTGCTTCCAGAACAGCTTATAGTAGCTTTGTCGGTCTAACATTGTTTGCTCTTAACATCACATTAATCCTCCCTCAAGCTGCTCTGTTGTTTGGAGGTCGCGAGTCATTGCCCAAGAGAGCTTTCTCCCTCGGAAGGTTCGGCTATGCCATCAATGCATTAGCGACGCTCTTTGGAGTTTTCTTCAATATAGTGCTGGCGTTTCCCATCAACTATCCTGTCACTGGGACTTCTATGAATTATTTGATCGTCGTCTTCGCGATTGGTCTTATTGTTACGATATTCGCTTGGTCCTCTGGCGTCGGAAAACGATTCACTGGCCCACAACTAAATGAATAAAGAATATTTTCTACAGCTCGTCTGACTTAAGGCAGAGTTAAGGACTGATATGGCTTACAATAGAGTTTTAAGCAATTGAATTCTCGAACTTGGGGCTAATTGAAATAAGAGGCAATTCATCAAATTGTCAGATATTAGGACTATTAAATCTTGATTCAGTGATATAGTAAATCTAAGAGTTATTTACTACAAGTAGAGCTTTACTGTAATCTATGTTAGGCCATCAGACAACCCATGCGTTTTTCTTAAAATACGACCAGTCTTTGAATTTAGGCTTTTCCATAGTCGGCCAGATAACATAATCCATAGACCATAACAGCAAACAGTACTCAAGTCCCATTCGTTGCCAGGCCAATGATTCCATTCTTCGACTTATTTCGAAACTTAAGCCGAGGACAGGAGACCAGGTCGGTAGGGGAGCGCACCATAGTCCAATGGCGGCTCTTCTTCCACGGGATCTCTTCCTTGATAGAGGAGCTGAAGGTTGCAAGGGTCCACGGGAAATCTTTCATCGGCTGATGTACGAATCAACTCTCCGTGACTTATGTCGTTGGTCCAAGTTGCGCCGCTGTTGACGCTGCCGGCAAATGGATTCTCCTCAAACCCAGATTGGACAGTCCACTCTCCATCCAAGCTATCAGCTGTGAACGAGCGAAAGTAGCGCCCGACACTACCAATAGCCTCGACAATCATAAGATACTTGTTTTGTCCTTGAAGAGAGTAGACTTGAACTGCTTCAAAAAGATTTTCCTTTGTATCGCTCAACACAATGGTAGATTCGGTACCGAAATTGCCAGGGAAATTTTCCAGTGCCATGCTTGCTCGATATACAACACCATTGTCGCCGCAGAAGAACAGGTACATGTTCACTCCGTCAGAAATCAGAGTTTGGTCGATAGGACCGGTATCAGAGTTGGCAATTGTACCAGTGAATAACGGCTCCGGAGCTGACCATGCACTCACGTCGGCCGGATTTTGTGAGGTCATGTAGGAGAAAGGGGAGTTTCCCCATTGGTACGCAAGAATCCATATGCCCTTGGGACTAAAGTAGAAGAGCGTAGGTGCGACAGTGGCGGGGCTCATGCCAGTTTGAGTAGCGCTGGCCATTTCTGAGAAGTCTGCGAAAGGAGTAAAACCAAGCGATCCAAAACCCTGGTCGTTGCTGTTGGTTGCATAGACGAGATGGTCACCGTCATATGGCGCTATGGTGAAATCCTTGAGGCTGAACCACCCTTCGGCTGGCTCAGCCAGCGCACCAGTTGACTGCCATCTATAAGTGGTGGGAAGATCACATGTGGCCGTAGTGGGAGTAATTGAGGCCAACATGATATATATTGTGGCCAAACAGGTCTTGGTCTTAAACATCGATGGATTCATGATTTGAAAAAGGGGAATGTATGGAAAAGGGAGTGTGGTTTGTGAGGAAGGCTGATATGCCAGCACTTGAATGTTCAAGGGGTTTCGACTTTTATCTTTGAAAATATCCTTTGAAATGATCATATGCCTGTTCTATGCAAATTCTCTTTTCGTTTTCAGATACTATTCCTAGACTTACCAATAGCGGTATGATGAATTTGAACGGCTAATATCCGACAATGCTATTCTCCCAAACCCGCCGGCAATATCAGCAACTGTGTGTCATATCCATTTTTCTTCTCGGCTGTAGGGTAGAGTTACTTTTACCCTTTATCCGCATTGTCTGGCCAGGACCCTTATTGGCTGCTCCAACCGCCCCAACAGGGCTATTACACTCAGGTCGCAGTGTGGGGAACTTGCATATGGGGTTGCGGAGAACCTGGAGACCGCGGAGACCGCATGATCCAGGGGTGATTGTTGATCATTATTACACCTAAGCTGGGGGATACCGGTTAAAGCAGTTCGTCAGTGATTAGTTCTGTCTCATTGGTGCGCGTCCAGTTGGATGCGGCATGTCATATTCAATGACAATTGCAAACTTGTTTTGCGCCTTGGAAGGGAAACCTTTAGGAACACGACTGTCTTCCAGGCCTCGAAATAAAAAGTCCAGGATTTGCAGACACCTCTTTGATTCGGTCAATCTATTCGCAAATCTATTTATTAGAACTAATCATGCTTCTGAAACAGCTGTTGGCTATCGGTAGCGGCCTCTTAATAGCCGCTGCACAAACATTCAGCAACCCCGTCATTTGGGAGGACCTACCAGACAACGAGGTCACTCGAGTTGATAATGCCTTTTACATGACTGCCTCTTCTTTCCATCTCTCCCCCGGTGCTCCCATCTCGCGTTCCTATGATTTGGTCAACTGGGAGCCAATCGGTCACTCTGTGCCAACACTGGACTTCGGGCCAAGTTACGATATGACGGATTCCCAAACAGCCTATGTAGCTGGGATCTGGGCTTCTACCCTCCGCCACCGCGATTTCGATAATAAATGGTACTTTCTTGCCTGTGTCGGGTTTTCCAAAACCTACATCTACGTTGCCGACGAGGCCGACGGCACTTGGACTCGCCATAGTACCATTGACCAGTGCTTCTACGACGCTGGCTTCCTCTTTGAAGGCGAGGCGGTTTACGTAGCTTACGGAAACACTAAAATCAATATAGCCCAACTGTCTACTGATTTGACATCAGTGGTTGCCAACGAGCTCGTGTTTGAGACTCCAACGGACATTGGCGCTCTTGAAGGTTCGAGGATGTACCACCGCGATGGCAACTACTACATCTTCGTAACTCGGCCACCAAATGCCCAATATACGCTGAAATCCTCGTCCCCCTGGGGCCCCTTTGAGTATCGCGTCTTGTGTGACAACATCGCCTTGACTTCAGTCCCTGGCGGGGGTGCTCCCCATCAGGGCAGTCTGGTAGATACTCCCGATGGTAATTGGTACTACATGGGTTTCACAGACATATATCCTGGAGGTCGAGCGCCCGTCCTGGCTCCGATCACTTGGGGTGAGGATGGCTTTCCAACTCTCGTGACGACCGACGGCGAATGGGGCGATTATCCATATCCGCTTCCAGAGGTCAAACAACCTGATACTCTAGGTCTGTACGAGTTCCAAGGTTCCGTCCTGGGGCCTCAGTGGCAGTGGAACCACAACCCCAACTCCGGCAGCTTTACTGTGAATAATGGGCTAGAGTTGAGGACAGCCACTGTCACGCAGGACATTTATCTAGCTCGCAATACACTGACCCATCGGATCAGGGGTCCTATTGGTACAGGCACCATCCATCTAGACTTTACCGGGATGGCTGACGGGGATCGTGCGGGACTGTCTCTTTTCCGAGACGACTCCGCTATGATCGGAATAGAGCGCGAGGGAGATTCATGGTCACTCGTAGCTCGGAGGTCCGTCATGGATGAAGGAAAGAAACAAGGGGAAAGTGTACAGGAATTGGCCCGCGTCGACAATATTGCTTTCCGTGAGGTGTGGCTCCGAGTTAGCGCCGACGTGCATCCAAACCGAATGGGCCAGGGCCTCCTCAGCTTCAGCGCGGATAACCTGAACTTCACCGAGTTGGCGAGATTTGATCTTCGGCGAACCTGGCCGTTCTTCCTGGGCTATAGGTACGGCATCTACAATTACGCTACGAAGGGGTTGGGCGGATTGGTTCGTGTTTCCTCCTTTCTCAATGAAGTGGCCAATCAGTAGGCCGTACAAACACGATAGATGAATTGAAGCAATCTTTTCCCTGAAGAGATTCTTATGTATTCGCGTCACATGGCGAGAATCAGTTGGTTTGATTGCTGTTCACTAATACCGAATGCAACATTATCTGGCGGCTGGTGCGTGTAAGGATTACGCTTGCCAGTGATCCGAGGTGTCTAATTGTTCATAGCGTCTAGTTACATTGGTTGTCAAGAGAATGAAGACGATAAAAAGATCCTCTGCGTACTCTGATACATATATAGGATTTCCTCCAAAATGTCGGTATACCCTATTACTTTCGGTTTTTGACAAGTGTGGTAAGGAGCTGTAGTTCAATTAGAACTCGTGTGTAAGACTGAATGTTCAAGAGGGTGTGACTTACCTCGAAAGTGAATTCGGCTGCCGCAATACCGGTGATCTCAGAGCTATCCATCCCAGGAAGTACCTCGACAACATCTACACCTACGATGTTCAATCCTGCTAGAGCTTCAATGATAATCTGAATCACCTCTCTCGGTGTCCAACCGCCTGACGCGGGACCGGCTGTACCTGGCGCGAAAGCGGGATCCAGCACATCCACATCCAACGACACGTATATAGGCTCATCATGGGGCACAGTGTCCCGAATGGTTTTTATGACCCCTTGAAGACCAGCCTGCTGTAGTATGGCACCGGCAGGGATGATCTTGAACCCCATATCCGCATCAAGGTCGAGGTCGGCCGCAGAGTCCAGCGTACTACGGATGCCCGCGTGGATCGAGGTCTTGCTAAGAAGCCCTTCCACACCAGCCCAGTAGTAAGGCGTGCCGTCAGCAAATTCTGACTGCTTGCTGGGAGAGCCATTGGATCCTGCAAACACTTTTGGAGACCAAGTATCAATGTGCGCGTCGATGTGTATCGCTGACATAGGTCCGTGAATTTTGTGTAGTGATCTGAGAATAGGAAGAGAGATACTATGATCACCACCTAGGGCGACGATTTGAGGATGCCTTCGTCCGGTCTGTTGAAAAAATCAGTGAAACAGGTCATGTCAGGGTATAATATGGTTAATCTTTGAGCCAACTTTACAATTTTTGACACAGCGCCACTCCGCTGGTTTTTTACTTCTTTGGTAAGCAGCCTGGAGGACCACTCCTCCATCTGAGCAAACGACAAGGCATTGTCAAAGGGAGAAATTGGGAAATCACCACAGTCCACAATGGAGAGATTCCGTGTAAATGGATTGATACCCTGCCGATAATTGTAATGCCCGCTGGCAATGACGATTTCCGTAATTAGTATATGTTGCCTTCAGCTACGTTTAGGACAGGACTTACGCTAGAGAAGCAGCGCGGGATCCTTGTCTGATGGCGTTGGGCCCAAACCGCGTCCCGGTACGATACGATGTGGCTGTATCAAAGGGAAAGCCAACAATCAAGATATCGTCAGCTGGGCCGTCTTCTAAGAGGCATTCTTTTGCTGGAAGTTGGGCGAATGTCGTGATTCCGGAGAACGCATATTTGGCATTTGGCTCCAAATCAAAGCCACTCTTTTGATGAGTCTCGCTAGCTACCAATGGCCATTGTTCGTTATTATCGCTTGCTGGTGCACAATAGGTCGATACAACGAAGAGGCCCAAGACTAATGGCATATGCATGATTGATAGTGGAGGTCTGATAACGTGGTGGAAGATTATGGTAGCAGGATCTCACGGAGAGGATAGTAGCTTTGGATTTACCTTTTGTAAGCAATGATGCGCGTTCTCTCACTTATAAGCGCTGGCCATACTCTTCTTAAACGCTACCATACAAATTGCTTCGTTTGGTCATTAGAATGATAGGCTATAGTTTTCTCTTTCGGAAAATGAAACGAGATAAGTCATCTGACCATGCCCAAGATCCCTGCAACTCAATGGCAAACTACCTCGTTTAAACTCTTTACTCCATAGGCTACAATTTCCTCGTCCAGGATCTAAAATCATAAACGACTACTAAGACCATTTTTTCAGGGTTTGTTGGAAGGGAAATGCAAACTCTGACGATTACCCGACCGTGTATTGCCAAGCTTCAATTTCCTAATTCACAGGCTATACCTTCCCCTTTGGGAATCATAAAACCGATAGAACTGGACAGACCTATTATAGCTGGCCAAACTTAATACTTCGTCCTGGACTTGTGAGTCAGCAAGAAATGAGTGGATGATCTGCATTACCACTATTACTCATAGCAGTAGAAAGATGCATCGGCCTTTTTGCTCTGAGCTCCTTGGCTTCAATATTGGGACGAACTTAGGAGTAGTATGGAGAGGCCAACACATGCATTTGTACCAGCCAATTTTAACATCACTATATCTGTCAAGAAGACATCTTATTATCTTCAACTCATGTATCTTATTTATTTAATCCAACTAGTCCGAGATCTCTCCAGATGCTTTGTTCACCAACTTGGTCCATGATAGACTTGATACACAGCCAGTTTGTAAAACCAGCAAAGCACCACTACCCGTGATGATTCCAGCCCATAGCCCGGTTAAGCGCCAACCAAGACGGAAGCAAAGCGCCCATGCTGTTGTCAACCCGACGCCGTAATAAGCCATGAAATTGCACATGCCAGAGAGATGGTTCATTCGCACGCCTCGTAAGATTCCTCCGGCACCCCCATTTGTAAGATCTAGAATCTGGAAAACAGCCATGAACGGAAGCACCTTTGCTGTGGTTTCCACCACTTCGGGGTCTGAAGTGAACAGATAGCCAAAGGAGTTTCGAAAAGACATAATCAATGCGAGCTCCAGGATGCCGAGGCAGGCTGCAAGCAGATATGATGACATGGCTGCGCGCCGTGCGAGTTGGATCTCTTTGGCACCTAGAGCCTTCCCTACTTGATGGCTGACTGCGACGCCTATACCTAAGGAAACTGTGGTGAAAATCAGATCTGCTGACATGAGGATCTGGGTTCGTGTAATTAGTACACGAACTGCACTCAGAATAGTAATATCACTTACACTTTGTGCACTGATCTCATTTGTCGACAAATTGGCAGCCATAATCGCTAGAATCTCAAAGCTATATGCTATTGTTAGTGTCATTTTATGAGGAGTAAGTCTTGGATCAATATCAGATGCTCTTACCTCCACCACTCTGTGGCAATCGTGAGAAGTCCAGTAATGGCCAACGAGGCGTTGGTTAACAAGCCGTGTGAGAACTGGCTCCATTGCCTCACTAATCGGATTGTCTTCAAGCCGCGTTCCTGTTTCAACAAGAGAAAGGACAAGAAGGCGATCGTAGCGAACTGATAGATGAAGAAAGCAACAGGCGCGCCGTGAATTCTAAGAGCAGTTGCATGAACAAAGACGAAATTTGCGCCCACACCAATCACTGTGGCAGCTAGGGCGGCCCATCCGACAGCATTGCTTTGACCTTGGACTTGTGCATACTTTTTGAGACACTCGACAATCATCTGGCTGTAACCAGCAGGGAGCATCCAGAGGAGAAACTTGCCTGTCCCTTCCGCTAGCCACGATTCTTGACCCAATATTAAGAACAAGCGGTTAGAGAATATCCAAATGGGAGTGATGAAGATCAAGAACAGAAGGCTTAATATGAACAAACTCTGCTGTAAGTGCTTGCCTAAAATTGTGGGCTGAGCCTTGAAGCTTGGCGAGGAGATTGCTTGGCCACACAACGTATCGAGTGCCGTTGCACCACCAATTGCGACCATGCTCCCAGTGCATGTGGCAAACATATATCCATAGGAGGCTATTCCAAGTTCGTGTGGGCCGAGGCGTCCGACAATGATGACACTAGCAGCTTGCACAATGTTTTGTAGAGCAAAGGACGCCGATATTGGCACGGTGGCCTTGAATAAATCCAGGGCTTCTCGATAGATGGTATGAGATGCTCTCCCTTGCGTTTGGTACCCATCTTCTCTTTGGTGAGAGAGAAGGGGAGATGTCTCATTATGCCGTGACATTATTGTAGAGATTGCGTCGAGGTGCTTTAGGCAGAGCAGGCTTCGAAATAATTGGGAACCAACTGTAAATCTATCACTCCAGGGAGAGAGGGAGAGAAGAGTGTGATGAAGTAACCGGGAAACGCGAAGAGACATGAAGAACAACACGGCATTAACCGATATATAGAGATGGGTCAAACGGGAGTGATGAAGTATACCAATCTGGTTTCTATCTGCCAGGGTCACGGATCAACACTGACAACGCTACGTCCCGTCCGTAAGCTATGATCAACTGAGTAAGTGGGATTGGCTCCAAGGCTAGTTAACCTCGCTTCCCTTGATCGAATCAGTCGTTGGATGAGCTAAACTCGAAGGGGAATGTATAGCCACTTCTAGTGCATAAGCCGATATCGGTACTTTAAGAAGAGATTCATAAAGCACAGGCTTGATCGTTGTTCCCTCAAGACCGAGTGAGGCAACTATAGTCTACTGATTTACAACAGCAATCACCCTGACCACGTTGCAGTGAGCCTTTGTCCGCCGCGTTTCTCAGCCTGGGCGATAGTCTACATCCCCCCATCCCAGCAGAAGCGTCATACGGGACTTTCCACCGCCAATGTCGGCAACACCGGCTCCAATCCGGAGATCTAGAAACGGCTGCCGAGAGTGCCGGAGGCGACACAGGCGTTGTGATGAGAACAAACCCACATGCACCTACTGTCGCAGCGTAGATCTTCGATGCGAATACACGCGGGAGCTATCCTGGGGTGGCCGACCCTTCAAGAAATCACGCTTCGGGCAATGTCTGGACAAGACCACGTCCAGAATTCGCAAGACACCAAGTGGACCAGCAGACACTTCGACCGACAATGTGCCTCGAACCACCCACGACGGCCGACATTCCCCTCGTGACCAGTTTGTCTATGTTTCTTCAAGCATCAATTGGAAGAGACAGCCTTCTGAGAGCCAAAAAGATGAGCAAGATAGGTACCGACATAGCACAACCGACCTAAATTTGACTAGTGAATACTCACCTCTCACTGTCTTTGACCACGCGCAAGCTCTCAACTCCAGCCCACATTGCCACTTAAACATATTTCCAGACATCAACATATCTAGCGATCAAATCAGCATCTTAGTGGACTACTTTCGGCACGAGACGTCTAAGTCACTTTCATGCCATGAAGACATGCAACGAGAGATATGCTCAACGATCGTTCCCATGGCCATGGGTAGTCAGCAACTCATGGCCGCTATGCTTTGCGTCGCGTCTAGCCACCGGCTGTCGGTGGGCCTAGAGCAAACAGAAGTGAATGTCTTTAAGCTGCACGCCGTATCCGCAAGGCTTCTTCAAGGCGCTATTTGTTGTGCGACAAGGCCAGAAGTCCTTGTTATGGCTTTGGCTACGAGCCTCGTGCTCTGCCTTAGCAATATCGTGTCCTCGAGCAGCCATAGTCAAGAGTGGGGAGTCCATCTGAAAGGAACTTCGGCTCTTATAAAGCGACTGGACGAGTCTCGCTACAAGTTTGAAAAGTCTACTCGCGTGTTGCTACGGTTCTATACGTCTTTGACGGCCATTGCCGCCAGTCGCGGTATACTGAGCGATGTCCCACTATATGCAGTCCAGTCCGACGGTGGCATGCAAGACTACATCGATGACCTTGCGGGGTTTTCCACCTCTCTAAAGCCAATCATCGATGCTATGCAGACCCTTGACCGATCGCATGGGCGGACGGAGGCAGGATCAACCGACACACATTCCCACCATGGGCCCTCCGCTACTGAATCATATCTGGATCTTGTCACAAAGGTTAACGCCATGATTCAACTGCGGACGCTTCAGTTTAGACCAGAAATAACAGACTCCCTTTCCGACGCAACCAAATTGGATTTCTGGCTACTTGATGAGGCATATCATCACATGGTTTTGTTACAACTGTACAACCGCATGGATTGTGCCGACATTTCCCTGCAATATTCTATCGGCTTTTCTGTCAAGAGAATCATATCATGTATCGGCAGCATGGAGATTGTAGCTCGGCCATGCCCCGGTGTTGCAACTCTGCCTCCTTTGTTTGAAGCTGGCTGTTCAGCCATCGCCGCCGAAGACAGGACAGAAATTGCAAGATTGCTTGAGCATATCCGAACTTGCTTTGGCATGGGTAACGTGGCTTGCACAACAGAATTTCTCTGGAATCGATGGGGCATTCCGGCCAACCATAACCGGACACAAGAAAGAAAAACCGTCACAGCTGCCTTCCTCCCCTACTGAACGTGGATTAGATCGTTTCTGGCTGGCTCATCCTCAAATGGTAAAATGGAAGTAGCAGTAGCGCTTACTCATGTTAGATGAAGGTTCAGTTTCCATCTGTTTGGCTCAGCCAAAATAAGAACAATTAACCTACAAATTTCTCCAGCACAAATAGCAAGAAAAGATATCAAATATTCATTTGGCTACATATCTTTGTCATGTACCTTGTTCCAAAGTGCATAAAATACTTCTTTTTTGAGACCAGCACCTTCATCAGTTGCTGCAATCATCTGGCTGACCTCTTCTGACCGCTTCTCCTCAAATTCGAAGTAACGTTGGTTGAGCCCGAATCTTTCCAAGAGATTTTTAATAGCGGTCCTCTTAGCTTGGTCCTTAGAACCAAAGTTCCTCTCGAGAATTTCTTTCTGGGGTGGACTTGCGCTCTCTAGAGCTTGACAAAGGAGCCAGGAATGTTTATGGTTTCTGATATCTGCACCTTGGTTTCCCATTTTCTCAGGCGAGCCAAAGTATTCCAAGTAATCATTCTGGACTTGGAAATACTCTCCAATTGACAGAGTAATCTTTCTTGCGTGCTCAAGATTTATTTCAGTTGCTTTTCCAACAAAATGAAGCGCAACAGCAACAGGGAGATAAAACGAGTAGTAGACAGTTTTGTTGGTGACGATGTAGTTGTACAGCGGCAAAGACGATGAATCTAATCGGCTCCTTGCACTTTCATTTGAAGCACCAACAAATTGGTCACAGAGCTGTCCAATCTCTGTATGCCAGCTTGTTTCGACAAAGAGTTCGACTAGATCCACGTAGGCCGGGTGGGATCTAAACAGAACTTTCAAAAGATAGTATATGCTCGTCTTTAGTATCATGGAATCGTTGATGGCTGTAAGGCCAATTCCTTTCTGCAAATGCCAACATGGCTTGCCTCGTCGGCTGATGCTGCCGTTAATAATATCATCAGACATTAGAAACGAAGCCCGAAGCAGTTCCACTATCCAACCGAGAGCTGCTGCCTGTTTATATTGTTCCCTGCCAAGGGTTGCACCGATGAGAACGGAGACGGTACTGGGAACAACCATGCCGCTATCGTATGTTCCGCCGAGGAGGTTGCTTTCTAGATTCTTCAACCGTACGAAGGTTAGCTATACCTCTTAAGAATAGATATTCCCTCATCTTCTAATCAGTCTTACAGCCTTTAATATTTCGAGGTCTCCTGGAGGCAGATTGTAGAACCTAGCATGGTCGAGGAGGAGCTCCTTGAGATCTGGATATATTGCTTCAAATTGGGCAAATTGGGCTTTGTCGATCTGCTGTCGTTGTGCCATATTTGCATTAAGGCATGGCCGTTGGAAAATATGAATGCAAGATGAGGGTAGAATAAATAAACGAAGGACATCAGTAGAGTACCTCTCAGTGATTTCTATTCCTAAGCCTATATCAATCAGGCAATAATGTTCTCAAAACCATACCCGGGGAATCCCGAGTTTGCAACAAAGCCGCAGTTGTGGGTAGCCATAGATTGCATGAGCGCTTTGCGTTCCCATGAGCTTGGGTACTTATGAGAGCAACACTTCTACTTCAGATCTATCCCCCCACAATGTCCACCACGGCACGTTCGGCATCCTTGTACATAAAAAGCTCTTAGGCTATATCAAGAAGTAGAATTATAAGTTGATAAAAAGCCCGTCTGATAAGCGTTCGTTGGTAAATGATGGTGTTTAGTAGGCTATACTTTCCCAATTAGGCAACGGGCGCTGGGTCTTGTCACCAACTTTTGAGTAGTCGGTTGTGATTTGATTAGATAGGAAAACCAATAGTGAGGCCTGAGGCCCAGAATATGCTCTCATTCGTTCTAGAGACATCTTTCGTTTTGCTGTAAGCACGAGAAAGAGCAGCTATAAGATAGTCAACCACCCTGTGATAAATGATACCTGCAATCAGGCCTTAACACATACGAGATAACTTTATACCTATGTTAAGAAAACGTCAGTCGTTAGAACAAGATGCCTCAATCAGTTATTCGAACATGCAATGATACGGTCAAAGGCAACAACACCGAGATGCGAATGACTTCAACGGGACATTGTGAAGGTGTGCAGTCTATCCCTGCACAAGACGCACAATCGGATCAACCACTTCAGAAGAACTTCAGCCTAGTCTCACTGGCCGGTATTGGACTTGTAGTTGGAAACGTTTGGCCTGCACTAGCGGGTTCACTTGCCGCGTCTATCTTTAATGGTGGTCCTCCTGGAGCCATCTATGAATTCCTCACTGTTTCACTCTGCTATTTTTCGGTCGGGGCAGTAATTGCAGAGCTTTCTTCGTCGCTGCCTTCTTCAGCCGGTGTTCACCTCTGGGCGTCTGTTCTGGCAGGGCCAAAGTATGGCAGATTGGTCGGGTATTTTGCCGGCTATTGGAACTGTCTTGCTTGGATAATCGCAGCAGCATCCGTCTCCTCAATTGCCAGTATGTATTGCCAACTTTTTTGAATTGCTCGCTATACTGAACATTGGCGAGGCAACCTTTGCGTCGAAATTTATGCCTATTTACATCCCACATACCAGATTGAGCGATGGTAAGCCTATGTTCTTTCTTAGACCAATGAGGTAGCCTGAAGTAACGAAACTATAGGCACACGCTCGTCGGATACCTACTGCTCAACTGGCTCGCATGCGCGCTTGTTACCATGGCTAACAAGGTAGTGCCACGACTTAATATTGTGGGACTGGTAGTCCTTCTTATCGGCGGATTGACCACTATTGTTGTTTGTGCCGCCATGATGGACACGGATTCTGGACCAACTAAGAATTCATCCGTTTGGACCGACTGGGAAGCGGACATTGGCTACCCAGACGGATTCGTTTTCGTGGCCGGTATGCTCAATGGCGCATTTGCGATGGGAACACCCGACGCAACTGTCCACCTTGCTGAAGAGATCCCTTTCCCTGAGCTAAATGTCCCCAAAGCCATTGCCGCTCAATACATCCTTGGGTTTCTCTCGGCTTTCGCATACTTGATTGCTGTTCTTTATTCCATTAGAGACTACAGCGCCATTCTTACCGCTTCCTTTCCCATTGCCGAGATCTACTCTCAAGCAACACGGAGGTCTGACATCGGAACCACAGCACTCCTGATCATAATGCTCATGTCTACAATCCTATGCACCATTAGCCTACACGTTACCTTCGGCCGGACGCTTTGGACTTTAGCGCGAGTGAATGCCACACCCTTCGCGAAGACTCTTGGCAAAGTGAGTGCATCTAGGCATATGCCTGTAGCTGCTACTGTGACAGGCACAGTCGTGGTGAGCCTGATTGGCGTTATATATCTCTTCAGCACTTCAGCTTTCAATAGTTTCGTGGCTAGCTTTATCCTGCTGTCCTCTTCATCGTATATTGCGGCAGCAGTGCCGTATCTGCTACAGCGCTGGAATGGCAAATTCGTGCCAGGCCCATTCTTCATTCGAGGAGCACTTGGGTACGCTGTTCACATCTTTGCATGTGCATACATGGTGGTTTGGTTTGTCATTTACTGTTTCCCTTACTCGTTGCCGACGGATGCCGAGAGCATGAACTACACGTCCCTGATCTGGGGTGGCACCACCGCTCTTACTGGGCTCTGGTGGTTATTAGATGCCAGAAGGACATGTGAATGGCCGATGAGAATCGAAAGTTGTTAGTTTAGCATTCTTGAGTATCAACCTTTGTGTGGGGGATCTTTGGTAGTTAGACTGTTGGTGGTCACGTTGATCCGGCATCAGTGTTTCGAATCATTCTAAGCTCTGCGTAGTTAGCGACTGCGAATAAAAATACTTCTTCGGCTTATCACGGCTCGTTTCGGGGAGGAAAAGAAAAGAAGATACAAGCTAGCCCTGCATTACTCATTTGAAATGGCTTGCGTATACTGGGGAGCCGCGCAATGCCGTTTCGGCTACAGGAGCCAATCTACCTGCCATATACGGTAGGGACAAAGCCGAAGCCGAAGCCGTCTTCGTCACCGTGACTCACGCCGACAATCATATTTCAAGGTGTTGCACACAACCAAATCAGTCTTTTTTCCTTTCTTCCTACTAATTATTTCGAAACAATTGCGAGTAATTGCAAACAAATTGTTAATTGTTTACTCTGTTAAAGATGGCCGATATAGAACTTAGCAAGGACGACATTGAGCGTCATGTCTACGTCTGGGCCGCCATCCGTGAATACGTCGTCGAGCGGCAACCATCCGGTAATATTGCCTGTCTACGCACCGACCGGCCCGCGGGGACGTGGGAGTATGTCGGGTTCGAGCCTACAAAGCAGGAGTTTGACGCAACCGTCGACGCCGTGCTCAAAAACAAGAACCATTTCCTCACAGTCATTGGCAAGGACATGACCCAGTACCGGGAAATGGCTACCACGTATGGGATCGACATCCTCGCGCAAGAAGCGCTCATGACGGTGGACCTGTCTGGCCTATCGGCCGATTCGTCAACAGCAACCTCGTTTGTCAAGGAGATTGAGGCCAAGGACATGGGTATCGCGACGAGGTGCCGGCTTACGGTGAAAACGACCGAGGAACAAGGCAGCAAGCTGGCGGCGTCAGGACAAGTCGGCATTCAAAGAGACATGGCCGTCTTCGATAGAATCAAGACGGAGGAGGATATGCGACGGAAAGGGCTGGGGTCGCTCATTATGCGCTCGCTAGGCGCAGAGGCGCATTCAAGAGGTGCAAAGACGGGTTGGTTAATTGCTACGCCAGAGGGACAATTTCTATATAACCATCTGGGCTGGAAGCATAGTTACTGGGTTTTGGTTCTGGGTGACAAGAATGCTATTGAAAATCCATAGACGAGTAGAGGCAGATTGTTCTAGGGTTTATATATAGAATGCCAGCGAGAATGCAAAATATGATGGGTCTAATAGGACGCACAGCGAAGGAACGTGTTTTAATTATTACCCACGGAAAGCTATTCCCTAACAGAAGCTAACGAGCAAGATTAAGAGTAAAAAGTCGGAAGATGACAGACTCGATGAGAGTAAAATCGTGCTACATAAGCAAGTGTAGTTAAAGTTACCATTCGCCCCTTCATGGCTTCCATCCTCCTGTGCGTTCACGAAACAAGCCATTAGGATCATACTTTTGCGACGTCCTTTTGGCCAGGGCTGCATTTTCCGGCTTCAGTCTACCAAAGTAATCCTGGCGGTAGAAGCCGTAGTTCATGAACAGTGGTAAATACACCCCGCTGGCTAAAGTTCCATCTTGCTGCCATCCAAGAACCCTGTTGCGCACACCCGTATATGTCGCTTCCATGATATCTGCCATGGTATCGTATGGTCCAGGGAGGAAACTGTAGTTCATCTCAATGATCAGCTTGTCGGCATCAGGCTCTGCAGCGATGAGATCGTCGCTGCGCTGGAGAGCTTGCTGGGCGATGCGCTTAGGAAATGGCTGGTATGCAATAGATGCGACGATTCCTGGGACGGCAAGGACGGATTGAGACATGGAACGCCAGTGGGCATGGATGCTGTCAAAGAACTTGTCGCTGTTCTGTTCCGAGGGTAGAGGGACAGTCTCCGTAGCAATTTGAACAGTCGAGCCCTCCACAATGACCCAGTTGCTTCCTGCCATAAGACTGGCGTACGACTGGGTTCTGAGAGTATTCAGTATAGGATTGGCTTCGGTGAAATTCTGGAAGATGCCCTGCGGTGGGCTAGGACCGTCGTAAAAGAGGAACAGAATCCACGAGTCAACCAAATTTAAGTTGGTGCGCTCAGCTGTGACAATGACTGCAGCCTTGTCATCGGTGTTATATTCAGTAAAGTCGCGCACAGCCTTGAGTAGCTTCTTGTCTGTTTTCTCAGTCCGCGCGTAGACCAAATTGCCTCCGTATATATCACCTTGTCGGTAGGTTTGGAGCAGATAGGATGTCACAATACCGAAATTATTACCGCCGCCCTTGAGAGCTTTGAAAAGATCTTCATGTTCCGTCGCTGAGGCGGTGGCAATAGAGCCGTCGGCTAAGACGACCTCGTAGGCGAGCACACTGGAGGCTGACCAGCCATATTGTGCAGACATGTAAGACAGACCACCTCCAAGGATTAAGCCACCCACTCCGGTATTGCCAATACGTCCGCCTACAAACGTCCAGCCAGTGCCGTCAAGCTTAGCAGATATGCCATCAAGCCTGTTGCCGGGGCCAACTTTGGCGACACCCGTCTGTTGGTCAAGTTCAACGTGGTCGAGCTTCGCTGTAGATATGAGGGGTCCGTTTTCAACAGATGAGAAGTAGTTGTTCGGGTTATGGCCACCAGACTTGACGGCAAAGTCCTCGTCAGTATCCTTGAGGATTCTCACAATGGCGGCAGCCTCCTCTGCGGACTTTGGGAACATGATACATGATGGCTTGATTAGACTGCATGTCTCAGACCAGTACTCATTTTGCTCGCTCGTATATGCCAAGGTGAGGGGACGAGCAACTTGGATGGTCCCAAGAGCCTCAACAGACGTGCAAGTATCAGCTCTAGCAAGCGCTATGAACAGTACCACAGGCAAAGCACTGAGGGTACGCATTTTTGAAGTCTTCTGTGTCGGATCAGGCAATATAGTGGAATAAAATGTATATACTTTGACTTTAAGTGTGCTATATGGATACAGCCATGGGCATATTTTAGTCTCTTTATAGAAATGCCGATAGAAGGAAGTCCCTGAAAATGTTTGACCGCCACTCAAACCTGTATTTTCTCTCCCATTAGGCTAAGGTCTAGGCGTATGTGCATTGAGGAATGATCCTGCATGCAGCATAGCTCTAATATAATGCATAAGCGAGCCTGTCAAACACATGACCCATTGGACAGAGATCCTTCTATGGCTGTGTCATAACTAAATGTACCAATCACACGGAACGAAATCCAAATAAGTAAAGCCTACAACTAGATTTTGCGTATACCAGTTAAGCGAGGTTGTCTTTCCCGTAACCTCGTTGGACAAGCCTAGGTCGATTGATTATTCCGAAATCGTGGTTTTGGCGCTCAATCGGCCTGCATGTCGTCAGCGGCTTGCCTTGGCGTGCGTTGAGCCCGCATAGACCTTCAAGCGAGGGCGATGTATGGAATATCAAGAAGGATCATGTGGTAAATGATGGTAAAGTTAGGGTTAGTGCGGAGGCCCGGCCCGGCAGACGACAAGGTTGGACGTTGGTGAGCCGGGATGCTCTTCAATAGCGTACTATTACCCCCGATATTAAGTGGGCATCTTACTGAAATCACTCACTGCCTATTCCAATTTCCCGGATGCTGGCTGGGTATGTCAAGATTAGGAAACGTGGACCACTGACCGGCAGGTTGCCACCCTTACTGAAATCACTCGATGGGGTGATCGACCCTAGCTAAAGCCCTTTTTGGGATTTGATCCCTGCCCTTTCCGGGGAGCTGGACTGATTCAGAAGCTGAATGTGTAGCTTAGACCTAACCCTTGTCCCGAGATAATGATTTGAATTCAATAGCTTGATCCTTAAGACAAGAAATAATTCTTCAAAGGTAACAATGCCCTAATAATAAACCTTATCGGGCCTTTTTGAAGTATAGCGGGAGGCAACCGACGTACGTCATTGAACTACAGGAGAGCTGAACCATAGTAATGCATCGGTGACAGACTCCCGGCCCTGGATAGGCCCAGCATCATTGGAGAATAAACGAGGTCTCGTGACGATCTACAGAGTGGGTAATAGGGAGATAGTCAGAATAACCGACTACATGTAATAAGCGAAGATATATCGACGGTGCTTTAAGCAAGTAAAGAGCCATAAGAGAGGTGTTGGTTGGGAATCAGAATGGAGTCACGAGAGCTTCTTACAGTCAATGAGCAAGCAGGTTGATGCTTATCTGAAATCTAGCGTTCCCTGGCTGATCTTCAGGGGCAGCCTTAGTAACCAATGCTACTGCACAATCCTAAAATAGTTTTGCTACACTTTAGGCCATGTACCTGCTTTAAGTCACTGAATCTAGCGTCTCATGCTATTAAATAATGAATTGTTCACTTTACATATAAGACGCAATATTGCTAAGAAAGTAGATTTCTATTAAACGAGTAGACCTTAAAGAGTTTCTTCATAGTCGTTGGCCTGTATCTAGAGGTCTTGCTTGTCTATATCATGCTACATCAAGCTGCGGCGTGCACATCATGTCTCGGACTAGATCGATCCCACGTAGTCGATACAGGGACTTGGAATTTAAGAGAACTATACTGTATGGTATTCTGCTTCTAAAATCGACACTATTATCTGGAAAGCTTACAACGTGCGTGCGCTTTTTGATCTTGAGTATCCTGTAATCCCAAAAATTACAGTAGTTCCACACCACCGTTTACATTGTCCTATTAATGCAATCAAGCCTGCTTCACATTGGCCAAGCACTCCAACAGAGCAACTTTCTCCCTCTGCAAAGCTGACTCCAGGGAGTTGAAGGGGATGCCGAATTTAGCCTGGACTGCTTTTGTGCGCTCTGGACCATGCTTGAGGTCTCGAGTATTGATCCAAGCATGAAATTTGTGCAATCCAACAGTTTTACTCGCCTCTTCCATTTCTAGCTCGGTCCGCTTCCTCGCTTTAATATCCTTACCGCTGACTTTCTTCAAAATCTCTCCCGCCTCCACAGGGGTCAGGAATTCGTTAGCGAGGTCGATCTCCTCTCCACCAAATTTCTTAGGATCCTGTAGCGCCGCTGCTGCGTACTTCCCGATATCACATGCATCCGTGTGAGCAATCACAACTCCATCATTCAGCGAATGAAGCAATATTCCATCCACTGGAAGCGTAGGATAGTTCATATGCACACTCGGCAGTAGGTAGTCAAAGTGAATGAATGACGGTCGAAGGATAGTGTAAGCCTGAAACCCAGCCTCGCGAACAATATCCTCGACTAAGGCTTTAGACTGGTAATAACCGTGCAAGCCAATCTCTTTGGTGACAGTGTTGTCCCATAGGGCCTTGTCCCCAGTATTGAAAGTTGTCGATGCGACAATGGTTTCCACGCCCGCCTTCTTGCACGCTTCGACAACACTTGTAGCTTGTTGCGCCTCAAGCCCTGGAGGATAGGGGAACGTATTCAGGAAAGCGCCTGTGCAACCTTGCGCAGCTTTGAAAACGGCTTCAGAATCGGTGCTTTCTCCTTTGAACACCGTGACGTTGGCCTCGTTCAAAATCGCTGGAAGCTTTTCGTGGTTTCGAACCACAGCATGGACACTGGCACCTGCCGCAAGTAGGTGTCTGATGGTCCATTGGCTCTGTCGGCCAGTAGCTTGCGTGATAAGGTAGGTGCTCATGATGAGGATTGTTCGCGTAGACTTTTGTGTTGCAGTGGGTTAATGGAAGGTGTGACAGTGTAGATGATGGAATCGAGGATTCAGCAACCAAATCGGGGCTGGGCAACGGATTGAATATATAGGCGATGAATCACGAAAAGGCCGTGGCCTCTAATGGTATCTATGTGTCGATAACTTTAGAAAGCAGCCCCCTGCATGCATGCACATTCTGCAGATGATACAGCTCATGGCGGAACGTTTCAAAGCAGGCCATCATGTTCGCCGCCCAAGAGCCCAGAATGCCGAATACCGTTTTCTGCAATGAGAAATGCGATCACAATACCATGATTGGATGACAAATTCAAGATTGCCTGGAGGAAAGTTGCTTTTGGTGGAGAACCACTATATATAGCTTCAAGATTAATAATTAACCCGGAGAAAACTTGCCTTGGGGATTATGACTAATAATGGCCCTGGCAACTTATGTCCGACAAATTCTCAGGCTTTGAGGATTCTTCTCACCATTTCAAAAGCTCGGATCTAGGATCGGTTCTGCAATGAATAACCAGACGAAGACGGCAAAGGCGGCAAAGAGGGCATGTTGGACATGTAGAGGTTGGTGGATAGCCTGGGCCCTTAAGCCTACGTCTCACGGGATCTTGAACTAACCACAGGGTCAGCTCGAAAAACGCCATGTGACCGCATACTCCCTACATGCCAAAGATGTTCCCAGCTCAAACGTCAATGCGAAGGATATGGAATGCGGTTGTCATGGCCGGCGAGTGGGAACAACAAACGCGCCATCATTGGACCGTCGCCGACAATCATGAGCGGAGACGGCAGCCAAGGAGCCGATATCCATGTCATCAACACCTACTTGAATGACGTCGAATGGTTTTACTACATCTCCCAACAAAGTACAATGCAACACCGGACTTGTACAGTCTGGCCAGTTCTGGACTTATACGCTCAGCCTCAGCCAAAAGTAGAGCACAAAGAACTAGTTGATTATTGTATGTTGAGGATACCCTTCCATATTGCTAATGGAAGAAATATCTCACAGCTTACACATGGTAGTTCAAACAGCTGCTCATCGCTCGTTAATTACATTTGCTGTTGACACATCACCTATTCGAGATTCAGTACTCCGCATGGCCCTTGCTCGCGATGCTCATTCAGGGCTAGCTATCTTCTACGCGATACTTGCCATCTCCTCACTTTGTCGAAGAGGTCTTCACCAAGAAGCCGTTCAATACAAACTTGCTGCAATCCACGTTCTATTTGAATATGTGAAGGGTGGGAGTATAGGTCCGGCCGATGCTGCCCAACATGTTGCTGCATGCATGCTTCTGGCCGCCTTTGAGGTGCGTTCAAAAGATTTTGAGAAAAAATTCGGATACGAAGTAACAGCTCTGTTTACTCAGATTATTACTCCACATGAGAGTTCTGGAGAGTGGCTTAGATATGTACGAATGGCTGCTGACCTTATCCAACGAAATCAACTCGAAGTGCATCTAGCTGCAGACGATGTTAGAAATGTCCTTGACTGGGCTCATTACCAATCTGCACTCTCCAAATTTACCACGGCCCACACGAAAGGCGCTACCGTGAAACCGAACAGCTTTGAGTCGGATGATCCCGATATCATAGCAATTTCACAATTACCTACGGTAAGCAAGAGACCGTGCACATGTCGAGTATTACTTCCAACTGTCGCCTAATACCCAAATTCAGATACTTGACTATCCCAGCTCACGAACCAAAATTCTCAACTTGCTTTCTACTACATTTGACACCATTATCGATCCAAGAAGTCAGTTAGGCCAAAGCGAAGGCTACAAAGATCGACTCGTAAATCTTAAGAGAATCATCCAGGCCTTCCCCGTCACTCCGCTATATAACAACACAAGCCCCTGTCCGAAAACTACAGAGCTTTACAGAATTGTCACGATAATTTACCTGTACCGTGCATCACAGGGCTTCCTCCAATTCTCGGAAGAGATTGAATCTCTGACCAACAGGGCGTATTCCATGCCCAACGAATGGCCATGTTGCTTTCACTTCTTTCCCGTACTCATACTGTCTTGTGAAGCGCGGACAGAAGAAAGAAGACTCTGGATTCTCCGCCTTCTGAAAAGGTCCAGCCACGGGCCCCGTGGACGAGAATTGCAGGCGCTGAGGATCGCCGTCCAGTCTTTATGGGTCCAGCAAGATCTTCACGCCGACAGCGATGTATTGATAAATTATTATGGTCTGATTAGCTCTGTCGTGAGCTCTTCAAGTTCACTTACACCATTTGTATAGTTCCAATAGCAACATTCCCCTCCTACAGCTGAGGCGGTGGACTTTGTGCCCTAAGATTGATTTTCATACCGGAGATGGCGAAAAGTGTGACAGGGATAATTCCAAGTGGAATCGCTAGAAGACTTCAATATTCTATTACTAATGAGGAGGTCCATGGATAGGTTATCTATTCACTGAATGGGGAAATATATCACGTGAAATATCCCGTGATCTAAGTTTCATCGCGTCATATGAAGGTTTTGATGTTTTGATTGCGGAGGTACGGAATGACGCGAACGGCGGCGCGGGTCGCGTTGTGGACATTATCGTCGCGGACCGTGGCATGGTCGCGAAACTAGCTACCCTACACCTCGCAGCAATTCTCCCAAACTTATCATAACAATAATAGTAAAAGAAGTCCCTTCCTTGTGAGGAAAAATTATTACAGTAGTGGCATAATCTCTATTTTCTCCCTCTCTGATTATGTCGACGGAAGTTGTTTGCTATTTGTTGAAAGTAATTACTTTATGTCTAGTAAGGAGCTCCCAACAACCTAAACTAAAGGTTAACCTCAAATGTTAAGTGTAGTGTCTCGAAATGCAGACCTCGCAAACATCAGCTTCCTAATCTACTGCTTGTGCATGGCTTCCCTTCTAATATCAATAAATTTAAATGATAAGACCTTGAAGAAGAGAACAATAAGCGACTAGATTTCCGTGTTTTAAACAATCAACCCTTACCACAGCCCTGATGCCACGATGGAAGCAGAGCACCCTGTGGGCTTACGCATAGGGGTTAGTGACGCCAAGGTTCATGAAACATGATCGGCACATGCCGTCGTAATCTTAATCGTTATGCTAAAACCCCTTTCTAAATCCCATAATGGACGTATTGTGCCCAATTAAGTGGCATTGTTATGTCATCGGCCCGGACGACCATCAACGCCTCTCTAAGAGCGCACGCAACCTTCCCATTGTTCCACTTGCGCCGGTCCTGAGCAAAAAGGGAGGAATAGAAGAGCCTCGCCACCTCTACGCACACCCTGTCATTCGACGGCCAGAGGCAGCCAACCACATGAGAGAAGCCTGCTACGTGAAAGCCGCTCACCACGTGAATCACCTCGTCCGACAGGTTCTCTACCTTGTTCTGTGCTGTTGAGCACGCGGATAGATAGGCGAGCTTGGCATGCTTCAGGTCCATTTCCGAGATCATTTTGACGGTGAGCCTGTCTTGGATGAGCCTAGCAGTTTCGCGACATCCATCCTGCTCGTCGACGGTGGAAACTTGTCCTTGCCGCTGGAGTATGAGGCCACTGTTTGACGGGTCCACAGGATCCGTCGTTCCATGGCAAGCAAAGTGAGCAACTGAGCATCCCTCAAGATGGGACAACACCTGGTCGACACTGGGCTGCATCATGCCCTCTCCTGGCATATGCCCCTTGCTGAGTTTAATAACGTTTTCCATTTCTTCGTTGACACCGGGTAAACTTGGTGGTGTCTTGCCACCGGCAGGGGGTGTTGTCGGCATCGTCACTGCAAGGAGCGCGTCGCTTGACGTCTCGCAGCCCTGTTCCTTCCATTGGGCATGGGCGAGAGCCTTGATGGAGGGCGTATATGACGAGATTGTCTGGTGGTACGCAGTCTCTGTCGAGTCGGGATCATGGATACCTGCTGCATGAAAAGGCATTGAGCTGGCGAGCCCACTCCCGATCCACCACACTCTAAAGGGCTCGCATGCCGTAGGCTCGTGCAGAGCACGCAGAGCATCCAGAACCACTTTAACGCAGGTCTTCCAGAGCCAGGATAGATAAATGGCGTATTCTTTATTCTTCCTTGCCCGTTCTGCCCTCCGACCGGTCCAAGATGTGTTGAGCCATGTTGTCGCCTCAGCTGCTGATAGGTCCGGGAGATGAATTCTCTTGATGGCAGCAGGCGAAACAATAATGGCATCGCTGCGCAACTCTGTAATATTGATGATCACGATGCTACCTTCCCTAGCGCACCTCTTCATCTGCTCTGTTGTCTGGCTGCGCAAGAAACGCTCATAGCCTGGAATCTTTCTAATCTTGGTTATGCAGTCGTTTAGATCAGAGATGGACTGTATACGCTCTTGCCGTGCTCGATCTCCTGCCGTTCCCTGTTCTTGGGTACGTATTGGGGAGTTGACCTTGTTTCTGAGCTTCTCATACCGTCGAGCGAGTTTGGGTTTTTTCGTCGCCCAACCAGCTATATCACTCCGGCCATCCATCAGCTGGCCCAGAATGACTGCCCGGCCTTGTTCAAGATGGAGCAGAGCATCCTTGACCTTGCCCATTGCTAGTAATAGTGCGCACGTGTTCGCGGCTATACCTGCAAAAGTCGACACAACATACTGCTGATCGGTGCGGTTAAGGAGTTTCGTGTTGACCAAAGGGAGCAGGCCGATGGCTCCTGTGCCAATCTTGGCGGCGGCCTTTGCTTTGCCTTGGAGGACGAGCAGCCTGATGCAGTGAGTAGCCGACCTGATGCGATGAAACGGGATAGCCGATGGAGTCTCCCAAGCCTCGATGAAGGAGTCGCAGGCCTCCTTGAGGTCGTCAGGCGACCCGGTTTGTTCGTGTCGTCTCTCAAGCCTGTGCCCCCGGTTGTTTAAGTAGCCCGGGCGGTCTGGATGATCTTTGGGTATGGCCGCAACTGCCCGCTGAGCCAGATCAATCGCCTCATCGAGGTCTTCCATCACTCCTGTTCGGTCATATCGGCTCGCAAGCTTGCTCCCTAAGTTATTTAAGCGGCCCAAATGGTCAAGATGATTTATAGGCATGGCTGTGGCTACGGTTGCCTGTCTAGACGCATCAATTGCTGCTTCTAGGTCGCTCATTTCTTTGGTGTGCTCATATAGGCTCTCGAGGTTGTCTCCCAGGTTATCCAAGTACTTCGCACGTTCTGGATGATCAGGGGCTGCGGCTTCGATTGCGCGCCGAGCCAAGTCAATCGCTTCCTGGAGGTCATTCATCTCTCCCGTCCGCTCATAGCGACGCTCAAGCTTGTTTGATAAATTATTCAAATAGCTTGCATAAAAGAGGTGATTGGCAGGCGTATTTGCAACAGCTTGCCGTGTCACGCCAATCGCCTCCTCCAAGTCGTCCATTGTCCCCAGTTGCCTATACCGACTTTCGAGCATTATCCCTAGGTTGCTCAACCAACCTGCGTGGTCTGGATGGCCTTGGGGAACTGCTTTAAGTAGTTTTCGAGCCGTACGGATTGCTCTTTCGCTATCAGCGACCTCTCCGGTTCGGTTGAAACGACGGCTCAGTCTGCTTGCTAGACTATTCAGGTAGCTTGGGTAATCCGGGTGGTCTTTACATGTCACTGCAACTGCTTGTCGGGCCATATCAATTGCTTCGTCAAGATCGTGCATCGCATCGTTTTTCTCGTATCGAAGAACGAGTTTGTTTCCCAGGTTGACAAGACATGCTATTCGGTCCGAGCCATTGCCTGACGCAACTGCAACGGCCTGCTGGGATGCATCGATGGCTTCCTCGAGGTGCTTCATTGAACCGGTAGTTTTATACCAACACTCAAGAATATTCCCTAGGTGATTCAAACAACCCACACGATCAGGATGGCCATCAGGCGTAGCCGCGACCGCTGTTTTAGCTAAATCCGCCGCTACCTCAAGGTCGGTCAGCGCCGTAGTTTGTGTATATAAACAATAGAACCTTCTAGCTAAGTTATTCAAGCAGGTGATATGAGGCAGGCGATTACTAGACGTGGCAGCGGCTGCTTGTCGACCCACAGTGATGGCTTCCTCGAGATCATCCATCACTTTGGTTCGTTCGAACCGGGTCTCGAGCACCATCCCCAAGTTGTTCAGCCTGCCAGCGCGGTTCGGATGCTGGACCGGCGTGGCTGCGACTGCCTGCCGAGCGGCGTCGACTGCTCCATCGAGGTCATCCACCATTCCAGTCCGCTTATAATAGTCCTCGAGGTAATTCGCCAGGTTGCTCAACCTGCCCGCACGGTCTGGGTGGTCATCCGGCGTGATCAGGGCTGACTGTTGAGCCGCACTAACGGCTTCTCTAAGATCGCTGATGACCCCAGTCCGCTGATATCGGCTTTCCAGCATGATTGCCAGGTTGCTCAATCTGCCTGCACGATTTGGATCATTATTTGCGGTATTGGCGACGGCCTGCTGGGCACTGATGACTGCCGTGTCGACATGGTCGATTTGACCGGTACGCCTGTAAGCACCATAGGAATCCAGCGTGATCCGCGACAGGAAGGCGGGTAGATCTCCCTCAAAAATCTTGTGCTGTCGCGGTGAGTTGCTGGACTCCATCTTTGCCCAGCCCAGCCACTTCTGCAGTGGAAGGACTGTTTATAGCGTGGTGGCTGTTTTTCTATGGCTACAGTTGCAGGACTTCAATTGAGCATGAGCATAGAATAAATGGCGCAATGTCCGGACCTCGACTCCAAATTATTAATTAGGTAGCTACACGTATGCTGATGGCCAGTGGCTTATTTGCCACGCTGCGTTGTCATGCAGAGCAGGGGCACGGCACTGTGCGAGTTCACCACACACTCGATCCTGGATATTTCTCGCATAAGGTATTTGACATCTCATCCTAGATGCACCCACCTTCTCTATTCTTCTCGGAATCTCATTGCTTTCTAAATTCCTCCCCTGCTCACGACTCGCAATATGTCACTCAACGTCATTATCCCAGATCTCTTGTTACCGCAAGACTCTGTCAGGCTGGGACGTTTCATCACGAACATTGATCATCCACACCAGGGATATCACGACCCCTCATGGACTGAAGCACCAAAGCCCATAATAACCCTCCGCGAAGCATTCACCGGGTCCAACACTAAAGAAAACGACATTGGATTCACATCTGCACTCACGTCCCTTCTGTCAGTGGGATTCGCCAGGCGAGCCAAGGTAGAGGTGGAGATTACCACGGACCATGTCAGAACCTATATGCTCGATAACTCGGACGAGTGGTTCGTCAAGGCCACCGACTTTCTGGCGACCAAGACCTGGATCGAGAGACAGGTGGACCGTGACAACGACATGTTCATGATTGTGGGCTTCCACACTGTCACGAATGCCCGCATTGCCCAGCAGATCGTTTCCGGAACAAATACCCACGGCAAGACTCACGTCCCCACCGGCCTCTCGCTGGCTGCGTTAGGTCCTCTGGGGAGCGTTTTCAAGCCTTCGATACAGGCCAGCAATGACCGAACTGACAACGTGCGTACCGCTTTCACGGCGCCTGGCGAACAGATTTGCGCTCTCCAGTATCGCAAGATCCAGCATCGGTGGTTGTCCAGCAAGACTTTTGACGCCTTGCGGCTCTCCAAATCCCCCCGCTGGACATCCGTTGAGCGGGGTAGGGATGAGGAAGACGATGAAGACGATACTATTGAAGTCGAGTCTGTGCCAATGCCGGAGGAGACTCTTAATGGAAAATGGGACAGAATTAATGTGTCTGGGAATGAGACTCTTTTGATACGCATCGAGGCTGAATGAAAATCTCTCTCGCGTCGGCTATCAAAGCGTGCGTGGTGTGTGATCAAAGGAAGCCTTACATTGTACACGAACCCTCGATCACAGCGCACCATCGCCTGCCATTATATCCCAAGGGTAAATTTAATTTGGCTTTCTTCGCGGAGACCGGATTAGGATAGAGCAAATCGTAGCCGACTATTGTATTTATCGACCCTATGAGACCAATTCTCCCAGTCGTAACAAACTCTACCACTACTACCGTTACAACTGGATTTTGCAGCAGTGGCCCTTTGGTGCGATCAAGAACCTATTATCCATTTCCATCATCTCATCGTTCATCTCATCGTTGAGCTTGGCTCCACGACATTCACGGAAGAATAGCGCTGCTCCAAGTCGTAGTTCCATCCAGGCTAGATGAAGTCCGATGCAGATGCGAGAGCCTGCACCAAAAGGCGACATGGCTGTCTTTTGAATCGCTGTCATCTGTGACTTGTTTATAAATCTGTAGCCATCGAACCTGCCGAATATTAGAATACAGATAAAGGGCTAGCGTGGCAGGGCTGGAAGAAGAAATGCGTACTTCTGTGCGTCTCGAAAGACGGTAGAGTCGCGATGAAGAGTGTAGGCTTGCGTACTAACGATCACCCCCGAGGGAATGAAATAGCCACACACTGATAGCCCCTTTTCAGGGACAATACGTGGAAGCGCGCCTGGTGCGGCACCATACAACCGCAGGGTTTCCTCAATGACACTATTCAGAAGCGGAGCATTCTTCAGTTCTTCCGAAGTCAGGTCGGGACTCAGATCACCAACTTCGTGCTCCAACGCGGCCTGAAGCTGAGGTTGCTTAAGAATTGCCCAGATAAGGTACGTCAAAGTAACTGCCGTGGTATCAGAGCCGGCGACTATCAGATTCCCTGCCTCAGTTCGAACGGCGATATCCGTTATTTCTGTCTTTTCTTGGCCATCGGCCTGGCCAAGCATCTGACTAAATAGATTCGCTGTGCTTAATCCATCCCTAGCGCTGCGCATATTCCGCACGGCTATAGCGCCATGGTCAAAGACGACGTTGTCGGCATTCATTATGTTTTTGATGCGTTCGAAAGGAAGCTGTCTTAGGATTGGATAGATCCAAGATAGCTCGTTTCGTACTACTCCGCAGAGGAGGGCAGCTTGAATTGCGTCAATGTAAGGTGTTTGCTTGAAAATTGTCAGATCGCAGATTTGTAATGGTCAACTAGAAGGGCCATACCTTGCCTGATTCTAGCATGCGGAATGATTCTCCAAACGAAAGGTGAGCAATAACATCAGTCGCCATGAGAGTCCACCACTTTAGAATATCGGCGCTACCAGCCTGCGCGTCCTCTTTGATCTTGACCACGGCGAGCTCAGCTTTCTGTCTGATGTCGGGCTCCCAGTGCGTCGTAAGCGAGTTGTTGCTAAAGGCACGGGCAAAGAGTCGTCTCCGGGCAGCATGCTGATGCGGATTGCGCATGAAAAAAATACCAGGCTCCCGGCCGAATCTGAGCTTATCATACCAAGCAGACTTGATGAATCCGGAGCCGATCTTGTGAATCTGGGAAAAAGCCTCGAGGTCGCTAATGGCTACTTCGTCGGGGGATAGCCGAACGACAGTGCCGTATTTTCTGTGTAGGGAGTCGACATAATGGATGCGTCTACCAGCTAATATGTACCCTTTGAGCACGATGGAGGTGAAATGACTATACCATGGTCCGGGAATACTACGTAGAGGTGATTTAATTGCTAAGAAGACCGCGTACGGTGCTGTGAGGATAATGAGTGCGCCTACTAAGAAGGGCAGAGAAACCGTGCCAGTAAGACCCATTCTCATAGCTTGATCCAGTAGATTTGAGTGGAGGTTAATAGGGAACAGTTGTGTGATTCGAGCGTCAACTTGAGGGTGACAAGCAAAGTGGCAGAGACGGGGCTTCTTGATTGAAAAAGCTGTCAGTGTGTGGAGCAGGGCTTTTGATTGCAAAGTAATCGGCATGTGGAGGAGAGCTTCTTGGTCGTATAAGTTGTCGGCATGTGGAGGAGGGTATTAGGAGTAACCCGAAAGTTGTTATGGAGCGAACATGTAATAATGCATCTCGGAAGCAGCACAATATACATGAAAGATTTCAAACAGTTAAAATCTCTTTATCCAAATATATCATTGAATTAAAATTATAGTTGAAATAGTATAAGATCTTGGTAAATCATGCTTGAGATAATCCTTGTTTCATCTCTACCCCCTCTATATTATTCAGTGCGCGCCCAATAAGCTCTTGCGTATCTTCGTCTGAGATATTCTGCCCATTCTCGATGCTAAAACACTCTGCATCGTTGTTATTATCCTCAGCAGAAGAAGCTGCCGTGGTCGAATGAGAGTGACTATTTCATCCACGGCACTAGCTGCAGAAACGTCGTTCTTGGTCACCATATTGATGATAACCCGACCCTCTGGGTCAAAGTAAAGCTATGCAGCATTAGCTCACGGCGTGCTTGATCTGCGACGAAATTGAAGTGACGCACATTATCAAATTGGGTCACCGATGTCGCAGGTGCTATTGTAGCGGCTGTATTCACCATTATAGTACCTAGGTTTGATAAAACGGTTACCAATAAAGCGGTAAGAAGCGGCACCACTGCTACACCATGGAAAAGATGTAGACTGAGTGAATCTTGATGAATGAAATCAGCATCTGCCGGCGGTGATCAGGTGGAGCCGGCTGCTGTTTGGTTCAGGTTTGTTGATTACTCAGATCACTCACTTCATGTCTCGTTCGATTGAACAAGATACCACTCATACAACTAAACTAATTAAAACCACGCGAGAAATCATCTAAAAGCACTGAATCAGATCGTATCTCTGCGACATATAATATCCGCGATAGATACATGCCCACCCTTGCTGATTTTATCAACTACAAGCAGAGTTAGGAGTGGACTTTAGTAAGTCCTTTTATACCTGACTAATGACACAATGATGTCCTGATAGGCGTTGACCGAGGAATCGCAGATGAGTACTGGTCTGATATATGAGCCGGTATCGCTTTAGTTTACTACTCCTTCTCGATGGAAGAGATGACATACGACCGGCCAGAGGAATCATCTGTGCTGGCTATAACAACGGAGGTTGTTGAAGATAACACCAATGGATGCGGAAGCAACAGGCGATATCAGATAAAAGATGGGACAGATGGGTGATGACTCAACGGATATTGAAAAGGGATAGGTTGAGCATACAAACCCTTACTGGCAGAACCCGAGTATCTGGCCTCCATCAAGGCCCAACCGCCTCCGACCCATTACGTGCAGGCCACTCCGATTTCTGAGCTATCCTATTATTATCCACGCCAGCTTCATGTACGTTGCTAATGGACTCATCTAGTTGAGCATTCCAATACAGAATCGACTGCAAGGATTCCACACTCAAAGAATTATAGCTTTTCGACCGCCGGCGTAGCTCTTGTCTACCTCAGTGGCACCCAACACGACGACACCAATCAACCCTTACCATCATACTTACTGACCTTGACCCTTTTATTCTGACCTGGTCATATGTCGCCACCCTTTGTCTCGGCCAAGTCAGCTACCAGCGTCGCCAAGACAATGCCGAGAAACTGAAGGACTTGGTTAGTCAGGAAAACAGCGGATCAGCGCAACAGAGGCCGTTACATATCACAAGGATCCAGACACTAACCTTGGGACCTTCCTTTCAGGTTATGCCAAGAAGTAATATTACCTCTTGGCGAGATAAGGCCACAGTCTTACCATGTGCTTCGTCACCATTCGCCGTTAGTAAATGAGGGCACACCTTGGCAATGACCTTGTCTGTTCCCTTCCACACTGGGGTCAGCGCTAGATAACCCCGCACACCAAACCTTGTTTTGCCCGGATAAGCTTAAATTAGTCTGATCCTTACGCTTATGGACGTTCCACCGCGTTTCTTTGGAAGCCCATATAGCCACTTGGGTAGGACTCCCCTCTCTGCCCATTTTGTTTCTTCCTCTTATTCTTTCCGTACCGCTCTCTGTGAGATTTCCACCTGGTCACGCCTCTCGACGTGGTAACTAAGTTTTTCTTAGCCTTCATAGCTATCAACTACTCTTGCCGTTACCAATTAAGCGAGAAAGATGGCTGACTCCAGAACGAGCGCTACTGAAGTCGTCGACGACAAGAAAATCCATCATCGGTCATCCTCTACACCTCCCCAAGAGCAAGCACCCACTCTTGACTTAACCACTAGTGCTGAGGATGAGGACATCAAGAAGGCGTGGTATAAGAGATGGCTGGAACCTGGCCACGTGTCGCAAATCATTGTCGCTGCCGCGATTGCTCTAGGCATCGGCCTGGGTGTTTCAGCTGGTGTTGGGTCAGACAACATCCCTGAAGCTGCTATCGTGATTCTTGAGATCCCTGGGCGTCTCTGGCTTCGTGCCCTGCAGGCCGCTGGTAAGGGAGCCCTCAAATACCCCCAATCATCTGTGTACTGACCTTGCTGACATTTGAGAATAAGTGATTCCAATGATCGTGTGCGCCATGATTCTTGCCATACAGTCTCTACGCGAGATAACCAGTGGCGGCAAGGTACTTGGCCGGTGGACTGTAGGCTACTATGTACTTACAACCGTCTTCGCCATCGCCTTCTCCATTGTTATGACCAGTCAAGTCTGGGCTCCCTTGATGCAGGTGTCAGATGTCGAAGACCCTGACAAGCCTAATAAGGCCTGGACAGACGGTTCGGATCGTAAGCCGCATGATATCGTCCAGACGCTCTTCGACACCCTTGTCCCCTCCAATGTGTTCGGCGCATTCGCCAACAACGAGCTTCTATCTGTGCTGGTGGTAGCAATCGTTGTCGGATACCTGATCAAGCCGGGGAATTCGTCTATCTTACATGCTGTCAACGAGGTCAATGACATGATTGCTAGGATCATCGCATTCCTCATCAAGATAGCCCCCATTGGTGTGTTTCATCTGATTCTGCCCAACATGTTCAAATTGGATATTAAAGAAGTTGGCACCAACCTGGGCATCCTCATTGGCGGCTCTATCAGCTCGATGTTGATTCATCTCTGGGTTCTCCTTCCTATCATTTATTTCGCCTTTGTTCGCAAGAACCCGTACCCTGTTTGGTTGAAGTCATCCAAAGCCTGGATTACTGCTTGGGGCACAGCCTCATCCGCAGGTACCATGCCACTGACTCTTCGCGTTTGTCGCGAGCGAGGCAACCCTGACGTTGTCGTTGACTTTGCTGTACCATTGGGAACCCTAATTAACATGGACGGAACGTCCATTTATTTTCCTATGGTTGTCGTCTTCCTCGCCGAAACATCAGGAAAGTCGCTGAATCCTGGCGAGTACATCCTCTTAGTGCTTCTGTCAACTCTTTGCGCTATCGGTACTACGCCTATTCCATCCTCTTCCCTCGTTCTGACTGTTATGATTGCTACTTCCCTTGGTATTGATAACCAGGGTATGTTTGGAGTTGTCGTGGCCATCGACTGGTTCATCGACCGCTTCCGCACTATGGTCAACGTCTCAGGCGATATCTTCGCTTGCGGTATCCTCACAAAGGTTACTGGCCTTCGGGATCCTGAGCCCGTTATCCACGACGAAGTTGTTCAGGTACCGAGCAACACTATTCGAAGTAATGATGATCGTGTCTGAATGCTTCAAGAGCAGGTGTCGAGTTGAGAGATAATGAGGACTAGTTACTATCTGGCTGGATATTCTACCAAGGCCTCAATGCCATTGCAAGGCATTCAAAGATGCAATATGTATTCAAGCTTGCAATTTATTCTATATGTAGAGGGGATCTTTCTGTTTCTGCCATGAGCTTTGATTTAGCTATTCTACAACCAACAGATACTAGTCGAGGTTAAACATCAGCTTCTAGCTCGTATTATATTCCAACCTAAACTGATCCGAGAAAGGAAAACAGTGCCGAGGAATTTAAGACATTAAATTATATATTTTTAGTCTTAAATAAGTACTTTTTATTAGTTTATTTTACTTATTTCGCGGTATAGTGAACTTCAACCACTTATTTACTTATTTGCTTATTTAACCACGAAAAACTGAACATCCAACTGGATTATGTAATATTAAAATTAGATATCTGAGAAGCTTCTATCTATCGCGAATTATAAGTATAGACAGTTGTGGATATGCTTTTAGTTGCTCCCAGCTCACTGCGTCAAAATTTAAGCCTAATTCACCCCGAAGGTTATCTGGAAATTCGCAATGCTGCCATTCGAGGTTGCCTTGTAGTCCGGCTAACCGTGCAGCTGCCTCATACAACGATTTCTTTAGATGATAGGCTTCAAACTCAATAGTTTGACCAAACCTGACATCTTTGGGCGGATGAAAGACCGCTTTGAACACAAATCCCGCGTCACCTGGAAGTCTATCCTGGTAGATGTCTTCGAGACCAGTCATTGCCCATACTTTTGAATTGTGATGGATAATGAAATTATACACATCCTCCACGGGATGCATGCAGACACCGACAAAAACGCCACCATGTCTGAGGTTTTTGCGAATAGTCGAAAACATGCATACTAGTTCCTTGAAGTCTTTTGCATAATTTAAGAACCATACACCAGCAATCAAATCATATGATTGAGGCTTGGGGCCATACACCGTAGGCTTTAGACCGTCTCTTTGAAAGAACTCCACTATGGAAGCATAGCGGCTGTTCCTTATACGAGCCTTGGCTCCTGCGAGCATAGTAGTGGAAACATCTACTGCAGTAACAGTTGTGGCACCCCACTCCGCCAGGAGTTCTGTGTAGAAACCAGTTCCACATCCGAGATCCAAGACATTTGTATTTGGCTTGGTTAGAAGTGGCTGAATATGTTTCTTGAAGTTGAAAAGCTCAAGCCGGCCCCAAGGCGTATATTTGACGGCATTATACTTGAGCCCAATATTGTCGTAAAGAGACATTGAAGTTGCACCGAAAATTTTGGACGTGGGAAGGATAGTAACGAGGAACAGTGTTAGAGTCTAATATTGTCTCACTCAGTCTCTGGTGGCAGTGCTTGCCTTTAAGACTTCACAAGATCCTAGTAGAAGTGACATTTACGTGTAGCTACACCTTCCCCAGCTGGAAACGAAACTAGACTATTAGCGGAGATCCTTAGATGAACGATCCTGTTGGATGCCATCGAATAGTAGCCGGCCCGAAGTTTCCGTGATGCTGAAATGATGCTGAAATCATAAGAGAGTTACTACTGGTTGAAATACGGATCCTGGAAGTGGATTTATTGTTTTGAGATGCTAACCGATACTGCCGTACTAAATGAGAACTAGACTAGCAGCTAATTTACGGCCATCCAATTGAGAGCGGATAAGACACCCTTCGCTATTATGCAAATCTCTTCGAATCCTTCGTCGCCCTCAGCATCTACCCTTGACTAATTCAAGGATCACTCGACAGAGCACGGAAAGGGATGTTGGGCTTTTGAGAGATTTGTACAAATTCTGCGATAATGGCCTACTTCGCAATCATTATAGGAGTAAGGAACTCTCCGGTCAACCGTGATAGTCTTGGCTAATGGTAACTGGAGAACCAGACGGTAATATAGCACGATGCTATCGAACGTGCTGTTTCTGATAGTAAGCAAGAACCTGCCTCAAATTATAACCCACGGTTAACCACGTAAAGCTGAATGGCTCTTCAATTTTCGATCTAAGATGGTTATTTTCGAGACCCCGTGCCGAACTTCGCTCGCTAAAGGTTCGAGTTGGTGGTGGAGAATTCCATGGTTGTATTCTGCAAATAGCTCTTGCCATCTTACTTAGGGCTTTATAGTTAAATCAAATTGGAAATATATCGTTTACTCTTGGTTGATATCTAAAGTTTTGCTATCCAGCCGCTTTATGCATCGCTACTTATAACTCCTCTAATAAACTGTATGGCCGGTTCCGTTTCCGACCAAGAATACCACGAGTGCCGAAAAACAAGCACAGCCTCTTCTCGTGAACCCGGGGTGTAAATCGTTGGCACACTGTAAGCGAACAGGGCCGGGTTCGCAATGCCTGGCCAGAAGTGTGGATTTTTCCCCTTGACCAATCTGTAGAGCTGTAGCACCTGGCGCCGTAGCTCGGCGATTGTTTCCTCGTAGTTGTCTTGCGCAACAACGTCCGGCCGTTTCAGAAGTACATCGCTCATCGCCTCCTCCTGCAGGTGGTCATATCTCGCTTCCCCTGTCGCATTAGGGTTGCTTTGCAAGAGTGCCTGGAGAGACTGTAAGTCCTTCATTAAACGAATCTTAATAAGAGTCAAGGCTATGAGGAAAGATAGGTTGGCGTGGTGGGGGTTCTCGTTGACAGCCTCAAACGTATCCTCTCCATGCATGTCTAGATACGGCAAGCTCATGTCGCGCCAGTTGTAGTTCGAGTCGCCTCTGTCGGCATACCATTTGATGAAGTCGTATGCATCTTGGTCCCTCCCAAGGCGGAGATACAGCGCAGGAACATGGGAGCGAACACCCAAATTGTCGCCCCTGCAGAGGCGAAGCAGATCGAGGGAATGATCGAGGGCGATTTCGACTGCTTCGCCAGTGCGAACATTAAGGATGGCAGTGATATAGTCAAAGCGAGCTTGCATATAAGGGCGAGTGCTCTGGAAAAACCAGAAAAGGCCCACGACGTTGTCGAAAGGGTTCCCGTCCGTGTCCGCGCCAGGGTTGGCCCGCAGCTTTGCCTCTTCCTCTGCCATCCTGTCTCTTGTTTGTTTGATTGGGATGCATTGGACCTTGTGTCTGCGTCGGTCGGTTTTCTGGTGCGCCTGTCCGCAATACTTGACGGCATGGCATCCACCACAGCGAAGGAGGCTGGAGCTTTGAAATCCAACCAGGCATGGGGGAGACGGGAGGCTACAATTGCCGTAGTGAAGGCCTAGATTCATACGAGGCATCCTGATCTTGGTGGGTATGTAAGTAGAGGTAGGCGTGAGTGGCAAGCTGTGGATTGTGTGAAATTTTGCACGAAGTAAGCATAAGGTTAGTGGCCGACTTACAGGCGGTGAGGCCGTGCTTTATACATGTGGGTCGTGCTGGCCTATAAGGGAGAGAGAGGCAGTTTTTTTCCCTCTCTTGATAGAAATATAATACTGTTGGAGGATATTTTATTTTTTCTACTATATAATATAATTAATCTAGATTATCAATAGTTTAATATATTTATATACTAAACTGTTTTATATATTAATAATATTTATTTAAATTATTATTTATTTTTTACTCTTAATTAAATATAACTAAATATAATTTTATAAAAATATTTTAAATATTTAAGAAATAAATATTTAATATATCTACTAAAGAGACTGAAGGAGATTACAAGCTAATTCCTTTTATACTACTTTTGGTATATCTAATTTCCCTAGATAAAGAAAGACGAACGGTAGATTTAAACGGACTAGAATAACACCAAAGCATATATAACCAAGGTTAACTCTAGGCAGCTTCCTTATCCTATAGCTCCTCATTCAGAGCCCACTGGAGGCTGGATCCGTCAAATCTATGAGGATGAGCTGTTAGATGATCCGCTAGGACGGGTTTGGATTGTCTGAGAATCGCTCCATCGCCACCAATCGCCTGTGCAGTGATCAGGGTTCCCTTGGTGTCGGACTCCTCATTGAAAGTCACACGGGTTTCGAAACCCTCCCGCTTCACGTCACCTAGAAGACGGGACTCGCCCCCTGTTTGATGGGCGTAGAAGCGCCACGTGAATGTCTCGGTATCTCCATTCCAGGATACGTAGATATCCAGTGTTCCGCTGTCAGATACTGTGGCAGTCACGGCTGGCTCCTCGGCTGGTTTACCGACCCAAGGCAGCCTCCATCCCCGATAGCTCTGAGCAAAGCGATTAGGCTTCGAATCAAGGTAGCTGTGGAAGAGGACCTTGCCGTCATTTCTGAACTCGGTCACGGCTCCCGCTTGGCCCCAGTTGACAAATATGTTGCCATTTTTCAGAGGCTGGACGCTACCTTGCGTGTGGGCAGACAGACCATCGGGGGCTTCATATGTTCTGATGGCTCGGGCAGTTGATGTGCGGTGGTTCAACTCATAGATACGCGCACGAGACGTGGGATGGGTCTTGTTGATGGGTGCGGAGTGAGCGCCATTGTCGAAGAGGGAAATGATCTCAATGTTGCCATCATCAGAACGGCCACGGAATCGTGCGTGATGTTGAAAGGCGAAAATATCTTCTTCCTCCAGCGCAAAATCGGAGCCACCTTGGTAACCTCCAAGCTGCCAGATCACATTGCCACTTGTGCCATTGATTTTCAGCACAGCTGCCAGGTTACGAGCTGAGATGAGGTAGTTGCCCTCGTTGTCCTTGTCAACACTATTGATGTGGAAATAATTCCAAGCGTCCGTTTCATTCCTACCTGAGCCGGGGATTCCAGGTCCAAAGTTGAGCGGGAACGCACTCTCTACGTTGACATTGTCAGCCTCATAGATTCGACAAGTAACTGTTGAAGACTCACTCTTGGGATCGACGTGATCGAGACTCTGCCACTCAAACAAGACATCACCCGTCTCGATATCAAGCTCTGGATCGACAATCAGTAATGAATGTAGCTTATAGTTGTACCTTAAAACTTGCCTTGAAAGCCACCTGAGACAATCCAGTTCTGGTCTTTGCTGCCGCCCCAAGGGCTCAAAGATACAACAACCGGAGTAGGTGTTTCCACGAGGACGGTCTTGCCCTCAATCAGCTTGAACTCGTGCGCTGATACCAGACGATGGTTTCCGACCTGAACCTTTTTGGCGAGCTCATAGTCGTCTCCCAGTAGGGTGTGGAAGCCATACATGCGGCCATGGGGGCCGTCAAGCCGACCCTGGAATGCCCTGAGGTATGGCTTGCCACCCCATGTATCCGGCCTGAAGTTGGCCACCCAGCCAGCATGGTAGCCAACGCCAGACCAGACTAGCTCTCCGTCATCGCGGAAAATGTAGGCACCTGGCTGAGTTGGCCCGTGCGATCCTTCTTCGAAGCCAAGGTACGGGGCAACAAAGATGAGGCCCTCTCCCACCTCTTCAGGACGAGCCGGGACTGTGATATTGAGCTTTGGCACAGCGAGCTCTGGGCGGGTGACGAAGCGGCTGTCAGCAGCGACCAAAGCGCCCAGTGCAGTCAGGCATGGGACCAAACACAAAGAAGGGTGCTTCATTTTGACCTTCTGGAAAGTGGTCCTGAGCAACAAATGATGAGTTTTGCCAAAGAGCAAGTTGGCTCGTTTTGGAATTCGGGAGCGGCCGATTGTGATTTAAGTCAAGCCAATCTCTCTATTAGACGCGGCCTAACAATGAACGAGGTATAAGTATAGCGTACAGATGAAACGGTATTTCACCATTCTTCCCGTTCCCGAAGGTAAAAAAAAGGCGAGCTGATGTTGTGATGATGAATGCTACCCGTCTTCATATTGGCGCAATAGGGTTGGAGCCTGTTCATCCGATCCGAACCCGGTCCGTGATCCGGCGGTAGGAACGGAAGGGGCTCATTTCGCCATCCCGTCTGCTTATCACGTAATGCACAGTTCATCTTGGGAACAGATGCAATTATACATTTTTAGTTTGCGATTGATTGTACACCTACATACCTGTCTAGAAGAATGAAACTTGTTGTCTCGCAGAGGTTTTACCACTGTAGAAAAATGAATTAAATATGGATGCTATCTTTTGTATATTTACGTTTTCAGACTAGCAACTCAAAGGACATTCCTCCGGAGTGTATGCATTTCGTCTGTTCAAGTGCGGTTGCAGCCTCAGAGTCATCTCCAAACTCAGTCGCGTTATTCTATTAGCTATACGGTAATTCCGTACTCGCTGGTTCAAAATGCTGTAAGAAGGACCCCTGGTTTGGCTAGGAGAATCTTATAGAAACTAATTGTCCAGGCCAGCCTGACAATAAGGATCTGACGTAGAAACTCATCAAAATAGTGTGAAAGAACCCAACCCTGCCCCCCGTGATCCTTGCCGCCCTGATATATATCTTTGTCTTGTCCATTCATTCCACAGTTCATGAGGGCATGCAGTTCTTCGGCGGAAGTGAGTAAAAAATTGAGAACCGTACAAGCTACCTATTTGAATTCTAAATATCTAAACCTTGTGACAAGGGAGGGAGGTGTGCCAGGAAGGCATCCAAGATTCCAAAACGACCCCGGCCAAACCTTGTTACAGTCCTGTATCTGTTTCAACACTGATGATAGTGATTGCTCACTCGATACATCTACCGCTAACAGCTACCTCCAACGGTTAGTAGGAGAAGCGAGTCCCGAACCGACGAAGCTTTCTTTGATTTCCAATATAATACACCACGTTGGCAACGAGGGCAAAGGCAACAGATGCGGCCGACAAGCAGACTATGACTGTCCAACCATTGCGGTACAGAGGCTTGTCTTCTGACCGAAAGAGCTGTCCGCCTACGATGCCGGCGCAGTTGGCAGACATGATGTGGATGGCCATGGTCACGGAACGTTCACCGGGGGTTTTCGCGTTCAGCGAAAGCCAGGAACCATTTACGGGATCTACTGCCTTTTAGCAAAGTTGAATCTCAAATAGTTCCGCGGCAAGACCTACGCCATGGCCAGGATATGGCAATCGTGGCTGCCAATATGACATACCGAAGAATGGCGCTTTGGGACGTGATGATGCAGCGATTGACGACCTTGGGAGAGAACCTGAAGTTAGCGAGATGGGTGTGAATAGATGAGCGTGGCATTCCAGTACATTGAAAGTAAACAGCATAGTCAGACCCAACAATACAAACGGCCCTCGTACTCGTAACTTGTCACTATCGAGGGTCAGGTTTAAAAAGTCTGGGGATCGAGTATCGGTAAACTCACGAAGCCCAACCCCAGAGCAGGATGACGAAGAGCAATATCCAGTAGCCGACGGAGACGAGGAGATTCGACTCTAATCGACCGAAACCGAAGCCTTGGACAAGCGTCGGGGCATAAGAGTTCAGCGAGGAGACTGGCGCTAGACCGCAGATGGTCAGGGCAACGTGCGGAAGCAGACGCCAGTTGGTCAACTGTGAGAAAAACAGCTTGGTCAGCGAATGAAAAATGACTTGGCCTTGGGAAACTCAGGACTCACGACATTCTTGACCTCTTGCCAACTGACATGCGTTTTGAGCTCGGCCTTTGATGGATCATCTGCAAGAATTCTCCGCGAGAGAATGTAGGATTCACGCTCTGAGAAGAATCGAATGCCTACCAAAGAAACTGGCTTGGAGACAGAAGTGGGGAAGATTGTCAGGAACGCGATACCAACAAGTATTGTGAAGATTCCCTCAATCTTGAGCTCATTAGCTTGGATCTCTCGGGTGCGAACGATTCCATAGACATACAAGGAACAGCCACTGCCATCCTGCAAGACCACCGACGCCTCGCATTTGCAGCCTGCAGACAACGTCAGAGAATAAGACGATGTGGCTTAAGAGAAGAGTAGGAGTTAAACTTACACGCCGTATGCAATGATTCCGGATAGAGCAGCGGCGAGTAAATTTCCCAGAAAGAACCATGCAAAACGTTTGCTGATCTCATCCTTCTTGTACCATCGGCTCAACGTAAACAGGCCGGCAGGGATGAAGCCAGCTTCTGTCAATCTAACAGGCGCCGAGTCGTTAGTAAGCTTGACAAGGATGGATGCGTAGACTCAAAACGTACCCAAGCAATAGTCGGGTGGCCAGGTAAGGCCCAAGGCCCTTCTGGAACGCCTGGAAGGTGGCAACAAGGCCCCTATTCACAGTCAAATGATGGCCTCCACGACGTCGTCAGAGCCGACATGCTTACCACGCAATAACCTGGGTACCGATCCAGATCGTGGGTCCCAACCGATAAAGTATTAGGTTGCTTGGAATCTAGGTTGCTTGAGCATATGGAACAGGCTTGCATCAATAGACAGAGGGGATGCCCACCTCAAGTAGTACGATGCCCATTGACAACAATTGTTGGCCAATGTTGAATTGATTTTGTGTGATATCCACGTCACGAAGGAAATCATCCGTCAAAGCGTTGCCACTGGCTAAAGTGTGAGTGGAGAGTCTATGTAAAGTCGAGAACGTAGTTGAAAACATGGTCGCTTACATATTTCCGCGGTCGAGTTGCAAGGCCAAGAATCCGAGGATCAACAGAGGCATCACGCAAAAGTCCACTCTAGAGCCCATGTCAGTCAATGCTGCAACAAGATTGATGCGCGAGTCTTGTATGCCTTCGAACTAAGCCCTTCTCCTCTTCATCTGTCCAGTCATGCTCGGCATCACTGCTGTGATCGTCGGTTTCCAAAGCCTGAACAGGCAGAGAAGATGCTTTGTCAGAAAGCTCCATGGGTTCGAACAAACTGAGTGTTAAAACACAAGAGTTTCCTGATCAAAAGATTGAGAAATTCAGAGCTGAGGCTTATGGGATTTTCATGAACTCTTGAACCAAACCGAAGACCGACAGATCTAAGTTCTTATAGTAAGTAAGTGAATGGGAAAGGAACACTAAATATTGCATCAGAAATAAAAAGCCAGAAGTTGATACCTGGAGCACATAAGTTCTAGAGCAGGGTCCCGGGCTGGAAACCCGGATACTGTACATAAACCCGGCGCTTGCTCTGACGACATGCCGTCCGTAGCTTGCACCATTGGTGTCACGGCCCACTTGGCGGCCGCAGTCGCACGCCTTTAGAACTACGTGCTGCCATAATCATGGACAAAGGTCGCACTATTGGCTAGAATCAAATTGCCAAAGCTTCTGGTTTTATCGTTCCAAGTGGAGGTGAAAGATGAGACGGTTTACTCAAAACCCTGGCCATTGGACTTGGCACAGGCGTTGATCTCACAGAGGATATGGAGCTGATTTCTTCACTCAGCATGGAGAATTACAAAACGTGCATGTCTATTCTCCCAATTATGTATTGCATTTCTCGAACAGCCTATACTTGTGTCCATATCTAGGTTAAATATACGAACTTTTTACTATACTTGGTTGTAATACGCGCTAGAGTTCAGCATCTTCAACCATGATGGCGGCTAAAGAGGGCACCAGAGACAAGATGAAGCCGAATACTAATTGAAATGTTAATTGGATGTGATGAGTACGGAAATCTCTTTAGCAAATCAAACATACCAAACGTCGCTCTGAGTGCGTCCACAAATGCCTTGATAATAGTTCCGCGAATATCATCCGACATGTTAGCAATTATTCTAATATCCGAAGTAACTTGGCGTATAATCTATATAATATTAGTCAGATGGGCATAGCTCAATCGTCTTCTTCTCACCTCGACTTTATCCTGCCGTTGTAATCTGGCTAGTAAATGTTTTTTGAAGAGAGACTGCGTAATTGCATCATCGACGGACACACCGAAGCTAGATCCCATGCTACTGACTAGGAAAAATATCCCCGTCGCTACGGCCATGTGCTCTTGTTCCAGATAGGAAGTCATGGATATGAAGGCAGCTGACGTTGCCATGCCCGTCGCTGCGCCACCGGGCACTACGTAAAGTGACTCCCATGGTTTACTTGACCCATCCCATCGACTCAAGACGAGAATATAGCTCAGGCACCCGATAGGGCCGGCAGCCAGCAGTATCGACCTAAACCTTCTGGCCTTGCGTATATACCTCCCTGCTAGCAAAGCTCCGACCGTGTTGGCCGCTATCGCGGGGACCAGACGCATGCCACTCGCCGACGCCGATTCGCCCCGTGTGACTTGGAAGTAGATTGGCACGGAAAACATCAGGGTCATCTGCGCAATGACCTGCAAGTGTACAATTATGTAGGAGATGGCGACATTGCGCCGAGTCAGGATCCGTAGATTTATGATCGGGTTGTGAGCCTGGCAGAGCTCAAAATAGGCAAAGGTCGACAGACCAGCGACCAAAGCTATTGAAAGCAGACCTGATCCGAGAGGGTTCCTGGAGTCACCGTTGATCAGGACATTGGCAATGGTGATGGAGGATGACAGTAGAACAGCACCAATGTAGTCAATCTCTCTGAGCTTCGTTCGAAAAGATTTGTCTCGACCGACAGGATCATGAGCCAAGTCTGTATCAGACGTTCTCCCATCAAAGAGCAAGGTTATCATGGCCGCCAAGATGCACAAGACTGGAACTCGGCTGAAGAAGAGCCACCGCCACTGGGCATTGTCCAAGATATACCCGCCCAGGGGGCCGCCCAGGCCCCTCCCGAGGGTCGAGGCGATGTTGATGTAGGATCGGTACTGGGCGACGTAGCTTTTGGGGACTGAATCCGTGATAATGATTGAGGAAATGATCATGAGCCCAGCACCACCCAGTCCGCTGACGGCTCTCCCAACAATGATCATCCAGATGCTGGGGCTTGAACCGCATATGATGCAGCCAGAAGCCGAGAGTGAATAGGCACAAAGAAGGACAGCCTTGCGGCCAAATATATCACTGAGCTTCCCGTACAAGGGCTGGGCCGCGCACACACCAAGCGTATATGCTGTGACAAGCCAAACGGCCGCCTCGAGTCTTGCGAACTCAGAGGCGATCAAAGCCGACGTTGTGAACATGAGTGTCGTTTCCGCATGGGACATTAATTCTCCTGTTGCGCCTCGGTCAATGAACGATGATTGATTAATCAATCAACCGGATTTCAGGAGGCTCACCTAATAGCAGCGCCACGAGCAGCGAGGTTGTGATGGATAAGTGCTTGGAGTGCACCTCTCTTCCATTCAGAAGCGGCGACTCCTCATCAGCTCTGTGAGCCATTGTCTCAAAGATGGTGTTGTCCCGTTGGATTTCACGCGCAGGGTATTCTCAAGTCGCCAATCCAACACAATTCATCAAGACTCTCAGATCCATAGATCCGAGCTACAGAAAACTCTAGCCAAAGCAGCACATGGCCTCGATGATTTGATGGATTATAGGCACGCCCACAAGTTTGGTCCGAGACTATCCCGACCTACGGATCCGGGGACGGAGGCGGATGCGGATACGGATGAGATGTGGGTTTGGCTCGTCGCTACTTGCCCATCGGCCAACGCCCGTGGGTATCATGATACAAGCGAGGTTCAGAGCGTATGGGTATCGCTAAAGGCTGGTATATCCCACACAGAGCCAGAAAGTTTGCCAAACTTGTTTATTTACTCATAGACACACTAAATTAGTGAAATATGCCCTATGCCATACTCTCGATTGGCGACTCTGGTGACATTTGCCTGTTGTAAGGCTAAGGCAGCAGGCTTAAATTGCGCCATTTGAACAAGTCATGTCGCCATTCCGCCAGCGGATGACGCCTTTGCCGTGAGCATCACGAGTACTACTGTGAGTGAGCTACAGCGGCGACGCTGCTTTTTCCCATCCAATTTACTCAGTGTGAAGAGGAGCAAAGGCACATTACATCAATTGTTGCATTTACAATACTTGAGAGTCCGAGCTTATGTGAATCCGCTGGGTAGAGCGAGTGTTGCCCAAGAGACCAGGGGATCTTATACCGCCATTAGTTTCCTTTCATAGCTCCCACCGCGCCGAATGGATCTCTTTGATAGACCTGCGAAGAGGGTTCGGAAGGCTTGCGATACGTGCCGGTAAGCTGCCTTGCCATGCCGTCGGATAGGCATACCGCTGATCCATGGGTGCTCTCTAGACGCAAGAAGTCCAAATGCTCGGGTGAACAGCCTACCTGTGCGTCGTGCGCTCGCCTAGCTCGGACATGCTTTTACGCCAACGAGGAAGACGGTCCCTCCCTCCCAGCAAGCCGATTCACCAATGTGTCGGATTCTGGGGTTGGCTCGCCGGGCCGTTCTGGAAAGGGCAGAGAGTCGAGAGAGCCATCTAGTCAAGCTGCCGACCTGAGCCTCGTAAGCAGATTTTATTAGTGGTCCTCCGGTGCAGAGTCGCTGACAATATCGCGTGCAGCAAGCTCGAGTAGCGAGTCTGGAATCTGCTCTGAGGGAGATTGTCCAGTCCCCCGAGAACCATCAACACAGCCGTGGCCGTTCGACTCTTGAGGACCCCTTGCGTGCTTTCCGCCGCGGACAAGGCTACTCCAGCCACTTCAACGCGCGGCCATCCACGACTTCTTCTAGTGTGCGGCAGCCAAAGAGCTCTTCGGAATTGCCTATCTTGCCTGGCCAAACTTGGGGCCTCGTTGCAGAGCTCTATCTCACGTTTTGTTGGTGTCAACCTCTCCCGCTATTCGAGCCGTCCGGCTTCATCGCTTCCTTCTCAAGCCGACAACCAGAAGTTATTTATGCCGTCTCAGCATTGGCCATTAAGCACGTAAGCCCATCCCAGGCAGAGGACGACGACCATGGCACAAAGTCTGCCGGGTATGCACAAGTTGCGTATCAGCTAGTCATGCGGCGGATTGCCGAGGGTGAAGTGGAACTGCCCACGATACAGGCGATCTGCCTGCTCGCCCTATTTGATATCGACGGTACAGTTGCTCATTCATCATTCAAAAAGCAGAGATGTCCACTAACACCATCTCCACGTCCTTGTAGCCGGGAACATGAGTAGGTGCCGCATGCTGTGTGCCTTGGCCTCGTCTTTATGCCATGCAGCGGGCCTCCACAGCGCCGTGGCAAGTTCAGGATCCCTGGATGCTGGCAAGGAGCGCCACATGTGTTTCTGGAGCGTCGTGTTGTTGTGCCGCCTGGTCGGGGAACAGGAGCAGCTCACTGCTCTGCCCGACCGTGCCCTACCTCCATTCCCAGATAACCGCTACTCGCCGCCCACCCGGATGAGGGAGATTGAAGATGCACCATCTTCGCTGGAGCCAAGTAATATCATGCAAGTTCTCCTGACCTTGAGCGAGCCGTGGGCGATAGCCATGAGGTACATCAGAAACGTCAGAAACTCATCGGGGCCCAGGAAGTTCCCATGGGAAGAAGGTTCAGAATACTCGAGAGCCACAGAGAGCCTGATGAGCATTGGCCGAAAACTGCCGTTAAGCCACAGGCAGCGCAATATCAAGCTATCCGAAGTCAAGGCTGAAGACCTCGAAGAATGCAGGTACTACTGGGCCCCGTGGCTCTGCACACGTTTAATGTATCACACCATTATGTGCATCCTCAATCACCCGCTGCTCATCACGTTGCAGATACAAGGTGTCCAAAACGTCTCGGAAGCATTTCTTCACCATGCAGCCTTCTCTATATCTAATCACGTATCGTGGGTTATCCATTATCTCGACTTCATCGATGCCAGGGCGTTCCAGCTCTCTGACCCATTGGCGGCTTACTGTGTCGCCGTCGTGGCGAGCATAGAGGTGCAAAGGGGCTTTGCTCTGGAAGGAGCCCTTGCCATAAAAACGAAACTTAACTTCAAAAAATGTTCAGAATTCATCTCGAAAATGAACAAATTCTCACCCTTCGCCGAGAGAAGTGTTAGTGCGGTCCCATTCCTCATGTTAATTCGACGTCTCCGTACTGACTTGAACCAATTTAGGAGCGTAGCCTGGCGCGGCTCGTACAAGAAAGCAGTTCTCGGTCTTCCGAGTATGTAGACAGGTTCGTCTTCGATAGTCCCAGCCCGTTGGATATCTTGGAGGTACTATGGAGCAAGCCCGAAGCGGCTAGAGAAAGACCAGAGTCTTCTATTCTCGGGCCCAACCTGGTTCGCGAGCTCAATGCACATCGTAACCACTCGGCCGAGGCAGGCCCAAAGCATCTGCCAAGGATTGATCCTACATCGGTCGAGAGGACACCGCTGGACAGGGCCTCGTCGGTTCGTTCTGAGAATGCTGCTCTTGCTGAGAATATCTTGGACATTAATACAACCTCGGGCAATACAGGCCTCAGTGGACTCGGCCAGCCAAATATGCTCCTCCCTATAGATCACCTATTTCACAATGCCTTTCAAGGCGCCAGTATCTGGCCGGAGGGGCTGAGTAATTTGGTTTCTGAATTTTAGGATAATTAATATAAAAGAAAGTCATTTAGTAATTGAAAACCAAAAATAAGTGAGATAATTTTATCAAGGCTTAGTTAAAGATTAATTATTATAGTCAGATAATACTCGATAGATACTTAATGGATTATTATAATTATTATTTTTAGATAGTTAGAAGCTCATAAATTAATTATTAACTTAAGGAAAAGAAAAAAAGAAGAAGAAGAAAAGCAATCTCTTCTTAATAGAGATCTTACTATTACTGATTCTTTTATAATTCTTTATTATTAGGGTTTCTTAAATTATTTAGATACCAGAGTTTTATTTATAACTTAATAAATAAGCGAGCTATATAATCACAATTTTCATATAATTAAGATGCTCGCTCGAGAAGCATTCCAAAGTGGTCTACAATTTATATATCAGCAGTTTTCTATGGCGATGCGTTGCCTTTAATGACCTGGACAAGAGTCTTTGGCGCATCATTGGCAAACAAGAGCTCGCCGGACCCCATGCTACGTTCAATCAAGTCTCGCCCGCGTCTGAACATATCCTTCTCATACTCCTCAACGGCACGGCCTAAACCTGGGCCTGTACCATGCTCTTTCAGTTTCTCCGCCAGTACTAGGGCATCATACATGGAACAGTTGACGCCTTCCCCAACAAATGGCGTCGATAAGTGCGCAGCATCACCGATCAAAGTGACTTGGGAGTCATGCTCCCAGACAAGTGATTCAGGAGGCAGATAAAAGAGCGGCCATTTGCGAAAGCCATGCTCGCAGTTGGCGATAGTCTCATGAAACTCCGTAGCCCACTCGGCAAAGTAGTCATTGCTGGAGAGAAAGAATTGGCGGGCTTGAGCTCCGTCATCAACTGACAAGTCGACGTTTGCGTTATCGTCAATGAAAAAGTCCTCGGCGACAGTGACACCGAGGTAAATCCTATACGAGCCATCGCTCATCTGTTGAGCGGCAAGATTCTTGTTTGGCCCAAAAGCGATGAGACTGCCGGGACCAACTTTTGTCTCGAGCTTGGGATATATGGGGTTGTTGGGAGAAATCTTGCCCTCGATATAGCTCTTGCCAGAGTATTTGGGTTTTGCGGATGTAAGCTATCACCAAGTCAGCAATTTCCTCAGATTCTCCTGAGAACATTTTTAGATAGAGGGCATTAGCTTACCAAGTGTCGGACCTTGCTCCAAGCTCCGTCCGCCCCTACCACGAGTCGGAACCCGCCCGCGCTACTTCCGTCCGAGAAAGAAATGACAACATCCTTTTGAGCATCCCTTTCTACCTTGTGAACGGTTTTGTTCCACTGGATCTTGTCGGCAGGGATGGACTTGAGCAAAATTGCGCGAAGTTGCACACGGTCGATCTCAGGGGCATCTCGCCCCTCGCCGAAGGTAAGAAGATGCTTGCCAGTCATGTCAAAAATCTGCGCAGTGGTTGCGTCACGACGAGCCATATTCTCAAACTCTTCAGACAGACCTCCGCGTTGTAAGGCTTCCTGACCTGTAGCTCCATGGATATCTAGAGTACCCCCTTGGTGGTTATGAGAGTCCGAGGAGCCATTGCGTTCGTAGACGATGTAGTCGATACCATTGCATTCGAGAAGACGAGCTAGGGTAAGGCCACTCGGTCCACCGCCGATGATCGCGATCAAGGGAGCCATAGTTGAGTTTCAATTCGTGTGATTTATGAGGCGTTTTATGTGCTAGTAGATGAAGGTGCATCATGAGTAAAGTCAACCGTTGAAGTTGAGCTCATCAGCTAATATAGGGTTTTGATATTGGTGATTGGAGGTGAGCACGCTGCGGCTGATACTCCCAAAGCCTCAATCAGTTGTCTTCCCCTGGTTGGATCGCGGGGGATCCACTCCGTGATCGAGAAACATGAGTGGCTGATGTCGGGCAGCTAAGAAGAACGTGCCCGAGCAAGCCAATTATGGACAAAGCTCATCGTTGATATTCAAAGGTATTGTCCCGGATAACGGACCTTTATCTTTTGCTTAGGATGAATGATACTATTACGTATGAATGTCCGGCTCTAGACGATATCCCTTGACTAAACAGGGCGTTCGACTCTCCACTGTAGATAGCATGCGATCTCATTGGTTCAGCCCGGACATGCCGGAACGAATCCCCGACTAATCCAATCATAGTAAAAGCTTTCGGAATGATTCAACGAACACAGCCCCCGCATCCGAGAAAATCGATTTTCGCAAGACGTCTTCCGGCAATACTGGGATTGTGCAGCTACCAATAGGTTCTTTGTGCAGGCGATAGCAATGAATAACGCTGCTCCAGCTGTAGCTCCTGCGCAGTGCTCAGCGCGCTTTGCTGTAAGTTTCTCGGCGCTTCAAACTCGCAGAGCTGACCACTCATCCAGTGTGAACACTGCAAGGTGAAGAAGATTAAGTGCAACTACCACAAGAATATGTTCTCGGCCAAGTCTCATAGTTTCTAGATGCTCGCGGGAGCTGCCAAAATGTGCGGCTTGTAAGCCCTGGCCAGGAGAATGCGTGTATCCCAAGGATAAACCTCTTAAGACATCTAAATTGAATACATTGTGAGTACTGAGATCTTTTATGTTATATCTTGTACTTACTCATGGCCATGTTAGCAGCGTAGTGCCAATTGCGGAAGCAGATCCAGTATCGCCTGCAATCGGAAAACGCCTCGCCCGCATAGAAGATACTCTGCTTCACCTTACGGCGAATATAAATGAGCTCCTTCTTAAATCATCGGTTGACGGTGATCAATGTATAGTCGCCAGTCAGTCGCCCGCCTTCAAGCACAATTATAGACCCACACCCCATTTAGGTGACAACGATACGGATCAGCTTCCATTAACCGTCGAAGAATTCCACACCTTCGCTACCTTGGAGCAGGCAGAGCATGATTTGCAGGGCCTTGCTTATAAAATGGGGTCTGGAAACGTGCAATCTCATCAAGCTGCGGCAGCCAGCTTGCAGGAGCTATCGAAAGATGTCAGGGCTACTCGACTATATGAGCAAGAGATAAAATCACATAATGACGAGAACGGAAAAGTATACTTTGTCCCTTCTAAATCAGAAGGATACCGTCTTATGAGCTGTATGTTCCGTGCATACCAGAAACCTCTATTGTCTAGCGAGACATACTGATCGTCAAAGGTGTCCTGGAAGCCATGGAGCTTGCAGATATTTTAACCGTCAAGCCTTCAGATGAGGTCCTACAAGCTATAATATTCAGACCCGAAACCGTAAAAGAGCCGGGCTGGCTTGTTTGGATCAACTATCTCCTCCTCAACCTCCATATCGGTGAGAAACCACAACCTCATACCTCTCTCATCGATGGTTTAAGGCACAATGTGCGCCGCGCACTCAACAAGGCGAGCGTATTCCTCGAGCCGAGAGAGATCAATGTGCAGGCCCTAATGCTACTAGCTTGCCACGGAGAAGACTTCTCATCTCCCAACGTATCGTGGATGCTGATGGGCCATGCGTGCCGACAAGCACAGGCGTTAGGGCTTCACATTGGAAAGGCAAAGACTGCTAATGAGAATCAGCGCCGGTTATCATTATTCTGGAGTCTTTTCATCATGGACAAAATCAGTTCTTTAGCGTTTGGCAGACCAACATTACTTCCGGCCGGACTATATGAAGATGTGCCCAGTCCAGAGTTTCAGCACCTCCGGAGATATCAGCCGCATAGACTGGGATTACCCTTGCTGGAAGAGTCTACTTTTGGCGCGCATTTCTTCCGTGCAAACATGGATTTGGCCAAATTGGCTGACCTCGTTCTTGACTTTCTTTGCAGAGTCACCCCATCACTCGAACGCGAGGCGCTCATAGAGAGAGTCGAGGCTTGGGGTACCAAAACAAGACAAGTAAGTTATAAAACCAGGATTCATACCCTCTACCACTACTAATATGCGCTTAGGCTCTCGAGGCTGCACGAAAGTCAGAACTATGTTATGCAACCGAGCACCACGCCCGGGAGATGTCACTCGGCATCGACGCAATGCGTTTCCAGCAACTACATATCCTTCTTTTGCTGTCTCAAGGCGACCATTCATATTCATCACGTAAAGTAGAGACGGCGAGGAAAATTCTAGCTCTGCTCTCGAACCTTGTGTCTAATTCAAGTCATGTCTACAATGGAATCGTATGGTAAGTTGGGCATGATGCCGCCTCTTTCTTCTGCCCTTTGTTTATATGATAATAGGCAACTTTTGTATTATCCATTTGCAGCGTTCGTGGCGGTATTCAATCATGTTACAACGAACCCGACATTACACAGCTCAGAAAGCGACCTTCGGCTCTTAAATGGTGCTGTCTCATACTATCATAGTATGAATAGCGAATTGGGCTGCTCGTCCCGCACGTCCCTCAAACTTGAGCACACTGCCAACCTCCTTTACGACTTGGCCTCCTTTGTCGTCGATAAATACTCTAGGTCACATAGCAGTGTTCTAGGGATGACATCTTTGACAGTACATGATCAATCGCCTATGAATCAACCATCCTTCATCCTTGATAGTGGTTACGCCACTTCATTAGCATGTTCCGATCAGTTCAATGAATTCTTTCAAACTCAGCACGAATCGAATGTCAATTTGTCAGCCGAAGATATTGATACTATCTTGGGTTGTTTAGAGGGATTTGAGACGGGCAACCCCAAGGGGCGGAAAAGGACCTTTGACAGCGCATTTGATTGGTTCGCTTGGGACACAACACCATTTGACAGCAATGCGCTCTTTGAAGACTCGTAGCATTGCAGATTTTGTCCATTTCAAGAGGGCCTTGCCTCCACTTGTCTAGTTCTTAGTATTCGGATCTACATCATCACGTGGCCTTAGATCTGAACTCTTGTGTATAGTCACAATTTAATCAAATTAGATTGAATTTTGACTAGATCACCATCCCTCAACTATCCCGAGTTTCATCTAGCCAAGGGCACTTGAATCGATAACAAAAAGGAGTGTGTAACCTAATCCACAATAGCAATCCCTTTTCTTCACTCTGGTACTACTTACAGCTCTTGGAAAAAAAGCCGATGCATCATCGAAAGCAATCACAAATTGCCACCAGCCTAAGGATGCTTGCTACACAAACACTACAAGGAGGTTATACGGAGGGGGAGCTCATTTGGAATAAAGGTTGGGATTAGGGTATTATCAAAGTCCATTATGTAACTGTGTCGGGACGAAGTCGCCTACCCTATATACGTACCATTGTATCACGAAATTACAGCCCCTAATTCTTCCCTGGATCAAAAAGGCACTGCAGGGAGAATAAATTGATTATATATAGTCTTATTAGGAAATCTATAAGCATTTCTAGCCAATATAATTAGACAAGTAAGCCTAACACATTCAAATCTGCCTTGTCCCGAATTGCACAGCCCATATCTTTCGGTGACGTCATGTGATAATAATGTCCGTTGGTTCGTTATTATCACTCTCATCCCGAGAACATTAACCTTAACAGCGTCCAGTGTCCGGCTATACAGCGAATATTACTCATCTCAAGATTAGCGAAGGATAATGACTGACCCGACCCAACTCTGCTCGCCGTGCAATGAGTTATTCTCGCAACCTAGGCTCCTGCCTAGCACGCGAGACAGCGCCGACTACCCTCCATTCGCGAGACTGAAACGTGTCGGGAGTACAATCTGCGAATCCGCCAACTCAGGCTGTCGGTTGTGTAGGATTGTTTGGAAACAAACCTTGTCTCTCATTGGCGGGGATTCTGATGTGAAAAAAGGGGTATTTAGCCCGCGCATCGTCTGGAATAAGGAAACGGAGGTCTTTACCAGCATCGCGTATCAGCTGCACACGTCTGGTAAGTCTGGTAACGTTTACCCGGAGCTTTTGACAGTCGGACTGTATCTCGAGACCCGTAAGCCCACACCCCATACTCCGGCTCTGAAGATGGGGACTGAGCGTCTGATACTACTTGAATGTGGCTGCAGCTTCTTGTGACCAAAATCCGGATTGCCCGAGACCATACAATAGCGCAGAAGCTTGCCAATCTCTAGCATCGCGATGGCTTTTTGAATGCGCAACCCGTCATGAAAGGTGCCGTGTCCCGCATCAGCCATCATGGCTACCTACTCGCCTTATTGATGTCGGACCTTCGTGGTCCAAACATGATCCACGGCTGATAATGTCTTCGCCTCAAATGCCTTCCTCTTTATATATAGCCCTGACGCATAGATGGACACCGGAAGGTATTCTTCGATTGACAAAGGCCAACATTGGGGACTTGCTGCGACGAATCCCGCTCGAAGACTTGTCTCCTACTTTTCAGCATGCTGTTCAATTTTGTCGCGGCCTGGGCATTAGATACTTGTGGATTGACTCTCTCTGCATCATCCAAGACTCGAAAAGCGACTGGCGTAAGGAATCTTCCAGCATGGGCAAAGTATACGAATATTCCTTCTGCAACATTGCGGCCACCTTGGCTTCACAACGTCCAATGGGTGGTTTGTACTGCGTCCGAGACCCTGATTTGATCACCCCATATACCGCAAACATCAACTGGAGAGGACACAAGGCCCTGTACATTTTCTTCGAGCATGACCACTGGTTTAAATCTCTCACCAGATCGTCGCTAAACAGGAGAGGCTGGATATTCCAAGAGCGCCTGCTCAGCCCGCGCACCTTGCACTTCTCGTCACAGCTCTTCTGGGAATGCCGCACGATAAGGGCCTGTGAGACGTATCCGTCAAGCTTACCGTCCGAACCCGTGTTTCTCGGCAACGATATTGATCAGGATTTCCCGACAAGCATCAAGTCTTGGAGGTCAGATTTGCAACAGGATCACGTTGTCCATTGGGACCTACTCGTCCAGATGTTCTGTAGGTGCTACTTAACGAAGCAAACAGATCGATTGGCTGCTATCGCCGGTGTAGCAAGCCAAGCGCAGCCTCTGTTGGACGACCAGTATTTGGCTGGTCTGTGGAGACAACAGCTCCCTGGCGGCCTGCTTTGGAGGCTGCAGAACATGGTCGGACAGAACGACTTTGTTGTTACAAGGCCAAAGAAATACCGATGCAAGTAAGCCCGTCCTGTTGATAATCTACATTACTGATATCATAAAGGTCCGTCTTGGACGTGGGCGTCTCTCGACTTTGAGGCGGCAAACATCGAAACACCAGACCCAGGGGGCGTTGAACGTCTCCTAGCCGAGGTTGTTGACGCGGAAATTGAAAGCGACACGGGACAGCTTTACAGCAACGTGACTGGGGGCTATATTATCGTGCTTGGAAGGCTGGGCCAAGTCAAGCTCTCAGATTTAGCTGACCCTGAATGGAGGGGCGATAGAGGCGGGCACTACACTTTTGAATATTCTCTCGATGCCAAGGATGAGCAGAGCCTTGCGAACGAGGAGCAATATTGTCTACCAATCTTAACACATGATGGAGCCAACAGGAATCCATTTAGGAGCTTAGAGGTACATTGCCTCTTATTGGAACAGCTTGAGCCAGATTCTATCGCGTTTAGAAGGTTTGGCCGTCTGCAGGTTTTACTGGATTGGGTGGGAGAAATAGTCCAACCGTTGCGATGGATCACAGATTTTGCTCGAGAGGAACCCCAAACTAGACATAGAGATTTACTGATGATCTACTAAACGGCTGGGCTTATTATTCGTTATAGAAAGCATTTAGTTAAGCCTGGAAGCCCATGAAATGGAGCTACTGGCAGGAGAACGTCCCAGTAGGTAACTTCACATGCTGTGCTCGATGAAAGGGCTGCAGATGCTTGAATGATGCCCTACGCCGCCGCGCTAATCCAGCATTTCAGGGACCAGGAGTTACACATGGGCAGTCGTGGTATGTCCTTCATTAAATAGATAGCTATTTCTTCCACTGTATTTCAAAAGCTTCAAAGTATTTCTATTAATACTATCTCCTGGAACCCTTTCTCTATATTATATAGACTACTTATTCCTTTTAATAGCTATAGATAACTATAATAATCTAGTCTTAGGTACTAGAAATACCTATTATTTTAATCCCTTACTCTTTAACTCTATAATAGTATCTAAATCTAGCTCCTCTTTATATAGATAACTAAGAATATCTTAGCTAAAGTTAAATAATATTAAGATTTACTTAGTAGATAGATTAGCTAGTTATTCTAATTATTTTTCTAATTTAAGTTTTTTAAATTTCCTTATATAAAGTTTATTAGAATTATTAGAATAATTAGATTTAAACTAATTAGATTAATTAAATTAAATAGCTTTATCTAGTTACTTTAGTAGAACTACTTTTACTTATTCTATAAGCTTTAATATATTAATAGGGATTTTTAGTTTTATTATATAAGTTTAAAGTATTTTTCTATTTTTAATAGAAAGTATTAGGAAATTATTCTTTAGTATATTTAAAGGCTATAGATATATTAATATAAATACTCTAGTTAATAGGTTTATAGTACTTATTAGGTTATTTAGCTTATAAGCTTTAAACTTTAAGCTTATACTTAGATTAATTAATATAGTTAGATCAGTATAAGATAAAAAGCTAGATAAAAGAGATTATATTAATAGTTATTTAATAAGCTATTATTCTGATAGTAAGTAAGTTATTTATATAATAGTTAGAGTTTTCTAACTATATAACTCCTTAGGTATATAAGGAAAGACTATATTTTTAAGCTTTTTATATTTATTATATTAAGTTATTCTGGGCCCTAGTAGCTTTATTATTATTAAAGTTTATTATTCGTATTCTCCTATACATATATAGATAGCTATTTATCTATGCTTATTTGTAATGCAGTACGGTGGATGATGGTAGCTTAGAATACCAGCGGTACATCCTCCAACAGATTGAGATGGCCAAGAAACTGACTTAGAAAGCCAATACTATAGGCCTTTTTTCTCCCATAATTACTCTAGAAGTCTTCGTTATTATTGCTCATGACTGCAGCGCCATTGTCTAGGCATGATTTTGCTACACCGAGGCCAATGCCTCTGTTCGTGCCAGTCACTGATGAAAGATTAGCCAAATGAGAAGGGGGCTGGAGGTTTCATAAGAGGTAGACACCAGCGATGACCTTGCCGGCCAAAGTGACCTTGGTGGCATGCTGTTCAGGTACAGCGATGCTGGATGAAGCTTCGGCGGAGGGGGCCATGGTTGCGACTAAGATTCATGTACGTGAAGTGATCAAATTGTATCACACGACCAGTTTCTACGCAAGTATATGATCTCGCGTTATTCTTGCTTTCGGACTATCTTTGGCGACGAGGCGGGGCATCCCATGTCTAACTACACCTACATCGAAATCACGAAGCATGGAGTACCTACGTTGAGGTGGGATTCGCTTTCAGGGCTACCCCACGCGGAGTCGGATTCCATGTGCTGATATTGTGGAAATTGCCCCCAAGTTGAGGGAAGGGGATGATCGGCGTTGGCTAAGGTAGTGTTTGCTTCACGTCGAAAGGCGGTTGCTAGTGATGAGGGAGAGAGCAGTGTGGATGATTATGAGGCTCTGATCTTGGTTAGATGCAGTGAATTGAGACGCAACGGTTTTCATCTGTCCTCATTTTCAGTTTCAGTGTCAATGATGAGTTGAGCAATTCAACTATTAGCGGGCGGCATTGCAGGCAGATGGTGCTTTGGGAAGAGAGGCACAGACTGAATATGGTTCTTCTTGTAGGCTGCATAACCCACCCCCAGATGTTTTCCAGTGCGTAGGTATTAGATTACAAAGTAACGGTAGCTCTTCAACGACTCTGCTGATGACAGTGGGTAAAAGAATTGAATTATTGCATTGGTAGATAGTCGACAGTTAGAAAGCGGGAATATAATCTACTGAGCAGGCTCACAGCAGGGCTTGGCCACTTAGACTTATAGCTGTAATGAAGCTCTCTACCTCTCCATCTTTGTCCAGTTCCAGCTGCCTAGTTTGGTCGTATCTGAATAATGTAATACTGCTCAGTCACGCCATTACCCAAATCACCTAGTCCCTCTCGAACAATCTCCTGAGCATACCCGCAGGCAGCACAAATATCTTCGATGGCAGTCAAGTTGGCGTAAGGGACTGTTCCCAGCAAGACTGATCCGCCTTCGACCAAGTGGTTCTTGGCTTCAGAGATGAAGCGCTTTAGCATAACGTAGCCCTCGTCCAAGAACATTTCCAACTTTTCGTCTTCGGCCTGCATCGATCCATCCCACGCCCATGGATGATTCCAGAAGATGAAGTCATACTTTTTAGTGACGTTTTCGAAAACGTCACTAACAACAAAGTCACCAATATGACCGTTTGACTCAAAGTTCTTTTTGGTGATCTCAACAGCCTTGCTGTTGATGTCTACACCGGCGACAGCAGAGCCAGAAGCGGCAAGATAGAGTGAGACGAGCCCCGTGCCGAGCCCGACTTCGAGGAATGACTTCCCCTGAACAATTGGGGGAAGGTTCTCACCGAACCAAACGGTCTCAGGGAAGTATTTAGGAGAGAGCACAGAAGGATGAAGATAGATGTCAAAGTTGCCGACACGTTCGAAGTAGGTATCCTTGTGTGCACAAGACTCAGCCCACAACTCGGACTGTCGTCGGTCCCAATCGACGCGTGGAGAGGGAGAGAGAGTGGCCATTGTCGGGCTGACAAGAAGGGTTATGAAGCTGCGTAGAGAGTATTGTAGTAGAAATAGTAATAGTAAGGATATCAGAAGCAAGATGGCTTACTGACTTGAAGAAAGCCCTTAAATCAGGATTCCACGTACACTGAAAAAAGGCGACCACTGTGACTTTAAAGCAGATAACTACGAATAGGAGACAAGGCAATTGTGATTCCGGCCTGGAGACATTCGGGAAGCATATCGCTTAGATCACGTCGGACTGTGAAAAACCACGAAAAAGAAGTGAGAATCCACGAAAACAAAGCGAGACAGACAAATCCCAATTCAGAGACGATCGTCGGGGGTGTCGACACCTGAAAATATTCCCCGTCACATTCCACACGCCACCAAAGGTGGTGAAACCAAAAATAATGCACCTGGGCTAACCAATCATATGGGTTCATCTTTTTTGAGGGTTAGCACGAAGTATTGGCGAGACAACGAGAACCATTGAACAGCTGGAGTGAGCACTAATCATGTACATGCGGATGTCGTGGGACCGAGCTGAATCGTCGATTCCCGCAGCACATCTGAGTTTTACACAGTTACACTGAGGCGGGACGGATCGTCGGCATTGGCGTGTCTCGGCTGTGAGCCAAATCTTAGTCACTAGGCCACTCATTACTAGATTATTACTTCGTATATGCTGGGGCTGCTGCGCGGCAGGTCTCAGTTGCGACAACGGCCCTGAAACATGCATACGAGGGGAAGAGAAATCAATATTACCCCCGATGACCCTGCTCATGCATCAAGACTACAAAGTCACTGTACTTTGCTGGTACATGGCGGACATGGATTACGCCGTCTTATCTTTTCTGAGCTGTACAACAAGTGGGTAATCATTTGAGTTTCAATAGTCACATACTTTGGTCCCGATGGATACACACAAATCTTTCGGACCTTACGCCTAGTACGGTAGTACCATGTGTAGCTCTTCCGAAACTAAGTTTGGTTCAATTTGAGGAATAGGCAGGGCATCGTATCTTCTGGCTGGCTCAAGTTTTCCAATGCAATGTATCGGAAGGTCCACCGCATAGTTTGAGATAAAAAAGTATGTGAGATACAATGATACTTTACAAAATACAGTTGATTTTATTACTAATTTTTAATATCTTTTCGGTAAACCCAATTGTAAACGAAACTGAATGTAGGACAAGAAGAAAAAAAAGCCAGCAGTGTGTAGTTGCTGCCCCTGGTCGAATATGTGTTCCCGACCAGGCTAAAAATGTCTAATGCAACCTATTTGGCCCTAGCCAGAAATAACCGAACAACCCATTCATGTCCATTCTCCCTAGCATCTGACGGACCGGTCCGGTTATATCGGTTTCGGGAGTCTAAATTGACAACTGGTCGCGCTAGCAGAAATCGGACAACGTCGTAATGCCCGCGCCAGGCGGCACAGGAGAGCAGAGTCGAGCCTCGCTTTGGCGTCTGCTTCGACACCAAGTCGGGCCAGCAGTAAATGAACAGCTTATGCATGCGCCCCCAATGACACTTCCCAAAGCGAGCTCGAGCCGTTGATATCCCTCGAGTCTGCTTCGACATGTGCTCGATCAAGTAGCAGCTTGACAATGTCTCTGTGTCCTCGCTCGGCCGCATAGGAGAGCGGCGAACGATTATGTCCGTCGCGTGCATCTGCGCGAACGTCTGGCCGGGCTAGGAGGTGTTGTACAATTTCCGTGTAACCCCTGCTAGCAGCACGCGAGAGCGGCGTCAAACCGTACCTGTCCTGAATGTCGGCGTTGACATCTGGTCTGGCTAGCAGCAGCGGAACAACGTCTGCGTGTCCATTCCAGACGGCAAACCACAGAGGCGTCAGGCCATTCTCATCTCTTGCGTCAGCTTCCATGCCTGCTTGTTCTAGTAGCAGTTTGACAATTTCTCTTTGTCCACGCCAGGCGGCGCGCCAAAGCGGCGTCGTACCATCGTCATCTCTCACATTGGCATCAACATCGTGTCGGGCCAGTAAAAGTGCCGCGATGTCCTTGTAGCCACCCCAAGCGGCTTGCCAGATTGGGGTCAGGCCATTGTCATCTCTTGCGCCAGCCTCAATCTCTGGTCGATCGAGTAGTAATCGAACAACATTTAAGTGCCCATTCTGAACGGCATAGGAGAGCGGCGTCCGACCTGATTTATCTCTCGAATGTGCTCTAGCTCTTGGATGGGACAAAAGTAGTCGAATGACTTGTTCATGTCCGCGGCAGGCGGCTCGTGAGAGCGGCGTTTGACCATGATTATCTTTCGCTTCCAAGTCAATGTCCGGTCGTTCAAGCAATATTTCAACGGCGTCTTTCTGTCCGTGTTCAGCGGCATATGCGAGCGCGGTCATGCCATTATCGCATACGTCATTAAGATTAAATAATCCTTGGTGCAATAAGACCTTGAGCAATGCGCAATCTCCAGCTGCTGCTGTGAGATGTATCACTCTTTTGCCACCCTCGTCTTTTGCCACGGAATCTTGCCGCCCGAGCACCTGTACCAAAGATGGAGGGAAGAGTTGTAGTGAATCGATAGGTCTAAGTCTACCCACAATAAGATATGGCAAACTCTCTCGCAAGTCGGTCACCTTGGCGATGGTTGGTCCCTTCGACTCCGCGGGGGCATCGGTGCAGCAGGCAGAAGGCATGTTTTGAGCTCACTATGTCGGCACGTGCTGGATCTATGGAATAGAATCAAGCTAGAATAGATATCGGATACAAGAGATTTCATATGACTGACAGAGAATGGCATTCGTAATATCCTTTGCGAGCAGAAAGGGGATCAAGAGTTGGTTCTTGAGGAGGGCGGCAGCAGCCTGAGCTGGATGAGATGTGCTCTCCCGCTCTTGCTCTAACGAAGCAGGCCCACTATTACAAGATTTCTGGCCGAGACTGTCAGAGAGCAGATATCCCCCCGAAGAAGTTACAAAACAGAACATATGCATATGCTGTTATCCCTAGTCCAAGAAGTCGCCGGTACTAGGCAAGTAGCAATGAAACGTACGTATCATATCTAGTACTCACGCGAAGAGCTTGACCATGCGATTCAGCTGAATACAAAATGGGAAGAACCTTTGTTACGATCTTCTGGTGACTAATTTAGCGGTCGGGAGGTGATGTTGATTGGCGGGAAGGCCGAGACAGTGCTGATCGCGTCCAATATACTCTGTACATATAGGTCTCCTGGATCACAGAGGTTTTTCCTGTTGGTACCTTTTCATAATTGGTTACTAGGATATGTACTTGTACTTATCATATAAGCTAATTGCGCCTACAGACAAGTATTGGCTATTTGTGGCGTGATCATCAGCACTAGCCTACAATACCTATTGGCGTGTTAACTACTGACCAGTAGATCAAACTACATCGATACCTTTCACAATAGGGCTATTCTGTGAGTTTCTTTGTACTAGTAAGGAAAGTCACAAAATAACATTTGTGATCCCGGAGACCTGTAATAGCTGAAATGAGACTGTCTCGGGTGCTGAGAAACTGTGCACATCAACCCCCGTTGTATACCTAGCAGATCGGAACAGCCTTAGCAGCATGCCGATCTGGATCATCATCATGCCGTCTAGTTTTGGGATGTTTTCGACATAAAGGTCTTACTAGACATCTCCCACGGACCACTTAGCACAATGGGTTGTGGTTTCTTTTCTTTTCTTTCTGATGCTATTAGTAATAGAGATCCTCTTTTATGCAGGTTCTCCCGCGGTTCCACCTTCCCTCCTTCGTATTCTAGCTTGACCTGCATATAAACTGAGACATTGCAAGACGGTGGTCCCGAACTGAGATATTGGATGACGGCTGAGATATTGGAAGACGGTGATTCCGAACTGAGACATTGGAAGGATCCTTCCCGTGAGGGGCCGCCTCGCCACCGCCATTGACCTAAGTTGATGAGCCTAGATTGGTTGGATTACCTGCCCAAAGTCAGAGTCCAGATATTTCTTGATTTGCTCTCATAATTGCCTACTAAAGGGCCATACCTTTTGCCGTTACTGGCTCTATTCAGCTCTCTACTTATCTCTATCTTTCATCGGTACTGCTCCAAGAAACTACCTACAACTTCGGTCAGATCGGAATCAAAAAATTATTCTACCCTAACTGAGTTGATCAGTTGTCAACCCATATAATATTTCGAAATACATTTCAAATCATTCACGTGCACAGAGAATCACGACATCGCAGAAGGCAAATAACCATGCGAATTCTCGGCATTAACTCAGTCTACCATGAATCAGCCGCTAGCTTGATCATTGACGGCAAAGTCGTTGCTGCGGCCGAAGAGGAACGCTTCTCTAGAGTCAAGCACGGCAAACCTGCAGCAGTTGACAATGCGGATGAGCTGCCTCTGGAGAGCATTCGGTTTTGCATTGAATCCGCAGGCATTAAACCCGACGATCTTGACGGGATTGCCTACTCATTCGACCCCGATTTGAGAGCAAGTGACTTCATCTTGGATGAAGAAACTGAGGCCGGGGACTGGGGAACTGAGGAAGGGGAGAAGATCTTCATTTCCCGAATTCGCTCTGTTCCTGGAGCCCTGGAATCGGTCTTGGGCCTACCAGCCGGACAGCGTTTTACCTTCATACCGCATCATGTCTCCCATGCTGCATCCGCCTTCTATCCTTCGGGGTTTAAAGATGCCGCTATTCTAGTAGCTGATGGCATTGGTGAGGCAGCCTGTACTCTCCTTGCGCGAGGAGATAAGACTGGAATTACCGTCTTGCGCGAAATTCCATTTCCGCATTCTATTGGGTTCCTTTGGGAGAAAATCAGCAAGTATCTTGGGTTTTCCGAGTATGACGCGTGCAAGGTCATGGGCCTTGCAGCCTATGGCGACCCTTTGAGATTTAAGGACGCTTTTCCAAACCTGATGCGTTTCGATCTCGGCGCATATACAATCGATAAACAAACAGCCAACTTTCGACTGCCCGATTTTGACCGTCTAGAGACTCTATTTGGGCCTGCTCGAAAGCCAGATACATCATTGGAAGCCCATCACTATGATGTAGCCGCCGCTCTTCAAGCCGCCACTGACACCGCAATTCTTGCGCTCGCGCAGGAGATCCGTCAGACAGTAGACTCAGAGAATATTTGCCTTGCGGGAGGCGTCGCCCTGAACTGCGTTAGCAATATGGTACTTAAGGAAGCCGGTATTTTTGACAACATTTTTATTCCATCGGCTCCTCACGATGCAGGCACCGCAATGGGTGCAGCTCTTGTGCTAAACCATCGCATGGGTGGTAAGCTAAATGCGGCATCCGACACTCCCTATCTCGGGCCAGAATTTACCCACAAGGAAATTATGGACGCATACGAAGCAGCTGGGCTGAAGCCGTCTCTGTCGAAGTCACCCGCCCTTGAGGCCGCTCGTATGATTGCAGCAGGCAAAATCGTTGCTTGGTTCCAAGGGAGAATGGAATTCGGGCCGCGGGCGCTGGGCAATCGCTCGTTGCTGGCTGACCCACGAACCATGACTACTCGCGAAATGCTAAACGTCAAAGTCAAGCATCGCGAGACATTCCGACCATTCGCTCCAAGCGTTCTAGCCGAGCAAGCGGGCGAGTGGTTTGACCTGGGTCGCTCTTCCTCCAGCTTTGACTTCATGCTCTTTGCTTGCCAGGCTGCGGCTGAGCGCCGAGAACGTATACCAGCAATCTTACATGAGGACGGAAGCGCACGAGTACAGTTAGTGCATCGCGAGCGGAACCCTTTGTTTTACGAACTTATTTCTTCTTTTGCGGACTTGACGGGAGTTCCTATGGTGCTCAATACTTCCTTTAACGACAGTGAGCCAATAGTCTGCACTCCCGCTGACGCTATTGCAACCTTCCAGAAGACGAGCATCGACGCAGTCTTCATAGGTAATATGTTTGTTACCCGTCAAAGCAATTTGTGATGGAAACACGACACTGTGCTCATTTGATGCCACAATCTATAAGGCAGGACTTTGGGTTGGATACAACTGGTTCGCAAGTAAAACGAGAACGCTAGCCTTGAATAAAACCAAAACCAAAACAAGTAGTGGAATGATATCTTACTAGAGTACACTCTATCACATAGTTGCTAGTAAATATACATTCACGCTATTTACAGAAGTCGATGTATTTCGTGGGCACCGCACAATATCGGATGAACAAATATCAATTTTCCAGTATTATTAAAGTCCTATTCAGAGCCTGGTATTCAGCATTTGTTCTTTCATCCTATTGTATTTGGAGCAAACTTATATCCATCCATTCACCTTGCCGGGTAGGAAAATTGACTTGTGGTGTAAATATTGGACTTAGAAAGTGTAGAGCAAGTTGACTACCAGGAGGCCACTAAGAGGCATCTAGAATACTGGGCGGAGTAGCTCTCAGATACTTTGCTAATCGAGGAGCTGGGCCAGTCAAGGAGCTGGGCCAGTCAAGGAGCTGGGCCGGCTTGGGGTAGGCCGGAGGGAGGAGAGGTCACAGGACCTCATGTTCTCGCAAACGAATCGATGCCTGTTACAATTTGCGGCCCGCGTTGGTGAGAAAAGACGCTGTACAACTACGTGGGACTGACGTGGTTACAGTGCGTGCGGTTGCACAGTAGCACCGGTTCATTGCGTTGTCAGACATTTCAGCTGGATCTGTACCTGAACTGAGACATTGGAAGACGATGATTAGACGGTGGGTCTGCAAGGGTCATTCCATTATTCATGCATTGCCAATCATCTCCGTCTAGGCAACTCCAGCTGAAATGCTTGCACGAAAGCGGCTGCACCTAAAGCCGGAATAGGGGTAGCAATAGGGTTACCTGTCGCGAGACGGAATTACAACAATAAAAGAGCATTGCAGACACGACACAGTACGACACTGCAGAGTAAGCATGGCGTAATACAAGATTGCAGAGCAAGACACGGCATCGAAATGCCTGTGTACAGCCTTAACATATATACTTCAAACGGACAGATAACAGAGCATAATCCTAGAGTGAGATCCGTCGTAGGGTGTTGACTTATTATTGTGTTTACATGTAAGAGCCTCCAAAGAAACTTCCCATCACCACAATTACTATTTGAAATACTTCGAGACCCCCGGAAATATGATATGATAAAGATTGTATTACGGCTTTTCAGCTGTTAAAGTATCCGCCACAATTCCACATCTCTCACACCCGCAGCTGTCTGACCCGCTGTGTCTGAGACTTGTATTTGCCCAACGATACGAGCGTACTGAGCAGCTGCAGCTTACCCCATACTATTGCCAGCTGAGTACCTTTGCTCATCCAGCAATGCAGGTCGGACAGTGTGGGACCTGGAGGGGTGGCAGGGCAGTATTACTGCAGGTTCCAGGCAGTACAGGCCGCCGGTGAGCGCGTGTCTCTGGGAGACTGTGACCGCCAGCTAAGCTACCTGTCTCACGCGGGACGGTATTGGAGGGACTCAGGTGTGCATCTACGTCCTACCCTGCCGACGGGGCTTAGCGAGAATTTTCAATAAAGTCCTGCAAGTGTAAGCAGCCTCCAGTTTGGTGGCTGGGCAGTCACGACGAAAATCATTTCCAATAGTAGTACTCCATCGGCAGAGATGGACACACTAGACGACTCTCAACAGCCCGATCAGGTTCTATTGGCAATAGTCGTTGTTTCGGGTCATTTTCCTGGCGCGGATAATACTGAGGCCCTTTTGGGCGTGCTCCAGACAAGTCTGGATCTACATAGGGAGCTACGTAGAATGGTGGCCATGTTGCCTGCGAAAACTTGATTCTTACAGCCAGCAGATTCCCGACCACGGGTTCGATGTTGGTACTCACGTCGACCCCACCGGCAAGGCAAGGAATACCAGCTGGACTTCACACGGCTGCTTTAACCATTCACGTTTATCAAATGCGTACATATTATGATGACCGAACATTCCTCTTATAGGTGTTTCGTAGCTACTCAAGTGAGAATGGTTTGCGACTCAGTTCCTTGGGTAAACTTACTGAGCACTCAACCAGTGTCGAGCAGCGATACTTTTGCGGCTAAACGATTGTAACGTGAAGACATGCAGTTAGAGAGACCTAATGCAGCAATGTCTCGCTATCAAACTGCAATTTGGCTTGTTATTGCTGCTGACTGCAGATCCTTGCTAGATGACCTCGTATTAAATGAGACCTGTCTCGCCAAGTCGTAATCGCTTTGCTGAAATGCGGTCTGAGCAAGCCGAGACATTCACACCTAACCGCCCAGTTCATTCCGACTTCCTGCAGTAACCATGTAAGTGTCCAAACAAAGGAAAAAGAGAGAGCGTAGACTGGTAAGCTCATGCGGTATTATGACAAGTACCATTCCTACCTAGGTACCATAAGCAGCTCTAAGCTGCAATTGAGACAAAACAGCTCAATGTAGGCGGGAGTCGGAGCCGTGGGGGGCATATGAACCGCATTCTCAAGGTAGGCACGTCTCGTCTACGAGAAACAGTAAGAACGATTCCTATGCCATTATTCAAGAAAGCAAAACCCGAATTTGATCATGCCGCCAACACTCAGCTTTCAGCTCCAAAACATCCAGCAGCGCAGAGATGGCACCAGTCTCTCCGAGTTGATCGTGCAGGGTCTGTTATCCACCCCTCTCAAGCTGCCTTCTCTTCTGCTTTGGGATGATGACGGACTGAGACTCTTTGATGCCCTGACCCAAACGCCTACGTATTATCTACATGACAAGGAAGTCGAAATACTGGCCCAATATGCGAATGATATGGCAGCACGCATTCCGTCTGGCAGTGTTCTGATCGAGCTGGGCTGTGGGTAAGCAGAGAGAAACAGAATGACCGTGTCTCTCGCATCTAACCGAGTATAGGAGTCTGCGGAAAACAGGCGCGATTCTTTCGGCGCTCGAGCGGAAGAACAAAGCGATCGACTATTACGCCCTTGATGTGTCTCCAGGCGAACTGTCGGACAGCCTGGCAACACTCACCGCCCGATTGGGCCCATCGAGTGGCGTCAAGGTGCATGGACTGGTGGGGACATACGAAGACTGCATTTCGTGGTTGGCGGGCAATCCGTGGCCCCAAAAACAGGTCGATTTAGTCACTCTACTATGGATGGGCAACAGCGTAGCCAATCACGGCCAGCTCGAAGCAAGCTCAGTGCTGGGCCAGTTTGCCCGCGCGGTGCAGGGAGCCGGAGTGCCATGCCAGTTTCTTGTTGCTGTGGATGCTTGCCAGAAGGAAAGCCGGGTCTTGGAAGCGTATGACAGTGACCAAGAGGCTCTCCGCGAGTTCATACTGAATGGACTGCGTCATGCCAATACCATCATGGGCAGGCAGATGTTCAACAGCGATGAATGGGATTGTGTATGCCGATTTGACGCCCACGATCACACACTCAGAGTGTATTACACTTGCCGCATGGACACCGAGCTGACTGTGGACGGACACCGACTATCCCTAGCAAATGGAAGCCAGATTGAGGCCATCACCAGTGGCAAATGGACGGTGGGAGATGTGCAGCAGATTGCCAAACGAGCTGGACTCCGAGTAAAGGATCGATGGTGTGATGCGGAATGCATATACTGTGAGACTACTATTTGTCCTACGCTATTATTTGATACTAACAGGGGCAGGCTTCTATACAATGACTGCAGACTCTCCCTGCTATGAATCAGTGGAAGTGAGGGATTAACCAAATGGCAGGAAGCTGGAAGGGAAGAAGCTCAGCTGAAGAAGAAAAAGCAATGGGAACTCACCTGTTGTAAGCAGCAGTTAAGTAGCAGACTAGATTCTAAAGCTACCCTATAGTAGAAAGTGAAATCTCGGAGTTTGGAAGCTAATAATCTAAAAAAAAATATTTTTAAGAATATATTATAATATATTATAATATAAATTACTCAGTTATAATTTTTTGGTAGTTTTATTTTAAGTATTTGTGATGTATTAATTATATTTTCTTAAAAAAAGGATAGGATACTTAGTTAAAAAAGGCCACATCATGTGATCACCATATTAGGCCAGCTTGGCTATGTTTCTCCTTTCGCTGTAGCAGCCTTCCCTCTAATAATCTGTCATGATTGAACAGCCCAACCGCGACAGCACTTCGTGTGTGCGCGATACAACTTTCTAATTGAACCTGTAAATTAGGTAGCTGCCTTTTTGGACACCCTTTTTGTTGTATGCGCGATCCGGTTGTCTAATTTGATCCTATTATAGACATACTAATCTAGATACAGGTAGCTCCCGATATAAAATAGGGTGTCTCTAGAAAAAACAGGGGTGGTCCTATTAGACCCAAATGGCCGTTTTATAGCCAGGGTGCTTCTCTGGGTCTTTGACACCAAAAGTACTCTCAGGCCCTCCCGAAGACCGTACGAAGGATCCGGCCTTGCGTTGGCCCACAGCCCCTCACAAGCAAATACGATTAGCTCGATGGTCATCCTTGGCTTTGAATTCGCGAGACATGGCTTGTGTAAATAATGGAAGATTTATTTTGAGTATTCCCATTTCATAATAACAGTTTGGATCCCACCTAAAATAAGAAGGATTTGCGACACAGGTGCTTTAGACGTCTCAATCAGCCCTCTGCGTACTTTGTAAACTGCAGTCTTATCTTGTAGCACGGAAGATGGCGACCAATTCGTCAGGCGAGCAAACCTGCTTGTTTCCCATCTTGAATACTCACTCGAATGAGCGGCATACCATGCGACACAAAGAGATCGACCTGCTGCCTCGGGCGGCTCTGATCGAATTCTGTGAAAATCATGCCGTGCAACTGCTATCTCTATTTCAAACGGGCTGGGCGTTGGTTCTCTGTGTCTATACCCGCTCCGAAAGCCCTGTTTTCGGCTGCCAGTTCACCAGGGAGAGTGGTGATGGCCATAGCTGGACATGTGGCATGACACTGACCAGTGGTGAATCGCTGTTGAGCATAATGAAAACCGCTTCCCTACCGGATGCAGCCATTGAAACCCAGTCGGCGGCGACATTTAACACGGCTGTTGTACATAAACACACAGAGACAGGATCAAATGTAAGGAGTCCGGCCATGTTCACGTTCCCTACTAACCACTCAACAGGTTCAATTGATCCTTGAGGTTGACCCTGATGAAACCACCGGTCAACTGACTTTTTCCAGTTCAATCATGTCCAATGAGCAAGCGGCTAGTGTGGCAGCGACATTTGCAAAGGCCATTGAAGAGATAGTGAAGAACCCACACAGCAAGCCCACAGAGCTTGATCTATGCAGTCAGCATGACCGAAATGTTCTATCTGGCTGGAATCATGATATTCCAGAGAGATTGGACTCTCGGGTCGATGAAATGATCTTTCATCAGGGCCACCGGGATCTCTCGCATGTCGCCGTCTCCTCCTGGGATGGAGAGCTGACTTATGGCGAGCTAGACAGACTTTCCTCAGCTCTCGCAGGGCAACTTGCAAAACAGGGCGTGCGATGCGGTATGTTTGTGCTTCTTTGCTTTGAAAAGTCCAAATGGACGGTGCTTGCCATGCTGGGTGTGATCAAGGCTGGCGGTGCCTACGTCCTGCTGGATCCGTCCTATCCTTCCAAGCGCATGGAAAGCATTTGTCAGGATGTTGACGCCACAATCCTGGTGGCATCTCCTCAAACCATTGGAAAAGTGCAGACATTGGCCGACAACGTCGTTGTTGTCGATGAGACCTCCCCCATTTGGTCAGGTAGCTATGAGTGCTCGCGTCGAGTCCATTCCCAGGACGCTCTCTATGCAGCATTTACTTCTGGATCTACCGGAAGACCCAAAGGCATCGTCGTGGAACATGGAGCTTTCTGTACTCGTGCATTGGCGAATGGAGCACTGCTGGAATTGAATAAATACTCGAGGGTATTGCAGTTTGCCAGCTACGCATTCGACGTGAGCCATCGCGATATTCTGTTCACGCTGATTCACAATGGAACCGTCTGCATTCCATCCGAGACTGACCGGGTCAACAATCTCGAGTTGTTCATCAGTCGCCACCAGGTCAACTGGGCCAGTCTCACACCGTCTGTGGCCGCTTTACTCGACCCCAAAGCCGTTCCAACCTTGCAGACACTGGTCCTTGCGGGCGAAGCCATGTCAGCAGCCAATCTTTCTACCTGGGCGGACAAAGTGCAGCTTATGAATGCGTACGGCCCAAGTGAATGTATCGCTGTTAGTTGCATCAACCCTCGACTAGCAATAGGGTCGGATCGTACGAACATCGGGCGTGGAGTAGGGTCTGCGATCTGGATCGTTGACCCAGAAGACGCCAACCGCCTTGCACCCATCGGGGCGATTGGAGAGTTGCTCATCGAGACAGCCGCAGTCAGCCGGGGGTATATAAAAGACCGGGAAAAGACGGAAGCCTCCTTTCCTGATCATGTCCGATGGCGAGACGACTTCCGGCTCAGCTCACAGGGCCGGTTATATAAAACAGGTGATCTAGGACGCTTCAACGTTGATGGTACCATCTCCTTCATGGGACGCAAAGACAATCAGGTCAAGATTAATGGACAGCGAGTGGAGTTGGCTGAGATTGAGCACCACATGCTGCAGGCCCTGGCCAGCAGTCTGGAAGACGCGTCGACTATCCAAGTGATTGTGGACATGGTGATGCCCAAGGAAAGCCACCGCCCAACATTGGTGGCGTTTATATACCAGCTGGGCAATGATCAGAAATCAGAAGCGCAGCGGAATACGGCAATCCGGCAGACGATGGCCCACATGGCAGACCAACTGGCCGAGCTGTTACCCGTGTATATGATCCCCAGTGTGTTTATCCCTGTGGAAAGGATTCCCATGACTGGGACAGGCAAAACAGATAGACGAGCGCTACGACAACTCGGCGCATCAATGACTTGGGACCAAATGGCAGCCCTGACAGCGTCCACACCCAGCTATCGAGCCCCGGCGACTGAACGGGAGCAGCAACTGCAACGAATCTTCATGGCCGTTCTGAATCTTGAAGCCAACCGCGTTGGCGCTGACCATAGCTTTCTTCGACTGGGAGGTGACTCGATTGCTGCGATGCGTCTGGTTGCAGCTGCGCGTGAAGAAGGGCTGCAACTGACTGTTGCAGACGTCTTTCGCAATCCACAACTCAATGAATTGGCACGGTTAGCCCAGGCGGCAAGTGAGCCAGAAGAAAACACTGTGTTGCCATTTTCATTGCTCAAGTCTGGTATCTCGAGCAGCGATGCCCGTCGGGAATCGGCCTCCCTGTGTGGCATACAAGAGGATCAGGTGGAGGACGTTTTGCCCTGTACGCCTTTGCAGGAAGGCCTGCTCGCATTAACGGCGAGAAAAGGCGGTCTTTATATCCGACGATTCAAATTCGAGATTCGGCCCATGGTTAATGTTTCCCAATTGATGAGATCATGGGAACAAACCGTCGCAGCGGTCCCCTTACTGCGCACACGCATTGTCGACCTCACCGGGCAGGGATTGGTTCAAGTTGTAGTCAACGAGCCGGTAAACTGGCAGTCCAACCATGACTCGCAGACTATGGGCCTCGGAACACCTCTGGTGAGATATGAGATGGTCACCGAACAGGGGAAGACATATCTCGCGTTGACGATTCATCACGCCATGTACGACGGATGGTCCATGCCGCTCGTGCTAGACACAACACAGAAGATATACCAAGGGCAGCATCACTCACTGACCCCGTTTGCCACATTCATCAAACACATTGCCAGTATCGACGAAAATGCCGCTACGAAGTTCTGGAGACGCCAGTTTGTCGGCCTGGAAACTTCAGAATTTCCTCCTCTTCCGTCATCTCACCAGCCACAGGCAGACCGGACATTGACGCACAGCATCGATGTAGACTGGGAAGGACTGGATTTTACAGCGGCTACTATGACACGGGCAGCGCTAGCAATCCTCATCAGCAGATATACCAATTGCCCCGATGCAGTCTTTGGCGCAACAGTCATGGGAAGGCAGGCTTCTGTCCCGGGCGTGGAGAGCATGGCTGGGCCAACGTTCACGACACTTCCAGTCCGAGTCATGGTGGATGAAGAACAAACAGTCCGCCTCCTTCTACAGCAAGTCCACGCCCAGGCTACCGACATGATTCCATATGAGCAAATTGGCCTGCAACGGATTCATCGTATCAGCGCGGAGAGCAAGGAGGCATGTCGGTTCCAGACCTTGCTCCTCGTCCAGCCAGAAGAAGAGAAGGTCTCTCGAGGTAGCGAGCTCTTCCTCCCGGAAGAGGAAGAGCAGGGAAGTGATAGGAGACTGGAAGCTTTCACCAGCTATGCCCTCATGTTCCGCTGTGAGTTGAACAAGCAAGGAATGCGACTCCGGACGACGTTCGATCCTAGTGTGGTGCACGAACGACAAGTGATGCGCATGGCACACCATTTTGCTCATGTTCTGCGGCAGATTTGCGTTTCAGCAGCCGGGAATACTTCATTGAGACAGATTGAGATGGCCAGCCAACAGGATCTATCGGACATCTGGACATGGAACGGCGCCCCCCCAAGACAGGTTGACGGTGTCTGGGACGGTATATTGCCGGATCTCTTGGGCAACCCTATGGCACAGCTTGCTGGTCACGTTCCATGGGTAGTTCAGGAGCATGCTGAGAGCAGGTTGGCAGCGATTGGATGCGTCGGTGAGCTGTGGCTTGAGATTCCTGTTAACGGGGAAGGCCATCTGTACAAGTCAACAGCATCGTTTGCCGAGAATCCACAATGGCTGTTGCGCGGAGGACCAGGCCATCCCGGACGCAATGGACGTTTCTACAAGACCGGCGAACTGGCCAAGTATACGTCTGATGGGGCAGTTGTAGTTCTGGGACGTAAAGATACGCTGTCCGGAATCAATGGACGGCGGGTGAACCTGCGGGATGTTGAGCATCATGTACGACAGGCCGTGTTTGAAGTCCTTCCCCATAATTCTGTTGGTGTGATGGCAGAAATAGTCACTCCACAAGGTAGCCAAAGCTCGATGCTGGTTGCCTTCCTATGTGATTCCACAGAGGTCCTTCTCACGTCAAGCATAGCAAATGCCATTGACGAAGAACTGTCGGACCGACTGCCGATAAAGCCGCATGCATACGGCACCCTCAAGCATGGAAGTGGCCAGATTGATTGGAACAGACTCCGCGAACAGGCCAATTGCTTCACTCTGGCCCATCTTACGGTCGTGGAGAGGCGCGACCAAGATAGGGCAAGGCCCCAGACAAAGGCAGAGCGCCAACTGCGAGACCTCTGGGCATCTGTTCTCCACATTCCTGCAGAGAGGGTCGGGCTGAACGATAGCTTCTTCCGGTTGGGAGGCGACTCCATCACGGCAATGCGACTCGTTGGAGCAGCACGCCGACATGGTGTTTCGCTCACGGTAGGAGAGATCTTCAGCTATCCACAGCTCAAGAGACTTGCCACAGTGATCAAGGCCACAGTCGCCGCTGACCAAGTAGTACCTCCTTTCTCGTTATTGAGTTTGCCTTTGAACATCGACGAGAAGCGTGCGCAGACGGCTGCATTGTGTGGTGTTGAACCTAGTTTGGTCCAGGATGCATTCCCATGTACACCATTGCAGGCCGGTTTACTCGCCCTGACAGCACAGTCAGCGGGTAGCTATATCACGAGAAAGTTACTTCAGCTTCGCGAGACGACCGATGTCAATCGACTGGCCGTGGCGTTGGCGGAGGTCGTCGCGTCGACACCGATATTGCGCACCCGAATTGTCGATCTTGGAAGCCAAGGGCTGGTGCAGGTCGAAGTTAGCGAGGACTTTTCCTGGAAAATGGAGTCGGACTTGGATAGGTACATTCGCGCGGATAGCGAAGAGCCAATGAGTCTCGGAACCCCCTTGACACGGTTTGGCCTGGTTGACTGTGGGATGCATAAATACTGCATCTTGACTGTTCACCACGCCATTTATGATGGCTGGCTGATATCGCTGCTGCTGCAGGCCATGCATAAAGCGTATCACGGCCAGCCTCGTATGGCCCTGACGCCGTTCCATACGTTTATCAAGGCCATCTACTCGGTGGACGAAGCGTCAACGGCCGGCTTTTGGAAAGCCCAACTGGATGGTTTGGAGGCGCCAGTTTTCCCTGCAGTTTCTGCGCTCTCTCCCAGGACCGACAGCTATGCCACGCATTGGATCGAAGCGCTTCGTGTCGACAGCGGTGACACCACGGTCTCCATGGCCATCCGTGCTGCCTGGGCGATCCTCAGCGCCCAGTACGTGAATGCGAGTGAGGCCCTGTTTGGTGCTACTGTGACAGGGCGCCAGTGCTCTGTTCCTGGGATCGAACTCGTCGGCGGACCGACTATTGCCACTGTTCCTGTGCGTGTGGCGGTTGATAGGGAGAGCACGGTCGAACAACTGCTCCAACAGGTGCAAGCGCAAGCTGTGCAGATGATCCCATTCGAACAAAGCGGACTGCAGCGGATTCGGCGCGTCAGCGCCGATGCTGACCAGGCCTGCCAGTTCCAGACTTTGTTGGTGGTGCAACCCGTGGATCCGGACCATGAGGAGACGCTCTTCATGCCCGCGCAACGGACTGCTGGCTTGGGCAGCGTGGACCCCTATGCGCTGGTGCTAGAATGCAAGCTTTTGAAGCAGGGAGTGAGAGTACAAATAAATCATGATTCCAGGATCATTGAAAAGGAACAGGGTGAGAGGCTGTTGCAACAGTTTGACCACGTGCTCCGACAGGTGTGCGCGGGACAGCAGACCACCAAGCTCAAGGATGTTCAGATTCTCAGCGAAACCGATCTGTACCATGTCTGGAAGTGGAATGCATTTATCCCGACAGGACAGGGTGTTTGCGTGCACAATCTCATCACGGACAGAACCCAGAAACAACGGGAAGCCCCGGCCATCGATGCGTGGGACGGCCGCTTTACCTACGGCCAGCTGGATGAACTGTCTACTCGCCTCGCACATCGTCTCTGTCTGCTTGGTGTCGGCCCCGAGATATTCGTTCCGCTCCTCTTTGAAAAGTCTAAGTGGACGCCAGTAGCGATGCTCGGTGTCATCAAAGCAGGAGGAGCGTTTGTTTTGCTCGAGCCCAACCATCCACTGACACGACTGCAAGACATCTGCGCAGAGGTAAACGCCCATATTGCTCTATCATCGCCAGCACAGGCAGCCAAGGCAGCGAATCTGGCCACGACAGTCTTAACGGTTGGCGACGGACAGGACATTGGCTGTGATGGTGGCGAGTTGACGACCACGACGACTCCAAAGAACACCCTATATGCCGTCTTCACGTCTGGCTCGACAGGAAAGCCCAAGGGAGCATTGTTGCATCACGATGGCTTCGCGACGAATGCGTTGGCCTACAACTACAAGCTCGGCCTGGGATCGGACCTTCGAATCCTGCAGTTTTCATCGCACGCGTTCGATGTCTGCATATCAGACATTCTCTTCACGCTGATCGGTGGCGGTTGTATCTGTATACCGTCAAGCAGTGAGAGCAAGGACGATCCCTCCGGGGCTATCCGCCAATTCAACGCCAACTGGGCTGACTTGACTCCATCAGTTCTGCGCATCATGTCACCCTCGGATGTGCCCACATTGACAACAGTGGTATATAGTGGAGAGGCTGCCTCCAAAACCGATATCCTCGCGTGGTGCGACAGTGTCCGCCTGATCAATTGCTACGGCCCAGCCGAGTGCAATGTGTTCGCCACCATGCAGCCTCATATCACCGCGGATTCAGATGCATCAAACATCGGATCCCCGCTGGCTGGAGCGTGCTGGGTCGTTAACCCGGCGGATTCCAACCAGCTGGTTCCTGTCGGTGCCGTGGGAGAACTGTTACTCGAAGGGCCTCTGGTGGGCCAAGGGTATATCAACAACACCGACAAGACCGCCGAAGCCTTCTTAGATGACCCCCCCTGGCTGGTCCAAGGTTACGGCGATCAGCCAGGGCGTCATGGCCGTGTATACAAGACCGGTGATTTGGTGCGATATGCCAGCGATGGAACTCTCCAATTCATCGGACGTAAAGATACCCAGGTCAAATTGAGAGGCCAGCGGATTGAATTAGGGGAGGTCGAGCATTACGTCCACCAGGTGCTGACCGCGATCTGTCGCCAGAAGCAGTTCGATGAGGATGCTACTCTCGAGGTCGTCGCCGAAATCATCCGGCCTCAAGAGACAGGCCGCCCAACGCTGGTGGCATTCGCTACCATTCGCAAGGACGGGCTGTCCGTGGGGGAAAGTATTGCCGCCCTCGACATGATGGTTGCAGACCTGGACGTTCAGTTGGCAGAGCGATTGCCCGCATACATGATCCCTAGCATTTACTTCCCAGTGGAGCGTATACCGTTGGGAACGACCGGGAAGACGGATCGACGTCGGCTCCGTGAGATTGGGTCCCTCAACCATGGCAAAATTGCTGCCCAGAGGCAGCGGGGTCAACGGATTGCACCTTCAACCGAGATGGAGTCCCTTTTGCTGGAAGTGTGGATGAGCGTGCTCAACCTGCCTGCCGAGACCATCTCGGTCGACTCACCCTGGATTCGACTAGGTGGCGATTCCATCACGGCGATGCAGTTGGTGTCTCGATGTCGAGCCAGGAACATCCGACTCACGGCTGGCGATGTCCTTCGGGCTCAAACAATCCAGAGACTGGCAAGATCCTGTAGTTTGATCCAGCAGGGTGCTCCAGCCCTCAGCATGCAGACCGTTGAGAAGGAGCCGTGGGGATTGACACCGGTACAACATCTCTTCTTTGAGAGCCATCCGGATGGACTGCATCACTTCAATCAGAGCTTTCTGCTTCGCATCAAAACTCCGGTCTCGACAGATGGCATCAGCGCTGCTATCCACGCTCTTGCCGAGCGTCATCCAATGCTCAGGGCACGCTTTCAGAGAGGCCAGGACGGTGATTGGCAACAATACGTGGCCAGCTATCGTGCTGATGTGATTGCTTTTGCTGCGCATCATGTCGAGAGAACTGCAATTGCCAGCCTTGCTCAGTCACGACAGGAGAAGCTGGACATTCAACATGGCCCCGTCTTTGCCGTCGATGTTTTCTGCCTTCCCTCCAGTGAACAAATATTGCTTATCAGCGCTCATCATCTGGTAATTGACCTAGTGTCATGGCGAGTCATTTGGCATGACATCGAGCAGTCCCTGTTTGGTCGTCGAGATGCGGTGATGCGTCCCACCACCTCGTTCCAAGCATGGTCCAAGATGCAAAGCCAGATGGCTCAGTCGTTAATGCCATCCCAAGTGCTTCCATTCGTCGTCGACACGCGTGGCTATGAATACTGGGGGGTCGATGTGTCTCAAAACACCAAGGCTGAAAGCGAAACACACGTCATCCGTCTCGATGAGGATGTCACGACAAGGCTTTTGGGCTCGAGCAACGAAAGGCTTGGAACAGAACCGACAGACATTCTCCTGGCGATGCTACTCCACTCATTCCAGCAAGTCTTTTCCGATCGTTGTCCTCCTCCCATCTTCGTCGAAGGGCACGGCCGAGAGGCTCTGGGCGACTTCGAAGTCGACCTGTCGGAGACCATTGGCTGGTTCACCACCATCTTCCCGATCTGTATTTCGTCGGGGCCGGACGATACTATCGTGGACATGACTAGGCTCGCAAAGGATATCCGCCGATCTGTTCCCGGGAAAGGGCTGCCGTATATGGCCAGTCGCTATCTCACGCCCGCTGGTCAGATAGCATTTAGGGAACACCACAAGGTTGAGGTGCTCTTCAACTATGCGGGAATCTACCAGCAGCTGGAAAGCGATGACTCCCTGCTGAGCCGTGAGACCGATCCTGTAATGACGGCCAACTTCAGCCAAACATCGTCCACCACTCGCCGACTTGGTCTGGTGGAACTGAACTTGGGCACTACGTTTGGTCAATTGAATATTTCCTGTAGCTTCCACCGCCAGATGAAACACCAAGCTCGACTCCAGCAGTGGATCAAGGCGTTTGCTAATAGCCTCACACAAGCCGCGCATGAATTATCGACAGGGCCAAAGATCTTCACTTTGAGTGACTTCCCTCTGCTGTCGCTGTCTTACAGTGGGCTCGACAGTCTGGAAAAGACCATTCAGGCTGCTGGGATTCCACGCAATGCAGTTGAGGACATATATCCCTGTACGCCCATGCAGGAGGGCATCTTGCTCAGCATGCAGAAAGGAACATCGTCATATATGAATCACCAGGTCTGGCGCTGCGAGATGAGATCTGACAAAGCCCCTGTCTGTCCGGCACAACTGGAAGCAGCGTGGAGATGTGTTGTCAATTATCATTCCATCCTGTCTACTGTCTTCGTCCCGCTCTTCGAAAACGGCCTGTTCGCTCAGGTCCTTGTCGCCAACGCCCCTGTCCGGGTTGATCAGATCAAATGTGAATCTTGGAATGCTGTTGATAAATTGATGGAACTTGAAAAACCAGTGTTTGCGGACGGCGAGCCTCAGCATCAACTCACAATCTGCCAATCCTCCGGTGGAGATGTAGCATGCCGGTTGGATATGAACCATGCCTTGAATGACGGCGAGTCTGCATCCATCATCACTAATGACCTGGCAAAGGCATACGAAGGCGTCACTCGATCAGCAGCCCCTCGCTTCAGAGACCTGATGCAGCATTTGGGGCGAACGCCATCCGCCGATCGCATGCAGTACTGGGGAAATGTGTTGATGGATGTCTCGCCCTGTCGTTTCCCAGTCCAACGCATCTCGACAGGCGTCTTGCAAGGGGAGCACGGGCACATCCCCCTCGCCCAGACAGCCACTTCACAAATCCACGATTTCTGTGTCAACCGGGGTATCACCCGTTCTGTATTTATCCAGATTGCCTGGGCGATGGTACTCTCGTGGTACACTGGAATCGGCGATGTTTGCTTTGGATACCTGGCATCAGGTCGCGATGTTCCGATCCAGAACATCGAGGACATGGTTGGTCCATTGGCTAACATGCTGGTCAGTCGAATCGATGTTGGGCAGCCGCTGGGTGAGGCTATTGGGAAGACGGCAGAAAGCTCTATCGGGCATCTGGCTCACCAACATGTCTCGCTGGCTCAGATCCAGCACGAGCTGAAGCTCGGCCATGGACCCTTGTTCAATTCGTGTGTCACAGTGCGCAGAAGAGGGGATGGCGCAACAACAAATCAACTGAGATTTCGAAGCGTCGGTGGCGATGATCCACACGAGGTGAGGATCCCAAGCCTATCATTGATTACTGCTAACCTTGCATAGTTTCCCGTGTCAGTCGGTGCTTTGTTGGGGGACACTGCGACAGTGGTTGGCCTCCATTACCGCAAGGACTTGATCAGTCTTCCCATGGCGCGGGATATCAGCTCTATCCTCACCATGGCAATTGGGCATATCCTGCAGGGTGAGCGACTAACAAATGGGATGTCCGTACGCTTCAATCATGTTGATTCGCTGCGCGCTGGCTTCTTTCAGTCTGTTGTCGGGGCGAGCCAACAGTCGGCAACAGACTTCTGGCAACAATACTTTGCTAACCTCGACACACAGCACTTTCCCTCTTTGCCATCCCCATCCTACTCTCCTCAAGCCACTTCTACTCTCAGCTATTGCCTGCAAGGCTTCCAATGGAGTCGATCTGAGGTCGCTGCATCGACTGCCATCAGGGTTGCGTTGGCGGTGCTCGTGGCGCGTTATACCAACACCAGCGACGTCGTCCTTGGGGTACTGACGAAGCACAGCAAGCTAACCCTGGGAACGGTGCCAGTGCGACTGGTGCTAGACTGGGAGGCTACATTGTGTCAGCTCCTAGAGCATATTCAAGGGCAGACAATCGCAATGGAAGAATTCGAGCAGATGGGACTGCACAATATTCGGCGGGTCAGCGATGAGGCCGACCAAGGTTGTCAATTCCAGACTCTTCTGGTCGAGGCTGCATGCGAGGATAACCCTATTTCCAGTGGGCTAGATGCTTCTGGATTGATTATCCAGTGCATCTGTGACGACCAGGGATTGCACATCCAAGTCAAGTTTGATTCGAATATGATCGAAGAGGCACATGTCAAGCGGATGGTGCACCAGTTTGAGCATGTACTGCGGCAGTTTCACGTTGAGCACAATCAGTTCGTTAAGGTCAAAGACATCCCATTGGCGTGTGAAGAGGACATGCGTGATGTCTGGGCGTGGAATCGGTCTGTGCCTGAGTCAGTCGAGGCTTGTATGCACGACCAAATTGCTGCAATGGCAAGGAAACAACCTGATGCACCGGCGATCTGCGCGTGGGACGGGGAATTGACGTATCGCGAGCTTGATACACTGTCGACCAGGCTCGCCTCCCATTTGATGCAGTACCTGGATGGGAGTACGACGGTGCCTCTCTGCTTTGAGAAATCACTGTGGACGGCCATTGCCATGATTGCCGTAATGAAGGTCGGCGGAGCATCCCTTGCACTCGACACGACGCAGCCAGAGGGAAGATTGGCCACCCTGGTTGAGCAGATTCACCCTCGTTTGATCCTCTCATCAGCAGCCAATGCCCACATGGCTGGAAATATCGCCAAGGTTCCTGTCATTGTTGTCGACCAAGCCCATATGGATGCGCTGGAGACATCCGGGCCACTGCCCGTCGTCCAACCATCCGCCAATCTCTACATCATATTCACATCTGGAAGCACCGGAAAACCCAAAGGTACGCTAATATCCCACGCCAACTTCGCCAGCGCTACTCTCTATCAGCGAGATGTGTGGAAATTCGGTCCTGGATGCAGAATCTTCGATGTTGGTTCATATGCTTTTGATGTGGCCTGGGGCAATGTCCTGCACACGCTCTCGTCAGGAGCATGCCTTTGTATACCGGAGCCAGCAGCAGCAAAGGATGATCTTGTCGGTAGCTTGAGGCAATATCGCGCCACCCATGCCGAGCTGACACCGACTCTGGCGCGTACGCTCGTTCCGGACGACCTGCCCGATCTGCAATGCTTCATTTCTTCCGGAGAAGCTCTGGATGATCTGGTGCTCCAGCGATGGTCCAAGGTCACTCGTATTCTAAACGCGTATGGCCCTGCCGAATGCTCTGCCGTTTCTACCATTGCCGAACTGACCTCTGGGGTCCCCAAGGGCAATATCGGTCGAGGACTTGGGCTCAACACCTGGATCGTCAGTCTCCAGAATGACAATGAACTGGTCTCGGTTTATGGTGTTGGAGAGCTATGGCTTGAAGGGCCGCTGGTTGGGCAGGGTTATCTCAATCAAGCCCAGAAGACGTCAGAGGTATTTGTTAATAGCCCGCCGTGGTTAATGGGTGGTGGTCGACACGGGAGACTTTACAAGACCGGCGATCTTGTCAAGTACCACACAGACGGAAGTTTGATTTTCATCGGCCGCAAAGACACGCAGGTGAAGATCCGTGGTCAGCGTGTTGAACTGGCCGAGGTGGAGTATCATGTACGCCAGGCATTGAGTGACCGCGGAGATGCCGTCTTTGCCAATTATGAATCTACTCACATTGTTGCAGAGGCTATAAAACCATGCAATGGCAGTCATGCAGTCCTGGTCGCCTTTGTAAGTTGTGAGCATCAGGACCAATCCAGTAAGACAGTGCGGGAGATGACGGCCGGTCTGGAAGAGAAGCTCGCCAAGTCCCTGCCAGCATATATGATCCCAACTGCCTATATCCCGATCGAAAAGCTGCCCCTCACAGCTGGTGGTAAAACGGATCGTCTCAAACTGCAACAGCACGTATCCGCCTTGACCCGAGAAGAACTGGCGCTGTTGAACGCTGGTGAGCAGGAGAGGCGAGCCCCTCGGACGAAAAAAGAGACCGCACTGCAACGGATGTGCGCCGGCGTTCTTGGTGTGAGTATGGATATCATCGGGCTGGATGACTCATTCTTCCGGCTGGGGGGTGACTCTATCGCGGCCATCAAGCTCGTGGCAATGGCACGCCTGGAAGGCTGGAATGTCACCGTGGCCAGCATCTTCTCTCATCCTAAACTGTCTGATCTTGCGCTCACAATGAGGGTGCTGCGGGCAGACGCAGATCGACCTCCTCCGCCATTTTCTCTGCTGCCTGATTGCTCCGTTGATCATGTGCGAGGCACTCTCAGTCAGTTGGGTGTTGATGATTCTGTGGTTGAAGATGTGTATCCCTGCACAGCGATTCAGGAAGGACTCATCGCAATGACTGCTATGAACCCCGACGCCTATGTATATCAGACGGCATTTACACTCCCAGTGGATGTGAATTCAGATGTGTTCCGTGCTGCGTGGGATGCAACCGTGGCCGCTAACGCTATCCTTCGCACCAGGTTGATTCATACGGAGTCGGGGATGTTCCAAGTGGTCGTTCGGGGTAGCATCGAGTGGGAGACAGCGACGAGCATGGAGGATTATCTCTCAGACGATACTCGTGGCCGAATGGATCTCGGTGTTCCACTGCTGCGACTGGCGTTGGTCAGGCAAGCCAACATGCCATTGTCATTTGTTCTCACAATTCATCACGCCATTTATGACGGCTTCTCGCTGCCATTAATACTGCAGCAAGTCCAAGAGTCATACACGGGCAACACCCTCCAGCTGCACCCGTTCAGTCCATTCGTGGCATATCTCTCGCAGATCGACAAGAAGGCAGAGAGAGACTTTTGGGTATCTCGATTTGCGAATCTCAGGGCGCCAACATTTCCTACTTTGCCCTCCGCAACCTATACACCAGGTGCAAGAATGTTCTTTACGCAATCCATCACACTTTCCCAAAGGGTAGGTTGCGATTTCACACTTCCCACGCTCATCCGACTGGCCTGGGCAGTCGTTATCGCCCACCATACCGACTCCGATGATGTTGTGTTTGGAGAGACCTTGACCGGCCGTAATGCCGCATTGGCAAACGTCGACCGATTGACCGGGCCGACCATCACCACTATCCCAATTCGTGTTCAACTTCGAGCCGGTCAGAGTGTTGCCGAGGCACTCGATGGTGTACAGAAGAACATGGTAGCGGCGATTCCATACGAGCAGGCAGGACTTCACAACATCCGCCAAATGAGTAGCGAGACCGCATCAGCCTGCGAATTCCAGAGTCATTTGGGCATCCAGCCGTTGGAGGAAGACTCGGAGGAGTCCATCTTGTTCGGGCAGCATCAGTCTCGTAACAGCTTGGACCAGTTTTCCAGCTACGCATTTGTTCTTGTCTGCTCACTATCACCCAACAATCAGAAGATCGGTGTCGAGTGCAGTTTTGACCCTATCATAGTGAATGAAGACGAGGCCAGCAACTATGTTCGCCTGTTCCAAACGATATTGTGTCAGCTTTGCAGCGACCCTGACCAAAAGATTACCGACTTGCAGGTCATCAGCCCGGCAGATATCGCTCAGCTTGTGAAATGGAATTCAGACCTACCGTTAGCTCGCCATGAGACTCTCCATAATCTGATACTGAACCACTGTATTTTACAACCAGATCGCGCAGCCATCTCGTCGTGGGATGGAACTGTCACATATGCCGAGCTGGATGTTTTGTCTCGAGCACTCGCACTGCATCTGATCACTACTGGAGTGGAGTCAAACATGATCGTTCCTCTCTGTTTCCAGCGGTCTAAATGGTCTGTCATTTCCATCGTGGCAGTTCTTCGGACCGGGGCAGCGTGTCTTCTCGTTGACCCCACTCATCCTCCGGACCGGATTCAAGACTTTGTGGAACAGAGTCGGGCGGTTACAGCAGTCGTCGACCCATCACAGACGGCTTTGATGCAGGGAATGGTTCCCAATGTCATCACTGTCTCCCCCGCCCTGATAGACGGTCTTGATAAATCGCAGACTGGGCCATTGCCCACAGTAACCCCAGGCAGCACTGCGTTCATTGTCTTCACGTCAGGAAGCACCGGCAAGCCTAAGGGAATCATGCTGGAACATGTTCAGCTGAGCACAAGCATCCGGGACCATGCACCTGGCTTGGGAGTCAACAGTGACTCCAGGTCTCTGCACTTTGCTTCATACGCATTCGATGCTAGTATTTACGAGATCTGCACCACTCTGGTGTCCGGTGGCTGTCTCTGTGTCATGTCCGAGCACGACCGCATGAACGATCTCGCTGCCTTCATCCGCTCCAAAAAGGTGACCTGGGCCACCTTGCCCAACTCGGCAACCAATCTTCTCCATCCCTACGACGTGCCATCCTTACAGACGCTTGTTCTCGGTGGTGAAGCTGTGACCCAAGATGTCGTGGAGAAGTGGGCGTCGAGACTGACGTTGATCAACGGATACGGACCCGCTGAAGCCACAATCTGTGCACTCGGTCCCATTCCCGTGCAAGGGTGGAAGCAAGGCACGTTTGGCAATATCGTCGGCGGGGTGGGCTGGATTGCAACGCCGTCGGATGCATCAAAGCTCGCCGCCATTGGGGCAGTGGGAGAATTGTTGATTGAAGGACCAGTCTTAGCTCGGGGTTATCTCAACAACCCGGAGAAGACGGCATCTTCGTTCATTGAAGACCTACCTTGGATGAAGGACTTCCGTCCTGCCGGCAAAGGCCGTGTATACAAGTCGGGTGATTTGGTGCAGTACAACCCAGACGGCACATTGCGATTCATCGGGCGAAAGGATACCCAGGTCAAGCTGCGAGGACAGCGTATTGAGCTCGGTGAAGTCGAGTTTCGAATTCGCCAGTGTTTGCCAGCGGTCCACAATGTAGTGGCCGAAGTTATGATTCCTTCTGGCTCCAATGCAAACTCTCTGCTAGTGGCTTTCGTCCATCTGACCATGACCAACAACGATAAGAACAACTTGTTTTTAACTCCCACTGAGGAGCTTCGTGCCCTATTTTTCGCGGCCCAAACGAAGCTCAGAGGCATGGTCCCAGGGTATATGGTGCCTGCGATCTTCATTCCCCTGAGCCACATCCCAAAAACGACATCCGGGAAGATAGATCGGCGACAGCTTCGCGACCGAGCATCATCGCTGCCTCGAACGGAGTTTGATCTCTTCATGGCTACGCGGGGTCAAAGGGAAAGCCCATACACTGAAACGGAAGAAAGGCTCCGGGCCATCCTGATCTCTGTCACTAATCTGAACATCGACGAAATCGGTGTCAAAGACAACATCTTTCATCTCGGGGCCGACTCCATCACGGCCATGAAGATGGTGACGGCCGCACGCAAACATAACATCTCGATATCCGTTGCTGATGTTTTCAGCCATCCCACGATATACGACCTAGCAGACTTTTATAACAGGCACAATCAGCAACATGAAGCCGTGTCCAGCGTGGTCCCAGGCTCCGTCTTCGGCTTCACGAACCAGTGCAACTTTATTCAGAGCATCGACTGCACTGGCCTTCCATTCAACACTCCGGATATCTACGACGCACTCCCTGCATCCCAAGGCCAAGAGGATCGACTTACTCGTGGAAGTTACTATTTCATGCTCGACTTTGATCGCTCAATTGACGGCGATCGCCTCGAAAAGGCGTGTCGTGGCCTCGTTCAGCGCCATACCATCTTCCGCACTGTCTTCATACCCTACCAAGGCAGGATTGTTCAGATCGTTCTTCGCAGCTTCAATGCACCCATTGAAATCGTCAAGTCGGACGACTGTGTAGTGCCCTTTACGGAATCCCTTTGCCAGAAAGACTCACACGAGGCACCGATGCTGGGAGACCTCATTACCCGGATGACCTTGGTCCATGGATCTGACCATCAAACCACACTCATTCTCCGCATTTCGCATGCCCAATATGACGGTATGTCAGTGCCCATCATGTGGAAAGACTTGGTCGGTCTGTATGAGGGCAGGCAACTGCCGGATCCTATCGAATACTCGGCCCACGTGCAGAAGTGGCTGGCGGCTGGGACTTCACAGGCGTATGAATTCTGGCGGAACCTTCTTGACGCATCCAGCATGACCTATATCAAAAATAAGCACCTAGCAGAAAAGGATGCTTCTGTTAACTCACCGATTTATATTGAATCTACAATTGCTCATCCCGATCTGCCTCACGGCATTACTATGGCGACTCTCGTCAAAGCAGCATGGTCCTTGGTTCTGACCCACTTGACAGGTGATAGCGATGTTGTCTTCGGTCAGACAAACAGTGGACGATCATCAAGCAATTTCGACGCAGAAAACCTGGTCGGATTGTGTATCAACGCCATACCTGTCCGAGTCAAGTACAATCCCCAATGGACCGTCCTTGACTTGCTGCACCATGTTCAAAACCAGCATGTTGATTCGCTCCCATTTGAGTCAGTGGAACTCCGTGACATTGTCTCCCGAAGCACTCCCTGGCCTCAAAGTACTCGGTTTGGCAGCATCGTGACTCACCAAAATATCGATGTTGACAAGCCAGTCTCGGTTGGCGGCACTCAGACTTCGATAAGAATGTTTCACCAAGACAAACCACCTTCGCACGTTTCAATCTCGACTTGGCCACATGGGCAAGAACTGTTGATCATATTGGGAGCTTCAAACCAAACGCTCAGTGAGTTACACGCTCAAAGAGTTGCTCAACGTCTTGGGGAAACAATCATCAGCATGGCGTGCTGTCCTCATAGGCATATTTCTGAGCAAATTGAGATGTAGACTACCACTGTAGCAATTAGAGTTACCTAACCCTCGCTGTGTTGTATCTCAAAATACGCAGGTTATGAGATAAGCCATTTGCAAGATAACTTTCAGAGTTTCGGTGAGACTAGGGGTAAAGAGTCGCTGCTCCGTAGAGATGGAGGATATTCAAATCTTTGCCTTAACTAAAGCAGGGAGCCGGGTTTTAAAAGGGAGGGCCAAGGTAGATAAGTGTCTGCAGGCTTGTGTCGCGATTTCTGCCAGGCTGTTACGGGTTATGATTTCCGGGCGGTAGAATCATTTTGTTCCTAATCTAAATTGACCTTTTTTCGCTAAAGAATTGAAAAGCTACTCTCTTGCTATATGTATATCCATGGCAGGTCATTCGCCGACGTTGAGGTTGGTAGGTTCATTTTGATTTATTTAGGGGAAATTTAATATGTGCCCAAGCGACTGTGCGCTTTATTCGTCTAATAAAGCTACATTTAGTTAATACCGTGAGCGAAGACAAGAGCCAATGAGTGAACCTTACCAGTCTTTAAAAAAAGATTGGTGCTAAGAGCTTGGCTCTCCATCATGGAATGAATAGCATCGTAGAGATGCTCGGAGAGCGGAAAAGTGGTCCCAGGTCCAAGGTATTACGAAGGTAAAGGCCATGACGTGAAAGAAGAATAAAACAGTAAAGAAATACAACAAGAACAGGAACAGCAATGTAGCAACAGCTGAATCTATCCAAGTCTCTGGTGCATGCGCAATCCTCCTCCCACGATCAATTTAGGGATCCGCTCCTTATGGCCTCGTCAGCTTCAATTTGAGCCAGTGTTATTGGATCAAGATAAAGGTGCTTCAATTCCAGGTGCTTAAGAATACACTGGCCCTGTGAATCTCGAGTTTTTGCCGTGGATTCGGGAAAACAGCTCTGGACCACCCTCAGAGGCAGACGTCCACCTCGATTGAGTATCACCTTTCTCCAATGCTTGATATATTTGCGAGGAAGCTCGACAGGCCTGCCCTCGCACCATTTCTAGGTGATGGTAGCTTCCCTGTGTTCAAGTTTATAGCGGAAGAGATGGGCAAATCCTTGAGAACTGGAGCCCCATACCTCCATGATACGTAGCTTTGGCAACTTCAACGCCGCTTGCGCACCATCGTACACAACCCCTTCGATAGCAGATCTAGATGACCAGGGTGAAGCAAGTGTGTATGAGCCCAAACATAGTAGTTCCAGGTTTTCACATTTACATCTTGGGAGGGGTATCGTAGCTGTTAACAATCTGCGGCGCTGCCCAAGCTCTGATAGAACCTCCCTCGCAGTGACTTGATATCCGGCGCTGAATTCGCGCAGTTGTCCAAGTGCTGGGTTAGTACATATAGCCAATGCTAAATCGCCTGCGTCGAGAGGCAACCCTGCCAGCTTTTTATATGCGGAAAAGTCCAGCGCCTCATTTAAATACAGGCGTCTCAAGGATGAAGGGAGAGCAGGTACTAGCGTTTTCCGGAAGCCTAAAGTCTCGAGAATTAGTAGCTGTACTTGCTCGTTTTCTCTGCACTTAGCTATATACCTTCTGCGAAATCTTCTAGTTCCCGATAACAGACTGGGCGTCGGCTCTCGTATCGGAACCATGTCAGGGCTACCAGGCTTTGCCGTAGTATTTGAGCGAGAGCCCCCGCATCGATGCTTCTGCACATGGACTGACGGAGAAGAAGCCCCTTCACAATAGGAGCCCTCGGGAGGACGGGCGCTGTTGATCCTAGCTTTAGAGGTGTCCCATATAACCTCTTTGTATCTCTGTATAGATATAATGTACCCGATTCGTGCTTCTTTTGCTGGGCCGTGGGGCCTACTGCTGCCCTTTGTCGGTGGTACTTAAGGAGACTCGGTGTTTTGCCCAAGTCCGCCTCGGTGCGGAATGGGTGTCGTTCTCTTGAGCGCAGAAATTAAACCGGTGGTTGTTGTCGCTGGGGGAAGATATGGAAATTTCCAGGGTCAGACCATGGAAGCCTGGCTTTGCGGAGTTGCAAGGTTCAGGATTCCAGGAGGCGAGGGTATTCAGAAGATGCTGGATACAAGAGGAGAATATTGCATTGTTTCTATGTTCCAAAATTAGTCAGTATTGGTACTAAATCATAGATTGGAAGATATTTTGCTCACAATTTAATTGTAAACGCGTCTTCTGGTTGCTCACAGGCCTTGCAATTATATACCGACAACTTGATACTAAGCAGCAAGTTTTGAATATAAGTCAGCCTAACAGGCCTGCTTAGGATGACTTGTTCAAATCCCAATAGGTTTAATTCTATAAGCGGTAAACGCTTGAAGGTGTGCCTTTCAAAGAAACCTTGCCAGTCTCGGCATACACTTGCCAGACGACCGATGCCCTGCTTCGGTTTTGCTGACACTGAGGCTTGATCTACTTTCAAGGTAGTATCCGCTTCCGCCACGATTTCGGCCAGGATCAGGGCCTGTATTTCAGCAGGAAGTTGGTACCAAGATGCTACCTCGACTCTTCTTATATGTCTTGTTCTGGCCATGGTTGCTTTGTTTGGTGCGGTGTGGGTATTGATTTGAAGATGTTGTCAGGTCGCTGCTTATTGTTCATGCGAGAAGAACAGAACGAGGATTTTCAGACAGAAGGGGACGCTTTAAGAATTATTCTGAAGCCAGAAATAAGCAACACTGATAGATACTTTGGTCAGGTACGAAACCTTGATCTTGGTTTGCTGTATCATGAGTCATAATCGAGGCCGGCGATAACCTAAGTACCTCCTAGGGTAAAGCTAAACCTGAGAAAGAGAGGCGGAACGACACTGATGCTCCCAGGGTTACATTTGAGTTTAAGAGCACGCGAGGCAACATATTTCATAAGCCCCAGGCCTAGCCATGACGGGGCGGTAAGGTAAAGAACTATATATATTTTATTTTTAAAGCAGCGTAGCTTTAAGTTTGTTATAAGACTATTGCCATCGCTGTGTTCAGATCACGTTAACCACTCCATCTGAAGCCTTATGTTTAGACAGTACTTATGTTAAAGATAGAAACGGACCTGGGACGTCTGCCCTGTAAGCGTGTAGTAATTTGATTGGTCAGTAGTCCTGGTCGTCTTATGCCGTGTTGATTCCTCGCCCCATCTACCGTTCCCCTTGCGCACTCCTATGTTGCCGTGAACAACGCCTTCTCCTCGTCACGGAGTAATCGTATGTAGACTCGACCTATCTAAAGAAAAGACTAGACCGAGATTCCATGCTCGAAAAACCATGGCCCGCGCTCACAGACATAAGACCGAACAACCTGGCTTCATCCTTAATCTGCCTAATGAAGTTTTGATCATATAGGAGAATACGGATAATAAACTTTAATAATAATAAAGCTACCAGGGTCTAACTAACTTAATATAGTAAATATAAAAAGCTTAAAAATATAGTCTTTCTTTATATATCTAAGGAGTTATATAACTAGAAAACTCTAATTATTATATAAATAACTTATTTACTATTAGAATAATAGTTTATTAAATAACTATTAATATTATTTCTTTTATCTAGCTTCTTATCTTATATTAATCTAACTATATTAATTAATCTAAATATAAACTTAAAGTAATTAATCTAGTAAATATTATAAGCTTATTAGCTAGAGTACTTATATTAATATATCTATAGCTTTTACTATTTATTCTAATAATTAAGAAATTATATTAAGAAAAGATATCTTAATTCTTTCTTTTAAAAAGAGTAAAATTATTTAATTAAATATTAAAATACTAAGAACTTATATTAATAGTTCTAAATATACTAATTAAATTTAAATAATTCTAATTATTTTATTTAATTAATTATATAATAAGTTTAAAAAAACTATATTTTTTAAAAAATTTTAAATTATTCTAATAAATTAAAAAACTAAAGAATTTTTTAATAGAATATCTTTTAAAAGTTTTAAATTTTAATTAGAATATTCTTAATTATATATCTATAGAGAATATTAATATAAAAACTATCTTAGAATTAAAAAGAGATAATAAATTAGATTAGTAGAAGTTCTTAATATCTAAGACTAGATTATTATAATTATCTATAGCTACTAATAAGAATAAATAACCTATACTTAAGAATAATATAGAAGGGTTCTAGGAGGTAGTATCAATAGAAATACCTCAAAGCTTTTAAAATACAGTAGAAGGAAGTTTTAGTCAAGATACTTGAACACGCATCCCTTAGCTGAAATAAGAGCCCATTCAGGAGGAATGATGAAATCTTGCTCCGCAGCAGATTGATCACGCCCATCATCCGCACATGCCGCCGCTTCTACCAACTGGCCGTCCCCTTTCACTAGCGCTCGATCAAGTATAACTACCCAGACTCTGTGATCCCCTCGGACCGAAAGGTGATAGCGCTGCACAGGGCGCTCCAGGATAACCCCGACCTCGGCCGGCGCTGCCTTGCATTCTTGTTCCACATTACTGACATCAGGATAGACGAGGAGTATGAGCTCACGGCGGCAGACTACCAGGCTCTCAAGGAGATTGTCGCTTCTCTTCCCAACGTTAGATTGCTTCATATCCAAGGGGGTGGCAAGGGGCTAAAGGATTGCTTACCTTTGAAACGCTTCGTCACTGTATAGGGTCAATGCATTCGCTTCGGGAGGTGTCTTTGAGCAGGGAGGGCTTCGAGGGCCCTACTGTCCATCGGGCTATGGAGACACTTCAATCGCCCTCGATCCGAAGTCTGTCCCTACATGGGGTTTCCAAAGAAAGCATCGATGACGCGAGGCTTTGGGCATTACAAGTAGGTGTTAAATGTCTTCTTCCCTAGCTGCCGCTCTTTGCTGTCCTGGCATGAGAGAGCAACGCACGCGTGGGAGAATACGATGATAAACTTTAATAACAATGAAGCTGCCAGGGCCCGGAACAACTCAACGCAATGAATAGAGAGAACAACGCACTAAACACGCAGTTAGGATTATGGATAGTCCAACATCACAGAGCTGGCCCTGAGCGACTATCAGGAAAGTGCTGAAGGTATATTGCGTCTAATCAACCGGTCCAAAGAGCTGGCCAGCTTCTCCTTCGGCAGCGTCTACAATAACACCAACTACTTTGACCTGCCCATGTTCGCGACCATGCTGGACAAGCACAAGCACACCCTCACCAAGCTGTCTATTGGGTCTCTCGCGACTTCTGGAAGGGGAATAATCATCGACCTGTTCGAGTTCACGGCCCTGGAGGATCTGCAGTTGTCCGTGTGGCAGCTCTTGCGGCCGGTGGAGGCTGAGGAGCGCTTTACTTTTCGGACCTAAGAGGCGAAGCTGCTCTCTGCGCCGAAGCTCAGAAAGTTACACTCGACTTCTCGATTTACGGTCAGCACTCTGAGAATTAGAGTGATTTTGGCGAGAGGGAGCAGAGGTGGCTGCGATCGCTGGACCGACCCTCGGGCTCGGGAATTTGCGTTGCTTATGGACCCGGGGATAAGAGAGCCACATTTATAAGCAAAGAACTTCAGCATTGTAGCGCTCTTGGGTTCGCCGATTCGATATCAATGTCTTCGGCGATTAAGTATTTGTCATGAATAGTCGGCGAACCCAGAGAGAAGTGATGCGCTGCCAAAGGCTTTCAAGTCGGTTTGAGGAATATTTAAGGTAACCCTCCAGACGGGCAAAGTGGCCTTTGACCCGTCCCATCCCATCAAGTCATCAAACAGTATATATCTACGATAATGACACCAGCTAACCAAACAAGGCGGCTCGTCGAAGTTGACGGCCTTGAGATTCATGTACTAGTAAATGATGAGATCGATCAGATTTCGCCCAGTCCGAACCTACTGGTTGAATATACGCAGTCCTTCGCCGGAGTTCCTCTCACTCCGGTCTCCGATCCTGCAGCTCGGGGCGGAGCCAGGCTTGAGATGCCGATGCGAAACATCTGCTGCGGTGCGCATGGCCTCTCTCTGTTTATTGTAAGTATGGTGTCCCCCGTATAGCGCACCGAGACTCATTTAATTCAGACGGCAACGAAAGATGGCGTGAGCAAAACACTACTTTTTGACGCTGGACCCGAAGAAGATGTATTCGAAAGGAACGCGACACGATTGAGGCTTCCGATGGGCAATGTGGGAGCTATTGTACTTTCTCACTGGCATCGCGACCATTCGGGAGGGTTGCTTTCTGCTATTCGACTTATTAACAGCAAGAAGGCAGAAGGCAGCCAAGTTACGGTTGCTCTACCCCCCGATAGACTAGACTATCGCGGCGTTATGTTTGATGCTCCTGTGTCTCTCGAGCCGGACCCGTCTCTCCTGCAAATTGAGAATGCCGGTGGGAAGATTGAGACTATTCATAAAGTATATACAGTATTGGATGACATGTTTTCTATCTCTGGTGATATTCCCCGCGAGACTTCCTACGAAGGCGGCATTCCTGGCGGTATCAGATACAGTGCCCAAACTGGAAAATGGACCACGGATGAGTTGATACTGGAGGAGCGCTATGTTATGTGCAAGATCAAGGGTGCGATCTCATTCCCCGAGTTTAAGACAGATCCAAGACTGACCGTTAGCACTAGATAAAGGCTTGGTTATCTTCACAGGTTGCAGTCACGCTGGCTTGATCAACATCGCCAGAAATGCAAGGGAGGTTGATAGTAGTCCTATTTACTCCATCGTCGGTGGCTATTATCTGGCAGACGCTTCGCCTGAGAAGATGGAGAATAGCATGAAAGACCTAATGGAGCTTGAACCGGCTCTGCTCATGCCTGGTTATTGTACCGGGTGGAGATTCAAGGGACTTATTGAGAAGGAGATGCCCGGTCGAATGGCCCCTATCTTCGGTGGTATTAAATATTCCCTTTAATTCTATTTTAAGGAGCTTTTCTTATTATATATATTTGCTATCTTTTATAAAAATATAAAAATATATTTTATAGCTCTTTTATACTATAGAAAAGTAAAGATATATTTATATATAACTTACTAAGTCTTAGATATATAATTTTAAAGTTTATTTAATAAAATAATTTTATAGTAAATAATTATACTCCTAGTTTACTAGATAATTAAATATTTTTTAAGCTTTTATAATAGCTAGCTCTATAAATATTATAATATAATTTCAGGAAGTAAAATATAGCTAGAAATATTTATAATCTCTATATATAGTAAAAGAGTAGAGATTTATTAAGCTAAATAGATATATTAATCTCTCTATAGATCTCCTGATCTAAAGTATAAGCTTTTAACTATATACTTATTATAGTTATTTTATTCCATGTAAACACAGATAGGGCTTTATACTGTAGGTAAATTTCCCAGCTTTAACGCCTTTGATTTTCTCGATCATCCAGCACGGTTCCTACTGGATGTATCGAGGCAACAATTGACAAAGTATCTCAGTATGATCGACCTATTCTACGCAACTATTAGATCTAAATGGCTAATTAGTGTGACAATACACAGTTACAGAGCCTCTGTTATCAGAAGCTATATTTCTAACCTATCATGTTTATGAAGAATTACTAAGAGTTACTTGTGGATCGATAGACTCCTGTCTGAGCTCTGGTGGGAATGTTCAGACTGATGGAAAACGCCTATAAACCAGTCCCTGCTTAATCTTATCCCTATATTATTATCACAGGATTTTTTGAGAGATAAAACCTGCCACGAGGAGGCATGTCTTAATGTTACTAATAATTGTACTATCTCGGCCTTTGTCTCCGCTGCTAAACTAAGCTTGGTACCTTTGCCGCTAGGACACGTTGTGAATTGGTTTGGCCCATCATGCAATAAATTTTGCGCTAATCCCGAGCCCGCCTCATCATTACTCCTGTTATTTCGAAGTGCTGGCAGCTTAAGGCTTAGCCTATGGCTGAAGGCCAGCTAGTGCCAATGTCCCGGGTGAGAGAGTCCGAGTATAAAGTTAAAAACAGCAATGAAACATGCCAGACCCGACATTTCAAGATAATGAAGATGCCAACGTTCAACAACGCCATTTGGCTGGGCTGAGACTAAATGCCAGGGCAAGCATTACGAAACCGCCAGTTTCCTGATGATCTTATCATTCGTCGCCGTACATACCACCACCGATTAGCTCTTCAATATAATGCTCTTCCTTGTGCAAGAGCCTGAGTTCATCGGTGCCGTTGGGCCGTTCATGTTATATAATATCAACCTCCTGTATAACAATATCATTCGCATCCCACCCGAATCTACCAATACCAACCCTTCGAAACGTCCGGGGGGGATTAAGATGACCTAAAGGCTCGAGAAAAAGTCTTACGGTCGACCCGGGCCGGCTGTTTGGCCATATAGGTAACCCATACCCCTTCATTATAGGACCTTGACCCGTCTTTATAATGTCCACATACCACGAGGCACCTCCTGCTGTATCAGGGTAGTATAAGGGGCGACCTAATAGTAATTTAGAAATAAACTTAAGGTAGAGTTTAATTAAAACCCTATATAAAATAAAAATATATTATTAATAATAGAGGATAGAGTTTAATTAAAAATTAAAAGTAGAATTTAATTAGATTTCTATCTAAAAAAATATATAATATAGATATATATTAATAAGTAAATTACTAGTAATCCTATATAATTAATTATATAATTATTAATCTAATAATATAATTATAGAGTTAAATATAATTTTTTAGTAACTTAGATTAATAAGATTAAAAGTAGATTAGATTTAGTAGGATTAGAATATTAAGAGTAAAATTTAGATAGTAAGTTATAATACTATATAAACTAGGGTTAATATAGGATTAAAAGATAGAAGAA